AAAAAAAAAAAACAAAAAAAAAAAAAAAAAAAAAAAAAAAAAAAAAAAAAAAAAAAAAAAAAAAAAAAGAAAAAAAGGCAAAATCAGACCAGAGAGGAAAGATATACATAAACTGCATCCACAGTATACCTTGGTCAAACATCTCAACGTAGCAATACATTAAGCTCAAGTCATCAACACCAAAATCTATACATAATTCTTCCTTTATCAAATAATACCACACCTAGATTGACAGAACCAGCCGTCGGTATTGTTATTGTGTTTTAGAGAGAAAGAAGAAAAAAAAAATAATAAAAAAATTAAAAACTCAAAGTTGTGTGTTTCTTTATCATCATCATCATCATCATCATCATCGTCAGCAACAGACCCAGGTCACATTTAACATAACCACGGAATCACACCACACACTATAACCCACAAATGAGGAGCATCAAGTCAGTTGTAGTAGGGGATGGAGGAGTAGGTAAAACCTGCCTTTTAATATCATACACCACAAACACATTTCCTGATGATTACATTCCAACAGTATTTGACAACTACTCGGCATCAGTATTGATTGATGGTGAACCCATTAAGTTGGGCTTATGGGATACAGCAGGCCAGTCTGAGTACGATAGATTGAGACCATTATCTTATCCACAAACTGAAATTTTCTTGTGTTGTTTTTCAGTAGTGAGTCCTGATTCATTCGAAAATATCAAGTTGAAATGGATACCCGAGATCCATCATCATTGTCCAAAGGATATATTGATATTGCTTATTGGCACAAAGACAGATTTGCGAGATGATCCTCATGTATTGGACGAATTGAGTGCCAAAGGTTTGAAACCAGTAACTGAAGACCAAGGTATCAAGTTGGCTAAAGATATCGGCGCTGTCAAGTATATGGAATGCTCTGCAGCCACGCAAAACGGTGTTAAAGAGATATTTGATTTTGCTATACGAGCAGTATTGGATCCCCCAACAGACTCCAATAATAAGGATTACTTCAGCACCAACAGTATTAGTGGGTCCACCTTAAATAATGGGTCTGAGAAGGACAACTCAGGTAAGGGATTTTCACAGCGTAAGTTTACTGGTGGAAGTGGAAATGGCAATTCCGGCAGTGGCGGGGCTGGCGCAAGTAATTCACAAGGAAAGAGAAGGAAAATTAAGAAGGCAAAGAAGTGTACGATATTGTAAGAACATTGTAATTTATTTTTAATAGATGCACAAGGACATTTGTTTTAAAAGTTGCAGGCACCATAGCGGTTTTCAACCTTTCAGTGTTTCATTTTACTGCATCAAAGCAGCTCTGGAAGGATGGACACCGTTCAAGTCACTACTCGAAGTTTTACTACTCTTTTTCTTTTTATCCTCCGCTATCCTCTTCTTCTGTCTCTCATCCTTCTTTTCATTCTTTTCCTTCAACTTCTGTAACCTAGCTTCTGAATTACCCCCACCACCGACAGTCAATTCAACATTGATTCTTCTAGTCCTCAACTCCAGATGATGCATACGCAAAGCCAATTCCATCTTGCTTTGAATTTCCTGTGTGTCATTATCAAATTCTAAAAATGCAATACCCTTTTCCGGACGTACTCTTATCCTATCTGGGGAACTATTGTGGAAATGGGCAATCAATTCAGCTTGTTTTATATCGTGAGGTAAATTACCCACAAATAAGATGAATCGAGGTCCTTTTCCGTCATTTACACCTTTGCCCTTTTTACCTCTTCTGGTTTTCCTCTTCTTCTTCGGTTGCTCTTCGCTAGATGTGGTGTCACCGGTGGTAGTGGTGGTGGTGGTGGTTGTTGCTTCTTGCTCCTCTTGTTCAAGTTTTCGTTTCTTGGATTCTTCTTTTGATTGCTTATCTGCTTCTCTCTCTTCTTTTGATTTACGGAATTGAAGCGATTTCTTTTCCTTCTTTGACAACTTTTTTGCGTCGGACATTCGTGTGGAGCTTTGGAAATACGTTGGATACGAGATCGTGATGAGAGATGGTGATGTTTTGCTGAAAAGAAAAATTTGTGCGCTTTGATAGGAGATGATCTTACACAAATTTGCATTCAATCAGAACATTTCAAACAGGGTCAGAACGGCCATTATATGTTGTGAGAAGCGCAAATTGGAATGGGAGTACTGAAGCTCGTGATGGTTACTGTATCGATCAAATCAGGGGGTTATGGGTTGCTTGCTCTTCTTGTTGTTCAAGAGTTTATGCAATTTTAGGTAAATTTTCAGCCATACCTCAGCAGCCAACTCATTCAATAAGGTTCTCTATCTATGGAGAAGTAAGGAAGGGAGTCAGCAACATACAACAGTTTAGAACACTAAGCCAATATCAGATATAGTATTTATTGATCTTAGTTTCAACGACATCGTGAAGTTTTGCAACCAAACTTGATCACGGAGAGGTCTATTTGGGTTGTGCAGAGAGAGTAACAATCCTCATCTTCCAGCTAGTAAGAAGGACTCGTGTTCAAACTACCCACTGCTCGCTTTATGAAGTTGCTTATAATAATATCTTCTTGAAACTTGTAGTCTAACCGCTTACGTAATTGCTTCCTAGATAAAAGACGGAGTTAAAAACAAAAAACAAAATGAGGGGTGCATGAAAGAGCGAGATGTACAAACGTTTGTTCCATAGGAAGGATAAAGGACACTTTGCCATTGGCACAACCCGCTCAATGTTATCCGCATGGGGTGGACTCCATTGAGTTTAAATAAGACAAGGAGAAGGGCAATCATCTTAATCTGTGTGGCAATTCTGGCTCTCCATTACAGTTACCATGAATTATGCCCTTTACTTGGCTCTAATCTCCATTTACATCATTTACAAAGTAATTGATCATGTCCAATTCAACAGAAAAGCACAAAAGTATGGATGCAAACCAGTCAAACAAGTCCCCAGACAGTCACTCTTGGGCTGGTTAAATTTAGAATTCATCTTGAACCTTAAACTGAATCACGAACGTGGTTTGGCTCATGAGGCTTTGGATGAAGTATTTCGAAAATTGGATACTTCTACGTTTGGCACGTCCGTGGGACCAGAACCCAATGTATTTACAGTTGAGCCTGAAAGTGTTCGTCACATGCAGTCAGCATCTCAAACTTCTGACTTTAATATGGGTGTGAGATTAAAAGTGTTTTCCACATTGTTGGGAGATGGGATTTTCTCAAGTGAGGGGTCTAGTTGGAAGCATTCACGGATTATGCTTCGGCCATTTTTCTCCAGGGAGAACATCAAGCAAATTCATGCGATGGAGCCATTTACTCAAAGCGTTATCAAGGCTATAAAACAGGCTCCGCAAATGACGCTTGATATGCAAGAGATTTTCCAAAATTTTACAATGGACTACACAACGCATCTCCTACTTGGAGAAAGTTGTGATTGTTTGAAAACATACCTTGGGGAACCTACTTCTGGCTCGATTGCGAATGATATGAAGTTGGACTTTGCTCCAAGTTTCGATAAAGGGACAGAGTATGCGTTGCGGAGACTAGTTATGGGCTCATTCCATTGGCTTTATCAACCAAGGCAAATGTTTGTTGAAATTAAGAAGCAGCATGATTTTGTGGATTATTACGTACAAAAGGCATTAAAGATGAATTCACAAGATTTGGAAAAACTGTCGGATGATGGTACGTTTTTCCTTTACGACCTTGCTCAGAAGACAAGGGACCCGAAAGTGCTTCGTGACGAAATATTGAGTATTATTGTTGCTGGAAGAAGTACGACTGGTTCATTGATGACGTTTCTATTTTATGAATTGGGCCGTCACCCAAAGGTATTCACGAGATTGAGAGATATAATCAGAGTACAATTTCCCGATGTCGCGTCGATTGCTCTCGAATCAATACAAGGATGTGAATACTTACGATGGTGTTTGAATGAAACTTTGAGATATGACCCACCAGTGCCCTTTAACTCAAGAACAACAACTCAAGATACGGTTTTACCCAAGGGAGGAGGCGACGATAATCAATCACCAATGTTGGTAAAAAGGGGAACCAAAATCGTTTACCCTTTATGGACTGCAAACAGAATGGAGAAATATTTTGGTAAGGACACCAATTCATTTAACCCTGATAGATGGGGTAGTTTGCCTGCTAATGGAGGTACGGTCTTCATGCCATTTGGGGCTGGGCCCCGGAACTGCTTGGGTCAGCAGTTGGCTTTACTCGAAACTAGTTATGTGACGATTCGATTGTTGCAGACATTTGATTCAATCAAGTCTAGCCACAAGGAAGCTAGAAAAAAATCGTCGGCAATAATGGTGATGATGGATGGGTGCAAGTTGACTTTTGGTTGAGAGACTACAAACAGAATGGAGAACTCTTTTTAATCTAAAGTTTGACATTGATTATTTCTAGCCAGTTTGATTTTGAGAGATATTTGTTTTGGATTTTTTTTATTTTTTGTAAATGTCCTTGTAGCAGCACTGTTAAGCGCTTTAGTAGCAGCGTATAATTCAGCTCTTGTCCAGTGGAAACTTGATAGATCGCCAAGAAAGTAATACGTTATCGAAGGGAATCTGATTTTGTTACTGGTACAAACAAAACAATATTGTGTTATCTCCGACTGATGACTGAAATACTAGATCCGAAATGTAAACAAAAAAGAAATTATCCTTTGCATGGCTAACCACTATTCATTCACATAGTTTACAAGGTGTGCATCATGTGTGCCTCTGAATCAGAACGAGATCAAAACAATCAACAGCGGCGCAGTCTCTCTCCTCTGCGGGAGTCTTCAACGCCAAAAGACTCTTCTCCAGCTACCCACAACTCTTCCCATTATCATGAAGAGGACAGTCTTCATGATCATCATGATCACAATCAAGACCTCAAAGATTACACTTCAGCGAAGGACTCAAACTCTATCCGGAGCGAGCGAGCACTTGGTAACAGCAGTGCGCACCAGCACGCCGACATCATGGCAACGTCAAGTCCACGTGGTCGAGAACAAAGTGAAGAAGTGGAAGAGCGAGGAAGAAGCAGACTGCGTGAGGATAACTTGGACATTACTGACGACAGCTTTGACGATATAAGTCTAATGGGTTTCAAAACTGGGTCCAAGCATGATAGTCCAGTAAAGATGAAGAAAGTTAGATGAATGAAACCTACAGAAAGCTTTGCTTTTGTCGATTATTTGGTCTATAAGTCAAAGGATACTAAATAAAGATGCATACCCTCATTTGTCGTCAAGAAGTTTGGCATGCTCTTTGATGAGTTGCTCATATTTGCTTCTCAAGTCGGTATACGCTTCAGAAACTTTTTTCAACTTCAATTCCAAATCTGTATTATTACTTGCTAAGTTAACTTTGTCAGTGTTGTCCTTGTTTTTGTTGCCAATTGTTTTCACGGTTGAGTCGATATCCGATAAGTTTCTAAATTGCAATTCTTCAATTCGTTTCCTTTCCAACCACGAGCTAAATCCGTGGTCACTTTCATCATCGTAATCATCAATATCATCGCCGCCATTCTCGCCATTGTTAAGAATAATTCTTTCAGGGATATCCATAAACAAAGTGTGATGAACTGGATCACTACTCGCTAGCACACGTTTCAAAGTGGGAACCATACGATGTTTCTTATCGGACCTGATGGAATTTTGCGTCACATCCAATGTTTTAGACAGTATCGTTTCCAAATGAATATACGCAATTGGGAAATTCAAACTAGGGAAGCCCTTAATTGTTTGTTTTGTAACAATATCGGCAACGTAGATTTGACCCTTTGAATCTCCAGATATCAAACTGGTTCCATCCATTGACACACAAATCTGCAATACCGACGACGATGAGTCTGCGTGCTGAACAAATGTGTTTGACAAATTGGGGTCTTGTGGGTCGATGGTTATGATTTTATTCATCCCTCCAACACCTTCGAGAACAGAAGTGTGGGAGTTGAACTTGTATAGTGGAATCATTTTGATTTGCCCATTGGATAATCCAACGTAAATTGCTCTGTTTGCAGGATCAAGACTCAAACATTCAGCTGAATGTGGCAAGATAAAAGTAGTCAATTGGCTCTTCGTCATAACGTCAAATATTCTCACCGTACCATCTTTAGAACTTGTGTACAACTTCAAGTCGTTAATGACTCCAGTTGGGTTCAACGTTATATCTGTTATGGACAAGGTGTTTTCCGCGATAGCCCAATATGGTTTAACCAACCGTAAATTGTCTTGACCTTGTTCGTCTCCACCTCCCTTGTTACCACTACCACTACCACCATATATGGATATCAAATCAGCCAAGTTCCAGACTAGGACTCTCGCATCGTCACCACCAGTAACCAAAAATGTTTTACAACTACTTGACTTGATAACTGATATTCCTTGATAATGTGCCTCTTTGACACAAAGCAAGTCACCAGATGATAGTTCCCAAATGTACAATTTACCCAGCTTTGAACCGCCGCAAATCAACCACGGTACTCTAAATGTTGGCTTTTGGTGAAGAATTTGAGCACCATGTTCATCTGTTTTGGTGTCAATGTGAGGATGATGAACAATGTGTAAAGTGGTTAATGCTTCAGGAACGGGTATTCGTTGATCTATACCTTCTTTCCCATAAGAGTACACATTTATCAATGCTTTTTTCGAATCGCATGTGAATATACGTTCTCCGGGGCCTATTCCAGTGATGCATGCCCCATTAAGTGGTGATGAAGCGTGTCTATATGATTGATATTGTTTGGAGGAATGAATTGACGAAGTATACGCAAATGACTCAGCTGCTGACTTTTTAGCGTCAGTGAGATCTCCTTGGGAAATGTAGAATAGTGCCTCGTCCATCGTTGGATAATAATGTACACAACGTGTGAGGAAGATACTCTAGTTGTGTAAGTTGATAGAAAGTTTTTTGTTTTTTTTGCAATTGATGCGATGCCACTCATTTCTCGGATGCGTCTATCAAGTTTTCATTTTATTTTTTGTTTTTTTCTTCACGTAGAACCTTGTTACCACTAAAATTCAACTTCTTCTACTAGCCCATATTATGCCAGTTGAATTCTTAGCTAGTGTTCTTTTTGATGGGCCACAGGTTATACCTTATTGGGAGCAAATAAAACAATATGGGCCTACACTAATACCCATTGCCACCACTGTCGCTTTAGGAAAATACTATTTCCGCGGAGCAACCAATACATGGGAACGCGATTTGCATGGGAAAGTATACATGATTACTGGTGGTACGTCTGGTATTGGTGCAGTGATTGCGCATGAGTTGGCTATGAAAGGTGCACAACTAATTATTCTTACCAGAAGAACTGATGATCTGTGGGTGGCGGAATATATTGATGATTTGCGTGATCAAACTTCCAACCCATTGATTTACGCCGAGCAGTGTGATTTAAACTCACTTTACTCGGTTAGAAAATTTGCAACTAAATGGTTGGATAACGCAACACCTAGACGATTGGATGGTGTTATTTGCTGTGCAGCTGAAGCCATTCCTAGAAATATTCCTCGTCAAATCACTGTTGATGGAGTTGAAAAACAAATGGGAATCAACTATTTAGGCCATTTCCATCTACTCACTCTATTAGAACCAAGCTTGAAACTGCAACCTCCTGATAGAGATGTGCGAGTATTGATTGCCACTTGTTCATCACAAAGCTTGGGAGAGATTGATTTACAGGATTTGTTGTGGGAGCAGAAACAATATCCCACAAGTCAGCCATGGAAGGTTTACGGTAGCTCGAAATTACTATTGGGTGTCTTTGCGAAGCAGTATCAAAAGCGATTGATGGAGTATGAACGTAAGGATAAAGCACCATGCAATATCCGTATAAATTTGGTAAATCCTGGGTTAGTGAGAACTCCATCGACAAGGAGATTCATTTCAATGGGAACAATCTGGGGATTGTTGCTTTACTTGATCACCTTCCCCGTTTGGTGGTTGTTTTTGAAAAGTGTCTATCAAGGAGCGCAAACTTTTTACTTTGGATTATATGCACCTGTGTTGATGAAGATGGAAGGAGGGTGCTTGTTGCAAGAGTGTAAAATCATGACTAAAATTAGAAAAGAAATAGATGACAAAGAGTTGCAGGAAAAAGTATATCACAATACTACTGAATTGATTAAGAAGCTCGAAGTGCAGTCTGCAATTGAACGTAAAAAGAATAAGACCGAAGAAGAGATCCAACAGGAGAAAGAGGCAGAGTTGAAAAGGAAAAGGGATGTCAATATCCAACCCAAGACTACTGAAGAACTAAATCAGAAATTGAATACCTTGAGAAGTCAAATTGGTATTGGAGGTGGGTCTTCTGTTAGTAACAACGAAAATGGGATGCCTTTGTTTCCAGAAGAGTCTGATTTGGAAAACTTGAAAAACAACAGCAGCAGTAAGAATAGAACTGATGGTAAGAAGTCACTGAAGAAGAAAAGTAAAGGAAAGAAGTAGAGGACTGTGCGTATTTTTTTATAGATTGAAAGCAGGCGGAAGTTCGAAGGTGTTGACCTCACCAAAGTGCGCAATCTGTAGCAACCCACCACAGTGGTGGATCTAAAGTACAACTCAGTTGAGTTAATCGTACCTACTTCTCAGTTAATGTGAGTGCCTGGAAATACAAAAGATATTTGATCACCAGAGAGTCTACATTCCCTCTCGCACGTGTATGTATATATATATATATGTGTGTGTGTGTGTGTGTGTGTAATCAAAAACTGTGACGGCTCACCCAATTTTGATATGCCGGCTCCTGGGACTGATATATTTCTTTGTGAGGTTTTTATTTTTGTACAATATTTCTCGTATCACCAACAAATCAGATGTTGTATCACTATCTGTGCATGGATTAAATTGGTGCCTACAATCTGCGAGGCAAAGGTGCACGCACCCTCTTTTCCTTGAATTGCTACTGACTACTGTGAGCTCTTATCTTAACTGGTGGATATTGTTAATGCAATCTCGATACTGTCTATTTTAAGGTTTTGTTGTAGTTTTTAATTATCGAGGTAATTATTTGAGTTCCGATGTAGCCGAGTATCCAATCATGCTGGTCGCATATGTAAAAGAGTCATCTCCTTGAAAGTTATCTTGACGATGGTAAAGTCTTGATCTCTACAAAACTCTACTGTGTGGCACTTTACTCCTTTTGAAGAAAGTCTAGAAATGCCGTGTTTTGCCGATTCCCCTCCTCTTATTCTGTCCCTCCACATGTTGGGCATGGGCATCAACTATCTTTTTGTGGCGCTAACACCTCGAATACTTACAAAGAATTAACCTGACTGACAGCAGGTTGATTTGTTGCTTATACTGGAAGTCCTAGCAACAGTTAACATCTGATGTCATCTACTGGCAACCTTTAAACAAATGTATACGGAGTTGTTTGGACTTCGGGCGCTTAATAGGCTTTTGGGGAAAACGCCGAGTATTGTGACAATCACTTTTTAATTTCTTTTTTTTTTTTTTTGTTTTCAATTTTCGTTTTTTGCTCTATCAATCAATCAATTAATTCATCGTTTATTCAGTTATTCAGTCATTCGATCAATCAACGAATATCATCAACTCAACTATTCATCTTCAATTCATATATTTATTCAATAACAGAAACACTAGTGCTTGTTCTAGACAGAAAGTTCAAGCTAAAGATTAGGAAAGCATGGCCCAACAACATACAGAACAGCTGGATTCTCAGCAACAAAAGCCAGTGTCTTCATTGACCAAACTTTTAAATGAATCGTCGACGTCGGTATCGCAACCAAAGCAGCAGCAGCAGCAGCAACAGCAACAACAGCAACAAGGGGAGCGAACTGAAACACCAGCATCAGGTAGTAATAGATCCTCACTGAATGAAAACGGCTCTGCGTCGGAGCTCAACTTTGGAAAAAAGCCTATACCTCAGCCCATTACTACATCAGGGTTGGCCGTTGAACCACAAGTTATTAATGGGTTTGAACCATCACCAAATACTCAGTTTCCACATGTCCAGCTGTCATTTACTCCAACATCTCCCTTCACTAGACAGTCAGCCAGCTCGTTTTCCAGTCAAGTGGTTTCACAATCGCCGAGGAACTTTTCCAGTCCCAGGTACTTGCGCAACAACTCCATCAGCCATTCATCTTTTAGTGCAGGTGGTGGTGGGTTAGGCGGAGCTGAAAGTCTATCTTCCTCGATACCGTATTGCGCACCAGGTGGAAGACCTGGTAATACTGCTGCATCGGCTAATGGAACCGGTGCAGCAAATGCATCATCATCTTTGTCACAACGAGAGGCTATTTATGCTGATGATGCAAGCTTAAACTCGTCAGCGTCCTCATCTTCGCATATACCCAATATACCTAATGGGCAATTCATCAACTCCATACATATTCAATCGCCACAAGTGAATGCATCGAGTATAGATTCGCGATTTGTTGTTTCAAAACAACGTATTGCTCAGGCACAAGCAGCTCAACAAGCACAGCTAGTGGGAAGTGCATCGCAACGCTCTGGTTCCCAATCTGGCTTGTCTTCGTTCTTTTCTTCAAAGAGCAAGCCATCAAAAAGGGATTCGTCATCAACGGACTTAGGATCATTCTACAACAATGCTGCTTCCACTTCGTTCCAAGACAATAATGAAATCTCTGGATCACCTGCAAGTTACTCCTCATCAGAATCAATCTTGACTGCCCCAAACTACAACGGAAACCCACCAACAAGGCATAACTCAATGTCCAACTTGAAGAGGTTTTTCAAGAAATCCACTCCGAGTGCACAGCAATCACCAGCAACTTCAAATTTGTCTTCGTCATTGCGATCCAATAATGGAATCAGTATCCCCGCTGCAAACGCTGTCAATATACCTTCTTCATCAATCCCCAACAACAACTCATCTTTTCCCAACAATTCATCGTTTACAGCCACTCCTTCCAACGCGTCAATTACAAACTCACCAGGAGGAGGCTCCTCAATCTCCATCAGTCGCTCCTCTACTTTGCTGAATAAAATCAAGTACCAAGAACGCCGCCAATCAGTGCTGCAGGTTATTAATCCAGCAGCACAGCAATTGCCATTTCTGAAAAGGTACGGCAAATGGGAAGAAAGCTTGGGGGCAGGTGCTGGAGGTGCAGTCAAGTTAGTCAAGAGATTAAGCGACAACAAAACATTTGCCGTTAAAGAATTTAGAGCCAAGTACCAAAGCGAAAGTAAACGAGACTATGCTAAAAAGATTACTGGAGAATATTGTGTTGGGTCAACTTTGAAACATCCGAATATCATAGAAACTATCGAAATTTGTTACGAAAATGACCGGATTTTGCAAGTTATGGAGTATTGCGACTACGATTTATTTGCCATTGTCATGTCAAACAAGATGTCGCGAGAAGAAATCAATTGTTGTTTCAAACAAGTCTTGTCTGGAGTTCACTACTTGCATTCAATAGGATTAGCTCATCGTGATTTGAAATTGGATAACTGTGTCATTGACGCAAGAGGTATCGTCAAGATTATCGACTTTGGATCAGCGGTTGTTTTCTCGTATCCCTTCTCCAAAACATTGATTGAAGCACAAGGCATTGTTGGATCAGATCCATACTTGGCTCCTGAAGTTTGTGTTTTCAACAAGTATGATCCTCGTCCGGTTGATGTTTGGTCGGTGGCTATGATTTATTGTTGTATGATGTTGAAGAAGTTTCCGTGGAAAGTGCCCAAATTATCCGACTCCAGCTTTAAATTGTTTGCCACGCGAGGTGAATTTGTTCCGATTTCAGAAATGTTGAAACGGACACCACAAGATGTGCAGAATTTGACCAGTGGTGGATCATCTGGAGCATTGAGCAATTTGGGCGATATTAGCGAGGCATTGGAGGAGGATATATCGCAAATGTCGATCCCAAGACAAGGACAAGGACAAGGACAAGGTGGCCAACAAAAGCCACCAAAGCCACAAGAGGGTACGAAGCGCGATGCGCCAAATGGCGGGGCAAAAGACCATACATCTAGTGATACCGGTGCCGACAGATTACTCCTTGCCTTGCCAGAAGATTGTCGTCGTTTGATAGGGCGTATGGTCGAGTTGGCGCCCGCGTGTAGGATCACTATTGATGAAGTGTTTGAGGATGACTGGTTGAAGTCAGTGAATATGTGCTCAGTGGAAGAGACTGAACCCGGTAGTGGTGTGTACGAAGTTCTCAAGTGTGATGACCATGAGCATACACAAGTTGACCAGTCAAAGGCACATATTGCTGCATTTGAAAAGAATAAAAAGAGATAAAGTGGTTGGTGTGGTGCATGGACTATGTATGTACTATTTTTACATCTGTTGTGATGAATATACAAAGAGCAAATGGTTGAATTGAATTGTCGTAGAATAGATGCATCGGGTGCAGATCCGGTGTGTATACTGAGGCTACACACTCACGTCTCCATCCTAGTAACAGATTACTATTGTTTATTTACATGACATACACAAACCCATTTCCATCATGGCACAACTTCAATACCAACCACATTAGCCGTACTTATGATACTCCCCACAATAGCCTTCAAATCCAAATCCTTATGTCGATCATCAGTTTGCTTTATCTTTGCAATTTCCCAAACATGTTTCAAACTTATTTTACCAACAACTTCACTTCCAGCTTTACCACTTCCCTTTTCCACTTGAGCAGCCTTCATCAAAAGCCACGATGTCGGTGGTGACTTGATCTCAAACTGGAACGTTCTATCGGGTTTGACTTTAACTAGGCATGGTATTGGAGTCCCTGGTTCGTAGTGGGCGGTACGAGCATTAAACTCTTTACAGAAATCAATAGCTTTGACTCCCTTGGAACCAAGTGCTGGACCCACTGGTGGTGCTGGAGCCGCCTTTCCAGCATCCACCACTAGCCTGACCATTGCTGCTTTCGTTGCCATTGTCTGTGAATATAGCTTTTCCAGAAGATATAATCTACTCCTTTTGGGTGAAAATTTCTATCAACAAATTTTTTTTATATTTTTATTTTTTATTTTTTTTTATGTTCTTTTTTCTCTGAAGTTACTTTGTGTGAAGGGAGAGGGATGGAGATGAAATCTCAGCTCAACTGGCTTAGCAAAACGTTCATTCCGAAACCACAACTGCATCACGTTATTTAGCATGGGCAAGACGTTGCCTATAACATCCCGAGCCAAAACCACAGCTCTAAAACAGCCAAAGGAGCTATTCACATACACAAGAGACATTGAAGGTGAATATCATTACAATGCCAACCAGTCTCATGATCATCTCCCATATTTTTACTTACCTGATAGCAAAGTGGACAACAGGATAGATTTGCAACTGGGGTTCAAAAATTTCAAGAAAATCTCAGAGGAAGCCAACATGTCCGATTTCGAGCCTTTACTCAATGCCATCATGCAATATGAGCGTGATGAAGTTGAAGATAAAGTCGAAGGAGATATAATCACATTCAGAGGAATCATGACGAGATTGATGTCGATACCGTATAGTCCTGCCGATGCTTTGGATTTAGTGATTGTCCCATTTGATGGACAATTGTTTATCAATTTCAATACTGAAGTTGAACTAAAACGACGTAAAGAACAAGATGACAGGACTAGACAAACTTCACCAAGGGAGAAGTATGAGTACATCAAGAAATGTGAATATAGCGGGTACAAATTCGAAACTATTGCCACTATTCCACAGCCTTGGAAAGATGTTCTGAGGAAATATATTGATTCACGCCACAAGAAGCCAGTCAACAACTATGAACAATTTTTGTCGGTGATCAAGACAGGTATAGGACCAGTCAAGTTGGTGTTGGCCGGGGAGGTTGATTGTTGTTGGGATTACGTGCCAGAAAGGACTTCCAATTCGTTACTGCATTATGTTGAATTGAAAACTAGTAAAGTAATCGATTCCAATAACCAATTACTCAATTTCGAGAAAAAGTTATTCAAGACTTGGTGTCAATGTTTTCTAATGGGGGTGGGGAAAGTAGTTTATGGCTTTAGGGATGACCAGTTTGTTTTAAGGAATGTGGAAATATATCAAACTGAAGAAATACCCGTTTTGATAAAGGAGAATCCATTGAATAGTTTAAAACAGAATCAGGCTACTAAAGTCAATTGTACCAGTGCGTTGAAGTGGTATGGAGCTGTTGTTGAATGGTTAAATGGCGCGATTGACAAGAATGATGAACTGATTAGTTACAATTTAAAATATGATCCTGTTAAAAAAATTTTAAGTTTGAGTGAAACAAGTCAAGAATTCAATGGAAGATTGAGAAATGGGGGGTTATTAGTGGAAGAGTTTAAGAAATGGAGGGATGAAAAGAAGAAATAGTGGTTTGTCGTGTATACATTGTACTGATTCTAAACAAAACGTCAGAAGCGACTAATGTAGTAGTCATTTTTAATAGATCATTTGTTTGGGATCCCATTTTTCATTTTGAATGAACTCAATCAAAGACTTGCTCCCCGTTTGCAACAACGGATGACCACTCACAATAGTTAAAAACCTCTCCAAACCTTGTCTTCGCTTTTCGATATTCAATTCATTAAATTTATTGCTATTCAACAAAATCTTGCCCGGTAAAGGAGGTATCACGACCCTAGTCGTTTCTTCTTCCAAAATCTTTCTAAACGCAAGAAAATCACTATACCGTCTTCTTATCCGACTCGACCGTTTCTTGAATGCTGGGATATTGGTTCGACAAATGATTTCGTAGTCGGTGTATTGATTGTTACCGTATCCGTGAGTTATTGGGTTGCGAACTTCGATTTCGAGAAAGTCTTCGGGCTCGCCGTATATTTCGGTAAAGGATTGCGATTTGTTCTTGGGCGTAGTGTTGATAATGTCACTTATGGGTTGAAACTGTTTCGACATGGAGATTGGGGGAAATAGATAACAAAATTTGGTAATTTTGAGGGGGAGAAGGGGGAAGGGGGGTGGGGTGGGAAAAAAAGGGCTTGTTTTATGCAGAACAGGTATATGTGTCTGGTTCGTGCGTAGATAGTGAGATGTAGGAAGTCTGTCCTATATAGATATACAATGGTGCGTTTGTAGAGGTTTCTTTGAACAACATTTTGCGCCTTACGATAAAGATTGGCGCTACCGACCACTCACAATTCACACTGACTACGCCATGTTATGCAGGGATGAACTTGAGCCACTCTATAGCCAACCGTATAGCATCCTGAAAAAGTACAGAGTTGCTGCTTAGCTTGTTTGTTGGATAAAGGTATCTTTCTGGCAAAATCTTGTGGCGCATTTTTTGTTAAATTTGCCCTGAAGATGGGTAAAATAACGCAGAGAAACTACACCTCGGCCGAAATTAAACTGCTACTTCTCTGCATCTCTAAGAAGAGCTCTACTGGCGGTTTGGAATAGTCAAATGCTTGTTGTGTATATATTAGAATGAAAAATTACTTCCAATAAAAGTCAGCCACCTTCAATAGTTGCTCAATAAAACAACCCTCTGTTTCCAGGAGCATCGTCGATCTTATTACTAACCCAGACCCAAACATGAGGCCATCCGAAAAAGCAAGCAATTCCTCCAAACCACATAACAACGTCGGGTATTCTTCTGAGAAAGTATTTGTATTGTGGTGTAACTTTGATGGCTCTTTGTGAAGCCAACCTGGTGATTGACGGATGCATATTAGATGGTATTTAGTGGATTAGTGTTTTTGTTTAACTGAGTGTTGGGGAAGAAGAATTGGAAAGAAGGACAGGAGCCGGCAAAGACATATATATATATGCATGCAAGATGCAAGATGCTAGTTGCAAGTTGCTAGTTGCAGAGGATTAAGAAATCAAATCATTCAAATGTATCACTTTTAATTGGTTAATAAAATTAGGTTTCAAGAAGCAGGAGTCTATAGTAAAGATCAGCAGATTCATGCTTGATAATGTTGCATGTTTCTTCTGCATCATGCATGTCAAGAAACTAGAATTGTGGTAATGATTCTCACGCGGAGTTTTTGTTGGTGGGTGCAAAAACTAACAGACATACTGCTCAAAACACGGTAGTTGAGAGCGTTTAATGAAAGCCATTACCTTTCTGGAAAGTCACTGGTACTGTGATAGTCATATTTGATGCGTGGGGTCCACCTCATTCGTAGGGAATGACGGTCCTGCTCTGGTTGAATCACCTTATTGTGGCATGAATTGGTGGTATGATTTTTTATTTTTTTTTTTTTTTTTCTACAAGTATTTTTCTTTCTCGTTTGATTACACAACAAATCTATCGCTCATAACCACTTTGGTCAGTCGAGTTCTAGGATTTGGTCTTTCCCAGTTGAAATTGGACCTTGGGAATGGCACGTGCGCGTTTATAAATACAATTCTGCAATGCAAGGAAACAACATGGCCAATTTGACTGCATACTTTTGTGTAGAATCGTTACGAGACTACGTAACAATGCAAAACGGTTGAGAGATCACTTGATCGCAAGAAAAATCAACAACCATCGTTTTCTTACGAAAATCTACCTCCCCATCGATACAATATTCACATTCTAGTTTTAAAATTTGTGATAGCTACATAAATAAAGTGTTTGAATACCAAAAACGTGCAAACAAAAAAACAGTAACAAAAAAAAAACAACAAGGGCAATGATGCTGAGTCGTATCTCAGATACTTCATGTGAATCCAATCTCATCACTACCATCAATCCAACCAATGTTTAGGGAAAAAAAAATAGCTTTCCCTTCTCTATATCTCATAACAATCGTAAAACAAAAGTAGATGTGTTCCAGCATCAAAGCCTCTCTGTGGTACACATACTCCCCCGCCTCCTACTCTTAGGTTTGCTTCTCTTTTTCCATGTATCTCTCTTGAGCATCAAAGGTGTCAGCATTCACACTAACATCCTTGACAACGGCAACTCTCATTGTCGCCAAGATGTTATGAGCAGCATTTGAATGACGATAAACAGCACCACTGAAAGCATCAGTAGCATCCTTACCCAAAGTGGCTCTAATCAAAGCTTGACCACCTGGATGTTCCTTGATAAAGGACTTGACATTGTGGATGATACCACTTATTATAATCAATCCTTCCTTCTTGGCACGTTCGTTAAACTCTTCTCTTGTCCAAACTGGCAACTCATCAATGCTGGATCCCCATCTCAATTTTTGTCTTTGTCTATCCAACTTCTTTTGTTGTTGTTGTAAAAGCCCCTGCTCAATGGCATTTTGAGAAAACTTTTTCAAGTTCCAAGCCAAACCCAATTTGGACAAGACATAAATGGTGACTTTAGTTGGGTCGTATTGGTACCATTTCAATGCATTTCTGTAGTCACTTGGGAATTCATGATGAAAGTTGTGGTAACCTTCACCAAAAGTGACAAAGGCGGTCAATACGTGATCTCTAGGAGTTCTTCTGTCATCAAATGGTTGGGTACCAATCCAGTGAGCCAATGAGTTGACGCAGAATGTAGCTTGTTGAATGACAAATGACTTCAAGATACCGGCATAAATGTAACCTCCCCAGTAATCGCCCCAGAAATAACCAGCAATCAAAGTTGGCAAAATGTATGCTGACAACAACATCAAAGCCAAGTAATGCTTGTGTTGGAAAACAACAACTTTGTCAGCAACCAAATCCGAAATGTCAGCCCTGGCTCTGTTCTTTGGGTTAGCTTTTTGCAACATCCATCCCATGTGAGAGTACCAGAAGCCTCTTCTAGCGTCGTATGGGTCTCTTGGGGTATCTGTGTATCTGTGGTGAACTCTGTGTGAGTGGCCCCACCATTTAATTGATCCTTCAATGGCACCAGCACCGAAAAAGGCGAAAAACATGCGTACTGGCAATGCAGCGTCATAAGATTTGTGAGCCCATAAACGATGGTAACCAGCAGTGATTGAAAGACCACTAAACATGTACAACACAAATGCCAACACAAAGGTCTTGAACTGTGGCACCATTGTCAGGGCAGAAGACAAACCAACTGCTGGAATACCAACAACCAATATAAGATTGAGCCAGTTAATCTTTTGAGCGAAATTCTTCATGGTCCATGGTTCTTCTGAAATGTGTGCTTTATTGGCATACTTGGCGGCTTCTCTGGCATCTTTTTCAGCCAATGACTCCAACGAGTCTTGAGTGATTTCCTCTGCGGTGACTTTGACCAAGTCGGCAGTACCCATCAATTTACCACCCAATCCTGCAGCCACAATTCTGGGAACCTTTTTGTTGGTACCAGCGGCAATGGCATTAAGCTTGGTGATCTCAACCGTCTCCAATTGTTCAGTTGTAGTAACCATTGTGAGTAAAAAGAGAGACTGTCCTAGTTGTGTGACGGAAAAAGTGTCGGATGTTGTTTGTAGTTTGTTCCTTTCTTATAGAACTCCTGTGAAGGTGCAAAAAAATAACTGTATGAAGAAAAAAAAACAAAAAAAGAAAAGTTTTGTTGGGTAGCAGAAGACACTGTTATACTTTGAACAAACAGCAGGGAAAAAAAAAAGCCTTAGGTAGGAAAAGGTAATTGAGATGCGATGGGACGTAAGCGAAAAAGGAGAAGGTCAAAAAGAGGACAATGCTTTGCTTTTATATACGTGTGATAAATTAGGGGTGAAACTCGAAATATAACACAGATGAATGTTATCTTAAAACATCAATTTCATAGCCTGCAACAAAGAGCAAAAGCTCTCTCTGTCTCTCTGTCTCTCTGTCTCTCCTTTCCCCAAAGTTGCACAAAACTTACTTTACCCAAAAAAAAAAAAAAAAACCTGTAGTGATTCAGGAGAGATTCAATTTTCACGTGTTTGGGTGAAGTTGTAGGTGAAGTTCATTTCCATAATCTACCTAATCGTTTGAAGGAATGGCCAGTATGAATAAAGCCATGCAAGTGGTACCTAATCTAGTCTATGAAGTAGCTATCATACCATAGGCTTTAAAACAGACAGAGATAAGCTGGAAATATCCAGCGGCTAAGTAGCAGTCTGAAGAATTGAATTTCTTTTTTTTCCTTTTTTTTTTTGTTGAGTGGATCGTTAATTTATATGCAGGACATTTGCCCTTAGTACACTACAGTCTGCATCAGTCCTTAAAAAAAAATAAGACATGGTTTCAGTAGCGCAAAAGTCATACATATTATCATTTGCATCTTCATCTTCATCTTCATCTTCATCTTCAACTCTGTCTCTGTCTCTCTTCCCCCTATTTTACACTTTTTGAGTTTCCACTAGTGGCTTACTATGTTCCGTGCTGTGTCAACCTCAACTCAAACCAAGCTTCAAATGTCCGCCCCATTCTTATGAAGTCATCAAAGTAACTCTGCGCCGTGTATAGCAAATCAAACGTTTCTTAATTTTATATTACGTACACCATTTAATGTTTTCATATTTTTTTTTCCGTACTATGTCTTAACTCCTACGACAGTACTAAAGAATCATCCTTAAGTCCGTCGCAAATAAACACAAAAACTACCCATCATACATAGCACACACACACACACACACACCCTCTATTACGAAAGAAGGCAGATGCTGGCACTTATTTCTGTCTTTAATTGCCTTTCTGAAATCAGTATAATGGATGTCAACATTCCCTTCCTCTCATCCGATGCAAATACAAATCTTGTGCATTCCGTTTTTCAGTAGGCTATGAAACTCTGTAAACCCTGTAAAACAAAAAATCCCAACAGTTTAGTTCTGCTTCAAAAAAAAAACGCATGATCCATCGAAGCTCACAAGAACTCGTAAGCAAGAGGTGATGCTTATTAATATGGCTTTGCATGTATCTAAAGACTCATGGTATTGGCAGGGGCAGGCACAGGCACAGGCACAGGCACATAGCAGGGACAAGCAAAACCGTTGTGTGGTGTGATGATTGTTTCCCCCCACCCAACAAAAATAACAAAGAATTAGAGAATGCAAAACACAAAGGCTGCACCGAAATTTCGAAATTTCTGTTTTCATTATTTTGCAACCAAGAGGTCTTTCGATGACAAATATTTAAAAAAAATCGAGACAACATGCCTCGGTGCAATGTAAGGAGACGTTGAAAAAGTAATGCAAAACAGTCTTTTCTTTTACCACTCCTGTGCTTACACATTCAAAGTGATAAAACTTTTCACTCAACTATTCTCTCATCAAAACCCGACCCTTTACTTAAAAAAAAAAAAATAAAATAAAATAAAAAAAAAGAGATGTTCAGCGGGTGTATTGTATACGGAGTCAACTCTGTTCATCGTATTCTTTCCTTAAAAAAGGGGAATGGGTCGCAACCCAGAGATAGAATATATTAATGATGATTATAATTAGTATTGAATCTATTTATCTTTTTTCGCAACTTACATTCCTAAACTTTGAACACTCTCCCACTGGGCAAACACATACCAACTACTTCCATTATCGCCAATAACCAACCCCCGATAGACACCAAGCTCCAGACACTTGATATTCGATGAAAAAGTTCCGAATGGTTTATGGACAGAATCAGTAATTCTTCCATCTCCACCGTGCTCGGCTTCATCACCCTCATCGCGGGTAAGTTTGAAATATTTCCCCAGTGGAGACTCAATTACAACTTTGAAATCTGGTAACGTTGCCAATTTACCTGCATAACGCAAACCTTGACTTGGATACTGCTCAATTTGAAACGTGTACGTGTCTTTCAACAATAACTTGTTGGCTTGTGGTTTAACAATGTATAAATCGTTCAATTGGCTTTGTACCGTGGGGAAGCGTTGAACAAATTTGGTTTGCCTGTTTGTGCCTTGATGCGTCAACGGAATCACTATTGCGAGCTGGTGTATATTGTCGAAATGCTTTTGTAATCCTTTAGATCCGGCAAATATTTGCAACACCCCAATAGATTCATTTTTGGGGAGGATGGCTTTTACTTTGGCCATACGCCTATGATTAACCCACTTGATTTGACACAAACTTAGATCGTTTGTGGTAATCTTTGATGTCTTGACCAAAGTGAACAACTCCACGTCGGTTGGCACATACAACTCCAATTCAAATATTTCCAAATCTTTTAATCTTGTCAAGGCATTGTTGAAATTGTGGAACGATAAATCATTAGCATAGAATCCAGAATATGTGCGTGGTAAATAAAATGCAATACTTGGGTCAATTGGCGGGGTGACATGTTGCAAATCGATTATTGAGGGAATGTGAGTTGACACCAAGCTTAACGGTTGTGCAAGAAAGTAAAACTCATTGTAATTAACATCTTGTAAATTACTAATTGAAGGGGTTTTGAAGTTGTATATGTCAATCAAACGGAATCTGTCCTCTACTAGCACTGACAACCAACAGTGATTGATGACGTACTGTTCATTGTGATAGAACTCATTCGGCTTCTTCCAAAAACCCAAGACAATCTCACAAGGTATTCTTAATGCATCAAGAATCTTTTTGAAAATATAGTTGATTTGAAAGATTGATGCTTCTCCCTTAAGTTGCACTTCCTTCAATTTCGGCTTAACTTGAGAAATCCCAGTCGAAGCATGATCTTCTCCACTTCCAGGTTCCTCCTCAATTATATGAAATTTGCACAAGTGCAGCAAGACGCATCGAATCTTGGCTAATTCAAAACTATGAAATTTGACAGAAACGTCCGATATGAATTCATTCAAATCGTAACGAATACCATAATTTGCAATGAATGCTTCAATTTTGGAGTAAGGAATTGTTGACAAGTCAATGTAGTCGTTGTTATCATCATCAGTAACTAAACCATCATTTCCTTGGCTATATCCAGTTGTTTCATTGGTGTTTATCTCTGATATATAGTCCAATGGCTTAACAACTAGATTGGCTTCACTCTTGACAACTCGCTTGGTTCTACCTTGCTTTTCCTTTGAAGTTAACGAGTTCATTCTATTAAGATCCATCTTGTAACTGACCAAATCGATTTCATCCTGCCGTTGCAATCTCTGCTCAATAGGGTTCAATTGATCTTGTGTTGATCTTTTCAACAACTTTTTGAAAATATTTCCATTTGTCTTTCTCTTGTCTTCAAATACCGCACTCATGACGTCTGATTTAGACTCTGATCCAAAGTCCTCGTCATCCAAGTCGTGAACCATTGACGTATCATAAACATCCTCCTCTATATTCATCCCCTTCATGCGTGACTGACTTTCCTGCAAGTCTCTTTCATACTTGTGTCTCATGAATGAGCCGGCACTAGTCGCACTCAACTCCGACAAGTTCATCACATCACTTTGTAACGACTTGATGGAGTTTTTCAATTCCTCGTGTTGCATATACAAGCGATAATAGTCATCGTCATTGTTAATACACGCGACATCCTGATGATTTGACGCTTGAAAGTCACCACCGTTGAAAGGAATTCTCATTTGCTGTTTGGAGCCCATTTGATGCAAGTCTCTTTCAGAAAATTGAGATTTAGAATAAGCAGAGTGCTTTGGAGGTGGAGGAGGCGGTGGGGACTCATTGCCATCTCTGTTCACGTGATTACTGGAATTGACATAATTGATTAATGGGTTGCCTGCCTCAACACCGCGGTCCAAATCATCGTCCTCATCGGTTACACAGCTTGACATTTTCTTGCTCAAGTCATCGCGAGATTGTCTTTGACGCTCCTCAATGGAGTCATATGAATCAATGGAATGCTCGTCCTTAGTTCTGGAAGAATTGGGATATTTGGGATTCGATTTAGGGGATTTTTGTGCCCTTCTATCACTTCTCTTTAGCTTTTGCAACCCATATTCCAACTCTGCCCGTTTCCTAGCGATTTCCTCATACTCCTTTACAAAATCTTGTTCCCGCGATGATCTAGTTGCTGGTTTGGTAGAAGGGGCGCCAGATGTGAAAGGTAAAGACGAATGACTACCATAGTGTATGTTCTTCTGCTGCTGTTGCATCAACGTTTCTTTGTATTGTCGCTTTTGCGCCATGTCAGCAGACATGACATCGGCATACGAATTTGACTTGTGTGAATTACCATATGGATATGGTTGTGAATAAGTCATTTCATTAGGGCCTTGTGCCATCATATTTCTGTTTATATCCAGAGTCGACTTGTGAAGCTTGTAGTTATTGAGTTGTTGTTCTTGTTGCTTCAACTGTTGCTGCAAGCGTCTGAAATGCTCGAGTTCCATGTCGCGATCGCGTTGTGATCGCATTTGCTGTTGGCGTGTTCCATTACTCTGATGTCCTGAGAGTCCATAAGGAGGAGACTTTTTCAACGACGAAGGAATTCCGTCAAAGCTTTGATTCATTCTATCATAAGATGATCTTGATGGTGATGAGATTCCCCCCAGTTTGTAATTCAACATGGGGTTCGAAGTTTGCTTTTGGATTTGGGCCCCTCCTGATTTGGTGATTCCATTTGCCTGGTTCTTTTTTGTAGGGGTACCCATTCCTGAAGGAGGAGTTCTTGATGTTTCTTCTTCCATTATGCTAACATATTCTCGAGGGAAAATACCCTCAGCTCCATTTCGACGTAGCTTCCCACTCCACCAACTCTCATCAACAATGGAGAATACTTGAATCAATTCATTTTCAAGAAACCCCAAGTCACCTGACTCCTCTCCTGGCCATGAAACGGTGGTCTTAACTTTAAATGGTAGGGGAGGTAGAGACATGGAAGCAACAATGAAGGAAATGCAAAAATAGTTGGAATCAAAGCTTTGTAACGAAGGATAAAAATTAAATCAAATATAATGCAAAGGGTGTTGAATATTGGAAATGGTAACTGGAAATGCAATGTATTAGAATCTGTTGATCAATTGGAAATGAATGAAAGTGGTTGATGTGAGTGAATACTATATTGTGAATGATTAATGCTATGCTAGTGGATCATAAAGAAAATGCAAAGGAATGAATTTGGAAGGGCTGTAGTCAAAAAGAAGGATTTTCCAATCTGTCAGTTGCTGTGAAATTAAAGTGTAGTTATTGTATATCCCAACGTCATCATCTATAAGGTCTTGAGCAGATCTTAAAAGGAAAAGACAGAGAAAAGATCTTTGTTTTGTGTTGAACTTCTCGTTTAGGAGAATTGGTAAACACAATATTTTGCATTTTTGTGCTACTACTACTACTACTACTACTACAGCAGTGAATGTCGTGTCGCAGAAAATCTATTTGGTGTATCGAAGATGTGTTGGATAATGGTGATCGTCTTACTCTCAGTGTTGTCTAGTATTCATCAAAACATATTAGGTTTGAGTTTAACCAGCTTTGGACTCAACAACAACGTAGCAGTGCTTGCGCCTTTCAGCCCGTATGGTGTGATACTTCTTCTCCCTATTGATCAATCGACTTCGCAGCAAGGATCCCCCAATAGAGTAGTTAATGAACGAATCTACAATCCGTTGCAAAAGTAACAACAAGATAAGACTTTTATATTAAACTGAACTCTGAAATGGTTATAGCCGACAAAAAGGAACCTTCAAGTTCGGAAGCCAATCAAAAACGGTGTCCAGCACCTCAATACAGGAACCCCCCCCCTTAAAGACACTCTAGCGTATTATTCTCCAAACGCAAATAAATCCATCAAAAGATAACCGTAGTTTGTAGTTTGATGAATTTCTAAAGAGAAAAGGAAGAAACTTTGTATTGAGTGTTAAAAATTGAATGTCCACTGGGAAATAATAAAGAAAGAAAGAAAAAAAGTCGTGATCAGTACATAATAAACTCTTCAAAGGACAACAGGGTGCAGAAAGTACCCAATGAAATAAAAAAAAAAAGAAAACAGTCTCCAGTCCCCTTAAAATCCAACGTATACTGCTTTGTGCCACTTAATGGGATCGTAGCTGCTAAGGCGTTCTCTCATGTTGATTCCCTAGGCTCACGTTTTGTGAAGATCAATGTAGGTGCTTCCTTTATTTTATTTTTTTTTGTTGTATATGTGCAAGGTAGATATAAACTACTTTGAAATGACGCCTATCTCCTCTAAGTCTAGTGAATAAGGCTTACTTTGTCCCTATTGTGTGCTGGAAAACGATTGGAAGGGAAGATAGTTGTGCCAAAAAAAAAAAAAGGGACTCCGAGCAAGAACAGTTGAGTTTTGCTCAAAATTGGTTGCGAAATCGAGAAAATCCATCAACTCAAATTAACCTCCAACTCTTAGTTCACTTCAAATAGTTCGGTCTTGAAAAAAAAAAAAAAGATTGTACGAGAGCTAGCAAAATGTCGTGAAAAACGCAAATTACGAGAAAGAGAGGAGTGTATTGAGACATTAGTGGAATGGGTATATCCTGCTGGTGAGTAACGATATTCCAAATTTATAGCTATTTTTGGTCTCAAGAAGTTCCGCAACTAGGGGAGGAGCCTTTTGCAGGCATTGGCAAAGTGCTCATCATTAGAAACACCTCTTTCAAGTTTATAGTAGATATTTCAATTCGATTTGGATTTGAAAACTTTTGTGTGAGGTATTTGCGTCATCTAAATGATGCAGATGCAAAGATGTGTAAGGCGAGTAAATCATGCGACTTTGGCACGTGATTTTTGTATCTGCTCTTGCAGGTTGATCCAGCAGCAGTGATTCTGTAAAGGGAAAGGAACGGCAGCAGGTTTTGCAGAGTTCTGGGTGAGATAGTGATGGTAATGGTGATGGTGATGATGATGATGATGGCAAAGATAATGAAACAATATTACTCGTATGATTTTTCGTAAGGAGAACAATAACACAAAATATTGCACAAACTCCGAACAACCAAAAAGGAAAATAGAGGCGGTGATTAACTCCCAAACTGGATATAGGACTTTTCAGAGTATACAGGCTGTACTGGAGTAAGAGGATTGAGAAGCTTGGGAGAAGATTTGTATGGTGTAAAGATGGACATTTTCCTTTTGAGGCTTTCAAGAGAGAGGGGTTCTAGAACAAAAGCACAATTACGTATGCGAGACACACACACTCTTTCCCCCTATTTTTTATTTATTTCTGTTGATCGCCTTGTGTGTTTTTTTTTTTTAAAACTCAATGTACAATAGAGTGTGGTATAGTCATGGATCATATCATAAAAAGACGAAGAGTAACGTAAAGAGTTGAAGAGAGAGATATCTCTCTGTGTATAAATATATTGATATATGTACTCTGTTGTTGTTGTTGTTGTTGTAGTAGTCAATTCCCCTCACTTTAATTCGATACAAACAATAGACACAAACAAAACAGACACACAGACAGACATAGAGAGAGAGAGAGAGAAAAGCAAAGAGAAACGGCAGACAGACAAACAAGAGGCACAGAAAAAATTCAACTTTCAACAAAACCAACCAACCATTCTTTCTTCTTCTTCTTCTCCAACTTCTTCTTCCTTGATTCAAATCCGTACCTTATAATCATCTTCTACTACTACCTCAATTGAACTAATAACTACTGTTCCTGCATCAATACATCTCCCGTTTCACATCTATTATTATCATTATCACGATTTCATACAAAAACCTCAAGATCACGTTACTTCATTGTCAGCTTTCAATTTAACCGATTCTATACAATCCTTCACCCTGTCAATTATACTAGCCTACTTGAGTTAAATCACACCTGATCACCTCAATTCAATCTATTTACCACACACATATTTTCCACGCCGCCACATATACAAGCTGGACTTTTGAATCAAAATGGTTAACCCACCACAACCAAGGCAACAGCCTCCAACATCACCCCGCTTGCCCAACGCACAAGCAACTACAAGACACTCACCAAGTATTTCTCATGCCCAATTGCATTTTCAACAGCAACAACAACCACCGCCTCACCCTCAACATCAACAACTGCAACTGCAACTTTATCACACAAACACAGCATCGTCACAATCGTCACAATCCTCTTCTACATCTGGACAAGGCACGGGAGCTTCTTCCAATGCACCACCACAACACGCACACTCTTCTCACGGACATAGTGTTGGTCATGGTCATGGTCATGGTCATGGTCATGGTCATGGTCATAGTCATAGTCATAGCCACAGCGCCAGTCATGGCTCCAACCATCCATCGCGTAAACCTTCAATAGTTGAATTGTTGAGCTCACCACCACCATTGCCAGTCGATCTGGATGAAACTATCCACCACTTGAGTTTATCAAGAAACCCTTCCATCAGCTCTAGAACTTCAACCGGATCAGCAAATCCATTTCTGTATGGTGGAGCTCATAGCTCAGCTTCTCCACAGGGAAGTTTGTCTGGTGGTGGCTCAGTCGTTGGCGGGTTGGACTGGAGTGATGTTCCATTGACTGAAGTTGTTCAGTCGAATAAATTAATCAGCATCCATTGTTCTCATTCAGTTCAATCTGCGTTTGAGACTTTGGTCAAGAATGATTTGACAAGTGTTCCAGTTTCTGTCTCCAAAGATGACCCAAGTGATTTAAGAAACTGTTTGACGTTTGATTATAGTGACTTAAACACGTATTTGTTGTTGATTATGAATAAAGTTGATTATTCAGAGTTGAATATCGAGGAAATTGGTGAACCAACCCATACTTTACAAGAAAAACACGAAATTATCACTCAAGCCGTCAACAAGGCCAAAAAGGGAGAGGAGGTGCCTGTTGAATTTATCATCAAATTGCATCCTAAAAACCCATTTATCAAATTTGCTCAAAATGACACTTTGTTTTCGGTAATGGAAACTTTGGGAAATGGGGTTCATAGAGTGGCAATTACTAATGAAGAATCGACAAAGATTACTGGTATACTTTCGCAAAGAAGATTGATCAAGTATATGTGGGACAATGCAAGAAGGTTCCCACTGTTGGAATTTTACCTTTCATCTACTTTGCAAGATTTAAAGATTGGATCAAGTAAACCTATGACCATATATGATGACCAGCCAGTATTGGATGCTTTGTACAAGATGTTTCATGAGAATGTTTCATCATTGGCTGTTGTTGATCGTACAAGGACTTTGATTGGTAACATTTCCATTGTTGATGTTCGAAACTTGACCAGTTCAAAGAACTCACACATGTTGTACAAGTCTGTGTTGAGCTTTATTAGTTACAATTTGTCGCAAAAGGGCATTGCTGAAGGTAAAGATCAATTTCCAATCTTTCATGTCAATAATCAAAGTTCATTAGGAAGAGTCATTGCCAAATTAGTGGCGACTGAGTCACATAGATTGTGGGTTGTGGATATGTCAAGAAAATCCAGTAGTATTTCTGCACAGTCGTCAAGTGCACCAAATAGTGGAACCAACAACAGTGGTGTGACCTTTGGATACCCACAACCAGCCGATGCTTCCATTTTGAACAAGGCTGCCAGTGTTGAAGGTCGTGAGCAGAGTCAGGCCATTGCTAGTGAATACAATGGTAGTAACCAGGTGGGAAGTGGAACTGCATTGGCAGCCAGCTCCATCCAGCAAGAACAAGGGTACCTTGGTGGAACAGGGAAATTGATTGGTGTTGTTACCTTGACAGATATATTGGGAGTGTTTGCTACGTCAAAAGGTCGTCGAACTGACCCTCAGTCAGCTAGAAATTTCAGAAGAAGAAGCTCGACCTCGACTACAAGATCGTCAATTGAGAGTCTAGACAATACAATAAGTGGTGTTTTGAATGCTACTGGTGGAGGTGGAAATGCCAGTGGAAATGCCAGTGGCAGTGGCAGCGCAAGTGCTAGTGCCAGTGGGAATAACAACGCCGCTGGTGTGACTGGTCTGGGATCGAACAAGAATGCCAGTTCGACAAGTGTAGCATCAACCAATACAAATGCCGCTACAGGTACCCCAAGATAAGAGATTGAAGCATTGAAGAAAGAAACGATTTTTTTTTTTTATTTTTTGTTTTTAGCTCTAACATAGTTTGCAAACAAAGGGTAGTTGTACCTTATATATACATAATTATCTAAGCATCTCTCAAATGTATATCATCTGAGTATTGTACAAAGGGAATTATTGTGCGCAGTTGAGGACTAGTTCGGTCGGGGACGGGAAAGAGATTTTTTCAAAGCGGGAGGAGCGGGAGGAGCGGGGGGAAGAAAGGCAAAAGCGAGAGACATCTTTCGTGCGGTGGGTTGTCGACAGCGATGAGAAAAACAAAAGAGAGAGAAAGAGAGAGAAAGAAAGAGAGAGAGAAAAGAAAAAATTATGCATTTTTGTGTTGCACTTTTATTGTACATTTTTTTTTTTTCATTCTAAGGTTGCTGCTCATTACGGAACTCCTCTCTCAATCAATTTTTATGGTTTACATTGTGGACCACGTGACTGGCTAAGGGGGAGGAATAGTATGAGGGACATGTTGGCAATCATCTGAGGAGAATGTTCAGTTGGCCCAGTCTCAACGACCTTGTCTTTGAGTAGTGCCAGCTTGATTATATATTAGAAAAGTGCTGCTGTTTGCCAAATTTTGAATTCCAGTAATGAGAGATTTTTTTTTTTACAAAATTCAGACAATTTTCTCTTTTTCTGATAATTCTTTTTGTGTTCTTTTTGTTTTATTTTGTTTTGTTTTTCTTCTTCTTTCTTTCTGTCTGACTGTCTGAGTAAAACCATCTAAAATTGAACTTTTCATGCATTGTAAATTAATTGGAACTCTAAGATTAGTGGCGGTGGCAAAATAAAAGAGAAGGATGAAGAGAAGGACGAGAGACTATGTAATTTTTTGCTTGTTTTTGTTTTCCTAAGTAGTGACTCATTTGATCTGTTTCATTACCAATGAGCTATTGGTCAATCGTACAATGAGTCACTAATGTATACATAGTCTTATCAAAGAGTTCTTCACTGTTGTTTTGCTGTATCTCCCATGTGCGTTTTTTTTTCTTTCACTTCTGTGTCTGAAAACTTTTGTATGTGATAATGATTGCACACACACGACATTTTTTATGAAATTTTTTTTTGTGGATGGGAGGAAGGCAAAGAAGCGGCAAGAGTATGGTACAATGTTGTAAACGCAGCAACTTCGTAGGATTGGATTGCAACTCCAAGAGGAACTAGGCCTATAAAGTCCTGCTCAATCCAGCAGTATATATATAGCTCCAGATAAGTGTAATTGGAATTACTTTAAATGTTGGTACTACAAGTTGTGTGTCTGAATATGCAAACTGACAGAAAATGAAAAAAATGTCGCGTGGGTAGGAAAGTGAAAAAAAAAACAAAAAAAAAAAAAAAAAAATTTTATTTTTGTTTTCTTTTTGTCCGTTGTCCTTCATCAATTTCTCTCTCATCATTTATAAAAATCTCCTTCCCCTTTGAAAAATTTTTCTTTTTTTTTTTTCCCATCTTCTTTTCCCTTTTTCTTTCTTTCTTTCTTTCTTTCTTCTCACTACAAACGAAAGTTTATATTATACATCATCAATCATGGGTAAAGAAAAGACTCACGTCAACTTAGTCGTTATCGGTCACGTCGATTCAGGTAAATCAACCACCACCGGTCACTTGATCTACAAGTGTGGTGGTATTGACAAGAGAACTATTGAAAAGTTTGAGAAGGAAGCTGCTGAATTGGGTAAAGGTTCATTCAAGTACGCTTGGGTTTTGGACAAATTGAAGGCTGAAAGAGAAAGAGGTATCACCATTGATATCGCTTTGTGGAAATTCGAAACTCCAAAATACCACGTTACCGTTATTGATGCTCCAGGTCACAGAGATTTCATCAAGAATATGATTACTGGTACTTCTCAAGCTGATTGTGCTATTTTGATTATTGCTGGTGGTACTGGTGAATTCGAAGCTGGTATCTCTAAGGATGGTCAAACCAGAGAACACGCTTTGTTGGCTTACACCTTGGGTGTCAAGCAATTGATTGTTGCCATCAACAAGATGGACTCAGTCAAGTGGGACAAGAACAGATACGAAGAAATTGTCAAGGAAACCTCCAACTTCGTCAAGAAGGTTGGTTACAACCCTAAGGCTGTCCCATTCGTCCCAATCTCTGGTTGGAACGGTGACAACATGATTGAACCATCTACCAACTGTCCATGGTACAAGGGTTGGGAAAAGGAAACCAAAGCTGGTAAGGTTACCGGTAAGACCTTGTTGGAAGCTATTGACGCTATCGAACCACCAACCAGACCAACTGACAAGCCATTGAGATTGCCATTGCAAGATGTCTACAAGATTGGTGGTATTGGAACTGTGCCAGTTGGTAGAGTTGAAACCGGTATCATCAAGGCTGGTATGGTTGTTACTTTTGCCCCAGCTGGTGTTACCACTGAAGTCAAGTCCGTTGAAATGCACCACGAACAATTGGCTGAAGGTGTCCCAGGTGACAATGTTGGTTTCAACGTCAAGAACGTTTCCGTTAAGGAAATCAGAAGAGGTAACGTCTGTGGTGACTCCAAGAACGACCCACCAAAGGGATGTGACTCTTTCAATGCTCAAGTCATTGTCTTGAACCACCCAGGTCAAATCTCTGCTGGTTACTCTCCAGTCTTGGACTGTCACACTGCCCACATTGCTTGTAAATTCGACACTTTGATTGAAAAGATTGACAGAAGAACCGGTAAGAAGTTGGAAGATGAACCAAAATTCATCAAGTCCGGTGATGCTGCTATCGTCAAGATGGTTCCAACCAAGCCAATGTGTGTTGAAGCCTTCACTGACTACCCACCATTGGGAAGATTCGCTGTCAGAGACATGAGACAAACCGTTGCCGTTGGTGTCATCAAGTCTGTTGAGAAATCCGACAAGGCTGGTAAGGTCACCAAGGCTGCTCAAAAAGCTGCTAAGAAGTAAACTGATTGAGGATGCTTATTAGTGTATGTGTTTGTTTGTTTTTTTGGCACGTTTTGTTTTGGATCATCTCCTTTTTGGTGATTTCAGAGGTGAATTTATTTTATGTAAAGGTAAAATAGTATATATAAATATATTTACTTAGAATGGGAAACGATGTAGAGACAAGTGTAGTTGCTCGCTATTATTGGTGTACAAACTACGTAACCTATAACTAATGCACACTCTAAAAACACCATCTAAATCAGTACTGCCTGGAACCCTTTCCCACTGACGACACCCATGTAATCGCCAGAGTTTTGTCTCCAGCAAACACCATTGACTTCCAAGTCTTCGTCATAGGCCAATATTGGTATATCCAGACTTCCACTGCCGCTATTCTTGCCGGTTGAGCTTACTGAGTCATTTGCATGCCCATTGGTGCCATTACCTGCTGCTCCATTGGATAAGCTCGTGCTTGAACTGTAATTCGACCCAGTTGCACCTAAATTGTTCAAGTCCCACACCAATGCCTGACAATCGTCACCACCGCTGAGCAAGTAGTTGGATGTAGGATGCCATTGAATCAGATTTATCGATGAGGCAATGGGCGATGCTGGAGATGCGTCAATTGTCGCAATGGGAAGTCCCGGCATGCGCATATCAATGATGATGATTTGACTGGAGTTGACTCCAAATGTTGCTAGATGATGCTGATCAATGTTTGACGTAGAGAGGCGAAGTAGTGCTTTGGAGTTGTAGTTTGCTGAATGGGCAGGCGTGGGGAGTTGTGCCGAGGATGGTGTTGAAGCTGACCCTACTGATGCATGTCTCCTCACTGGAGGAGTTGGCGATGGGGGTGGTTCGTAAATGATGGTTGAATGTTCCAAAGATCGTAGATCAAACACTCGCATTGATCCATCATTGCCAACAGATGCAAACACATTTGTCGAATTGTGAATAAACTTGACATCGAAAACCTCTGAATCATGCGCGATCAATTGGGTCTTGATAGTGGCAGACTCGTTAAAATCGTCATGAGGATGGGATCGGTTCAAGTCCCACACTGTGCATGTTGTGTCAACACTGGATGTGATTAATATGTTAGTGTCAGTAGAGTTCCAATCAAACGACGTGACTGGAGGTGACGTATTGATCTTGTCTTTCCCATCAGCAGCAACGGCGCTACTGCCAGTACTAGATGCATTGTTTGCCAACACGTGCGTCTGCACTAAATTGTACCCGCCATCACCGTCGTCAGTTACTTTATACAACCTCAACACATCACTTGAAGCGGCAAGTCGCTGGAAAGGATGTATACCTCCCCCTCCTCCACCTTGCAACAAGGAAGGATCCCACTTCACATGGGTCACGGGGTAGTTCAAACTTGTGTCAGCCACTTTTTCAAAAACAAATCCACCTTCAATACCAGCATCAAAATCTTCGCGGTATCCTGGCAATTGATTGCCATACACATCAACTACTGGCGGAGGTGGTGGGGCATAGTCATATTCAAATCCTCTTCCGAAAACAATCTCCAATTTATTGACAAAGCCTTCCTTATAAGACCCCAATGCGATACAATCCATGGATTTGTTGTTTATTGTTGTCCAGTCACATGCAAAAAGGGGAGACTCGCTAAAGTAGTATGAGCTCCGTTCAATGGGGGAGACTCCAACGCCTGGCGTGGTTGACGCAAAGTTTCTTGTAGTGTATGCTGCTTTTGAGTTTGGAAGTGCGCCGGAAACTGTACTTCCTGGGACAAATGGTGCTGGCAATGCCGATGAAGAAGAAGAAGAAGAAGGATTGAATGGAATAGAGGTGGTTGAAGGCGACATCGGTCCTTGGAGAGGACTCCTTCCGGTTGGTGTCAATTGAAGACCTGGATCGAATGGTTGAAATGTTGAACGGTGTTGCAAATAGGGCAGTCTCTGTAGGGCTTGTTGTTGTGCTTGCTGTGCTTGCTGTTGTTGTTGTTGTTGTTGTTGTTGTTGTTGTGGTGGTGGTGGTGCTTGCTGCTGCTGCTGCTGTTGAGGAGGTAGCCGCGATGTTCCTGTTGCTGTTGAGATACTTGACAGTTGTGGTAGGGGTGGTGGGGCAAATGCAGTCATGTTGGACATACCAGCATTGAGCACAGATGATGAAGATGATGACGACGCAATTGACCTGTTAGCAGGTGCATTGGGAAGATAAGAAGAAGTGGGCGGCGGTACGGATGGTGAGTTGCGACCATTGCTGGAGGCTCCGCTCATTGCCGTGTCTGTAGCACTGATGTTTCCCATCGAGCTCCTTTTTCTGTGGTGTGACCTATCCATGAACTGTTGCTTTATCTGGAATACTCCCTTCCGATATTATCTCTTGACGTTGTGTTGTTCTTTCTTTTTTGGGAATGCTCCGTTTGCGATGGTCAGTTTATTAGTGTATATCGACTTGTTCTGCTCTAGTGGACATCTGACTTGAAAATTATGAAGATACAGCAAAACGCAATCTGTCGTAAAGCTGGATGAAAATGCAAATGTATGAAAACAAACACACACACACAAACACACAAACACTAGCGTACACTTCAAAATCAATTTCTCGGTATATATATATATATGGTTATCAATTGTTGTCTTGATAAACGATATTCTTGTAGTGATACGGAGCTTGTATATGTATGTGATCAATTGAAGGTTGGGGATTTTAGCAATTGTGTTTCCCTCTCTCTCAGTCTCAAATGTTTAGTTTGTTGGTGGAGGATCCAACACTGTTCTCACATTTTTTGCATTGTACACTACCTACTACAACAACTACAACCAAGTTGATTGCAAAACCTATCATATCGATACCACATACCCTCATTCTCGTTCTACATGTTTATTGAATAAGAACATTAGAATTAAAAGAATCACCTCTATGGAATGGACTATGTGGAGCTCATCCTCTATCATATAATACGAAAATCTCACCAAACCTGCCAATCTACTCTACTCTACTCTACTCTTCAGCAAGTTCTTCAACTGAAGGACAAGTACAGATCAAATTCAAATCACCATAAGTGTCATCCAATCTGGAAACGGTTGGCCAGCACTTGTTTTCTTTCAAAAACTCCAAGGGATATGCAGCTTGTTCTCTAGTGTAACCTCTGGTCTCCCAATCAGACGAGGAAATAATATCCTGTTGTGAGTGTGGAGCATTCTTCAATACATTACCCAATGAATCTCCATTTATATAAGCATCGATTTCGCGACGGATGGAGATGAAAGATTCAATAAATCTATCCAACTCTTCCAAGTTTTCAGACTCGGTAGGTTCAATCATCAACGTACCTGCAACAGGGAAGGACATTGTTGGTGCATGGAATCCGTAATCTTGCAATCTTTTGGCAATGTCAATAGCCTCAACACCGTGTTTTTGAAATTCACGCAAGTCCAAAATAAACTCATGGGCACAATGTTTCAAACCTGCGTTGGATGAGGCTTGATGGTCAACGAAAAGAATCCTGTAATGTGGTTCCAACTTGGATAAGATGTAATTGGCATTCAACATGGCAATGGTTGAGGCATATGGTAATGCATCAGCACCCAACATTTTGATATACGAGTAAGACACAGGGATGACGGAGGCACTTCCGTAGGGTGCCGAGTTTACTGCTTTTATACTTTCATTGGTTGAATGAGGAGTGTTGACAAAGTTGTGTTTTGGCAAAAATGGAGCCAAGTGTTGCTTAACACATACTGGTGCCTGCCCTGGTCCACCACCACCATGACTCAATGCAAAAGTTTTGTGAATGTTCAAGTGGCACACATCAGCACCCAAATCACCTGGAGAAGTCAAACCTACTTGAGCATTCATGTTTGCACCATCCAAGTATACCAATCCACCATTTTGGTGCACTATATCAATTGCTTCTTTGACACCCGGTTCAAACAATCCATAAGTAGAAGGATAAGTGACCATGATGGAACATAAATTGGCAGCATGCTTTTCAGCTTTAGCTTTCAAATCCGCCAAGTCGATGGATCCATTATCCAAGCATTTGACTGGAACAACTTTCAATCCACACATGGCTGCTGAGGCTGGGTTGGTACCATGCGCAGAAACAGGAATAAGACAAATGTTTCTTTGGTCGTATTCACCTCTTGATTTGTGGTATTGTCTGATCAATGACAATCCAGTGTATTCACCTTGAGCACCCGAGTTTGGCATGGAGGTAGTAGCATCAAACCCCGTAATATCGTTAAGATCCTTTTCAAATTCATCAACCAATTGCTTATAACCTTGTGCTTGATCAATTGGAACAAATGGGTGGATTGAGTTGAAGCCTGGGATCGATAATGACTGCATTTCAACAGTTGCATTCAACTTCATTGTACAAGATCCCAATGGGATCATTGAGTTGGCCAATGACAAATCTTTGGATTGCAAGAGGTGCAAGTAACGCAACATTGATGTTTCTGAGTGATGGGTGTTGAATACCTCGTGTGGCAAGATGTCATCAGTCCTCAACAAATCTTGAGGGATGGATGGCAACTCAGTCGAAGGCTCGATAACTTCACCAGTGAACAATTCAATCAAATCAATCAAGTCTTGTTTTTGCACCGTTTCATCCAACTGTAATGATACTGTTGACTCATCAACTTTGAACAAGTTGATTCCATACTTTTCCAAAGCATTCTTTAAAATTTCATCAGAAGACACACCATTCAACTTGATTGTCAAAGTATCAAACCATTTATCATTGACAATCTCGTGTTTCTTCTTGATTTCATTTGCAAGTAATGTTGTAAATCCATAAACTCTCTTGGCGATATTTTTCAATCCTTCAGGTCCATGGTAAACAGCATAGTTTGCAGCTATATTGGCCAACAAAGCTTGAGCTGTGCAAATGTTTGAGGTAGCCTTTTCTCTCTTAATGTGCTGTTCTCTGGTTTGCAAAGCCAATCTCAAAGCTGGTTTACCCAACCTATCCTTTGACACACCGACAATTCTTCCAGGAATCTTTCGGGCGTACTTTTGTGATGTGGCAAAGAATGCTGCATGAGGACCACCATAACCAAATGGCACACCAAATCTTTGCGAGGTTCCTAATGCAATATCAGCTCCAAATTCACTTGGCGGTTTAATCAAAGTCAATGCTAACAAGTCGGTGGCCATGGCGAAAAGTGCTTTGTTTTCATGCAAAAGATCTCCAATTTGAGAATAGTTGTGAATTGAACCGTTTGTAGTTGGATATTGGACGAGAGCTCCACAAACGTCTTTAATTATGTTTTTCAATTCTTGAAAGCCTTCTTTCGATGCCAAGTTCAACTCCTTAATCTCGACATTGATATTTTCTGCTCTTGATTTGATCACTTCAATGGTTTGTGGGTGCAATTCCGAATCAACTACATATACTTTCTTCTTGTTCTTTGAGTGATGGAATGATAAACTCATTGCTTCACCAGCAGCAGTACCTTCGTCCAACAAGGAGGCATTCGCCATGTCCAAGCCCGTCAATGATGTGATCATAGTTTGATAGTTCAACAAACTTTGCAATCTACCTTGAGAAATTTCAGGCTGATATGGTGTGTACGAAGTGTACCATTCTGGCAGCTCCAACAAGTTTCTTTGAATTACTGGAGGTAAAATAGTGCCAGCGTAGCCTTTACCAATGAACGATTTGTAAATCTTGTTCTTACCAGCAACTTCATGGAGATGTTTCAACATTTCCTGTTCTGTGAAACCCTGAGCAGGTTGGACTTGCAATTTACGCTTGATCAAAACATGCTCTGGAACAGCACTGGATAAAAACTCATCCAAATTGGAGTATCCAAGCGTCTTCAACATTGTCTCAACATTTTTGGGTGTGGGACCAATGTGTCTTCTAGCAAATGTGTCTAGATTGGATAATGACACTTTTTCAGCATTTGGATTGTATACTTTAGCATAGTTTTCCGATGATGTGTCTGCAGTAGTGGCCAACAATCTAGCGAAAGTTGGTGTGACACGATATGTTGGCGATACTGAGGGTCTAGTGGCGAGTCTATAAGTGGAAGATCGAAGCAAAGATCTTGTAGTTCTGATCATATTGGAATAACGCACTAAGTATAAGCAAAGGTGTTTTAGAATTGAAGAGTAACTTGGGAAAAGATATCGATATTTTAAAATCGAGATGCCATCTTAGTTTTATTTACAGGCGCTATTTGACTCCCATAAAGATAATAAAAGAAATGGAAATGCCGATAAATTACAAGACGTGTTTACACAAAACTGAAAAACAAAAAAAAAAAAAAAAAAAAAAAAAAAAAAAAAAAAAAAAAAAAAAAAAAAAAAAGAAAAATAATAACAGGTAACAGAGTCACAAATTATGAATCAGAGTCATATGGCATCTCGCGTTGAACAGATCAAAAGTTTTTCGTTAGAGTGTAGTTTTAAATGGCCTTTGTTGGCGAGGTAGCCAGATGAGATAGCTGCGCCTATGAATGTCTGAAATTGCTAAGTCTAATTACTTCAGCCCTCGAACTATTGATGCAACTACATTACGTCTTGGCCAGGTCGTACTTTTTGCTTGAAGTCTCAGTCTGGAATGACAACCTTTAGAGCATGGGTATAATTCTACTGATTGTCTCCACGAGTCAACAAGCTCTCCAATGGACGTGTAAATCCGATTCGGTTCTGTGAAATCGAAGCGGGACCAATTTTACCAAATTAGTTTTGACTCCTCCGTCTCAGTTTGCAGATGATTTTTACCTTCAACATTCCTCTGAACCGAGGACGCGAGAAGCAAAAACAAAAAAATAAAAATACAAAAAAAAAACAGAAAGTTTTCTTTCTTTCTCAATTCTTTCTTTTCTGACTCCTCCCTCTAAGAGAGAAATATGGGTACCCCGGATTTTTACGACTGCGATTAGTTGCACGCTACCTTAGGAGAGCTTGTAAAAGAAAATTCTCCTCAATCTGAATGCAGAGCTGAGCAATCACTAATTGTTCGTGTGATCAACATGAGACAATGTGGAAGTAACTACTGGCAACATTGCATTACACAATGATGTACTGTTCATGCAACTCTGCCCTAGCATTCGGTTGGACTATCTAGATCCTTCGTGTTTCAAAAACCACTCTCAGAAATGCCCAACCTTCTCCAGGAGCGCAGCAGTTGATTAGTGGATAGCACTGCATGTGGAGCAACAGACACTACGAACATGGAATACAAAAGGCTCTTTAATTGACTAAATCAATACACAATTAACTACTCTCTCACAACTTTTTCATAGAGAGAGTTTCCTCTCGACATCTTATTGCAATTGAGCAACGGTGTCATCAACAGACTTTCTCAAATCAATAAACTTGAATCCCAAAATCTTTCTTGTCTTCTCATTATTGACAATACTTTCACTGTCTTCAAACTTGGGTCCCTTTGACTTGTCCAATCTTGGTATTTCGGATTTCAATTTGGGGAAGTCCTCAACAATGATGTCATAAATCTCCCCTGAGGTGAATGGCCCCTCCGACACAATCAATCTTTGACCAGCGGCTTCCTTCTTCTCAAAGGCAAGAACATGAGCCTTAGCAACATCTCTAACATCAATAAAGTATGACGCATATTGTTGTGGCTCTTCTTTCTTCTTACCAGCAGTGAGGATACTGTTGATGACTTCGTTGGAAGCATTCAACTTTGACTTGTCCTTCACTTCAAATGCTTGAGGTCCAAACACAAACACTGGGTTTACGACAGTAATTTCCCATTGTGGTTTGTTATCCTCAACATACTTCCACAAAGCCTTTTCAGCAAGCTTCTTGGAACCGATGTATCCGAGGAACGGATTAGTCAAAGCCTGCTCGCGAGTAATTGGGTTCCAAGAGTCTTCATTAACCTCTTTGCCTGGAGTGGCCAAATCTGCAAATCCAGCAACGGCAGCATAAGACGAAGTGACAACAACCCTTTTAACATTCTTACCATATTCCTTGATTGCATTGAGTGCATTGATGGTACCTTCAACTGCAGGGTTCAACAAATCCTTTTCAATATCAGCAACTTCAAAAGTGACCGGGGACGCAGCATGCAAGAATACGGTAATGTTTGGGTGTGTTTTCAAAGCTTCATCAAAAGCACCTTTTGCTCCAATGTCTTTAACAACAACATAACTAAAAAGTTCCGATTTAAGTCCACCCGATTTGAGCAAGGATTTCAAGTCCTCTCCCTTCTCCTCTGATCTAACTGACCCAATGGTCTTGTAACCAGCTTCAATCAAAAGCTTAATAATGTGTTGAGCAATGAATCCAGTAGCTCCACTGATGAATACAACTTCTTGTGACGACATGTTTTTTTTTGGTGATGAGTGGGAGAAAAGAAGCAGAATGGGACACTACATCTTTTCAAAGAGAATTGTCACCCCTTTTTATATTCGCTTGGAGTTTACTGTGGCTGATAATCAAAAGCTTCACTCCTCTCTTGCTCAATGCTCTCTTGAACCAAAATGAAAAAAAAAAAAAATATAAAAAAATAAAAAAAGTAAAAACATCGGCCGAGTCTCCGCTATTGTACAAAACTGTGCCACAGTTCTCTTCACACAAAAAAGATGAAAAATGTGAATTTGTAAGCGCGGCTACAACAATCGCCTTCGTTTTTCTGACAAATTACTCGGTCCCGAATTCTGAAAGAGGTTATATCACGTCCGCGTGTGTCCGAACGATTAGAAAGGACGCACAGATATGGTGGCATTTGTATTCGTAATGGGATTATGTAGTATCAATTGACGCTTGCAATATCTCGGTAAATTCTCAAGGAGGCATTTTACAATCACAGGGCTCAGCGTAATGGCCAATTTTTTATGTCAATAGTGCAAGAATCGGTGGTTCTCTCGGATATTTACTTGACTTGACAAGCTACGAGTGCTTTCACCGAAAAGTATGGTGAACACAACCTTCTCAAGCGGTGGAATGATTGCGATGTGTTTCAAAAGAGGGGATTCACAAGCATTCCGTCGCTTGAAGACTCATTCAAAGTGATGCTGGATAATTCACTAGTAATTACAAACAATAATGTGGCTCGTTTCAAGAAATTAGGTAGATACTACACCCTCTATTTTCAAAGTATTGACAACGCCTCCTTCAACAACAGCTTAGTCCCTTTTCTTATCAGAGTGTTCGTAAACAAGATCCTTGTAAGCAGGAAAGTGGGTAATGTACCAGTAATATAATTGCGACCAACCAAATGCAGTTGCATTCTCCTTCTCGTCGCTATACCATGATACACAACCACCGAATTTGGTACCGAAAACACTTTTGCTCAACTCCTCTTGAATATCTTTATGCCACTTATCATATGCCTCAGGTTTGACAACAACAGATTTCTCCTTACCTTCAACAACAGGCTTGGCCAATTTCAAATAGTAATCAATACCATTCTCAAGTGCCATGACGACGGAAGCGTGCCCAGTTGCCGAATTGGGACCTCCAATGACAAACAAGTTTGGCAAATGCTTTACCAAAACTGTTCTATAAGCACTAACACCCTCCTTTGTCCACATTTCTTGGTTATTGTAACCCTTTGTGGTTGAAAATTGAATTTTTGTCGATTGTTTAACGTCATAACCAGTACAAGCAACAATGATGTCAGCTTTCACGAATTCATCATTCTCCAAAATGATTCCATCTTCAACAACTCTCTTGATTCCGACATTTGTAAGGGATATTCTTGGATCGTTCAATGCGGGGACGTACTGGTAGTCAAAGATCAAACGCTTGCATCCAATCTTGTAGTCGGGAATCACCAAATCCCAGTACTTTTTAGGCGCATATTTCTTCATATAGCTGACAGATGCTCTTGTATTTACCCAACGTACAACTTTTGAGATTAAGCCATTGCCCTTGTACAAGGGGAATCGCAATTCGGCAATGAGAATCACTAGCCATCTAATCAATGCCAAGCCGTAAAAGTTGAAACTAAGCAAACGGTAAACAAACAATAAGATTTTTGGAACGGGTGGCATAATGTAGTGTTTTGATCTTGCAATTTGAGTAAGTGAATTGACGCTGTATTGCGGATCATTAAGCAATGCTGGAACAATCTGATTGGCTGAACACCCATTCCCAACAACAACAACGTTCTTACCCTTGAAATCGACAGAGTGGTCCCAAACTGCTGAGTGCATGTACTTTCCTTTGAAGTTTTCGAGGCCAGGTGCATTCAATTGGTTGGGGTATACCAAACCCCCGGCGCAAGACAAGAGAATCTTGGTAGTGTGTTCTATTTTCTGTCCTGTCTTGACATCATGGGCGTACACTGTCCAGAACCCAGTATCCTCATTGTAAACAGACTTGTCGATTGATGTTTGAAAGCGAGTCTTTTCTTTCAACTTGTATTGCGCAGCAACCCTTTGGATGTACTCTTCCATTTCGTACTGTGGAGGCTGAACTCTACTCCAGTTTGAAGTCAATGCAAAGGAGAATGAATACCAAATAGCTGGAATATCAGAAGCACAACCTGGGTAGGTGTTTGCGTACCAAGTTCCACCGAAATTGTCATATCTTTCGAAAATTTGCACTTCGGACACCTTCAAATCCTGTATGGTCTTGATGGCAGCTCCAATACCACCAAATCCGGCTCCAATTACGGCGACTTCAGATGAAGTGCGGACAGTTGGTAGTTCATCGCGTATGTTTTTCTGAGCAGTATGTTCAGGGCCCAATACAGCATTACAATCCTGGTATTTGATTCTGAACTTGGATGGATTCTTGTGAGACTCCTTGGTTAATGTGACTGAAGACATCTCTGAAGAGGAAGTTTCTTTTGCTAGATTAAGTGACGTTAACAAAAATTTGATGTAGAAAGATATTCATTAAGTACAAATTTGTGAAGTGGTGCAATTGTCATAAATAGATCTGCAGGGTTCGCGCGGGGCAAGAAAAGTGGAATGGTGTCTGCGTAAATTTTCACACGCAAAAGAAAAAAAAATACACAGATTTAGGTAGCGCAACAAGGAACCACAATCTTGTGAAAAAAAGAAAAAAAATTAACTTAATGATTGCAAGATCTTCAAGACATCGGCTAAAAAGCATTGATTCGTTAACAACAAAGCACAAATGGCAGATCGAGGACTGTATTGATACGGGGGTGGGAATAAGTGTTTTCTTTTTTTTTTCACTTTAAGAGAATCGATTAATCTCATAAGCAACATGTTGGTTTCATCCACATTTTGGCACGCAAATTCCACCAATTTGCATTCGTTTTGAAATTATCAATCAACTTGTACTTAAAGACAATTGTTTGTTTGTTTTTTCATTTCAACCTATCAAAAGATATTAGGTAGTTCTTTAGCTCTTGTAATCATTAAAGGTGCTCGGTGACTACTTGAATCTGTATAAATCTGTAGAAGCATTTAGTTGTTGTAGAACAGATATAAAGAAGACGTAATTTTTTTTATTTTCTTTTGCAACCTTGACGGATACAACAGATTATAGAATGTTTTCTTGTAAAGGATAAGAGTTGGTTATAAGTCCAGAAAAGCGTTGTGTCCTTTGAAAGTTAAAATGTCTTATCGATTACCAACCTCGGTTAATAGATGTCATGTCGCAATATTTTTAACTCCCATCCTATTTCAAGAATCCTCCAGTTTTCTAAATCGGGAAACTGATTTTTATCCGTTTCCGAAAAGGGTAATATAACGGAAAAATATTGAGAAGAATTCATTTCTCTCACAACTGGAAAACTAATGGCAGCCATTTATATACAGTAAAACAAACGTTCCAGTTTGATAGAAAACCATTCAAGAGGCGTGTTCCAAAAATTTTTTTTAAAAAAAAGGATGTCTGTGAACCGATTATCCGTGGTCAGTTTTAGTAAACAGTCGGTTCTGGAAACTAGCTCTTTTACATACAGAACCATTGGTATTGTATTTTTCCGATATGTTTCACAAAGGTTGCGGTTTCGCGTGTCTGCAAAATTTTCTTTCTACCCGTTTCCGATCTTATATCTCCGGAACAACAAAAACAATTAGTATGGGTTATGTTTTATGCCCCACGATTCGTATTGGCGAATTAAATTACATTAACGTGGGGAAAGAAGCGGAAAATGAAGTGCTTCAAGATCCAAGATAGGCAATGCACAAAAAGTAATTCTCAATGGTATATAAACCAAGGAATCATCTCGAAAACATTTGCAAACTGATTTCATTCCTCATTACTGCAGTCATCACTTCTTCTTTGAAATCAAATAGTTCACTATGTCATCTATCACTTTAACCAAGGAGTCTCACAAGAATCCATCCAAGTTTAGAATCAACTTGAAAGACAGCACTGCTCAGTTAAGTGGTCAAGTCGATGCCAACGCCAGTGACAAATTGCCAACCATTCACTCCCACTCCAAGGTTGCTATTATTGGTGCTGGTTTTTCTGGTTTGGGTAGTGCTATCAAGACCATGGAAACACTCAAAGAGCAAGATGTTGCCATTCTTGAAATGCGTGACAACTTTGGAGGAGTCTGGTACGCAAACACCTACCCAGGTTGTGCTTCTGATATTCCAGCTATTTGGTATTCATTCTCCTTTGCATTGACTTCAAACTGGAGTAGAGTTCAGCCTCCACAGTACGAAATGGAAGAGTACATCCAAAGAGTCGCTGCGCAATACAAGTTGGAGGATAAAACCAGATTCAACACTTTTGTTGATGACTGTATTTTCAACGAGGATACCGGTTTGTGGACCTTGTACTCACACGACACCAAAACTGGACAGAAAATTGAACACACTGCCAACATCCTTTTGTCATGCAGAGGTCACTTGGTCTACCCTATTCACTTGAAAGAACCAGGTTTGGAAAACTTTAAGGGAAAATACATGCATTCAGCCCTTTGGGACCACTCTGTCGATTTCAAGGGTAAAAACGTTGTTGTTTTCGGTAACGGTTGTTCTGCCAACCAAGTTGTTCCAGCATTGTTGAACGATCCTAAATACAATCCAGCTTCGATTACTCAAATTGTCAGATCCAAACACTACATTATGCCACCAGTGCCAAAGGCCCTTCTTTACTTGTACAGAATCCTCAGTTTCAACTTTTTCGGTTTGGAGTTGGTCCGTTGGTTGATTGTCCTTATTGCTGAATCGAGATTCCCATTGTTTAGAGGTGAAGGGCCACTTTCCAGATTTATTCGTTGGATCAACAGACACGCAGCAGTCAGCCACATGAAGCATGCTCCAAAGAAGTATTGGGATATTCTTATTCCAGACTACAAGGTTGGATGTAAGAGATTGATTTTCGACTATGGCTACATCAAAGCATTAAATGATCCAAGAATTGAGCTTACCAACGAGCGCGTTGACAAGGTTGTCGAAAATGGTCTTTACTTGAAAGATGGAAGATTCATCAAGGCCGATATCATCATTGCTTGTACTGGATACAACACCAGAAAGACTTTTGACCAACCAATCAAAACCAACAAGGGCGCATCATTGCAAAAGATTTGGGATACTGAAGGTGTGGGTGCATACCGTACCATCATGGTCAAATACCTTCCAAACTTTTTCTTGATTGGTGGTCCAAACACCGCTACTGGTCACGCCTCCGTTATCATGGCTGCTGAACACGCTATCGACTACTACATGAAGGTTGCCAAGCCTGTTATTCAAGGTAAGGAAAAGACTGTTGAGTGTAAACCAGAAGCTTACGACAGTTGGTTCAAATTGATCCAAGACAAATTAGCCCAAAGTGTGTTTGGTACCGCATTTGGTGGTTGTGCTTCATGGTACAGAAGTGACCAATCAAACTTTATCACTTACCCATTCAGTCAAATCAACTACTGGTACATCACTCACTTCCCCAACTACAAGGAATTGATCTACAAGCACAACGATAAAAAGACTGCTTAGATGAAAGAAGCAGTCGTGTGTGTAGAGAGGTATATAGAGTGTGGGTTCAGTTTTGAGTAAATAGTTTCAATTTTAAATTTCGATTTTTGTGTCACAATTGAAGGTAAATAAGCGGTACAATCTATTTTTGACAGTAATGATGTTTACGTAAAAAAAAAGGGTATGCTATTTTGTGCCGCATCAAAATGTGGCATTGAAATTCCGCTTTGATCTAACCAATAGCTTCATCTCATTGTTAATTATTGTGATGATTAGTTAGGCACGTGTCATACAATGAAGGCTATAAATTGACAACTTGTTATCTCGTCGAAACCTTGTTTACACTTCTTCTCCCCAAGGTTTCCCTGCCTGTCCACTTAAAAGATAACTGAAAATCAGCAAACGTACTATTTGGGAGGGGCACGAACTATATTCGTGGGCTTATTTTGAGAGAGAGGAGGAATATTTTGAAGGTCCAAACTTGAGCTTTAAGTTGAGTAAGTTGTCCGCAGTGGGCCAAGGAGGCAAGGAGATAGAAGCTCTGGCCAATGAATGCTTTACATAAAAGTAAACACACAACACAACACGTACGTTCATTTGTATAGAAACTCAAAGTATGCATACGCCCTTTACGCCCTTTTCATTCCAAGACAACACATTTCATCTCACCAATTTTCAATCAGTCAACTTTTTTCTTGTAACTTTCGTAAATCAAATCCTTGTAATTTGGAAAGTGGGTTATGTACCAGTAATAAACTTGGCTCCACGCAAAGGCAGTGGGGTTTTCCCGTTCGTCACTATACCACGACACACAACCACCAAACTTGGTTCCAAACACACTCTTTTTCAACTCATTTTGTATAGTAACCCTCCAATTATCATATGCTTCATCTTTCACCACCACCGATTCCGTTTTACCCTTGATGACAGGGCTGGCAACTTTTGCATAGTAGTCAATAGCATTCTCTAGTGCCATAACAACGGACGAATGTCCAGTTCCACTATTCGGACCACCAATGATAAACAAGTTGGGAAGACCCTTGACCAATATTGTACGGTACGCCGTTGTGCCTTCCTTTTTCCATAAATCACTTACAGTAGTCCCGGTAGTTGTTTTGGCGGCTAAATCGTTGGACTTCCTGAGATCATATCCAGTACAAGCAACGATGATATCTGCTTTTACAAACTTGCCATCTTCCAAAACTACACCGTCCTTAACCACCTCTTTGATACCTGAATAAGCAAGCGTGAGACGAGGATCATGCAAAGTCGGAACATATTGGTAATCAAGAATCATTCTTTTGCAACCAACTTTGAAATTAGGAATGAGCATATCCCAATACTCTTCAGGAGCAGTCAGGTGGATATAATCAACTGAACGTTTTGTGAGAGCTTTTCTAAAGAACCTGGCAAAAAAGCCCTCGCCTTTGAACAACGGGAACCTCATCTCTGAGAGGATAATTACAAACCAACGGATCAACATCAACCCATAAAAATGGAAACTCATAAAGTGATAAAGTTTTAACAAGACAGGCGGCACAGGAGGCATAATGTAGTGTTTTGATCGAAACACTTGAGTTACTGAGCCCGCATTATACTGCGGGTCATTTAACAATGAAGGTACAACTTGAACAGCAGAACACCCATTCCCTACAACGACAACATCTTTGCCTTTGAAATCAACAGAATGGTCCCAAACTGCCGAGTGCATGTACTTGCCACCAAAATTCTCAATTCCAGGTGAATCAAGGTTACGTGGGTGTACCAAGCCACCACGACAAGACACAACAACTTTGCAAGTATGTTCAATTTTCTGTCCCGAGGCGAGATCATGAGCATACAAGGTCCACAAACCAGATCGTTCACTATAGTCCAATGAGTCAATGGATGTTTTGAACCTGGCTTTCTCTCTCAAATTGTGTTGGTCAACTATTCTCAAAAGATACTCCTCCATTTCGTATTGTGGTGGTTGAACTTTACTCCAGTTAGCAGCCAATGCATATGAGAAAGAGTACCAAATGGCTGGAATGTCTGATGCACATCCGGGGTAAGTGTTTGCCCACCAAGTCCCGCCGAAATTCTCATGTTTATCAAATATGACAAAGTCACATTCCTTGAGGTCTCGGGCTGTTTTGATGGCAGTCCCGATCCCACCAAACCCTGCACCAATAATTGCTATCTTGGAAGACGTGTGGATTGTTGGAAGTGATGCATTTGCATGTTTCTCTGCTGTGAGTCCCAATGCAATCCGCTCACTTTCGAGGTTTGCTCTGAACTTTGCCGGGGCTTTATGAGATTCCTTCGTTAAGGTGATTGTAGACATGATAACAATTGACGTTGTTTTGTTTTGTTTTGTTTTGTAGCGATTCTAGTGTCTGGAAAGTTATCCTCTCTTTATATATATAGTTGCACTTTCTAGAGCACCTCCACATTGAGTTGATTGCTTTCCCCCCACCCTCACCCCCCCCTTTGCTAAAAGTTAGTTTTTGTGGAGAACTAAGTAAAGTAGAGAGATATGCTTTGACGGAGGGGTTCTCTTAAAAAACACAGTACAAAAAGATACTTTTCGGAGTTAAAAAAAATGCTTTGAGGGGAAGGTCATATTTCCGCATTATCCCTCGATAAACAGACACCGATAGCAGCACAGACAGAGTACTATATCAGTTGAATTGTAAGGTGTGAGGGTCATACGATAGGCGAGTCACGGTTCTCATTAGATGCTGCTTTATCTAGATAGGGGCCATTGATAATGCATCGACATGTTCTGCGCTGCTAGATTTCTCCGCATACAAATATAGGGCACTTTTGCCTTAATAATGGAAGCAGATACGGAGTATCAAAATCTTTCTCTCGACATTGGTTTCTTGAAACTCTCCAGCAGATGCTTGTTAGGAGGCCAACACGAGTCTTGTTTCCTGCGTCGATGGTTCTCTCATCACAACACGAAGCAAAAAAAATAAAAAAATCAAAAAAGCAAAAAAAAAACAAAAAAAATACATTAATCAAGAAAGACTTTAGTAGAGAGAGATTCCTAGACTCAGCAACTTGCTATCACGCAACTTCATCTCCCACAATGGATCCAGAGTCCAATAAGAGAAGTAGAGAAGAGTTTGAAGGACAACCAGGCTATTCCAATGACAGCCATTTCCCTCCACAACAACCAAGTTTCGAGTATGAGTTCAAGAGACAACGTATCGATCCAGCACAAGAATTAATCAACAACGTGTGCAAAGATATAAGACGATTGGGTGAGAATTCAAACGTTGCAACTCAAGTTGATGATGTCAATTACATTTCCAATCCTATTGTTGCTGAATTTGAAAAAATTGAGGGTCTTCGAAATGCCATCTTGTCAACAATGTACGCACTCGTTATCGAACAGCCACACAAGATCAGTGCTCTTAGTAACTTGGTATTTATATGTAATGCAAAGAACTTTGTTATTGCAAAATACGCTGTGGAGTATATGCATACAAGGATCCAGTTATTGTTGGATTCTATTGGCGGCGAGGCTCAGCAGGACAGTTCAAGAGAAAATGCCGGTGTTTTCAACAACATTAAAAGTGTTTTGAAATTTTTGGGGGCAATATCACCCATTGTAGAAGATTATTCTGTTGTCAATGTTTTGAAACAGTTTTTGCAATTTGCCATTGACTTGCAAAGTGGATCAGACAAGAGAAACGGGATTGCTCAGGAAATATATTACAATGTTTTGATTGCAACGCCGTATTTATTAAGCAATGATAAAAGCGAGGAGTTGCATGGATACTTGAATGACATTATTGAACTTGCTGACATGTTTCCACTAATTGAGCCCGACTCAAATACATTGGTACAACCATTTGACAACAAAATGGACAATTTTGAAATCCCTTACCATCCCAAGAAAATGGTAAACTTGGTTTTGCCCGCTTTGAAGCAACTACAAGCAGACGATTGGCAATTGAACCTTTTCCTCGACTTTGAGCCATTTTTGGAGCCCATCTTAAAGACAGCATTGGAGAACAATACAATCTCAAAAGATATTGTAAAACACAATTTACCTCAACTTTCATTGCCATCATTGGAGAAGATGTCAAATTACAAACCACGTAATGAGGATAGTATTGACCGCATCTGGCAGCAGAATTCGCGCGTTTTGCTTCAAGTTTATAACCAAACCACCGAATTTGAAACTGTACCAGTTATCGAATCGTACATTGGCTTATTTTTCAAGGACTTGTCCTTTGACATATTGACCAATTTGTCATTCAACAAGACTGAGGCATCGATTCAATTGTCCATCTTGGATTTATTCTTCAACAAGGAGTTGTTTTCGCCCATGGGTACATCTATTGATGAATTGACTGAAATCAATGCCAAGAATCGTACTGGTGAAAATAATCCTCCCTTATCGACATGGAAAATTGAGGATATTGCAGTTGAAAGTATTTTGACAATGATTTTCCAACTTCCACATACGTTGCATCGCGAGATTTATTACTATACGGTGTTGATCTCATGTTGTAAGGAGAGTCCTGACTCGATGGCCCCTGTGTTCGGAAGAGCCATTCGTTACTTCTATAATAATTTACAAACGTTGGATTTCGAGTTGAAAATTCGCTTTTTGGATTGGATGACCACACAAATCTCCAATTTTGAGTTTAGTTGGAAATGGGATGAGTGGATACAAGATTCACAGGAATTTGCCAAGTTGAAATATCATCCAAAGAAAAACTTCATCAAGAATTTGATTGCCAAAGAAATACGATTATCAAATAAGAAAAGAATCAAGGAAAGTTTTGTGGATGTTGTGGATGATGATGTGGTTCCATTTGAAGAGTTTTATCAGTATTTGGATATTGCGGTGGTGTCAAATACCAGAGACTATATCATAAGTTATGATTCTGCATTATATGGGGATTCAGAAGAAATTAGACAAAAGATTGCTTGTATATATGATGCGAAACAGGCGACTTTGGCTACAAAGAGTAACGCTACTCCCCAAGATGAGATTTTTTACAATTTCACCAATCCAGAATTACCATTGAGTGGAGTTGCATCGCAAGTTTATGAATTTATTGTATCGCATTACAAGACAAATAAGGAAATGAATGAATTGTATAACTCAGTGCTTGATCAAGTGCTGAATCTGCAATCTGCCGCTGCTTCTTCCGCTGCTTCTGCCGCTGCTTCTGTTTCTGCTTCTGCTTCTGATCCCGTTGTCCTTCTGGTTACCATTCCTAACCCAATCAAGTTTGTCATCAACTTATTTTTCCAAACTTATGCTTACATTGGATCAAGATCAATCTATTCTGAGGTGAGTATTTTGAGTCGAGATGTTGATAAATTGAAATTCCTTGGTGGCCAGCCAATAGAGCCAAAGAAAGCAGGCAATCTCGATGATGAATTTGAAAAATTGTATCTCACGGAGGAAGATGTAACCAATAGGCAAAATTGGATAATTGATGCCATTTTCAGAATCTGGGTCCATCAGCCACAAGTTGTATTTTTGATTTTAGAATATTTGATTGAATTTGAAGTGATTGATCCCAAATATCTTATTGACAAGGCTTTCAAAACTAACTTGATCATTGACAATGTATCCTGCATTGAATCGGTGAATAGGATATTGGAAACGTCAAACCCTACAACTTTGAAGAGATTGATATCTGAGATTTTCAAAACTGTTGTCAAGAAACTTAACGAATTGGAGTTGGGAACTGACGATATTGTTCAAATTGATGATTTGCATGACAGCAACGCTGCTGAAGTTGATAAGCAATGGTTATTCTATGAATATTTGGGATTGCTCAAGTCATATTTCAGAAAATATATCAAGAATAAGAATCGATCTGATGACTCAAGTGATGATGTTTTACAGGATATAAAGGATATTTTCAATGATTTGGAAAACATCCCTGCTAGAATTGAAATACTTGGTTGGTTTAAGGAGATCTTATAGTGTACATTTATAGTTGATTGAGGAATTGAAAAGTTGCAATAGACGCAAACGTAATCTTAAAAAAAAAATTAAAAGAAAAAGCCCACTGGATATAATCTTCTTGTTTCAATGGACAGTACATTCACATCCCATCCTCTCGGCAATGACATTAGAAAACCACAAGAACGACAAATCATTAGCCATTGAAGTCAATGATCTCACGTATGCATTCCCTCGCGGGAACCAAACTAGCAACAGCAGTGGCACTAGCAACAAAATCGGTTTACAAGACATCAACCTTCAAATACCATGGGGAACCACCAACTTGATAATAGGCCCCAATGGAGCTGGAAAATCCACTTTGTTACGTATACTCGCGGGAAAGACGTTGATCAAGAAGGGCAAATTGAAAATTGGCGGATTTGATCCATTTGCATTCTCAACCACAGGAGGAGGAGGAGGAGGAAAAGGAACCAGTGGCAATGGTGGGCCACAAAGACATTATAATGCCGATATCAACAATTACATCACGTATTTGGGAACCGAATGGATCACAAACTCTGTCATCAAACGAGATATACCTGTTAATTTATTACTTAGCTCGATTGGAGGTGAAATATATGCTGAACGAAGAAACTTGTTGATTGATATATTGGACATTGATCCTACATGGTCAATGATTAACTTGTCGGATGGAGAAAGAAGACGAGTTCAGATTGCAATGGGGTTGATCAAACCTTGGAAGTTGTTGTTGCTTGACGAAGTCACCATTGATTTGGACGTGGTTGTGCGACTGAAGTTGCTAAACTATTTGAAACTGGAATGTTTGCAACGCAACTGTACTGTTGTTTATGCCACACATATCTTTGATGGGTTGGGTAATGAATGGTGTGATCGATTGTTGCATATTGATTCAGGACTATTGTTGAATGATATTGATATGAGTCAGGTGGAGTTCAAGTCTGAAGCCGACAAGGATGTTGATATAAGAGACGATAAGATTGTTGTTACGAAATCCAATACGTTACATCCGTTAGCTTTACATTGGTTGACTGTGGATTTGCAAAGACGTGGTCTGAGACAGGAGGAGAAGGAAAAGATACTTAAAAGACATAACGACTGGATTAATTCTCGAGATGGATCGTATTTTGATGCAAGTGATGATAAAATGAAGCAGTATTTTAAGAACACTCGAAGTGAGAGATGATAGATGGGAGAGAATAATCAACGTTGTTAGCGGTATATATTAGTACATTTTCTGGGGTTTCCAAATGCAATATGTAGGTAGCACAGACATATTAAATCTTATTCAGTGCGTAAGTCAACTTATCTCCTTCACTTCAAGTTGATATTTCTGTTCCAAGGCAAGAAAATGAGAAAGCTCTTCAAAATGCTTGGCTTTTTGTTCCATCAAGTACAACTGTCGATGTATTTCGGCTTCGGCAACCGATTGCGGTGGCCAGAGTGGGTACTGGTATTCAATGGTCTCACCCGCAGTTTTATCTTGCTCAGCATATAGGGCCAGAGTGTCATTGATGGATTTAGATTTATGATTTGGACTTGTTTTCAAATGACGTGGATTTATGGGGGATACATTCTCGTCATCAGCTTTTATAGAAGACGGTTTCACATATTTCCTCTTTGTGTTTTGAGATATCAACGTAGGTGTTGGTGAAGTAGCTACTCTTTTCTTGAAATTGAGTGGACCATGGGCTGTCGTTTTGATTGGTGATGCTAATGATTTGCTATCTCGTAACATTGCACTTCTGTTGTTATGGGAGTTGTTGTTGTTGTTGTTGAGTATATTTGTTGAGGTTTCTTGAAGTGGTGCAGTGCTTCTCTTTGTTAATGTTGTGGTCAGGTTGTTCTGATGTTTGCTTTTGAAGGGTGGTTGTAAAAATTGATATGCTGTGTTCTCAGGGTATCTGTTTTCAATACCTTCCATTGTAGTTCAAGAAGTTGTATACTTTGAAAAGGGTTATGTCGTTCTGTCCTTTGTGTTTTGAGCAAAAAAACGAACTGGGCAAAGTATATATGTGGAGGAAGATCTAGCACACTTGAAAAGGTTGTGTAAACTGGAAAGTGTTGAGAGTGATGATGATATACATGTAGTACACTACAAATGTAAACAAACAAACAAACAAACAACAAACAAAAAGAAGAGATGTTGATTTTAAATTTTGAAATCTACGACACAGTCTGTCGCGACATTGATCCAAGTGTGTTGTCTGAATTTCATACCAACAGGACATAATAACCAAACTAAGTGAGGAGCTGATCTTCTACCTCCTTGAGACAATAGATATAGTGGTAGCTATTGAATTGGTAGAGAAAGGGTTCCAATCTTTTTACTACACACACCTAATGCTTTCGAAGTTTCGATTGTACAACATGATACCCACTACTTTTGTACTAGGTCCGCGAGCTATGCTACAGTATTGCACTTGTGATGACTTATTTTGGGACATAATTTGAGGATGGTTTACTGAACTGATCTCGCGTCGTGATTTATATCTATGTATTTGCAATCCCCCCCCCCTCTCCTCTTGAATCTGTGTAGTAGTTGTAGTTACGAACGCGCAGTAACGGGGCGGAAAAGAGAAAAATAGGGGAAGAGGGAAGGCGTTGGTAAGAAAATTACAACCATAAACATCTGTCAAAACAAATACAACCCATATTTACAAGGAGCATAGTAGTATTTACACTGCAGTTGTTTATGGACAAGTCATATAAACTTCGAATTGGCAGCACTATCCACTACTTATCAAACAACCACAGACAAGCTTTTTCTGTCCTTAGTATCCGTTATCGCTAAATATTCCGATGTTCAAGTTTAAAAACAAACTCAAGTTTGGGTCTTCAAATGATAAGCAGCAGGAACAGCAGCAGCAGCAGCAGCAGCAACAACAACAACAATCGCCGAGCCACCATCACCATTCAGAGAACGGATCAGCAGAACCATCCTCACCTCCACCACCTCAATCGACTAGCTCCGCCTCTTCTCAACATCACTCCCTTGATGCATTGCTGACACCAAAGAGAACTGCCTCAGAGTCGAGAAAGACAACCTCCGTTGATCAGTTAGGCAACGATGTGTCTAAGTTATCCATTCATGATAGCTCCCCAGATAAGCAGTCTACTTTACACAGTCATTCAAGCAGTGATAGAAATGTCTCGTCCACCGATTACAACCACAATCATACATTGCAACAAACGGGCGACTTACAACCACCGACTACCGAGTCGAATATAACCTCGAATTCTTCAAACTACAACAATGGATCCCCTGCTTCATCTCATCCTACCTCCGTAGGACAAGTTACATCTGCAGTTTCAAACTCCAGCGATTCAGCAGTTGCCGGTGTGAGCACCAACAACACCGCCTCCGGAACAACTTCATCTCCCGGCTTATTAACCGTCAAAATATATGGCTCGCAAAATATTCAGTTACCAATTAAAATCAACAACAATAAGCAAATATTGCACGCATTGGCTATTAATTCAAGCAGTGAAAGCGTGGGACAACAATTGTTGAAAAATATGGCAGATGTCGAGCAAGATAGTAGTGAGGTTGGCGAGTTTATACTGGGCTCAAATGCGGCAAAATTGTTACCTTCGATCATCACAATTCCGAAATCTGAGAATTTGGTCAAATCATTACTTTACTTGACTATTGAGTTTGAAAACAACGTGTTGGTGATTGAGCCACAGAAGGGAAGTGTTAACCAATCGACTTGGAATCAAGTTGTGTCGTTTGATGTTACAAACAAGGTCCTGAATAAGAACAGCAATTCACAGTTTCTCAATTTGAACTTGTTTATGAGGTTACCAAATGTTTTGATTCCCGACTCGGAAAAGCATCGTAGCAAGCAGTTGTTCACCAACTATCAAGTAGATGGTGCGGACAGATCTACAACGTCCAATTCATCCAATACAACTAGTACTCAAGTCAACATTGGTGATTTGTTAATTGGTACAATTAAACTTCCATTGAATACGAGGTCCCACTCTCAACAAGTCAGATTAATGCATCACGAATACTTGAAATTTACCAATTACAATGCGGCGTTACTGGATGCCATCCGTCAAGATATGGGAGAAATAATGTTGACTATAGAGTATAAACCATTGACAAGGAAACATCTCTCGATTGATGATTTTGATTTGTTGAAAGTGATTGGAAAGGGATCGTTTGGGAAAGTTATGCAGGTGGTTAAAAAGGACACTAAACAGATTTATGCTTTGAAAACGTTGAGGAAACAACACATTGTATCCAGACTGGAAGTGACTCATACGTTGGCGGAAAGGACGGTGTTGGCACGGATAACCAATCCATTCATTGTTCCGTTGAAATTTTCTTTCCAGTCGCCTGAAAAATTGTACCTTGTTCTCTCATTTATCAATGGTGGAGAATTGTTTTGGCATTTACAAAGAGAAGGGAAGTTCAGCATGGACAGATCGAGATTCTACATTGCTGAGTTGTTGACTGCTTTGGAAAGCTTGCACGAATTGAATGTAATTTATCGGGACTTGAAACCGGAAAACATCTTGCTTGATTATCAAGGACACATTGCCCTTTGTGATTTCGGCTTGTGTAAATTGAACATGAGTAATGACGACAAAACCAATACGTTTTGCGGTACTCCGGAATATCTTGCTCCTGAACTTTTGCTTAACCAAGGTTATACAAGAAGTGTGGATTGGTGGACTTTGGGTACCTTGCTTTACGAAATGTTAACGGGATTACCACCTTTTTATGACTCGGATGTGCCTACAATGTACAAGAAGATTTTGCAAAATCCGTTACGCTTCCCTCCATTTTTGGAAAATACTGATGCTCAAGATTTATTGATCAAATTATTGCAAAAGGATCCACTGCATAGATTGAATGATGCACAGGCCATCAAGAGCCACCCTTTTTTCAAAGATATTGATTGGAACAAGTTGTTGAATAAGAGTTATTTACCTCCATTCAAGCCAAATGTTGAAAACTTACTAGACACTTCGAATTTTGATCAGGATTTCACAAATGAAAAACCTCAGGATTCAGTGGTTGATGATTTCTTGACCGAGAGTGTGCAGAAACAATTTGGTGGATGGACCTACAATGGTGACAATGTACTATAAAGAGGTAAAAGAGGATGGATGATTTGTTGTGTTGGAGAAGTAGAATGAGAGTAACTTCCAGTACAGTAATTATTTCTTTTGGTTTAGATTTATTGATAATCCACTGACAAGTACAATTATAAACGAAACAACCAACGGCACATTACTCTTCAACTAACTCAATGCTTGTTTGCAGCATTATAGTAAGTAGCACCGCTGCTCCCAGGAAAACTCAGGTCCACTCTTTTGTTTGAGGTGTGACCCTTCTCTAATGGGGCTTTTGGGTTCCAAGCAGCATATTCACCTCGTGCTACTTTAGCTTGTTGGTTGCTTTGGAAAATGGGGTATTGGGGATTTACGTTTTGTGGGTCAGTGTTGTTTATGTTGACAACATTGGGCTTTATTGTGTAGAGGTTTTGTGGGTGTGGTTGCTGTTGTGAGGAGAGGCCACCTCCTTGCTGTGGTGGAGCGTAGTTTGCGTAGTGGTCTTGTTGTTGTTGTTGTTGTTGTGGTGGTGGTGGTGGTGGTGGATGTTGTGAGTAGCTAGGAGTATCCGGTGGTGGGGCAAATTGGTCATTGGGGCCCTGGATATCGTCATAGGCTGGGGGGGCATCTGGTATGTTGTTGTTGTTGTTGTGGCTACTACTACCTTGTTGTGCTGCTGCTGCTTGCTGCTCTTCAAGAGCGTACTTTTGTTTCAATTTCTCTTTTTCGTCGGACATATTTGATGGGTGTGTTGTATGGCCTATAGTGCTGATTATAAGCTTCTTTGTGAATGCCAGGGCTGCAATCTCACGAGGTTATGTTCCTTGTGTGGATGTTTTTTTGATTGCGGCAATGCAATATTGTGTTATTGTGTCATTCGAAACAAGGAATGTCGTGATATAGCACTCTACGACAATGAGATTGACGACACTAGAAAATTTTATTCTCTTCAGAGAAATAAAATTTTATAACCAGTGAGTTACAATTTGTAGGTCAGCATCGAATACTACCAACAGATCGCTTGTCCCTGTTCAAGACATACCTTCAAGATGTTCACTAAAAGCAAAGCAAGCATTACAAGCCTAGCGCAGGGGGCGTTAACATTTGTTCGTTTCAAAAGACAATCCACCGGAGCCAATCAACTAAACGCATCAACACAAAAGATAGTCAATCAATTATCAGTATTATCAGCCAGTAGGAAGCAGCCACAGCTATTAAAACTATGCAACGAAGATTTAATCAAGCACAGAACGATTATGAATGCATGGAAATTGCTCCAACGTAAGAAACAACAAAAGCAACAGCATCAATTGGACTTGCAATACAAGAGTATACGTAATGCCATGGAAGATTTGAAACAGACTAGTCCTGAATTGTTTGAGATGGCCAATGCAAAGAGCAAATTGAGATTTACCACGTTCCCTATTGAAATGAGAGTTCCTACGGATTACCCACCTACGAAACCATGGGTATATGCTTATTCGTCAAAGAAGTAAAAGTGCATCCAGTGTGATGGTTTATAATGTTGACGTAAAATGTACATAGATTACAGAGAATAGCTTAAAAAAAAACATCATCATCATCATCATCATGGTTAGTCCTCTATAGTTCTTGCTTTTCTCTTCCGCGAAGGTGTACTTGATCGACTTGTCTCACTCTTGGCGCCGTCTGCAGAAACAGTGGCAGCGGCAGTAACAGTAGCAGCAGCAGCAGCAGCAGCAGCAGCAGGACTGGCAGTAGTTGCAGTAGCTTGACTGCTCAGTTTGACTCCCAAATTGGCAGTGGTTGGATCGACTGAATCTTCATAATCATCTAATTCATCTTTTGAGTTGATAATAGAGGTGGCGGGACCATTACTCAAGGAGCCATTAACGTACCCAGCCCCATGTCTTTTCACCATATTCTTCACAAAAGAAATTGAGCTTAGACTGAATATATGATCATCTTCTGTGTACACTATTCTTCTTTTGAATCCCGATGCGCCTGAGCCTGCACCTCCTCCTGATGCACCTGCACCACCACCACTTGACTTGGAAAAATTTTCAAACCCTTTCACTATGTTGCCCGAGTAGCTCTCTTCAAAATAGCTGGATTCCTTTTGATATATGGTGTCTTCCAATTTGGATAACTTGTTGGTGAGTTCTTGTTTTTTGAGAATTTGCTGAGTAAGCTTCTTTTTTAGCTCATTGTATTTGTCTATACTGGCAACACCTTTGGAGCCTCTTGTGGATGAAGATGATGACCCTGACGATGGAGTGGCTGCTTTTGATTGACTGCTGGGTGTGTTGTTATCGTTCTTGTTGTTATTCTTTTGTGGGGATTTTGATTGATCAGATGTTGCCCCTTTGCTCGGCAGCGATTGTGCTTTCAGCGTATCTGCGAGTTTATCTTTTGTTGCATCTTGATTTTGCAGCAAGCTTTTTACTTCTTTAGTGTCTTCGTTTGCCATGGCCATGGGCTGTTCCTTGTATCGTGGTGAAAATCTGTGAAAGGATGAAAATCAGAAAAGTTGATTCTGAGCTACCATTTTGCCAAACAAAAGACGTGCAAAGTTATTGTAAGCTGAACAGGTACACTTAAATTAGACAGTAGCAGAGAAATACCCAACGGCTGTGAAGCATGTGTCAAATGAATGGAGTGAGGAGTGGTTTAAGTAGAAAGGTTTGAAGGAGTTGCTTCCTCAAGAATCTTTTGACATGTCACTGAGACAAGGTGCACCTAAATGTAAATCAATTGACACAGTAGCGACAGCCTCACCTGTTTCAGTAATTAGAAAGTTATGGCAAATTACAGCAATTGTCGCGCGTATGCTCTTGGAAATCGAGTTCTCCAACAAGGGCCTCGGGAAGGACCGGTTCCATTGACAAAAAAAAAAACAAATACATCAACGAAATCCATTGACCCGTGTTATTCCACAAACAGAGCAAATAGAAGCAAAGACAAGGGGAGACGGCAGCTTTATGTGGAGAACTCTGTCACCAATTGAGAGTGTATATATGGAAGCCAAGATAGAACTCAACTTTCGGATCACAGCCTGACTCATATAGGGAAAACGTATCATCCACTTCTAGCTCTGTAACCCTGTCATTGTGTATATCACGGGTTATAGTGGTCCATACATTACTGTGAAAAAAAAGTGTGTATGTGTGTTGATTTATAACCATTATACACTACCCACTACCCACACAAGTCCATTTCAGTTTGATTCCCGACAAACAATTTTCTATATATATATATAACCAATTGTATTTCCATACTTTTTTCTTCTCTTGACTTACCTTCTTGGTATTCAATTCAATTGACCACATATCAATTACTTTACATACACTCACACAATGGCTATCACTAAGATCCACTCAAGATACGTTTACGACTCAAGAGGTAACCCAACTGTTGAAGTTGATTTGACCACTGAAAAGGGTTCATTCAGAGCAATTGTTCCATCCGGTGCTTCCACTGGTGTCCATGAGGCTTTGGAATTGAGAGACGGTGACAAATCAAAATGGTTGGGTAAAGGTGTCTTGAAAGCTGTTGCCAATGTTAACGACACCATTGCTCCAGCTTTGATCAAGGCCAACATCGACGTCACTGACCAAACCAAGATTGACGACTTTTTGTTGAAATTGGACGGTACTCCAAACAAGTCTAAATTGGGTGCCAATGCCATCTTGGGTGTTTCTTTGGCTGCTGCTAAAGCTGGTGCCGCTGAAAAGAATGTCCCATTGTACAAGCACATTGCTGACATCTCCAAGGCCAAGCAAGATAAATACGTCTTGCCAGTTCCTTTCCAAAACGTCTTGAACGGTGGTTCCCATGCTGGTGGTGACTTGGCTTTCCAAGAATTTATGATTGTTCCATCTGGTGTTTCAACTTTCAGTGAAGGTTTGAGAATCGGCTCAGAAGTTTACCACCACTTGAAGAGCTTGACCAAGAAGAAGTACGGTCAATCTGCCGGTAACGTTGGTGACGAAGGTGGTGTTGCTCCAGATATCAAGACAGCTCAAGAAGCTTTGGACTTGATTGTTTCAGCTATTGAAGCTGCCGGTTACACTGGTAAGGTTGACATTGCCATGGATGTTGCCTCATCTGAATTCTACAAGGATGGTAAGTACGATTTGGATTTCAAGAACCCAGACTCTGACAAATCTAAATGGTTGACTGGTCCTCAATTGGCTGAATTGTACGGTGAATTGTTGCAAAAATACCCAATTGTCTCTATTGAAGATCCATTCGCTGAAGATGACTGGGAAGCTTGGAGCCACTTTTTCTCCAAGGTTCAAGGAAAGACCCAAATTGTTGGTGATGACTTGACTGTCACCAACCCACTCAGAATCAAGAAGGCTATTGAAACTAAAGCTGCTGATGCTTTGTTGTTGAAGGTTAACCAAATTGGTACCTTGACTGAATCTATCCAAGCCGCTAATGACTCATACGCTGCTGGTTGGGGTGTTATGGTCTCACACAGATCTGGTGAAACCGAAGACACTTTCATTGCTGACTTGTCTGTCGGTATCAGATCAGGTCAAATCAAGACTGGTGCTCCAGCTAGATCAGAAAGATTGGCCAAGTTGAACCAAATCTTGAGAATTGAAGAAGAGTTGGGAGACAAGGCTATTTACGCCGGTAAGGACTTCCACAATGCTCAAACTTTGTAAGGGGATATAGTGTATCAAAGCTAGTTTCGTACAACAAATACGATATTCTATAAAAATGCGATACTGAGATACTGTCTATTTATTTGTAGTCTGATGCTATATGATCTAAAGCCTGAAACAAGCGTTGTACGGCAATGTACGTTTCCTCAAACGTGTTGTATAATGGTAATGGAGCTAATCTAATAACATCGGGTCTTCTCTCATCGCAGATAATGGCGTGTTTATGCAAATACTCAAACACTTTCTCCATTACATTGTCCTGTTTGTTGTCCTTATGCGGTTGAAAAAGTACACTAAGCTGTGCTCCTCTTTCGTGCGGCAATAAAGGAGTTAATATCTTGAACCCGAATTTGGAGTCATCTGTACTCTCTTGTGGGACATAGTACTTGCTACTGGTCAACAAATCCTGTAAGAACTGGGTGAGCTTCAACGACTTTTCCCGCAATTTCTCAATTCCACCAACTTTTTCAAACACTTGTAGTGACGATTGTAGAGCTACACAATCAATGACGCTGGGGTTCAGCTGTCTATAACTCAATGCTGATGCAATGGGGTCAAACTTTTCCAACATCTTGAACCTGTCAGCACTATTGTTGCCCCACCATCCAGCCAACCTTGGCTCGTATCGTGTTGGCGTATTCTCCTTTGTATGTATTTCATGAACGAATATGCCAGCAATGCCACCAGGACCAGCATTGAGGTACTTGTAAGAGCACCAAGCAGCAAAATCCACCTGCCAGTCATGTAGCTCAAGTGGCACATTCCCTACTGCATGAGCCAAATCCCAACCAACAACAATCTCTGGAGCTTTGCGCTTTACGTGGTTTGTTATTGTCTTTATGTCAAAGAATTGGCCGGTGTAGTACTGAATACCAGGGAAACAAACAAGGGCAATGTCGTCCAAATTTGCATCAATTGACGACAATATAGACTCCGTTTTCAAGTATGTTTCACCTTGCGGTACTTCCATTTGGATCAAATGTGTCTCATCAAGTCCATGTAACTTGACAATATTCACAAATGCATAATAATCAGAGGGAAATGCTTGTTTTTCAAAAAGAATCTTTGTCCTCTTGCCCTTGGGCTTATAGAAATGAGTGAGCAAAGCATTCAAGTTTGATGTCAACGATCCCATTACTGCAACCTCATTCTCTTTTGCCCCGACTAATGGAGCCATCAATGGAATGCACGGTAAATCGATATCGACCCAATCGGTCAATTTCTCAAACGGATGGCTAAAATGAGCCTCGACCGCTCGCATTGACCAAGCTTTCAATTCATTGTTTATTGCCGTAGAAGTTTGCTTTGGCATCAACCCGAGCGAGTTCCCACACAAGTAGATAGATTCTGTATCTTTGGGATATTTTTCATTAGTGATACCAAGTGATTCAAAAGTGGGTATGCAGAAGTCATTTTTGTAAGTGGGATACTTCTTGTCGAACTCCCTTGCTTCTTCAAGTGACATGCTTCCCTTTGTAAACTAGTGGAGGTGAAAGATAATAGGTGTAAAAAATTTGTCAACCCTGTTTTGAGATACAAATTTAAAGAACGGATTTTAGCTGACAATTTTATATACAAGCATATACATATACATATATATATATACATACACCACATATATATATATATATACACCATTACAGCATAATGATTCACTCCGTGCTCATATGTATGTTGAATTCTCTCAATCTTGTCTTTGTTCTTGTTGCCTACTAACATCCCACACAGTTAACAACGATGGAGTACCCAGACTAATGAAATTCTACACAAATGTTGATATACCGACTCAAAAGTTACTTCTTCAACAAATACATCAGTTGATATCGGTCCGAACAGCTCAAGAATGCTCATTCATTACACCTCCGAAACTCCTTGAAGACTTGGACGACATAAAAGTCATTTACCGCCATTATGCTACCTTATACTTTGTCTTTGTTGTTGATGATCAGGAGTCAGAATTGGGTATATTAGATTTGATTCAAGTGTTTGTGGAATGCTTGGACAAGTGCTTCACCAATGTTTGTGAGTTGGACTTGGTTTTTGGCTGGCAAGTATTGCAGACTGTATTGGAAGAGATTATTCAAGGAGGGATGGTTATTGACACAAATATTAGCAGAATTGTTGCTGCTGTTGATGAGGCAAATAGTCAAGTCAGCAATGGTGGGTCAGGGGCTGGTGGCACTAGCACTGCTGCATCAATAAGCCAATCCATATTGCTGTCATTGTCTAGAGATAGAGGGTTCTGGAGTAGGTGAAATGGCGTGTATCCTTTATAAAACTATCTACAGAATTAGAACGTAAGTACATATCACCTGGAGAAGATGTTCCAACTCGACTTTTTCTTTTGCTCTTGTAACAACTGCTCGAGCTCCTTTGACTGCTCCACGCTCTTTTTAATAGCTTCCTTTTGTTCTTCCTCAGCTTTCGTCTTGTGAAACAACTCTTTATCCACCAACTCCATACTTAGATTCCGTTGCTCCTTCTCCAAGGGCGATCCAATAGGACCAGTTTTCCAAATGGGATCATTTGAAGCAGCAGTTTGCTTGACAATTTCCATCAATCTTTGCTGCTCTTTTTGTCTTAGCTCCTTGTTTCTTTCGTACTCGGCTCTGATCTCTGGTGAAAATTGAGAAATCAACTTTTCATCTGATGGTCTAATTGTTTGATAAAGCAATACACCAGTTCCTATGATACATGCACCTGCGAAATAGACACGGGCCCACCTGAACCAAAGGGGCTTTGCAGACATGTTTGAAGGAAGTGCGTGGTTGTAGTCAAGGATGAAAGAGGGCAACTGTTTATATGTATGTCACTTTCTCAGATATTGGTTGTCATTTTTCTAAATTAGAAATGGTAGCGATACTCCACTCTATACAGAGTACAGCGTTTGGAACTTCTGGGTAATTGCAATAGTTTTAACTGAGAGCTATAGAAAGATTCATGCCTTCATCTTGAACATTTTAGACTCAGTGCGGATTCTAACCAAGACTTTATAACAAATATCTACTTTAGAGACATTTTTACTCTAAATTGTTGCAAAAAATAAAAAAATATAAGGAACCCAATTCAAATTGCTCTTGTTATGATATCAGAAGATGATAATCTTTTCATTTTAAACTTAGTGGAGAGGCAGAGAGACACAAGACATCTTTTCATGAATAAGCAGAATTAGGTATTGATTCGGGCAATTCAGTGAAAATTCGGAAGTGAAATTGCCGAGTTTTTTCCACTTTCTCACACTTTCTCGTCGTATAATTTTGTTGGAAACAAAACAAAATAGAAGAAGGGAAGAAAATTGTTGTACGCGAAATTAAATAAAAAAAAAAACAAAAAAACAGAAAGACAACTTTCTATACGACGAGATCACTTAATCACTATCTATATTCCCACTATACGGTGTGACATCATCACTTGAATAAAACAGGAAGACAAGATACGGAATTTAGATTTAGGTGAAGAACAAGAGATATCACAAACTGGTTAGTCACGTAATTGTTGTTCACACACAGCCTCAAAGGTCAATTCTTTACAGTTTGCATCCCCATTGAAAAGCCCTTTATATATATATAAACCAGGGTTGCAAAAAAAAAAAAAATAGGAGCACAACACCTGTGGGAGATTTTGAAAGTGCTTAGATTGACCCCGGATTTCGGTACAGTAGCAACATTCAACATCTTGCCACTTTCGAGTACCTTCACCACGCATTCATTCCCAAGGACATTGTAATCGTTTTGAAGAGGCATAGTTCAACAGTTTGCCACTTTTTTTATTCACAGAAACTCCGCGTCATAACTAAGTAATGGCAGGTCAGGAGGTTGAAAACACTAGCTTGGATCTGTCCGGTGAAGTTCTAAGACTGAGAGCAGATTCAGGTGGCACCTCTGACGACGCACAGCACCCAATCTCAAATATGTCAAGTGCTTCACCAGAACCCGTCAAGAAAAACTCTAAAGCATCCACGGGGAAGAGGAAGTACCATCAAAAATCACGAGCCGGTTGTTCCACTTGTAAAAAGCGTCGTGTCAAGTGTGATGAGCAGAAACCACTCTGTGGAAACTGTGTCAAATTAAAATTGGAATGTGGGTATTTGCACATGGACCCGGAAGAGTTCGCACCGCCTGAAAAGAAGCCCAAGAAAGTCAAGACAGAGTCGGAACATAAGAGGAAGAAAGTGAATACAAACTTCTCAAAGAAGGGATCGGATGGAGCTAAAAATGACGACTTTGCTAGTCAGAACTATTTGAATGAGACTTCCTCGACGCGAAATAGTAGCATTGGCGAGAGGTCTTTAGATGGCTTGGACTCTTCAACAACCACACAACAAGCGACACCTTCATTAACTCCAAGTCCAGCCTCAACGCAACCCAGTGTAGGCAATCCCCTTCCACGACCCAACAATCCAATGGCAAATATGAGCCAGGGCCAGCAGATGAGTAATCCCTTGAGTGCATTATCTACGGGGCTACTAAGTGCCGGAAATTTGAACAATTTGAATATTGCTCATTTAGTCAACAACTTGACAGGTATGAACAATGGCGGCGATGCATCAGGAGGCGGGTTGGGAAATTTCATGAATCTCGGCAATTTAGCAAATTTATCGAACTTGGCAACGTTGGCGCAATTACCCATTGATTTGAGTAATTTGGCAGGGTTGTTTGGTGGAAGTGGAGCAGGTGGTGGGTTGATTGATCAGTTAGCAGCAGCTGCAATGAATGGAAATAGTGGGTTGTCATTTGAAGGATTGTTAAATACACAAACGCAGCAACGACAACAAACGAATCAAGCACAGTCAATCCCGAAACAGGAACACTATCATTCAAATTCATCTGCAAACGGACATTTTCAACAGCCACAACAGCCACAACAGCAACCGCAACAGCAGCAACCGACACAACCAATACCCCAACAACAAGATATTGATGACAGTGTGATAGAAGCCGCAATCAACTTAGGCGCTCAAGGGTCAGCGCCTTCGCCGCCTTTCAGCATACCACCAGTCACCCCTTCAGAGTCAACAATACCGAATGGAGGAGGTACTCTACCCAATATAGCACCCAATCAAACACCACAGATACCCTCATCAGTACCATTGAACAATCGATCAATGGCACAAGCAATGAATTCAAGCAGTTTGAACATGTTGGATTTGAAACTTATGTTCCACTACACATCGCAAGTGGCCAATACCATCACGGGTGCTGGCATCTCAGAGACCAATATATGGATCCATGATATTCCAATGTTGGCATTCGAGCATCCGTTTTTAATGCACTCAATCTTGGCATTCAGTGCAACGCACTTGTCACGAACTGAAAAGGGTTTAGATCAATGCGTCACGTGTCATAGGGGTGATGCACTACGATTATTGAGAGAGGCGGTGTTGAACATTAATGCCGATAATACTGATGCGTTAGTTGCTAGTGCATTGATTTTGATTATGGATTCCTTGGCGAATGCCTCGTTTCCTTCTTCAACATCTCCTAAATCTTTGCCTGCGTCGGCATGGATCTTTCATGTTAAAGGTGCAGCGACAATTTTGACTGCTGTGTGGCCCTTGACTGAAGCGTCTCGATTTTATAAATTCATTAGTGTTGATTTGGGCGATTTGGGCGATATTATAAATCAAAAGGCAAATTTAAACGCGGGAAATGCTGGTGGCGGCGGTGGAGGAGGAAGCTGCTCTGGCCCCACAGGCAACGGGGGTGAACGGTTTTATGCAGATCTTGAATGTCATGATGCAGATATTGCCGATTTGTTCCCAGTTGACATTGACTCTCCCTATTTGATCACATTGGCATATTTGAACAAGTTGCATAAAGAACGGTACAAGTCTGATTTCATCTTGCGTATATTTGCCTTTCCTGCATTGTTGGATAAACAATTCATGTCGTTGTTGATGTCGGGAGATGTCAAGTCGATGAGGATCATGCGATCGTATTACAAGTTGTTGCGGTCATTTACAATGGAGATGAAGGATAAAGTATGGTTTTTGGAAGGGGTTGCGCAAGTGTTACCGCTGAATGTAGAGGAGTATGCAGGTGGTGCAGGTGGTATGCATATGATGATGGATTTCTTGGGAGGGGGCCCTGATATTGTTGATGACTACGGGAATGAGTTTCAAAGTGGTGATGATGGAGAGGAGGAGGAGGAGGATCAAGAGGATCAAGAGGATCAAGAGGATCAAGAGGAAGCAGGGTATAGAGACGCAAATGGGGCAAGTGCTAATAGCAACATCAAGGGCAGCGGTGTTGGTAGTAGCACAAACAACGGTAGCACGTCGGCCACTACTTCAACAAGTGCCAAACGAGCAAAGGTTAGGTTGAAAGAAATGACAAATACAAACAATTTACCAAGTGATATTACTAGTGAGTTGGATATAATGCAGGGGGATCAAGAGTTTATTTAATAAAGATAGAGAGAAAGAGTTAATGTATATGAGTATGTAATTAGTAATGAACAACAGGACAATGTAAAGTAGCTACGGTATGAATGTGGTTGTAGTGGTTGTAGTGGTTGTAGTGGTTGTGGTGGTTGTGGTGGTTGGATTCACGCGACACATAAAATTGACGAAATGCGGAAACAAAACAAAATAATCTGGACATTGGAGAATGTTACACTTTTACACACACTTTACTCTCACTTTTAATCAAAAAAATTTTAATCAACAATCTCAATCAATCTCAATCAATCAAAACAATCTTAATCAAAACAACCAACTCATTCAAATCTAACCACAACCATAAACCAACCACATTCATTCTCCACTCAAATACTGACAACACTTTACAAAGACATATACCTCACTGCACTAAACTAACACGTGTTAAACCCCAACCACTACCTGTTTTATTCTTTCGTGGACCACAGTTTTTATAATCAATTTGTTTATCCTTTTTTTAATACTCCTTCTTATCCAAGAACAACTAACCAAATATTGTATCTTTTGAACTATCACCTGAGAGACAGTATAGAAGCCAAGTATTTTGCATTCACATCAGCTTCGAAAGTTACGGTCACTTTTTTGTTCTTATCTAATCTAGCTACAGAAACGTAACCCCCTACATACCCCCCCACCCTACCAGACTTCCTTTCCTTTATTAACCACTACAAAAGGGTTATATCACCAACTTCAAAAGTTCTTTCTATTTTATCACAGCCATGCAGACCATAAAATGTGTTGTTGTCGGTGATGGTGCCGTCGGAAAGACATGTTTATTGATTTCATACACCACGAGCAAATTCCCCGCCGATTACGTCCCCACTGTATTTGACAATTACGCGGTGACGGTAATGATTGGTGATGAGCCCTTCACGTTGGGTCTTTTCGATACTGCCGGACAAGAAGATTACGACAGGTTAAGACCATTGTCGTACCCTTCAACCGATGTATTTCTTGTTTGTTTTTCAGTCATTGCGCCAGCATCGTTTGAAAACGTCAAGGAGAAATGGTTTCCTGAAGTACATCACCACTGTCCTGGAGTTCCGTGTTTGATTGTTGGTACTCAGACGGATTTGCGGAATGATGATGTTATTTTACAAAGATTGCAGAGACAGAAGTTGTCGCCAATCACACTTGAGCAAGGGGAGAAGTTGGCTAAGGAGTTGAGAGCGGTGAAGTATGTTGAGTGTTCTGCCTTGACGCAAAGGGGATTGAAGACTGTTTTTGATGAGGCGATTGTTGCTGCTTTGGAACCTCCGGTTATAAAGAAGTCGAAAAAGTGTGTTGTATTGTGAGAGAGAGAGTGTGTGTGAGATAGAGGGAGAGAGGAAACTCAAGGATTATGAAAGAGAGAGAGAGATAGGGGAGTGTATTGGAGAAACATTTAGGATTTCAGAATATGAGAAACATATACACATACTTGATGAATTTCAAATGTTTCAAGTCTTTTTACAAAAATTTTTTTTTTTTTTTTATTCCAATTATTGTTGCGTTGTGGAGAGGAGGTTGACCAAATTTTTCATCCATCCGAAACAGGTGACTTTCAATCACGTTAAAGTTGAAGGAGTCCCTAAACAAATAACAATCAAAACAGAACCAACAAAGTAACGGATATATATTTACGTATCACAAATTCACAAGTTGAATAGTAGTGTGTGGTCTTTATAGTCATAGATATGATTATTTTTTTATTCAAACAAAGTCAAACAGTTTTTCTTTGAAACGGTTTCAGATAATCTGCTCCTAATGGGTTAGCAACCAACTTCCATTGTCTCTTGAATTACAATTTTGCAATTTCTGTAGAATTGGAGACGCGTCGGGTGTGGGGTATCTTATGAAACAATGTTTTTGTTTATGCCCTGACCCCCACTTGTGATTCAAGTGTAGCGCTTATTGCGTATGCACTACAACTTAAGTAAAGAGAACCTCCATTTTATTGACAAGACACGGTTACAAGATCTGAATTCAGTTCAGTTTGACATTAAATAAAATAACGATATAGAATATATTAAGTATAATTAGTATTAGGGGAAGGGGGAGGGGGGGGAGGGGGGTTTGGCTAAAAGCTCCAACAGAATTCAAGCAAAATATTAAAAAACCGCAGATTGTACCAAACGTTGTAAAACAAATGTGTAAAAACGCCTAACATTGGAATAAAATCAATCAAATAAATAAATAGCAGAAACACTTTTTGCGGAAAGGGCAAGGCGAAGGCGAAGGGGAGCGGGAAGCACCGCGTTACTGCTTCAGTTCAAGCATCACTCTCTGCATTTCTCTACACCACTTCTTTTGGTGCTACTTTACTCTTGAGCCAATCCTTGACTGCAAAAAGCACCATCACCCAACTCATAAACAAAGTAGTGAACCCCAAGGATAAATTCAAAGTAAACATTCCCGTGAATCCATAGTATTCAAATGATAAAACAACAGGATCAGTAGACTCCATAAAGATTAAACCACCACATAACAAACCAAAAGCAACAACCAATTCGGTAATTGGCCGACTGGGCTTGGTCAAATCCTTTGGTTTGCTGGCATGCAACAAGAAAAGAATATAGGTGAAGAATCGGAATGCACAACCAATGACAAACATATTACCCCATTGAACATGGATGTCAGTCGATAATTGTGAGGCTTGTTTGTGCTGTGACATTAAAACACCTGTCCAATAGATGGTGATGATGGGGAATGGATTTGGACTGTAACCAGGACTAGCTTTAACGACATCTTGAGCATCAATCATCGCCGCAGCAGTCTCTTGCTCACTTTCTGAATGTCCATTGGAGGATAACTTTCTAAAATCGGCTAATGCCTGTTCAAATCGCCACTCTTGCAACTTCATCTCGGTAATAACCCCACACAATCCACATCCAATGAAAATAAACGCAATTGACACATGTTGCAAATCTTTTGCTGACCATTCTTGACCAGCATTGGATAAATGTTCCAAAAAGATATTGGTAGATCCGTAAAACAAAATCAAAGAACTCTCAATCATCTCCATTGTCCAAAGACCCTTGTTTTGGAATCTTGTCCAGAAATTATGAGTATTGCCCATTCTCGAAGTTACAAATTTATGATTCCAAGCCCATCCTTTGGTGGTGAATGCACCACAGTACCTTGCCAATGTGAGAATTCCATAACTGAAAAACACCCCTCCTTTGATGAAATGAGCTAACAAGTTGAAAACTGTCTTGCCTTGGCCGTAAAGACAGAATGTGGCAACTCCAGTGGGAACTAAGACCAAGTAGTAAAAGAAATGGCCCCAGTGTAACAAGTTAAACACAATGTTGAAGATGTAATGGAACTTGCTCTCTGCAACCAAAGTCTTGAACTTTTGCAATCTTGTTTGTGGAGTAAATACTTTTTCATAGTTTAATGGAGCTGATTCAATCAGCAGTTGTTCATCAGCATCTTCTTCCGAGTCAGAGCAGCCAATTGGTGGAGAATGGAGAGTAAAGTATGAGCCTCCATTTGCTGCTGCTGCTGTGGTTGTAGCGGTTGTCGTGGTTGCGGTGTTGGATAATCCACTAGCGCAGGCAGAAGCTGAAGAAGATGAGGATCCACTTGAGGCAAACTTTGGAGTAATGCTAGTAATCAAGGCAAAAACAAACTGTAAAATTGTTGTAACAAATAAGATACCAATCATTGAATTGTAAGCATTACCAGGGTAAATATCTGGAACCGAGTTGATGAAAATGGTGTAGTTGAGCATCGACAAGACCATAGTTACAGAATGTATAAACAAGGTGGTGAGGTATGTCTTTGTTAAACCCAAATTGTTGAAAATTAAAGCAATTGGATACGTTACAAAAATGGAGAATAGCCCCAACACAATATGGATATACAAGGCAGGACGATGTTTCGAAGGTATGTTGAAATAAGTGGTTGTGTTGTAATTTTCCCAAAAGGCGCGTTCTTCTGGTAATAAATGAGTTTGCAAGATTGGCAAACCCTGCTGATGCTTCATAACATGAGGCGTTGGTTCTAGTGAAGCTGTAGTGCCACTCGATTCGGTGGTAGGGGCAGTCGTGACTGGCTTGTTGCTATTTGTCAATGAAACAATGGCACCACCGTGTACCTCTTCATGTCCTCTTTCGCTGTCTGAGTCCATATCCATTGCTATGGAAGCAGTAGCAGCGAAAAGCAATAGTAGTGTGGAGACGGTCTTCATTGTTCACTTAATATCAGGTACTGTATGTATATCAGCTCGAGCTTAATAAATAAACGTGGTGTATGATGGAAATCCAATTTTATTTGTGTTGCCAGAATTTTTCGATACCAGGGCAGATTTTAACAAGAACAGGTGGGGTTTGTTAGAAGTCTATTAAAATGGGGGGAACCCTCTGGCTGTCTAGTTTGGGTGGGTTTCTATCTTCTCCTTGTTAACAATATAAACTGTTTAGGATGTGTATTTTTTAAACTGAAAAATGATTGAGTATATATATATATATGTAACTTTGCAACCAAATGCTGATTTGAAAAGGATGAAAAGTGCGGATATTTCTTCTATTTATACTTTTTCACTCTCACTTTTACACTCTGAACTAATTGACTGACTAATTGACTGATTAACTGATTAACAATACTTTTTACAATGTCATCCATAGTCATACATTTCTTTCTTAATTCCTTTTTGTAATACTTTCTTTTATTTTTATTTTCTTCGGCATTAAAAAAAAAGAAAAATATAAAGGAATGAAATAAAACAATTATAAGCAATTAACACAAACATCCCAATTACTAATTAGAGGTAATAACATACATTACATACATAAATTGTATACATATGTATATATCTATATGGAAGAGATAATATATATACAAAAGTGTTTACCTCGGCATCTATAATTAACAACACTCCTTTACTCTCAAATGGAATAACAGCTCAATTTAGCAACAGACTGAGCACATTGGTCACCTGTTTTTATTCTGAATCTGCAACAGAAGCAGTTGGTCGCAGTAAAAGACAAAGAGAGTAACGCAAATATCCTCCTGGAATTGAATCGAAATGAGCAGAAGAAGAAGAATAATAATAATAAAAAAAAGAAGCAAAGGGTATAAGTTTTTCCATGCGTAAGAAAGTTAAAAGTATCTTCTTAACTGACGGAACTCCATCGAAGTACAGTAGTCACCATTTTAAGCAAAAAGCAAAGGAACTGATATCGCCATAAACCAGATTAAAGGCCACCCTAAATCTCTTGGTCTTTCAGGTCATACAGATTCTTTCTCTAACCTACAAGCGCAATTTGATTTAAGCTATTTTGGCTACTCCAGAAGGTTTATATGGTGCTGCCGAGAAACCAGATTCCCCAAGAAGAATAAGGAGGACATAGAACCATTGTCAAGATTAGAGTTGCTTCCAATCTTTACAATAAACTCCGCTTTCGAAACCATATGGGAGACAGTAAAGAGGACACATTTGTCATTGTCTTCCATCACAATTGACTTACCAACACCAACACAAACACCAACACCAACACCATCTCCATCTCCCCCCTCTTCCATTCCCATCTTTCTTTCCGCTCGATTCAAATTACTGTGTTTCTGTTTCTGCAAACGTAATCAAAGGTTACTCGCATTCTAGAATATGTTTCCAACACACAGTTATTCAAAAGAAAGAGTTACAAAAGTAAAATGTGTCTATTTTTTCATTTCTTCTTTTTTGTAAACTGTGTTAAAAAAAAACAAGAAAACATAGAAGAGATTAATTTTGCTTTTGCTTTTTCTTTCGACCGAGTTTTTACGGAAATAAAAAAAAATTTGCTCGTCAAACTCCGAATACACATACACATACACATACAACTACGTCATCATATGATATTATAATTCAATTCCATGAGATTATCAGAAACATCACTTGATGTGGTTAATCCGATAAGCATTACAACCATAGTCTCTCTCTCTCTCTCTCTCTCTCTCTTTACAGCCAAACATCATACGATTTACACGAAATGTTTGCTGCAAGTTTATCCAAATAATGGACCTTGCATTGTAATATTTTCTGTCGCGCAATCCTATTGTACTCCCTCATATCGAGCTTCTCCAATGTATATATACAATACAATAGCTATTGAGAACAGCAACATCTTTTTTAAAATTAAAATTAGCAATTGCCAGTGGGTTCGTGGCTAACTTTGACAATGCAAGGAGGCAAAATACAGAATACTACTTATGTTGTAGTCGAGTCTGAGCGTTCAGTATTTTATCAGGGGCCAGAACCCCCCCAAGCTCCACTTGCTGGCAGTTTTACTGGTTTTGCTGGTTTTGCTGGTTTCACATCAAATATAAAACAATTCACACCCTTGCGCTTCCTGCTTCATACAATCTTTTCAATGTTTTTCCATGTTCTCTTCCTCATGGCAGTAATAGGACTCAGGTAAATTCTTCACTCAAGTGAGTTCGGAATTCCGCTAGTGTTGTTGTCAACTACAAACTAATAAACAAAAGATTTTCAAAAAAATAAAAAAAAAAAATTTAAATCCCACATGTTCTATTGTATTTCTTCTAATGAAAGTAAATAGAGAGTCTACTTTTAAATTGTTTTTATGGTTGGTGCATCTAGTAGTCTCCTTCAATTTTGTTTTTGGTTTTGTGTTGTTGCAGATGTAACTTTTGTCAAGCTCTATTTTTGTGTTTTAGGTTTTGTATTATTAATTTGGCGGAAGAATCGGCAATATTTTACTACACTTGCAAATATCCGAATTATTTTTACTGCCGAAAGATCGAATACAATAACAACTTTAAAGGAGAGGGGGGACCGTCTAGAATTTGCACTAGTTATCATTGTTTATATATTTGGACCTTGTAAAGGGGGTCTGGGGTTATGAACTATTCTGTCGTACGGCTAACTTCCAACTTGTGGAAAGTTCTTTTCATCAATTGTAATGTATTCACAATGACTGAGAATCGTCTCCTATATTTTTTTTTTTTTATTTTTTTCCTACAATCAATTTGCACAGTCTTTGATTGATTTTATGTAATACAAACTATATATATATATATATATATATATCTTCCTCCACACGCATACTCTCTCTCTCTCTCTCTCTCTCTCTCTCTCCTCTCTATAACGCATTTTTCCTTGTCAAATAATCAAACCTTGAATAAGTATATCCAATAAATGGCAAATCCTCCTTTGGATTCTTTCTTCCACCATTCTTGGCATCCAACTCCCGTTGTTCCATTGCTTTGGTCAAGATTGGATTGTCAGGCACATTTTCCAACTCATCAGTAGGGAAAAATCTCGTATCAGTGATCGATCTCAACTTGGGAATAAATGGTGCATCAACTTTGCGTATACTATCCCAATCAACACCTCGGAAAAAAGGGTGCTGCTTTATCTCATCTGCTCCTCCATATCGACCCAATCTTTGCTCAGCTGATGTACACAACCGTTTAATCAAATCTTCCGCCTCGGGAGATAAGTGCACGTCATCTGGTATTTGCAACGTTTCTTGCCAATTGATGATTTTACGATACGTTTCATGCGGAGTCTCGGCACAGAATGGTGGCCATCCTACTAAACATTCAAACATAATTGCCCCCAATGACCACCAATCACATTCTTGTCCATATCCCTGATGTACAAAAATTTCAGGAGCAATATAGTCCGGGGTACCAACTGTGGAATACGCCATCAATCTTCGTGATTTTCTCCATGTCTGCATCTGTTGTCTATTGGACATGGTCAAATGTATAGCATCCACCATCATTGAATTACGTCCATTACTATTACTTGTCAAATGATTTGCCGGTAATGGCGGCTGGCTAGGATTCTCCTCCAACAACTTCTTGTAGTAGTTTGAATCATGAGTCTTGTGGAACCCAGTAGACAATCCAAAATCACTTAGTTTAATATGTCCACGTCTATCAATCAAGATATTATCTGGTTTGATATCACGATGAATAAAACCCAACTTGTGAATAGCTTCCAATGCCAACACACATTCAGCCATATAGAATCTCGTGATATCTTCGGTGAAAATTTGCCATCTAATCAACATCGTCATCAAATCACCACCTGGTAAATACTCCATAATCAAATAAAGATATTGAGAATCTTGAAATGAATAGAATAACGAAACAACCCATGGAGAATCACTATTGGCCAACACATCTCTTTCAGCACGCACATGCGCCAATTGATCCTTCTTGTACATTTCCGACTTCAACAACGTCTTCATGGCATAGATATGACCATTGTCTCTCTTTTGAACCAATCTTACTTCACCAAAAGCCCCCTTACCAATCACTTTAATCGTTTCAAAATCTTCCAAACACAATTTGGTTCTTCTCAACCGTAAAAACTGCTTTTCTTTTTTGCTATAGTTTTGAATGTGGCGATTTTTCCGCTCTTCAGAGACTCCTGCTCCTTCTTCAATCAATTTTTGCTCCATTTGCATTCGTCTTTGGTTCCTTTCAATGGCATGATTCACTGCCATTGTATAGAAATTTTCCATCTTTAACTTTACAGCCTTGCCTCGATCTTGTATCTCACTGGGCAAAAGGTGTGGCTGTCTATTGAAATGAACATATGCCAAACTTTGATTGGTGGATGGGTTTAAATCTCGACCACCAGAGGAGGGAGGAGTAAAACTGGTTGTCGATTGTTCCTGCTGTTGCTGTTGCTGTTGCTGTTGAGGAGGCATTGCCTTCATTGGCGATTGCAAAGCCTGAGGTGCCCGTTTAGGTGGCAGCTGCGACGGTTGTGGAGCTTGTCCCTGTTGTGACCAAGTAGACGAAGTAACGGGGGTTTCCGGAGGCGAATTCAACTCAGGTGAGCTAGTCAAATTCAATGTTGACGACTGATTGCCGTTACTGATTTCCGACAAGTTTGTATTGGACACATTATTGAGCTGGGTAAAGTTATTCACTGGAGGTTGATAATTCATCGAATCTATTGAACTGAACTGAATCCCCTTGCCATTGTGCCCCGAGTGCGATGAAAAACCTTGCTCAAATTTGTCCAGTTGTGCGAAACGAGGCGATGACATGGTGTTCATTTGTGGTGGCAACGCATTCAAATACCCCTGCTGCTGCTGCTGTTGTTGTTGTTGTTGATGGTTATGTAGTTGCTGCTGACCCCTAATCGGTGATTGGTCCTCTAGCTGAACAGGTACTTCCTCTACCAACTCCACTGTATCTTCATCCATGAAACTATCATCACCCTGTCCTGGATGCCCTTGGTTTAGCAGCTGATAGTGTTGTCCTTGTGACAGTTGAAGTTGATTTGTATAGTGCTGTTGTTGCTGCTGTTGTTGCTGCTGCAAATGCTGTAGGTAAAGCTGCTGCTTTTGTTCATCTGTCAATTGATCAAAGTTCATGCTAAATGGTACTTTTGTAAAAACGATGTAGTGTATGTATACTAATTCAAATGACGCCAGATATAGTTTCCTTTAAAGCCGTCGTAAGCTAATATGATGTGATTACTCCAAGCACCAGGTATTTCGAGTGTTGTGATTACAGGTCCGAACGTTTTGGATCAAAAAAAAAAAAGATCTTGAAATTCTCGTCTCACACTTAAAGGGGAAGGGGGGAAAGGAAGAAAATAAATGGACTCGCTCTCCGCCCTCCTTTTGTTTTGATTATCTCTTGGTCTTCTCGCATAAGTTATTTCTCTCGTCTTTCCAATACAAAAAAAAAATAAAATAAAATTCATTTCCTTCTCTTCTGTCTGACGTGAAACGCTCTCACGGTGTTGGCGGAACAAAAAAAAAAAAAAATTACCTACCGCACCAACACCTTCCCTCACCCTTGAATCCCCCCCCCCCACACCGCGCGAGTACTCAAAGTTTTTCTCGCCCTCTTTCTCGCCCCAGCTCGTACGACCTACTCGGAGTATGCCACGTTACGAAACGACTTTAAGATCCATCCACCACTTACATTCATCTTCCTCTACAACGGTACATATTGCGATTTCTTCTCTGTCAACTAAGCCGTCTCAATATTTTTACATTAACGTTTATTTTATTGAAGTATTTAAACACATGTAACAAACAATCTGCAACACAACCTTAGAATTGCAAAGCTTGACCTTTTTGTTTCTTGTCACCACCCAATTCGAAATGCTTACATCTCTTCAAAGCCAATTGAGCCTTGGTCTTGCAGACAACACATTCCAATCTCAACACAACCTTCTTGGTGGTCTTGGCCTTTTTGTGGAAAACTGGCTTGGTTTGACCACCGTAACCCTTTTGTTTCCTGTCATATCTTCTCTTACCTTGGGCAAACAATGAGGCTTTACCAGCTTTGTATTGGGTGACCTTGTGTTGGGTGTGTTTACGACATTCTTTACCTTTACAGTAGGTTCTTCTGGTTTTTGGAACGTTCACTAAAAGAGTATACATGGTTAGTATCAAACTGGTGTTGTGAAATGAGGTGCCATTTACCCCGGGTCAAAAACGAGTTCAATAATGTTTGTCTTTCGATGGGTGAGTTATGCTCTCGTAGTACGCATTTGGCCCTCATGGCCGTCATGGCCCTCTTTTCCCTCTAACGTGTATCATCTTCTCTCTCTAGTGCCACTTGCAATATTAATTGATATCTTGCATTTACTCCACAGCAATGTTCTATTCTGGGATCTTCCGGGTAAAAAGTTAACCTTCTATCGCCACATGTTGACCTCTGTTGGATGACCTCAATATTATACGCTAGTTGAACATACCCATCTTGTCTTGATATTGATAAAGGTAATACTGAAAAGATGTTGATGTTTTTTTTTCTCACTAATAGGATTTTTCGCTCTCTAAACTATTGTTGAAAGTGAGCACTAACTTTTGTTTTTTTCTTAGTCACGTGCAGATAATCAAGAATAACACTTTAGGGCTACAAACACAGTATGATGCAATTGCTCGAGGCATATTCAGGCTATTCACCGCCATTCCCTATCTATTATGCTGTGTGCCAGCACGTATGGGCCTTCTACTTTTACTCAGCTGCTCTGAAGATAGCTCTGAGTGGGCACAGTCTAGCACTTAGGAGACCTTGCGTCGTCCAATATCTATACATCGTACTACAAACTACAAAGTTGCAAATAGCTGAAAGTTTGTACAATTCCAAAAAAATTAAACCGAATCTAGTTACTAAACTACACGAAGAAAGAAAAAAAGAATCTGAACTTGCAACGCCTCTCACGATTAGCTGAGAGTAACAGTGGTGTACGAAGTCGAAGTCAGCGTCACCGTTTCCTCGGCATCAGTTTCGTCGTCATAGTAATAATCGTAGTTTATGTAGCAAACACCACTTGAAGTAACAGTGGTCACATTCTCAATGATCCATGAATCTGTGCTACTTGGGATAGCAGTAGCAGTGATTGTTGGGCCGTCAGACAGAGAATCTGCAGACGTCTCGGGAACCAATTGAGCACTGGAAGGCTTGACCAATTGGGTTGACGATCCAGCTCCTGGAGCAGCAGAAGTTGCAACGGAGGAGGAAGACGACGAAGATGGCGATGATGCAGCACCAGCAGCACCAGCGCTAGCACCAGTAGTAGCACCAGCAATGGTTTGTACTGTAGATGACGATGATGAAGGAGGCTTGGCTGTATTTTGTTGTGCACCTGTTGTCCCTGCAGTCGGTGTTGAGCTCGTCAGTGCTTGTGCTTGTGCTTGTTGCTGTTGTACAGTGGCTGATTGAACTTCATTTTCACTGATCGGCGAAACGTCAGCAGCTGAAATAGGAGTGGTGGCAACTGTGGTGTATGTGTGTGCTGTACCCCAGATTGTAGATGTAACGGTTGCAGTGTAATGGGTCACAGTTTTGGTACTTGCACTGACAATGTAGTTGGTGTATGTTGATGTTGGGGCATTGACAATATGGGTATTAGTGTGTATGTCCAGCACAGTTGTTTGGAGAGTCACAACAACAACATCGTCATCATCACCACCACCGGAATTATCTCTCTTTGCTGGAGCTGCAATTGTGTGTGCAAATAAGGAAAGTGATGTTAAGCCTGCAAGAAAACTGTTGAACTTCATGTTGTATTATTTTTGGGTATTTTTGTAAAGGAACGACTATGGTAGGTGGTATACTAATGATAGACTAAAGTTGGAATTATGGAGTGTTGAAATAAGGAGAGACTGGGGTGAAAAGTAATGGTAATTTCGTGTTGGACTTGTATGGGTATTAAATTGTGTGTAAGCTTGTGTTGAAGAACTGCGTTCCACTTTGAAGAGTTGGCTTCATTTTCATCAGTTTATATAACATTTCCAGTAGCAAGCATCAATATTCTCTCAGTTCTCACAGCTTGGTTGTTGTTCTTGTTCTTCAACATCTTTAATTAAGCAATGCTGCAGGTTAAGTGCTGGCTCTTTTACCTTTTGAGTTAAGGCCTGTTCCAAAGGAGAGTAACTATGAACTTAGTGGTAACCAATTTTGTATGCGTGCGCCGCGTAAGAGTTTACACAAAAAATAAAAAAAAAATTCGCTGGGTGCGAAATCCAAATTAGGAAATCAAACTGATAATATTTTTTTTTGGCAGAGTGAAATTTTTTTACATAATGCCATCTCAAGACATGATTTGTAAATTGCTTGTTTGAGTTGTAACAGAGACTAGTAATGGTCAGTCGGTAAAAGCAAACAAAGGAGTGGTGCTGTTACTTTTGCAGTTACATAAAGAGAGTCTACATTATTCACCATGTCAGACCAGAACATTATTAACCTTTGATTATTGCAAACTACCTCACCCTCAGAAAGCAAATGCCTAAGCAAAGCCGTATTGCATTGATGATTTGAAACTAAAATTATACAACTCAATCACTTTAATCAATTATTTGCGCAAGTTTTGGGCCAAAAATGAATCAAATTGACCAAAACTAACCGTCTAAGAGCTAGCGCCATCCTAGAATAAAGTATTACATTTTACATCGATGGCGACCCGTTTTAGTTAACCATCCAGCCTTCTTTCCGTTTGTTTACCCTTTGGTGGTTATTTTGAGTTCTTTCACTTTTTGAGTCACAAAGTAAACTTTGCTTCGTACAAAAAAAAAATAAATAATTATTTATCATCTCGGCCATACCGTCGTCTCCTATTCAAGGCAACAAATACCAATTTCGAAACTAAACTTCACAATGTGTCCCAGATGATAAAAATACAGTGCAGACCAGTGTACCATAGAAGGAGTTAGTCGAGCCGGCCCCTTGAATTACTATGGATCCTTTGGATGCCCTAGAGGAGAACCATTACGATGCCCCAAACGCACCTATCTCCAATTACAATCCAACGGGGACGACACAACAATCGAGCTCTGACAGCAATGCCGGCTTACGACGGCAACCACATATGTCTCAAGCGCACACTTTCACTTATCAACGTAGCCCCTTGGAGACATTGAGTGAAGAGACACAATCGGTTCCTCCCCTCAATGAAACCGTTACCACAATTTCCACAAACCAAGTCCCATTTCAGATGCAACCAAATACCATATTACTGAGTCAACTGTATCCAGAAGTAGTACCAGTCAGCAATCAAAATAAAGCTTCATTAGTGTATCCTTCAACCCAATTCGTGCAAAACACAACCGGCAATGCTTTTCACCGCCTACGACCTAATATGTCGCACTCACCACCAAAAGCAAAACGAAAGAGGAAGAACAGACCGGGCAAAAAGTTTGGAGCTCGAAAGAGGTCTTGGGTGTGGTCCTGGTTCAAGCAAGATGCCAAGAACCCAAATATTGCGGTTTGCAATACTTGTTTGCGAGCTATTGTTCGGGTGTCTTCTGATAAAGGGTCACCGAAAAAGTTACTAGAGCATTTAAGGACTCATGGAATTACAGCGGGGACACGAAATAGTCCTGCTGACAGACAAACCGGTGATGGCGATGACCAGACAAGATGTAGCAGTACGACCCAACACTTTCAGCCAAGAAGTTTTACAAGACAGGATCCACCATCTGGAGAAAGTGAAGCTCACGTGGGGCAGCGCATGCACCTAATCCGAAACGATGCATACCACACAAGAGCATTCCACCAGCATTTGTTATCTTTCCTAATCGAAAATAAATTACCCATAAATATCATCAGATCAAGACAATTTCATCAAGTTGTACAAGATTTACGATTGGAAGCAATACCGGACTTGCAAGAGTTGCTATATCTATACGATTCCTTTGTACAAGTGAGCCAATTCGGGCCCAATACACATTTCTCTACTACTGCTGAAGAGAGTGCCGCCATGGCACTACTATCCGAAGCTCTACATAGACACTAGACTAAATATTGTGGTTGCTTTTTATTTTCTTGTACTATTCATAGTGAATCTACTGTATGCATATATTATCTAAATCGAGAGCTCTTGCATATTCTCAATCATCCCGTCCAAACTTTGCTGATTCAGTCCGTGAAAACCAAAACTACCAACAATTGGTGTTTCGCCTCTACCGTACAACACATTAGGTGTTGGTCTATCTGGAATTGCTGAGCTTCCAGGAGTTGGGGGATCAACAATAGATTGATCTTGGTAATTAGGAGGACTCAAGGTTCTCACATCCTCATACGTTGGTGGAACTTCATCATCCCAAGCAATTCCTAGTCCCGACCTCTCAGTGAAAGGGAGCTTAAATTGCATCCTCAAGACACGCGCAGCTCCAGTTGGAACACCAGCCAACTGATTGGTGTTGGCAGCAGAATTTGACGTCGAAGGTGCCAAGTTGGGTGACACACTATTGGGGACTGTGCTGGACTGAGACCCTCTTCTAAGACCAATGGAGTCTCTGCTGCGTGTTGGATTAAGATTGTTCGAATTCCTACGGTCAACGTGGTGAACCATTTCTTCAGCAACAACAACTTCAACAATCAATGTATGCGTGACAAAAACACCCAATGTTGGATCATCAATATCACACGATATATTAGCGCCATTTTTGAAATCGTTACTGGCTTGAACCTTGTCGTCGGTGCTCACTTTAGTGATGTGATTATTCGACCCGGTGGAAAGTCTATTGGCACTCACATTCGCAACCATCTCGATACGCCCCCTACCGGAAAAGTCCGATTTCCAACCAGACTTGAACTCACCATAGTTTATTGTTCTTGTCTCTTCCATGTACAAATGTTTTTCTGAGTCGAAGGGGCGATTTGATTGTTGAGGTGTAAGAGCACTACCAGCAGTATTCTCAACAGGACCCGTATTTGTCGAAGCGCCACCAAAATCCTCAAGAAAGCTTTGATGTACATTTGAGGGTGCCGTACGCACTGTCTCTTCAATATCATGGGACCCGTCATCGAGCGGAACACTATCGGGCAACCCATTTTCTAGCAATACGGGCTCACCCGAAACTTGAGTTGATGGACTTCGGATGAATGCGACATTCGTTTGTACTGTACTGTGATGCATTCCTGAAGGCTTTTCAATCTTTTGGCTTGACTTCTTGTACAGCTTCTCAAGAGTCTCAAGCTTTTCAGCATGCTTTTGACAAACATGGGCCTTGATTTTGATGTTTTCCTCAATTCTCCAAATCAATTTTCTCATTCTCCACCTTCTTTGTTGCGATTCATTCACTAAATTATCCAACTTTAGCTCAATAGGGAATGTAGACTTGGGATACACAACATTTGGCAAAACAGCACTTGCTGTAACTTCTGTGGGAGGAAACACTCGTAAGGAATTTCGATCGGGTCCCCTCAAAACCAGTCTTGAGATATTAATTGGCAAAACTAGTTTCTTGTTTTGAAGCGAATCAGTAGCAATAACCTCTGCAATCAAGTCGTACTTTATGAAAGAATGCGAGTTGGCCGACCCTAATTTCGAAGTTGGGGGAAGGGACCCTGGTAATAAGTGAGAAAACGGGTATGCGTGATTACCTGTGGTGAAGTTAAAGTGTGACGTCAAAACATCCCAACGAGCTAATTCTTCTATCCTGTCTGTGCAGTTCTTACAGTTTGCGATGGCAGATGAGTTAGGTATCAAGAATGGTTTTGTGTATCTCATGGTTTGTTTCAATGTTAGGGTAACACGTTCCAATTCTATTTCACGTGTAGTAATCAATCGCAATAGACCAGATATTATTGATCCAGTAGACTCCGAAGGACTACCGTATAAAATTATCGGAGGTGACTCAAGTGCTATAGACAAAGTATACGCAGGTGGTGAGTTGGGAGAGTCCAGTGGCTTGACTATTCGACCGTTATTTGTTCTCGTGGGGGTGGTAGATGATGTCGAAGATGCAGCGGAATTCATCGGAGATAGCGCTGATGACGACTTGCGTGACGACGTGGGTGTTAACTTCCTCGTGGTTGAAGCAGGCAGCTGCAGTGACCGCCTATCCGAATTATTGTTGAACACTTTTGACAACAAGGTCATTGCTTGTTGGATAATGAAATATGATCAATGAAAGTCAAAGTTCGATTGTTTATGTTCTGCACGTTCAAGCTAATGGGTTATCAACCTTTGTGATAGGCACTATTTCATGCGTAGTTGCATTTAGCGCTTCCACTAAGATAATGGTGATGTAACGGTTTGTTTCGTTTATGAATTAGGAAAACAAGGGTGTGTGCAGTTTGACAGGCTGTGTGATCTCTATGTGGAGCTCAATATTGTCCCAACATGGTCCGAGAAGCCAAAAAAAAAAAAAAAAATGATGCGCTTTTGGTGCCACATTATGTGATTGCAACCACAGTAAGTAGAAAGCAAGTTGTTCAGTCTATTTCAGTTTACCACGTATACACGAATAGCCAACTTGAGGTGTATAGATGTAAGTTGTGTAGCTATACTAGAATCTTAAAGAAATCGTACATAAGTGAAACGTTTCAGACTCGATAGCTGTGGTCACGATACTTTACTGAGCTGCTCTCAAAAGTCGATTTGTCAAATAGAATTCTGCCCCGTAATTTATTGAGCAAAACCCAGATATAGTGGCGGACCTAGCTCTTTTGACTCCTTGGCAATCACTACTGGTACAGTTTATCTTTGATAGACTACGAAACGCTACCATATACACTCTATCATGAACTTCAAAATTTGGGACTGGAGAAAATGTAGGCTTCGATTCCCAATTCGCAGTACTTGTGTCATGAGTAAACAATATTTGGTGGTGGATAATGGGACGTTTAATATCAAAGCAGGCTTTAGCTCTGATCATGCTCTAGCACCTACTAAAGTTTTCAATGCGATAACGAGGACTAGAGATGGCGTACTACATATTGGAAACCAGTTCAAGGCACATTCCAAAGATTATTCTGGAATACAGATCAAACGACCATTTGAACAGGGGAATCTAACATCCTGGGAAACAGAAAAGCCAATTTGGGATTACACTCTAGATCAAATTCTGAAAACAGAAATTGATGCCTCAAATGTGCATTTAACATTGACAGAAACACCATTTCAATTACCACAATTGTCCTCGAATACAGATCAAATAGTATTTGAGGAATACGAATTCAATGAATACTATCGATGCATCCCTGCGTCGTTGGTACCGTTTGGAGTTAATGATTCAAGCGTGAATTCGGATTTCACGCTAGTAATTGATTCTGGATTCAATGCTACTTGGATTGTTCCTGTCATTTACAAGAAGGTGCATTGGGAAGGGGTAAGAAAGCTACCAATCGGAGGAAACTTACTCAACGGGTTGCTACGAGAAGTCATCTCCTTTAGACATTATGATATGTCAGACGATCCAGTACTTATAAACACAATTAAAGAGTCTACTTGCTTTCTCGCCAAAGATTTTAATGAGGTGTTGAAGAACAAGCTGCAGTACAAGTGTGAATTTGTTCTACCCGACTTCAAGACAACAACAACTGGGTTTGTCAAAACTAAGGAATCCAAACTTGCACCTGATACCCAATTATTGACCTTGTACGACGAAAGGTTTACTGTTCCCGAGTCCTTCTATCACCCAGAGATTGTATTTGATCTCAATAGAGCCACCGCGTCCAGCTCAGTGTTGCAAAATGCTCCAATCAAAAACTTGACAGATTTAGTAGTTTCTAGCATAATGGCATGCCCAGAGATTACCAGACCATTATTACTGGCGAACATTTGTCTCTCGGGAGGAACAACAAATATCACCAACTTCAAAACACGTTTGGAAATGGAATTGACAAAGGAGTTGCCTCTGAAATGGCATGTGAAAGTACACGACGATTACGAAGATAGACAGAAAGACGAAATTGCTTGGTACGGCGGAATAAATTTAACCAATGACGATATACTTGGAAAGATTAGTGTTTCCAAAAAGGAATATTTTGAACACGGTAGTAATTGGTGCCAAAAGCACTTTGGATTCAAAAATGTTTGAATAATAATGAATCTTGGACACGGATTTTTCTCTTTGTTTATTTAGCTAATGACTTCTATCAACTGATTGTATGTAAGATATCTACTCAACATCAACCATCCGTATCTGAACCACACCATTTGACTATAATGACCATACCCCATAGCTGCATAACTGCAGGCAAGCATGTTCAAGTCAGAATATATCTGGATTGATGTTGACGAATTTTTTGGCTCAAAAAAGCTAATCGTGATATTGACCGGCACAAACTTTTGAATGAGAGTGGAAACGTAGTCAACAAACAACTCAATATTTGTCAAGAATGTAAAACTGTACTTTTCCAAAAACCCTAAACTTTTAAGTTTGTACAACTTGACATTGTTCTTGAGTGAGTTTTTTATAAATGCTTTCGCTCCATGATACAAGGCGATGTGATTTGGGTGATGAGAAACTCCAAACTCGTCAAATGTGATTATCACCTGCGCATGGTCTTTGCTCTTGAAATTAATGATCAGTTTCAATGACTCTTGGATATCTTCTACTGGCCATGACTCGTTCATTCCGTCTTTGTAATTCAACACAGTAACATCATTATGGTCAATTCCAAGTATACCAGCCGACTTATACAACTCTTTAACGCGAATTGGACCCATTGATTCACCTACAGCATCTCCTCTTGAAAAACATATTAGTTTGATTGTGTTGTTGTACTTTGGCTTCGACAACTCCAATATCGTCGGAGAAAAAAACATAACTTCGTCATCGGGATGACCAATTGCATAATAGACCGTGGACTCTCTGATTGACGAGATTGGCTTAGGGAATGTTATGGAATTTTGTGGGTATTGGTTATTTATAAACCGATTGGTCTTGACCTGGATGTTCGTGTAGTTTATCAAGACTTGAGGAATTGATGTAGTAAGTATTATCCAACTGAGGAAGGTACCTAGAAGAAACCGCGCCAATAGACTCGGTAGTTTGAGTAACATTGTGGTGTACACGCGTATTTGTTGGCAACTTTCGTAATAATAGAAACCAGTTGAAAGAAGAAAGCACCGACCTTTGATAGACACAGTGACGCTACCACTCAACAATTTAAGTAGGTAAATATTACCGAGAAAAGCTCATGCTATAGACTCTTACTCTAAATGTTTTTTCTTTTTTTTTTTTAATTGTTTTAAACAAAGCAAGTATTAGAGATTGAAAATACAGACACTGGATGAGTGAGTGTGAGTGAGTGTGAGTGAGTTAGTGAGTGTGAGGGAGTGAGTGAGTGAGTGAGTGTTGGGGGGTTCTGAACTTCTGTTTGTATTCAATAAAGGCATTTTGCCTAAAACAGTCTACGACTCACCCTCTTTTAATATATGCCACTACTTCTTTCTAGCAAAAGTGTACCCGGTATTCCATACTAAGTCTACCGCAGTCTTCTCCAAATCCCATCCTGTCGCTTCAACCAACTCTTTAACGAAATCGGTTTGAATCAAACCTGCATTCCCACTTTTTTCCTTATAGTTATGAAATCCGCTATAGGTTTCAAAATAAGCCAAATAGTCGTGCAAGCTAATGCTCAACTTCTTCAAGTCCAAGTCTTTAGACTCTTCAGCTCTGGGATTCTTAGGTGATGCCCGGTAAGTGTTAATAGTAACATCAGTGAATTGATCTTGTGGTATATGCGAGTTTACCTCTTCACAAAAGTGTTTCAAAATGTCTCTTCCTGGTTGCTCCCAATGTGGACCAATCAAATTTGGATCGTTGTAAGCAAACTTCAAATAGATCTCATACGCCTTTTCCAAAATTTCCTCTTTGTCTCCTTTCGACGGACCAGTAAAATCAATAATCATTGGATCAATGTAGTAGAAGTACGCCAATGTTCCGCCTCTTTTCAATAACTTGGCAGCACTTTGGAAGAAACTGTCATAGTCTTGAAACCAATGAATACACTGTGCAGCCGTGATCAAGTCTATTGACCCTGACTCGACACTTTCTTGGTCATTGACAAAACTTTCGGCCGAACCAACTTTGAATGCTATTTTCGGATCCTTTGAGTCTAACCCCATGTCTTTTAAACGTTGTTGAATTAACGAATTAGCAGTTTCAATCATTGGAGGCGACAAGTCCAAACCAATTACGTCACAAACAAAGTTCAATAGTGGGTAAGTTGCAACGCCTGTACCACATCCTAAATCAATTGCTTTGTTTACCGGTAACTGATGTTGATTTTGCCCCTTTTGAACATATTCACTCAAGATCTTGTAAAAGGAAGGTGGATAATGTGGACGAAATGAATTGTAGTTTAATGTCTTGAAACTGGATTTTGAAAAGGTAGCCATTGTTTCTTACTGTTGAGGAGAGGTGGCCGTACAATGGGATTGAGTAGTCAATGGACTGAGGTGATGATATTGATATATTTCAAGTAGTGTATGTTCTGAACAAAACTTTAATTTTCTCTTCACGGAGTTTTGGCCGGAGTTGTCAAAAATTTTGGTGCCGATATCGGAACCGAGCGTAATATACAAATGGCGTGCAAATTAAAATTACTTTATTGAATCGATGAAGAAAGTCTCAGGACGAAAAGAGCATGAAGTTGATGCTTCCTTATACGCTCTAAATAAACTCAGCAACCCTCAGAAATGAAGTTTTTATAGACGATATGTGTCAAGATGTCGAGATAATTTTCTTTGTCGACTTAGTAGTAAAGTTCTTGAAGAGTCAATTAGAGAAACAATATATTCGGGTGGAAACAGCCTCCACCGAGGCATAACCATGTAAATGTAGGGCGAGTAACTCAGCCTACGACAACATTTATCAGCTGTCTACTCCAAGGAATCATAGTTTTAAAAGATCGAACAAAAAAGAAAAAGAAAAAAATAATTGAGAATTTACGCGTCAATCAAAAGCTTCTGATCTGGAGCAAAGATCCAAGTGATGTGTCAGGGTTGACAAGCATGCACAATGTTGAAGACATAATATCCGACTCCGAAGATGACATCACTACTTTTTGCAAACCATTCAAGCCTGAAGCGATTTCAAACGGTTTGGATACAGAGGGTCATGTTGTCAAAGATTCAGCGGTGTGTGCTAAAGACGAAGATGACGAAACTGAAGAGTCCGAAGAAGTGTACTTCCATATGACCCAAATGCAGTCAATACATGAAAGCGTTACTGGATTGGAGAAGGAAAATGATCTTCAAAAGAAATCAATCTTGTTATTGCGATCACTACAGTGCGATTCACATGATCAAATAGATGAGGACAACGCACCCAACCCACCAGTCAAGAAAAGGGGAAAGAGAAAATTAGCAACAGGAGTAAGAGGTGGAAGAAAAAACCAATCTATGAGTAGTCTGGTTCGTGAGGTTTTTGAGTCGGATAAAAGCAGATATTTCATTGCCAAGCAGAGTCGAATCGATGAATTCTGCGCCAGGTCTAAAAATAACAACTTATCGCGAACTCTACAGCATCGACGACTTGAACAACTAAGTGGAAAGCAAACTCTATCTTCCACCGATTGGCAAGAAATCTTGAATGTCATCAGAATACAGTTTCCCCGGACCAAGTTACAATTGTCTTCCGAAATACAAACAGAGGAGAGCTTTGAATGCAAGTCACTTTGGGATGAGGCGGGTTCTAATATTATGTTGAACGATGAAGAAATAAATATTTTATATAATAGATGATGAAAGCGAGCTCATCGCGAGGAGTAGACGTTGTTGGCGATATTGTTGAACAACTGATTATTATCAAAATCAAGATTACCAGTTTTTGACAATTCCAAATAGGGACCAAACCCAAGTGATCCATCTGTGACAAATTCATTAATTTGCATTGGATCATGAACGTTGATACTAAATGGATCGAATCTCAATAGTGATTCAAGGTCATCAAGATTGCCGTATAGGTCAGTCTCAAAATTTGCATGTGATGTGTTATTGGTGGTGTTGGTGTTGGTGTTGGTGTTGGTGTTGGTGTTGGAGTCTGCACCTGCCTTGGTTTCGAAATCGTCATGAGTCATCTCAATATTTTGTCGCTGTTTGAGGTTAGAGCTAAACGAAGTATTTGGCTTACCACCAATGAACATGGACTCTCTTTCAACCGCAGTTTTCTGGATGGGAATGGTTGAAGAAGGCTTCTTTTTTGAGTTATCCGACAACTTGTTTAAATTGATTCCCAAAATGCTCATTACGGAAAACTCCACCAATTTAACCGAGTTTCTATTCAAACAATCCGGAGTTTCAAATTTCGCATCATTTGCCATTGCAGCAACCGAATCGAGCAAAAGCTGTTTCAGATTATTGAACAACGGACCTCCTTTTATATAGTCTAAAGTTCCTTTAGCTACCAACATTGTAAGCAATGACTGTTCTCTTGCAATGTTTACGGGTACTGGTAAAACTGAAGAATTGAAGAAAGCAGCTGATGATTGTATCACTTGTAAAATTTGACTCGATGATTGTTGTACCAAGCTCATCGTGGAAACAATGGTAGTGGTGTCACTGTCTCCCTTACTCAATTGCTCCTTCTGTGATAAGCCAACGTTATGATGATTCCCATACTTTGATATAATGGGCAAGTATATCAAAAGCTTAGCGTGATAATACAAGTATATTAGGGTCAATTGCTGGGCATTGAAATTGCTCCAAATGTTTCCTTGGTAGCTTTTCGCATCCGTCGTGGACAATGACAAGCCGCTAACATCAACTTCGAATTTCAAGTCAGTTGGCAATTCTCTACGCCAACAATCCAACATCCTATCCTTGTGCAACGCTTTTCTATACGCATCCTCACTATTGTCGAACCTGGAGTAGATTGAATCCAAAATGCTTGCCAAAACTTTGCAAAACAACATTACGCTTAATGCCATCTTGGAAACTTTTCCAACAATAGTCAATTCTGTGTTGTTCACAATTAAGATGTTGACGTTATCATCCTCTTCACCACTATCCATATCCTCTTCATTACTCTTGCCTGAGAAGGGCATCGCACACTCTATTTCATAGTCTTTCATCAACCTTGGCACTCCCAAATTTAGCGAGCAATACGTATCAAGACAGTAGATACACCAAAACAAGATACGCCTCTCACCTTGCATAAAGTTTTGAGAATTCAAATTGTCTTTTTCGTTCACATCCAAACCCAATATAGCTGCCGGGCATCGGTGAAGCCTCAATTGTTGTGCCATACTAATTACCCGACCCCTCAAATCATAGCAAGTGGATATATCACCAATCGCTAAGCAGTATTGAAGTGCCAACGACAACACCTGCAAGGATTGTATGGAACAGTGCTTGGTGATCAAACAATTTGGCTTAATAAACTCGTGTATCAACATGTCGTAATGTTTCATCAAAGACACATAGCTTTCTGCATTTTCCAGCTTGAAGTAGATATTCTTACTCGAGAGAAGTCCCATACTTAGCAACAACACCATCAAAGCGCCAACCTTTTCAATCAGTTCCGAGAGCTGCTCTTCATCTTCCCTCGACACTGACCCAGTATCAACGATCTGCATGACTCTAACGTAACTTTTTAGGAAGGTGGACTTGTCAAGAATTGGCATGACGTTGCCCCATTGCTGGAAGTAGACAGTCATCAATTGGTCAATATCCAATCGCGAGCTTGGAAAGTGCACAACTTCACGTAGAAATGTAACAGCTTCGTTAGGACGTAGTGCTGTTACATCATCACGACTCATCAAAAGACTAAATAATAGGTCGGGTATCCCCTCACCAAGAGGTGTTTTGTGGGTCGTGCGGTCTTTCAATGAGGCCAATGCATTCGCCGTTAAGATTGCAGACTTTGAATCGTATCCATATGCTTGACATATTCTAGCCAAAAGGGTAGGAACACAAAGAGTCTCCTCTGTACTTCTTGGTAGAGAAATCGCAACCAACGAAGTCAACATCCTTTGCTTGCTTGTCTCGCTCTGTTGCTCTTGCTGTTGTCCATTTAATCTTTTTCTATGCATTTGAGCAATTGCAGTAGCTGCAGCAAATGCTCCAGGAGCAGGGGTTGATTCTCGATTTGATGAGTTCGAAGCGAAATGCAGTCTGGAACGTGGGAAAGATGCATTTGGGGCATCGTCTATGCTTAGCAAGCTACTAGTATCAAATTCTTCATCGTCACTCAATCCGACTGAGCTTGCAACAGAAATTGGTGGGGCTTCATACAATGACCCAGCAACTGATACTGGGCGTTCATGTACTGCATGAGAATGGTCACAGCCACAAGAGCAACCGTTAGCATCATGCATATGGAGATGCATCTGATTTTCTTCGTCTAGTAAGTGTAAGTTGGAAGTTGTGATTTGCTGATCTTGAGTGGTGGCCCCCTCTGTACCTGATTTGGGATCAGCGGTGTTGGTATTACTTTTTACACCGCCCAACAACTCGAGTTGTTCATCCCTCATGTCTAAAATTCCAACCAACTTTTTCACCTCGGCTTCGAGGTGTCTGACCCTCTCTTCCAAAGTCTCAGTGTATCCCTTGGGAAAAGCCTTTCTGCTCAATTTGTCCGAAACGATGCACTTCAAGCCCACAGCCGAGCAAGTAGAGCAAGGATCCCCACCATCACATTTGGTCTTTTTAGCTCGACACCTATCACAAGCTTGTGCAACTCGGTCAGCTCGAGACCCTGGCGCCCTAATAGTTTTCAACTTACTTCGGGATCCTTTACTGGATTGTTTCTGTTTCTTTTCCAGTAAATCACCATTGAGCAGTGGCTCTGAGGGTAGTTGCTCTATTGCGTATTCTTGCAGGGAATCCTCACCGAGATTTTGAGTCAACATGATTTGAGAAACGGAGACGCCGTTGGTGAGAAGAAGCAAATGAAGGTTTTAGTTATCCATAGGCTAGGTGACCCCATATTTTTACATTGTGATTCTTATGACTAACCTGAAAAAAAAAAAAAGAAAAATATAATTAGGCAAGCGCGCCTGTTTCGGCGGATGAATGCACAACGGGCCATCCAAATTTTTTTTTTTTTTTGGCATTGAGTTCCATTCGAGCGAAGCCGCGGATGTGGTGGTATACAACAAATTATTGATTAAAGAGAGAAAATGCCTGGCAAGAGAGCACTTTCGTCAAGCTTAGGCGCATTAACCAAGAGGAAAAAGGTTATCAACGCTTCAAGTAGCTCGGTGGCGACTGTGAAAGTTGAAAATACCGAGAATGGAAATGGTTTACAACTAGAGCAGATACAAACAAGTTGCGGAACCAATGAGTTTAACGGCGCATTCAAAGAGTCTATTGACTCTCCAAAGGTCAAGATCGAGGTTGAGTCAGAATCTCGGCCAAACATTTTCCCCAAAATTGATCCTGTGGATTCTGTAAAGGGCCCTCCAGGGTGGGCTCAAATTTACAACGAGATTGTGGAAATGAGGTCCAAGTTTTTAGCTCCAGTTGATAGCCAAGGATGCGAAAGTATGCCAAATACAATAACACCAGGTTTGAAACATTCTGATCCCAAGAAGTACCGATTTCAGTTACTCATCTCGCTAATGTTGAGTTCACAGACAAAAGACGAGGTTAATTATGAAGCTATGGTTAGACTTGACAATGGGCTCCGAAAGAGCCACTCAGGAGGATTCTGCCTTGAAGCAATGTCACAGTTGTCTGTGAGTGAAATTGATTCGTATATTTGCAAAGTTGGGTTTCATAATCGAAAAGCCCAATACATTGCAAAAACTTGTCAGATATTGAAATCTGAATTTAATGGAGATATACCGAACCTGATAGAGGATATTGTTAAGTTACCGGGTGTGGGTCCAAAGATGGGATACCTATTGCTACAGGCCGGTTGGGGAATCAATAGTGGTATAGGAGTTGATGTACATCTTCATCGTTTAGCATTGCTATGGCGCTGGGTGTCAACGAAAGCAACGACACCTGAGAAATGTCGTCTAGAATTGGAGAGTTGGCTACCACCAAAGTACTGGAGAGACGTCAACCCTTTAGTTGTTGGCTTTGGTCAGGTTATTTGTGTGCCGAGAGCCAGTAATTGCGATATTTGTGCAATTGGTCGAAAGGGCCTTTGTCCCGGCGCTAACAAGAAGTTGTTGAAAGGGCCAGTCAGTGAAGAGCGTAAAATCAAGTTGATGAAGCAGAGAGGAGACTTGACAGCTTTAATCAACCAATATTTATAACTGAGTACAATCTAAAGTCTAATTTATATACCCACCTTCTTTTGAAAGGGAATAGAATATACTGTTCTCATCCTTGAGCAAATTTTCTGGGGAGTCAAACTCGGCAACCTTACCCTGATCCAATACCAAAATCTTGTCACTATCCATGATGGTGTCAATTCTGTGTGCAATGGTCAAAATGGTCTTGTCTTTGAATTGTTCTCTGATTGTCTGTTGAATAATCTTGTCAGTTTGGAAGTCGACAGCAGCTGTAGCCTCATCCAAAACCAAAATTTTACTGGTTTCATTCAACAAAGCCCTTGCCAAGCACAAAAGTTGCTTCTGGCCAGCCGATAAATTTGAGCCACCTTCTTCAATATCAGCATCCAACCCTCTCTTTTTAGGTAGTTCGTCGGGATTTTTGCTCTTCGTTTTCTCTTCCTCAGTTGGCTCTGTCTCCATTTTCTCCACATGCTCTTTCAAGTGTGCTAGTTCCAAAACCCTCCACAACTTTTCATCAGTGTATTCTCCAAATGGATCCAAATTTTCTCTCACAGATGCTCTAAAGGTATGGGCTTCTTGAGGAATGATTGTCAAATGGTGTCTCAAATCGTACAACCCAATCTCACCAATGTTGACTCCATCAATCTCAATGTTTCCCCCAGTAGCTTCAATTATCCTAAACAATGCCAACGTCAAGGATGATTTTCCTGCACCTGTTCTTCCAACAATACCAACTTTTTCCTTAGAAGCAATGGTTAATTCAATCTCTCGCAACACCGGGTCTAAGTGAGCCCTATAAGCTGTGCTATACTTTTTGAAATTGACAACACCGTGAGCTGGCCATGATTTTTCTGGTCTCTTTCCTTCAACAATCATTGGAGCTTCAGAGGGCAAGTCACAATACTCAATAATTCTCTCGATAGCAACCCCACCCGACTGCATATCAGCCCAATATCTCACCACTGAGTTCAAGATATAGGTTATGGTCAATGAATAAGTCATGACAAATCCCAAAATACTAGGTAAAATGGGATGCTTACCTCCCAAGGTAACAACGGCCAATAAAGCAGTACAAAACATAATACTGGAGGAGATCGATTGCAATCTCATCGACAACCATCTGTTACAGTTTTGAATAACAATACCAATCAACGCCTTATCATCGATAAATTTTTTACTCTTGTGAACAAATCTGTCACGTTGAAGGAACGCCTTGATGGTCTCAACACCATTGATGGACTCCTGGATGGTAGCCAAAACCGGGGATTTCGCAACAGACTCCAAACGCTTCAACTCTCTTGCGGTGGGTATGAATCTAACTCTGAAATAATTGTAAACAAACAATAATGCAGCAATAACAATAAACATTCCGGGAAGGGAATAGAAAATCACACCAAAAGTAACCAAACCATTAAGTACAGTAGTAATAAAACCAATCAACATCCAGGGCAAGTGCATATCAATCTTACCAATGTCCTCAGTAAACCTATTCAAAATACGACCAACTGGTGTCGTGTCAAAAAAGGACATTGGGGAGTGCAACACTGAGTTTGCCATTTTGTTGTGGAAATAAGCGGCCCCTTTCACAATACAGTACCCCCAAATAACTAAGGCGGTCAAGTATGTCAATAGCCCGGAAAGCACACCAAATGCTGCGTAAAGACTCAAAAAGAATGTAGGGTTGACTGTTTCATTTTCCTCCTTGTTTAACCCTGACCAATAGCTCAACAAGTACTTTTCACCAACAGTGATCAACAAGGTGAGTAATGTACCCACCACATACACAGAGAAATATTTGTAGTCGCAAGCAACAATATACTGCTTGAAAACACTCCATGGAACAGTTCCTTTTCTGGTCTCCTCTTCGGTGTGGCCAGTTTTTCTGACAACTCCATCTTGCTCTTCCTCGTCTTTATCGTAGGAATGGTTGTAGGATACCAAAGAAGCACGACGTAGAACAGCCTGTTCAACAACGCCTCTATTCTCCTCTCCAACGTAGTCAACGATCTCATCAACTAAATCTTCTGTCTGGAGTGCTTGCTTGGGATCAATAGACGCGGTGTTTTCAACTTGTGTCTGTTCTGGCGCCTCTGTATCTTCTGAAGATTCTTCAACCTCGTCTTCTTTCTTTCTGCCGTATTCCTTGATCAAAGAGGCCAAATCTCCTTTGGTTTTCATTACAGTGTCGTATTTACCATGCTCAACAATGGCACCGCCAGCCAAAAGATAAATATCATTGGCCTCGTGTAAAACAGGAACAGAATTAGTAGCCAAAATCTTGGTACGAGTTCCAATGATTCCATCACTAGCAAGCACTTGCTTAATCAATGCTTTACCGACATGCGCATCGACTGCGGACAAAACATCATCCAAGAGGTAAATATCTGCTCTAGCATATACTGCTCTTGCCAAAGAGATTCTTGCTTTTTGACCACCACTCAACGAGATACCTTTTTCTCCAACAACAGTCTGATCACCGTCAGGCAAGTTCTTGAAATCAGAAACTAACTCACATGCAATAATTGTTTTTCTGTAGAACTCAGAGTCGTACTTGTGACCAAACAAAATGTTTTCCTTGACTGTACCATTCAAGATCCATGGGTTTTGAGGACAGTAAGCAATAGACCCAAAAGTCTCAACACTTGGAGAAGAGGCAACACCGGCGTCAGAATATTTTGGAATCTGAATTGGAATATCTCCTAAAATAGCCTTGATCAAAGACGATTTTCCACTACCAACTTTCCCAACAATGCAAGTAAGTTTGCTCTTTTTTGCGACAAAGTTGATATCCTTCAAAGCAATGTTTGTCGATGGTGTTTCTTGGACTTCACTCTCTTCGTCTCTGTATTCCAGAGTAGCATCTGCATTTGCATTCCAAATAAAAGTTGCATTCTTTACGATTACAGAGTCTTCAGTGTTATCCCTTGCATTCAAGTCCCTCTTCACGTGTCCTTGCTGATCATCTGCCAATTCGTCTAAGCAAAGTAGCTCACCAATACGTGATAATGATGTTGACACTTCAATTATATCAACAATGAAATTAGGAATCAATAACATGGGCTCCGACAACAAGTCAAACAACGCCAATGCCGGAAAAACGATATCAGGTGTCAAGGGCACGTTATAAAAGTACGCGTAAGCTGCATAAGTGGCGCAACTCACAAAGAAAGGTATACACGACCACAAAAACTGAGCCAAAGCACTAACAACACCGATTTTCTTGATGTTTTTCAATTCTCTCTCATTTCTAACATGCCCCAACCTCTTCAACATTGGTTTTTCCCATGAATAAAACTTGATGCTCTTGGCAGAGTTTAAAATCTCAGTGACCAAACTTGTTCTATCATCCTTGTCCTTCATTAACTGGATATAATTTTTCGACATCGACGCGTTAACGTAGGTTGCAACTGGAGTCACAATAAGTGCAGTCAAAACACCGGCCCAGGTGGCATTATGGAACAATCTGTACAACGAGAACAAGCAAACAATCAACTTCAATGGAGCCGAGATAAATTCTCCAAGACTCCAGCAAAACCAAAAAATGATGTCAATGTCCATCGTGATATGGTTAATAATATCACCCGTTGGTTTGTTTTTACGAGATTGTGGGGATAAACGCAACGCCTTTTCGTAAATGATTGTTGTCAACGAAGATTGGATACCGCAGCCGATGTTGAATTGGATTTTGAATGCTTGGTTGAATGTTATAAAGTTGGCACATGAGATTGCAAACATTAAAGACGACCAAAAGTATCCAATTATAATGGGTGGTTTCTGGTGATTGTAAAAGTAGGCAGTGAAAAACTGAATAAACTTTCTCAACACAAATGGTTGTGCAAAAACTAAGGCTGTTTGGATAATATTTAATGCAAAGTTTTTGTAAAACTCAACTGCAAACGCTTTGAATATAGCAATGAATAAGTTTGGTTTATTTTCTGCCTTCTTGCGTCTAATTACAGCCCAAAGTTTCGATACCAAACCTGGTTTGCTCTTTGCTTTTTCTCTTTGATCTTTCCAATACTTCAAAACCCTAGGCTTCGTTTCGTCGCAAGAAAGCTCGCCCAAAATGTTTGGCAAATCCTCAAATACAACATCATCTGTCTTGTAAATTTTGTCAATCAATGGTTGTAGATAGTAGAAGGTTATGTATGAAAATAAATTGACCTTGTCCATGAACGGGAGATCCGAGTCCTCAAAGCCTGGTCTGTAATAACCAACCTCCAATATGAATATTGATAAACTATTCACTACCAAAAGGGCCTCCAAAACATAAGCGGGTCCATTAAAGCCCAAGATTTTATGCTTTGAGAATGAATCTTGTATAAGGGTGGCTAACGAGAAAGCGGTATTGACGATCCAAAACAATAGCGACTCTGCAACTGGCACAGCGGAAACTCTGAATTCGATCAAAACAACCCCAAGAGCTACAACTGTGGTGACAATTAACCAGATAACCACTGAAAGCCTAGTCAAGAACCAAAACAGACCGAGGAAAATAACTTGTGCTAAGATTGAGGCTACTTTGAAGTTTTGAAGGGAGTGTGTAGGAGTGTGGATGTAGGTCTGCTTGTTACGTTTGAATGCCAACGACAATAGCCTGTATGTTAGGAGAAGTCCAAAAAACAAAGACACCACAACCCCAATAAAATAAACAAATTGTGGATTTAACGCGTTATTCCATTTGGAATACAATGGCTGTGGGATGGTGAAAAGGTATGACTGCGATTGAATACTTGGAGTCGGTTCTTCATTGATACTCATAAAATTGAAATTATGAAGCAACGAAGTCGGGCTAAATAAGGAGATCTCTGGTGGAGAGTACCTCGTGATTGGCTCATTCTGCGAGCTCAGTGATGAGGTATTCATGTTGAGTCTGTGTATTTGGAGAGAGACCTTTCCTTGAATAGAGTGGGAAAAAAGTATGCTAAATGGATGAAATTTATTTCATTTTATATTGTATGAAACCAATTTTTTTTTTTTATTTTTTTTTATTTTTATTTTTTGATAACGGGATTTTTGCTTCTTATGTTATCTTTGTGTTTAATTTCATCGCCATGGACCCTAAACTATAAGCTTTACGATGAGTAATGCTCTACAGAAAGGTAAACAACAACAGTGCGATTTAAGTCGAAGAAATCAAATCAGGATAGCTTTTCCAAAAGCTGGCTACACGCGACAGAGAGACGGAGTTAGCACGATAAGCACCTAGTCAACTGCGATGAAAACACTCCAAGGGTATTTCTACGTTTCGAAGGCATGTAATTGATTCGACTATACCGTACCTGTATCCATTTGGACACCTCTCTTGTGATGTAATTGCATGGTGTTGTCTCGAACACGTTTATTGAACAGAATGAACAGCGCCTTAAATCTGAAGATTTTGATGCCACACATCTACGCGGAGCTCAAAAAAACAAAAGAGGATTTCGCATTTTGTGTATTTATGCTATAATTATAGCACGCCGTATATTACCTAACGTGTTCTATGTATGCCTCTCTGTTGTCCATGGTGCGATGCTTCATACAGAATAGCACAGAGCATAAAGTACGCCTATAAAGAGTACAGACTCTACACATCACCTTGCACACGACGTCACTGACTATGAGTGCTCACTCATTTTGACTCAGATGACAGAAAACAAAAAAACAAAAACAAAAACAAAAACAAGAACGGCGATAACCTTTCCGCATTAGGGCGATCTTAACTCCACCACCAAACCTTGTGTTACAAACCACCGAACAAATGAGTCACATTTCAAGACTAAAACGCATCCCATCCAGCAAACCAATTGTAACTTTCCGATACCCTCTACCATCTCAGATATACCCGCCTTGCTTCGAAAGCGAGTAAAATATACTGTTTTCATCCCTCAACAACAGTTGCGGAGTATCATATTCAGCAACCTTACCCTGATCCAATACCAAAATCTTGTCACTATCCATGATGGTGTCAATTCTGTGTGCAATGGTCAAAATGGTCTTGTCTTTGAATTGTTCTCTGATTGTCTGTTGAATAATCTTGTCAGTTTGGAAGTCGACAGCAGCTGTAGCCTCATCCAAAACCAAAATTTTACTGGTTTCATTCAACAAAGCCCTTGCCAAGCACAAAAGTTGCTTCTGGCCAGCCGATAAATTTGAGCCACCTTCTTCAATATCAGCATCCAACCCTCTCTTTTTAGGTAGTTCGTCGGGATTTTTGCTCTTCGTTTTCTCTTCCTCAGTTGGCTCTGTCTCCATTTTCTCCACATGCTCTTTCAAGTGTGCTAGTTCCAAAACCCTCCACAACTTTTCATCAGTGTATTCTCCAAATGGATCCAAATTTTCTCTCACAGATGCTCTAAAGGTATGGGCTTCTTGAGGAATGATTGTCAAATGGTGTCTCAAATCGTACAACCCAATCTCACCAATGTTGACTCCATCAATCTCAATGTTTCCCCCAGTAGCTTCAATTATCCTAAACAATGCCAACGTCAAGGATGATTTTCCTGCACCTGTTCTTCCAACAATACCNTCAAGTGTGCTAGTTCCAAAACCCTCCACAACTTTTCATCAGTGTATTCTCCAAATGGATCCAAATTTTCTCTCACAGATGCTCTAAAGGTATGGGCTTCTTGAGGAATGATTGTCAAATGGTGTCTCAAATCGTACAACCCAATCTCACCAATGTTGACTCCATCAATCTCAATGTTTCCCCCAGTAGCTTCAATTATCCTAAACAATGCCAACGTCAAGGATGATTTTCCTGCACCTGTTCTTCCAACAATACCGACCTTCTGCCTAGGCTCAATCTTGAACTCAATGTTTTTCAACACAGGATCCAAGTTTTCTCTATATCTAGTGCTGTAGTTATTGAACTTTACAACACCGTGAGCTGGCCAAGTGAAGTCCGGTCTCTTGTCTTCAATAACTAGCGGTGCTTCTGAGGGCAAGTTGCAGTACTCGATAATACGCTCCAAAGCCACACCACTGACCTGAACTGAGCTCCACGAGTTGATCAAGTTAGTCAATATAGTAGGAACAGTGATAACGTACGTCAAAACGAACCCCACCATGGCTGGAACCAATGGATGGCTACCGGTTAATGAATACACAGACAAAACTGATGCGGCCAACAACGTAGCAGCAGATATAGACTGCAATCGCATTGACAACCATCTCATCACATCAACATTTACAATATTGACCAATGTCCTCTCATCGATAAATTTCTTGCATTTGTGAATAAACCTCTCCTTTTGATGGAAAGCAGTTATGGTATCGACACCGTTCAATGATTCCTGAATGACCGACAATACCGGCGAGTTGACAACAGACAGTAAACGCTTCAACTCTCTAGAAGTGGGGATATACCTCGCTCTGTAGTAGTTGTAAATCACACCCAAAACTAAAATCACTACAATCATCCGAGGTAATGACGCAATAACAACAGTTAATGTAATAATGGCTCTGACAATCAACTGGAGAAAACTTATCAATGTGAATGGCAACGTCATATCCAAATTGGAAACATCTTGAGTGAATCTATTCAATATTCTTCCCACTGGAGTGGTGTCAAAAAATGACATTGGTGAACGCAAGATTGACTTGGCCATAGTGTCATGGAAGTATCCTGCTGCTCGGATGATACAAAATGACCAGAATACAAAATAGCGGAAATAAGTTAAAGCACCACCCAAGGCACCAACACCAAAATATAATCCTAAGAAAAACCCTGGTCTAACTGTTGAATTGTGCTCTTTGTTTATATCTGACCAATCTTTCAAAATATAAGTCTCCATGACATTGAGTAGCATGACGCCGACACTCAGTGCCAAAAATAACGAAAAGTATCCCACATTACTTTGTTTAATGTATTGAAGAAACGTTTTGAATGGAACGGCTCCTTTCTCTTTTCCTTCCTCTTGTACGTCAGTTCTGATCTTCTTTGAAGTGCCAGTAACTTCATCTTCTTCGTCTTCACCCTCATCATCAGCATATACGTGGTCGAGAGATACGACACTGGCACGGCGTTCATCACTGTGTGTAAGCTCCTCTTCAATTACTTTACGAACATCACTTTTGATCTCAGCCTCTTCAAGTTGTTTCAAATCTTGTCCTTGCTCTTCTGCCTCGGGAGTGAGTTGCCTCAGATTATTGGAGCTCTGTCTACCGAATTCGTTGATCAAATTTGCCAAGTCGCCATTCCTTCTCATCACATCGTCGTATTTACCATGTTCAACAACAGAACCTTTGGACAAGAGATAAATATCATTGGCCTCGTGTAAAACAGGAACAGAATTAGTAGCCAAAATCTTGGTACGAGTTCCAATGATTCCATCACTAGCAAGCACTTGCTTAATCAATGCTTTACCGACATGCGCATCGACTGCGGACAAAACATCATCCAAGAGGTAAATATCTGCTCTAGCATATACTGCTCTTGCCAAAGAAAGACGTGCTTTTTGACCACCACTCAACGAGATTCCCTTTTCTCCGACATTTGTTTTGTCGCCATCTGGTAACGTTTTAAAATCAGAAACTAACTCACATGCGATAATTGTCTTTCTGTAGAACTCAGAGTCGTACTTGTGACCAAACAAAATGTTTTCCTTGACTGTACCATTCAAGATCCATGGGTTTTGAGGGCAGTAAGCAATAGATCCATACACTTCCACCTTTGGTTGTGCCTCACTTTCGTTGTCTTGGTAATTTGGTCCTCTGATTGGGATGTCACCGAGAATTGCGTTTAACAAGGTAGACTTCCCACTTCCAACTTTACCCACAACGCAAGTCAACTTTCCTCTATTGGCCACAAAATTGATATCCGTCAACGCCACATTACTTGACGCCTGACCTTCAACTTCATCCTCTTCATCTTTGTAAGTTTTATCAGGTTCACCGAGATTCCATACAAAGTTTGCATTTTCAATTTTAACGGAGTAGGCTCCTTTTGGAAGAGACTCCCTCTTTATCTTTCCCCCTTGATCGGGACTGATTTCCTCCAATGTCAACAACTCAGTCAATCTACCTAAAGACACTTTTGTTTCCACAATACTAACTACCAAGTTTGGAATTATCATCATGGGCTCCATCAACAAATCAAACAAACTCAACGCAGGAAACACAATTTCCGGAGTCAAGGGGATCTTGTACAACCATGCAAAAGCTGCAAAACAGGCACAGCTGATGATAAAGGGTACGCACGTCCATAAAAACTGTGCAAGGGCAATAATGATTCCAATCAGCTTAAGGTTCTGCAACTCTTTGTTGTTTCTAACGTGACTCAACCTTTCCAACATTGGCTTTTCCCAAGAGTACAACTTGATGCTTTTGGCCAGATTGATAATCTCAGTAATCAAAGTAGTTCTTTCATCTTTGTCTTTCATCATTTGACGATAACTAGAAATCACAGTCGCATTCACCATTGTGACCAAAGGTACAGACAATAACGCAGCACCCAATCCAAAAAACGATGCCGTTTTAAAGAATTTGTACAATGCAATGAGACATACGATTAACTTTATAGGAGCCGCTGCGTAATCACCCAACAGTAAAAATAATCCATTGATTTGACCAATATCAACTGAGATATTGTTGATGATATCACCAGTAGGCTTCTTTCTTCTGGACCCAGGGGAAAAATTCAAGGCTTTTTGGTACACCAAGGTTGTGAGTGAGCTTCGAATGCTAACAGCCAACTTATTTTGCAAAATTATCATTTGATTATAGGTGACAAAGTTTCCCACGGCAACCAAAAACATAATTCCTGCCCAATAGTATCCAATAATGATTGGCAGTTGTTCCTCTTCGGTGCTGTAAAGATAGTCATTGAAAAATCCTAGAAATTTCATCAATGCAAATGGCTGAGAAAATTGCAAAAGTGTCTCAACAAATGCTAGGAAAAGATTTGTTAGCAAGTAGCCATAGTATGCCTTGAAAACGGCTGCAAACAAAACTGGTGAGGGTTCATACTTTTCTCTCCTTATCGACGCCCATAACTTGCTAAAAAAATGGGACTTGACTGATTGTTCGTATACCCAGTAGTGCTTTAACCTTGGTGTCACTTCATCACAGGTGAGGTCATCTGCAACTTCTGGAAGTTCTGATAGTTTTATGTCGTCTGTTTTGTACACTTTGTCAATCACTGGTTGTATGAAGCTAAATGAAAGCAGTGAAAAAACTGAAGCTTTATTGTCCTTGTCCTCTACTTGAAAACCAGGTCTGTAGAATCCCGCCTCGATAATCAAAACCAAAACAGATGTGACAAATACGGCAAGTTCTAACCCATAACTTAAAGAGTCGTTCAGGAGAATATAATGCTTCGAAACTGAGTCCTGCACCACAACGGTAGCTAAAAACAACGACTTCACGAACCAGTAAAAAAGTAGTGAGGTCACAGCAACGGTTGATTTCTGGTACTCAATGGCATGTAAAACAGCGGCTAGTGACGTTGTCCCAATGTCGTAAACGAGGTAGTTGTTCCCGACGAAAAAGTAAAGCGTGATGAGCGAGATGGTCTGTGCAACAACCAAGAACACCCGAGCAGATTGGGACCATGACACACCAATTGACTGTCTGCCTGAGAAAGTTTTTGACCTGGCAAGTTGTAAGGATTGGATTGCAATAAAGATTGCAAAAATCACGGAGACACTCTTTCCGACGACATTCAAAAATGAAGGATTCAAGGCGTTCCCATGAGGTGAGTACAATGGAGGCGGAAGACTCAGGTGATGTCCATTGGTGTTGATTGAGTTTGAAATAAAGGTGTCTTTGAAGTTATGTAGTACATCAAGTGATCTGAGGAAGGATAATTCAAAAGTTGAGATTTGAATTTTAGGGACTGTGGAGTTCCCTGAGAAAAGGTTCATCCTCGCTTGCTTTGAGATAGTGTGCACGGAAAAGTCTGGCTATAGAACGAGACTGTTTTGAGTCGATAGTTTTGAACTTTGCGGATATGGTTACTCTATATGAAGTGAAGTTACTTTGATAACAGAAACATTTTTTAGTTTTTTTTTTTTTTTTTTTTTTTTTTCTTTTGCCGCTCGTAATAACGGATTTATTCTGAATTTAGACGTGGCATCTGTCAACAACTTTGTGGTCGTTGACGCATACGAAGTGCAATCAATTAGAGTTATTTAGTTAGTATTTGACGAAGGCAGGCGGCTCACATATAGGCTGGGCTTTATTTCTTAATGACAGAGAAACACTCGGGGGCTTCTTCCTTTTAAATTTCGTCTTTATACCTTCCAAACTTACACCAAATCTGTATATATGAATATCGTCTATGGATAAATGGACGTATGGCACGGCACAAAACGTGGCACGGCATCAAAATTTCTTATCTGTTGGTCTCCTCGGTATCTACAAAAGAATTGCGCGCCACAATTTTCAAGACGTCACAGAAAATAGAAATTGCATGGAATTGCGTTCTCAAACCCACTTGAAATTGTGTAACAGTGTTGTTATTCCCGTAAAAGTTCGGGAATTCTAGTGTAGAATTGATGTAAATGAACAATTTAAGCGAGCATCGGTACCAAAACGGAGATATTTTGAGGATAGTGTGGTGTCTCTAATCCTTCCAATTGAAATTTTGGCCGCCCTTTATCTCGTTTATTCCATGTCAATTTAAAATTCTAGTTCTTTTGTACAGTAGAGCTCATAACCACGCCAATTCATATTCATTCAGCTGTACCGTTCCACTTTTTGTTGGCAATCCCTACTCTGATCGAAATACAAAGAATTTGAAGATATGTCTGCCACATTCAAAAATAACAATGAAATGATCAACCCTTATCTCCGCCAATAGGAGGATACGGCGTGTGTTCACTTGGTTCTTTAAAAGGCACCTGTATGCTCCATTTTGTTAAGCATAAAAGTATCCCCAACACTTACATCCAATTTTATAACAGGCGAAACAACACGAGGAGTTTACCATGCCCACATTATTAAGCAAAATTGATTTTGGATTAGTTATTGGTGGTATCATCATTTTCATAGTAACTACTTTCTGGGACTACAACCAAGGATTAACAATTTGTCTCCGCTGTTCTTTTGCAAGGGGCCTTATGGTAACTGGAGGCTATGTGTGTGTTGTGGGTTTGTTAGTCGAAACAACGAAAGCTGTAACTTAGAGACTAGAGACTAGGAAAATTTTGGCACTTTCACTGGCACTTATCTATTTCATGGGGCTTACTAGAATGGTCCAAGTATATTTGTCTAATAAACATCAACTCTCTCAATTTTGAAATGCAGTAAAAATTCCTGTATCTTGTATTTCACTGTTCACTCGAGTTGGTTAATTTTCAAACATAATTTGCAACTTTTCCTGTCAAAAAATGTTTGCCAAAGGAGAACAAACGTCAGCTCTGCTCAGCTCAGCTTCAACACTGACACTGACACCAGGTAGCACAAAATACCATGCCCAACCTTGCAAGATGGCACTTCCTTGCCCAGAGTGGGTAGCTGAGCCATTGCCATACCACTTTTACAACAACTCTGCCAATTTAAGAACGCGACAAACACGCAGAGTTTGTGTAATAAGGAGCGCGTTCTTTTTTATGAATCAATTCTCCAATTTTTTTGTCTCACTTTTCAAACTCTGTCTATGGTTAATGGTCTCACGACTTAATCTACCGCCTTCATCAATAGCAGTTGCTCGTGAAACCCACTCTTCTTTCTGCCAATACAAAGGCATTGTGCTAACCCATTAAGACCATAGAAGCACATCACAACCTACTATGGAGAAACAAAGTTTCTTATTGCCGTTTGCATTCACCAAATCGTCCTCATTCAACGAATCGGATGTGTTGAACAAAACCCCGAGACAGAAGTCGGTGATTGACGAAAATGCAGAAAGCATTTACCATACAAGAAAAACTTGGGGGTCGCACACTATTGACAGGCCCACTTTACACATAAATGGTGCCGCCCCTTCATTGAAGAGACGAATGGGAAGAAGTTTTAACGACAAAGATGATGTGAAAAAAATAGCTATCGCTAACAGAGATTCAGATTCTAGCTCTGATTTTGAGGAGGAGCCTACAATGGTTGATGAGGATGCGAATGATAACAACGCACAGCTTCCTCCGAGCAGTCCAGTTGGAGATGGTCAGAGGGGAAACGAGTTGATGTCGGAGTTTGATTTCGCTACCAATCCTACCACAAGTTTTCAAATACCCAAGTCTCCCCCTAAAAGGCATGACAACAATCGTGACTCTATTAAGACCTCGCCACAAAAGCCCGTCAGCTCTGAACCAGACTTTGGGATTGATAAGTTTAACAGATACAGAGTCAGTTTCAATGACAGGTTGAAAAACGCACCATCGTCATCCAATGCTGATGATCAAGATGATGAAACAAAACAAGAACAAAGAAGTATTGCTTATAACAAGGCAAGAACAAAGATCTTGGATGCTTTTGAGAATGTGAAGACTGTGATAGACTTGCAAAATATGGGGTTGTATGAAATCCCCGACGAGATCAAAGACTTGAATAACTTGGTCATAATTGAAAGCTTCAGCGAGGAGGCATCCATTGAGTTTCCCTATCAACTCTACCTCACGGGGAACCAGCTATCCCAACTTTCACCTTCTTTGTTCAAGTTCACAAAGCTACAAGTCTTGTCTTTGCGGCGCAATAAACTTAAAACTATCCCGCCATTGATTGGTAAGTTGGAGAACTTGATCGATTTGTCTTTGAGCTCGAATAAGATTGAGTTTTTGCCTTACCAAATTCTTGGATTGACAAAGCTATCAAATTTCACTGCTGGACCAAATCCATTTCTTCCAGTTCCTGAAAATGCAATCACAATGAGTAGCAAAGGTGCTACTACATTTATTCCAAAGTTGAGATCACCAGTCAAGTGTCTAGCGTCTAAAGTCAGTGAATTGCCTACTTTAAAAACTTTGTGTCTCAATATTATTGCGAAGCATGACGTGTCGTACTCGGAGACAAAACTATGGAAGAAACATACTCCAAGAATGCACCATGCACTTATTATCGAAGCTTTAAGAAAGGGCAAGTTTAAAGATACTTGTTGTGAGTGCGATATAATAGTAGTGGAGCCAATGGCTGAGGTTATAGAGTGGTGGGATATATTGCAAAATAGGAATGTTCCTCTCCGAAGACAATTTTGCTCTCAGAGATGTGTCAAGAGATATGAAAATCGATTGGAAGCATAGAATAAACAAAGCAAATAGAGCTGCGCTACTCAAAAAAATTGTCCTCTTATTCAAGCTTCACATAGTTGCTTGGAAATGAACCTTGTTGACCTTTTGTACTCCCAACCCACCAATCGCCGGTGCGTTCCAAAATCTTGATTCTGTTTCCCTTTTTAAACGACAAATCACCTGGTTGAACTCCAGCAAAGTCATACAAAGCATAGCAGAAACCCAAATTTGCTTCGGGTATTGATTTAGTGTAGTCGATGGAACGATTCAACGAGATGATGGACAATCTCTCGATTTTGGTAAAGATATGGTCATTTTTGTCTTTGAAGTGGGTTATGATGTCGCTTGTTTCCTGAATCGAGTGCAATTGCTTCAACCTCCCAACAACATCTTCAAAAAAGTCGTAATTTAGAAATTGGAATTTGATTTGGATTGAAACCACGATTTCCTTCATATAGCTTGAGAATTTTGGAAGACTTGACTTTAGGATGGAGTTGACATTGTCATACTTGATTTTGCAATCATCAATTCTTCGTTTGATTGAGTAAATGCTATTGCTTTGTTTCAAGGAGAGCTCTCCTCGCTCTTGCTTTTCACAAAGTATCTCGTGTTCATTGTATAGTTTGTCATAGTCCAATAGGAAAACAAGTCTGGTGCTAATCCTTTTGGAGACAAGTTTTGATATGCTTCCCACCTCGTCTAACTTTTTATATTCAAAATTCATAAACAGTCTCAACTTCTCTGTAAACTCCACAGCAAGAATGAGATGTTTGTATTTACTAGTTTGGGTCCAAGCATCGTAGGCATCGTCAATGGTGTTCTCTGAGTTCTTAAAGTTACTATAAGGGTCAGCAATATCTTGGAAAGCCAGAGCCACCAACTCAGAATTTCTCAACATTTCCGTAGCTGCATCGGCAAATACTTTAAGTTCCTCTTGCAACTTTCGACAGTTGAGTTCCTGGATTTCGAACAGTGACTCCATTGAGTTAAATTCTTCATCACTAGTGTACGAATTTCCAGCGTAATTAATCTTTTGTTTCAAAAACTGTGGGGTGAGCTTTATTTGTCTCCATTCAAGTCTATTGTTTTTAATGATCTTGTCATCAACTAGCTTGAGAGTTCTGGAGAGCTGGTTGGAGATCCTATTAATCTCTTGATTCATGTTTTCTTTCTTTACAGTGCAGCTGGCATTGCATAAAATTTAGCAGCCAAAAGAAGGAGAGAAAAATTAGGCAGCCATTTGCTTCAGTATATCTACCATACTAACAGTTAGTAAAGCCAAGAATCATGAGCACTATGCACAGCCAGGGCTTGCATCAAGTAGAGACCCCAGAGGATATAAAAAAGCACTTACAACAAAACGGTATGAACTTGAAGGATATTTCTTCGTCTGTAGATTATGGGGCATTGCACACATTAAAGACGTGGGTCAATCAAGAAGGAAAAGAGTTCGAGTTGGACTGGGACAATTTTCAAGAATGCGTTACTTTTATGTTTGAAGATTATTGCAGAGCATCAAGAGAGATACACCTGAAGTTGGTGGAATGTGAAGAAGTAAGTTTCACCTCAACCTGAAAGTAAGAATCGTACTAACGTCTCTGTTATTTTTTGCAGCACAGGAGGGTATTGCTTGAACATAGCTTAAACTCAGACATCACAAGGAGCGAGCCTACGTATGTTGTGTGCATCATGTCCAACCTTGGAAGAACATTTACTAACAGTGACGGATGCAGCATCAACAATATTACAAATTGGGTGGTGAAAAAGGAGAGCGAGATTGATTCCTTTAGATCCTCCATTAAAGCGACTCTCAAATATGTTCAAACTGGTTTCGAAAAAATGAGACTTCCAAAAGAATTGACAAACGGAAATGAAGAGGAGCATATCGAAACACAGTCAATGGAACGATGCTAAGGGGCCTCATTAACGCATACTTGCCCATAAAATCCGATCCATATCTCCAACTAAGAAGATGTCTTTTTATTTGCTCAATAGGAAATCCCGAACCTCAATACAATGACACAAGACATAATGTCGGACACAGAGTGATGGACCAATTGATTCAAATTTACTGGAAAGATCACTTGTATCAAAAAGGAAACTACTATTTCTCGCGAAAATATCCCAACATTATCCTTTTCAAGTCGGACTCGACTTTGATGAACCTCCAGGGCAAAACAGTCTACAAAAACTTTCAACAATTTCATAAGCAATCGCTGTTGATAGTGCTTCATGACGATTTGGAACGCGATTTGGGAAAGTTCCAATTTCGAAAAGCAGGAACAAGCTCAAGGGGTCACAATGGTCTCAAGTCGATTGACGGAGTTTACAAAAATAAGTATTCAAAAATTGCTGTTGGAATAGGAAGGCCGAGCTCGAAAAGTGTAACAAACTATGTTTTACTGAAGTTTGACGATAAAGAGAAGGAGGTATTGGATTTCGAGGTGATTCCGAATATAGCTAAGGAATTGGAAAACATTATTGAGGCGGATTTGGATAGGCAGAGAGACAAAAAGGTCAATGGAAGTTGACACGTGGTAGCGAGTGAGTCAATAATTGATCGATGTGGTTTTGGTTTTGGTTTTGGTGGTGGTGTGTATATATATGAATCACGCACATACTCAGAAAAAGTAAAGTACAGAATCATATACAGAGTGCAATACTCTTCTTGTATTTAGCCACTTCATATCTTTAACAATCAACGGGTTTGTCGAGTAACTTATTTCCTGCGCTTGATTTTGAATGTAAGTCAAATGCAATTCTCCATCGAGTTAGTTGCCGAGAGGTCCGTGTTACGGGAATCTATCAAGGGTATGTCCGCAGTCGCAATAACCACAGCACACGCTGTATCGCGTTTCCTCACATACTAACATCATGTACAGGCATATTATGGACCATATTTTTCAATAGGCTATTTGGGCCAATCACCCCTACCTCCAGAGAGTTTCTTGATGTCACATACCCACTGGTAACCAACTTGCCGGATTTGGATTCACTAATTGATGAAAAAACAACCACGTTTATACGCACATGCATTGAAGGCAAAGCACTACCGGCAAACGGTACCATTACTGTTCAGTTTTGGAATAAGTCTAATGGCAAGAGAAAGAGCTCTGGATGGTTTGGTCGAGAGTACGAGAGTGATGATTTGGAAGCGTGGGAAACGTGGCGGATAAACATTGAGTCGCTCCCTATAGAGGAAAGACCTAGCATGAATCGTCCGAAACTGACAAGCCTCGAATCTTCAAGAGCGGTTACCGTCTCCATGAAAAGTTTTGAAGAATCGTTGACTAAAATATATGATTTTGTTGATAATCACAAAGAACACGTCCCACCAATAACTTCACTTGAGAGCTCACCGTTCCCATACACAATTAAGATTGAACAAGACAGGAGGAGATCTACAGGAGAGAAGCGCCACTCTGACGGGGATGAAGGATGGGGGTCTTATATCAAGAAAATACTAGATTGAAATGCAAAATTTACATATCATAGATTTGCCAAAGTATTAAACAATGTTACGGTGCCCGTTAATAGGATCTATATATAGAAATTGTGGTGCTATATCCGTACCAATTCAAAGCTACAAATTTGCCGAAAGCAAGCCCTCTTCTCCTCTGACTAAAATACACTCATCCTCTTCAATAACCTTATCGAATTCACCCAATTGTTCAGCTAAGTCCAAGACTTCTTGGTCGTAGCTACCAGGTTGGAACCACAATCCCTTGATGACGGACTTGTAATTGTCTACAATGGAAATCTCCTTCAAAGTTGCCACAGTTATCGGAGGAGGAGTCAAAAATGAGATGCTCAAACCGTCAACTGCAGAAGTCTTGTAATTCTTCAAGTTCTTGTGCTCCTCAATAGCTTTGATTATCTCGGAAACATTTGGTACGACTTGTTGTCCCAAAATTTCTTGCTCCTTGGGGTTGATGGGGATAGCTGACAAATCGTGCTTCACGTACCAGTTCAAGATTTTATATCCAAACTTCGATGGGTTATTAGATGCTCCAGCAACAGCATACTGCCTATTAGGACCAAAGAATGATTTAATTTTGCTTTTCATGGACATTTTGAAGACGTGTGCTTTTGTAAGCCGGAAGTTGGGGTGTTTTTCGATAAAAAAAAATAATGGGGTTCCAAAAGCAAAAAAATAAAGTACGCGGCAACGGGGTATTGATTGTGGCTGCCGCGCTACCTCGGTTAAAAAAGGACAATGAAACCTTTTTCCATGCAAAGACACTTTTGGCATCGCGTAAACAAGATATCACGATACCTCTGGTATAACCATGACTAAGGAAAAGAGAACCAAGCCATGCTGCAACTGCAAGCGATCCAAAGTCAAATGTGTGTACGAAGGCTCCTTGCCATGTGAGCGATGCCTCAAAACTGGTCAATCTGCCACATGTCAATTTGTGCACAAGCTTCCTTCTTTGAAACTACCGTCGTTGGAATCAAAGGATCCAGCGCTTCCTCCAGTTGCGCCAATTTCACTAAATTCGATAAATGTAATGGGCGCTCAAAAGTCTCAAGCACCAAGCATGTCAGCTTTGCTCCCAAGTAGGAGCGCTTTTGCACCACCTCCGTTCAAGGATCGATTATCCCCTATTCCTTCAGCTAACCACTTGCAGCCACGTTCAAATAGAGATGCTCAGTGGAAAACGGATATCGAACAGCGCTTGAACTCGTTTGACAGCAAAATAGACTCCTTAGTGAATCTACTAAAACTGAACCAACAACAAACAAATGGGGAGTGGGATCGAACATCACCCAGCGCACAAGTACATTCACAGACCCACCAATACTATTATCCGCGAGAGCTACGTGAAAGCAGTAACGAACTGCGCTATCTACACCCATCCAGTTCTAATTCGTTTGATCACGATACGAAGCGACAACGACTAGATAATTATCGACGCGACGATGAGGATGACATTACTCGCCATAGCAAAAGCCTGCCCCCGCCTCAAGATTTCCGAGCTGGATTTCTTTCCAAAACTGAGGCCAAAGATCTTTTCAAGTTTTTTGACTCCAATATAGCACAGCAGTTGTTCGGGTTCGAAATATCAAAATTCAAAGTCGATGACATATGGGAGACGTGCCCGGTTTTAGTTTGTGCCATCTCAACCATTGCTTCGATCCATCATCCTCAACTTTCTCATAAATCATCGCAACTACAGGTGTACTTGCGAGATATTTGCGGTACGCTTTTCTATCAAAATCGACCAACTGATAAAACAGGCGCTTTCAACACGATTGTTGCTTTGATACTCTGTAGCTTCTGGTTATCGGACTCTCAAATGTTTACAGGATTGGCCCTCCAAATTGCCAAGGAGTATGGGTTGAACAATCCCAAATACGGGAAAAACAAGGATGATTTGAAGCTTTGGTATTTGCTATACGTGTTGGATGGACAACAGAGTATGGCATTCAATAGACAACCCCTAGTGAGCTCACAAGAGTATTCTTTGAAGCACAGCCGAGAGCTTCTCATCAATGAGGATGAAAAGAAGATATCGCAAGCCAAAAAACAGTTGGAGCAAAAGATTGAGCGAAATACCATTGTCAGCGACACTGTTGCCGACGAGAAAGAACATCAAATCCTACTCAAACAAAAGTTTACTGATCTCAGATTAGTTTCCCAGGTCGAATATAACCAAGCATTAAGTGAAGCCTTTCGTGGCGATGCATGGGACTTGTTAATGCCATCTACGTTTGGAATCCCATCCAAAAGCAATCTTGAGTTGGACAAATGGATGGTGTCTTGGACTGTGTTGCTAGCTCCTGGAAACTATGGAGCAGTGTGGTCTACAAAGAGTACCTTGATATATTACAATTTTGCCAAAATGCATATAAACTCGACAGCTGTCCGTCAACTTGCCATGAGTCCAAACCATGATGGCCTATTCCCAGCATGGGACAAAAGCATTGAAAAAACTGCATTTCAAACGCGTAAGAAGGTGCAACAACAGGATGGGGAGGAGGAGGAGGAGGAAGAGGAACTTGATAGCGAGGATGATTCTGACTCTGATTCGTTACATGATGAAGATGATTTCATCTCCAATAAGGAGTTGGTCTCACCTGATAAAGCTGCTATTAACGCTAGCATAGCCTTGAATGCAGCCCACACTGTAATAAATTTGGTCATTAACGACAAGGACATTCTTGACAATTTGAAGTATGTTCCGGTTCACATACACATAATGCTATACTATGCTGCATTGCTACTCATCAACCCGCCGTCGAAATCAAACAATGTTTCGGTCACACTAACGAAGGAGATTTATTACGACAAGTTACTTGACAACTTGCGAACTGTTAGTTTGCTCAAAAAAAAGATTTACAGTAATTTGCCAATAGATTCCAATTTCGGGTCCCGATTTATAAAGAGCTTGGAAAATTTGGAACAGGAGAAAGTGGTTGAGATTAAGGACTTTATGCACTCCATCCAAGATCAGGAATTGAGGTTTGCGTTTGAAAAAAAGGTGAACGCTTTTGTTGAAACTAGCGATAACATTGTTGAGTTGTCTGAGTTTAGTGAAAGTGGTGAGAGTAGTAGAGCTAGTACGCCTAGAGCTGAAAAAATCAGTGCCTGGCCCGGCTCCCATCATGGCCATCCATAAGATGTTGGAAAGGTATCTTGTGTATGAACCTCTAAATACAGAGCCTATTCACTTTAGAAATTCGTCTTGTAGTAACTCGGAAACGCTCGCTCTATCGTTTGGGTCCCATATGAATGCACGTCTCAAAAAACTAAGAAATAGCTTTGACGACGTAAGACCCGAACTTCCAGTGCCTAAACACACCTCCAAATTTTTCGAGTTGAGCTTGAATTGCTTCTTTGTGGAGTTTGTTGCCGATTTATAGTGATTCAAAATAGACATGTTAATTTTGCCATTAAGATCAAACACCTTATACAATAACGTCTTTTTGATTTGTCTTTCATTTGGTCTATGCAATGACAAATTCATATCTTTGGAAGACTGTAACAAGCTCCTTGTCAATTTTGCGCGCATTTTCAATATGGTCGACGAACGAGGTGCTCCAAAAATTTCCAACATCAACCCGATTTGATCAATCTCATTCTTTCCAGCTAATAAAGGGGATCCTGTAAAAAGTTCCGCCATGAGGCAGCCGAGTGACCAGATATCAATCTTGTTGTCATAATTTGCTCCCAATATGATTTCAGGAGCTCTGTAATATCTTGATTGGATATATGTGAAGGACATTTTATCGTCAAAACAAGAAGATCCAAAGTCTATCAACTTAACAACAATACTTTTACCCTGTGTATGTGGCGGAAGCTTGATCATCACGTTCTCTGGCTTAACGTCGCAATGTATTATTTTCAAAGAATGTAAATAGGCTAGTCCATTGAGAATCTGTTTCGCAAACTGTTTCACCAAATCAGGGGAGAATCCTCGAAACTGAGTAATCTCAAGTACGGAATATAAGTTGAGTGATAACACTTCAGTGACGATGCAAATGTGACTACGAAAGTTGAAATGTTCGTAAAATTCAAGTACATTTTCATGTTGATTGCCTTTCATGTGCTTGAGCATTTTGATTTCATTAACAGACTGGATGGATGAGTTGAAGTTGTTGTTTATGATCTTGATTGCAACTACGTTGTTGCGCTTGAATTTGTGATCTTTCGCCAAAATGACATTCCCAAAGGACCCATTGCCAATGCTGTGCAATATTTGGAACCGGTAGTTGATGTGCTCGTTTGGAATAACGATGTAATTCCCTTCCTTATCGTCAAAACCGAAATTATTACCATAACTTTTCAAGTTGATATTTCGCTCATTTGTAGTGGGCACGTAGTAGAGGCTCTCTTTTCGTAGTATCTCGCCTCTTTCATATATATTGAGCAGGTTTAATGCAATCGTGTTGACATCTAATGGAGTTTGCATGGAATCAGATGCTGCTTCGTAGTGTGTATTTTCAAACAACATGGGATCTTTGCGGTGCAATATACTATATAGCTCTGCTAATGTTTGGACTTTTTCTGCATTAGAAGGCTTGGGTATATTGGCATGCGGTTTCATCCCATTTGATTTGGGTTTCAGGGTATATAGTCTTTGAAACACATCAGACAGGCCGGGTATAGGTTGAGTTATATGTCGCCTTGGACTTGATGATAATTTTTCGTTCACAATCACCTGTGGTTTGCTTTTAGTAGGTGAATCATTCAAAAATTCAAAGCCAGTGGCATTGCTAGTAATTTTTGTATCCTTGGATGTATTCTGATACAGCCCTACCTTTCTGGTACGATAACTGTGTGATAATTGTCTAGAATGTTCGAATTTCTTCTTAACAGAAGAGGCAGTACCACTTGAGCTTGACGTCAGCAAAGCCGAGTTGAGAGGATTTGAGCTTTGCCTTTTCTGAATTGATGATGAAGTAGCTCTCATGAATGAAAATTGAAAGTCCTTCTTCGACGCCGCTGTTTCCGAAAGGGGGCATGGGCATGTTAGTCCCTGACTATTGTCTCTTTGCACACGTTGCTGCCGCCTCACTGTACTGAGAGACTTTATATCGTTATCCCGTGTCTTTGTCGGAGTTACAAATTGCTGCGGTTGTTGAGGTAGTTGAGGCGCAACCGGATTTTTTGGATATAGATGTTGTGGGTACGCTTTTCTTCGTCTCGGCGATTTGTTAATATCGATGCAGGAAAATTGATCTTCAAAGAGAGCCATTCTCGTTTCCATATGTGATTCACTGTTGCCGAGACTCTCTGGAAGTTGTGTAAGTATAATGGTCTTAAGGGAGAAGATGGTTTATTGCGGTGAATGAGCGTTTGTGTGTGAAATCAATTATCCTAATTTGGAAATGGTAAATATTATCTAGCGCTACCGGCTGTATTTTAAAAACCGATAGATCTAATATCTGACGGTTACCAAAGCGGGAACAAAAAGAGAGCTACTTGAGATACTACACTGGTAAAATCTGATTTACGTCTTAGAAGAAGGCACTCTCTATATTCATTGACTGTTTTGTCTCTTGTGTAGACGGATCATCTCCTCAACATGCTTTCTTTTACTATTTGCACTCACATTCTTTTTGTGTCTTCGACTGTTCAAATGTAGGGACCAACTATCTTCCCCCACTGCCACAAATGGCTCACTGTTCTTATCTCTGCAAACATCGCACTTATAGTGTCTCCATCTTTTCTCTGATCCAATGGTTTTGTTACTTACTAAATTCGACTTCTCCGTTGAAAGGCTGGCAAGGTTATCAGGCGCCTCCGCCAATGTGATGTTTCCTTGAAAGAACTGGTGGGCAATAGATAAACCACGTTCGCAGACGTTAGTTTTCCAATGAGTCAAGTCTGTGGCGTCTAGAAGAAAAAGTCTTCCGCCATTCACATAGTTAAATTTTGATTCTTTCTTGAGCTCCAACTGTAAGGTCTTTTGTATCCATTTCACCTGATATTTGGCATACTGTCTGGTACGTATCTTCATTCGGTCAATACCATTTGCAAAAGCTTCTGGGTTTTGTTTTTTATTTTCCAACCAAGGCAAAAACTCTTTAAACCCAATGATTTGAAATATTCCACTGGTGCTGTCCCCGTTATTTTGTGCATAGTATCGATACAATTCGTCAATTTCTTCCCTAGCACCAATCTCCATCATCTTGTCCACTCTTTTGTCTAAACGGTCCTGTAGCACCTGGGGTTCTGAGTAGAGCCAAAAGACCAAAGTGTTGTACTTTAAAGAGCTTTTCTCCAACTCATCCAATTTTTGTTCAATATACAAATCTGAAGGCTTTTGGCCAGTCGTATACCATATCTCAACTGCTCGTCGTAGTTTCCTATGGTCCTGTGGGTGGAATTTTTCAGCAACAAGTGGGTCAATCCTTTTCAACTCTTGGAATAGAATGTCAGTGGGGCCATCCAACAAACCCAACTCAGCTTCAGTCAACTCCCTCTCCTTCTTTTTTTCCAAGGTTTTGTTATTGAAGAGGAGCGACTGGAGATAATAGTGGGTTCCGCCAACGATGATTGGAACCTTACCACGCAAATGTATGTCTTCAATTGCATGGTGTGCTTCTTTATTAAACCTGTGAATGAAATATTCTTCGCTCCAGTCAACATGATCCATGATGTGATGCGGGATACCGTCGCGCTCCTGCATCGGGTGTTTGTTGGCAATAACGTCGACACCTTTGTAGACTTGCATGGAATCAGCGTTGATAACTTCACCATTGATCTTTTTAGCCAACTCGATACTGAACTGCGACTTCCCCACTCCAGTGGTACCAACGATACTAATAATCGGTTTCTTTGTCGGTAGTGTGCTCATCTGTGCCGTCAAGTATCTGAATAATCTAGATATCATACATTAAAACATACTCTTTGGTGGATTATCACTGATGACATGTCTCTGCTTGTCGTAATTTTCCATTTTTTTTTTTTTTCGAGTCAAATTTCTGCGACAAGAAAGTGGTCTGTGAAACGACAGCCAATTCATCATTACTTGCTTCAAATGTGGTACAGAAAGAGGTATAGATAATAGAAATGTGTTGAAATCACATTTTAATTGAATATTGGCTAGCATGAGATTGATTGTATGTCATTATTTGGTTCCGTTTGAGAAGCTGAATTTTTTTTTTTTTTGCAACAATTTTGAAACATAATTTAATACAAAAACAAGGAAACTATTTAACAGTTGATTCTTACAACAACTTCTAACAGTAATGATATAGGCTATTCTGATCAATTAAACCTATGATCTCTCCTGTAGTATGGAAAGCTGTGTGTGTTTCTAAATGATAAGTAGAGTAGTTTCAAAAGCAAGTGGTAGCTCTCTTGTCTTATCAATCTCTTTATTGTTGTTTTGTAGTTCACTATTTTGTATACAGGAAATTCCTTATCCTTATCCTGTCTTCACTTTCTTTGCCGCATTCCCCCCTCTCCCTTCCCCCCCCCTTTTTATTTTTTAATGTCTCACTGTTTCCCGTTTTCCCCATTATGTCCCTTTTAATTTCTACAATCAACGTTTTCCAAGGTTTCTTCTTTATTCAACTTTCAATTAGCTTCATACATCTCCTTTACCTTTGAAGTTCAAAAAGCCTGAATACAAAGTCTGTTTTCTTATCAAGCCTTAGTTGCAATTTCCGACTCCGCAAAAGCTGGTACACACTAATTATATTTGTTGCTATTTGATACACCGTAACCAAAGACACTAATACAGCGGATTTTGCAAGACTGTATAACCTCTTTGCCATCTCTTCCGATTACCGATTCGACACATGATGCTTTCGAGAAGGGTTGTTACTAAACACTTGGCTAGAACTACACTTGCAAAAGCGCCACAGTTTGTTCTCCCCGTGTGCTCCACAATATCCAAATATTGCGATCCCGTAGTCCAATCCAGGACCTCAAAAATATTCACAAGGGAATACGCTACACACGTTGAAGAGTATGAAATTGACTTTATATCTTTAAAGAAGAAGAACAAGAGGAAAAGTGACAATAGTAACGACAAGTTGGATCTTGATACTCCATTACCCAACTTTGAAATCAAGCGTCCAGAAAATGTCGATTTCCCATACCACAGGATCCACGAATACAACGAGTCATTAATGGAAGACTTGTTAGAGTGGCACGACTGGGACTATAAATTGATCAACGACGATGGAATTTCCGAAGGTCTTTCGTACACGAAATGCTATTACGATGAGTTGAGAGTATTTGAGCGATTCTTGCAAGACACATTTAACTATAGAATCAAAAACTTTGCTGATCTTTCTGGTCTGGAAATTGTCAACACTTTGTTCATATTTAAAGATTATTACACCAGGGGGGAAGTTCCAGAGGTGACAGATGCCAAAAAGGCAGGGTACGATGAGATGGTACAATATTTTATCGAATTTGTCAACAAGGATGCCCAGTTTCCACAGGAGATTGTGAAGGATTATCTCCCACAAGTTAAACGCGAACGAGAAATTAGTGACTTTCTCGACTTGGGTTTGTATTTTTACGTTCCGGAATTGGAGTCTTTGGATCGGGAATTTAATTTCAAACGAGTTCGATCAAAAAAAGACTTGATACTTCAGATTGACAAGACTGTCAATGAATTTGATCATTTCTTGGAGGAAAACAAAAGTGCAAACGAAGCATTTTTCAAAGTTTTGGTTCAAGTTGAGCGTTACAAAGCACTACGCGATAAACTTGCAAAATCAATTACACCGTTGAAAACAATCAAAGCCATCTTTGAAAAACATGATTTTGATTCAGCAGTAAGAGCTTCTGTGTTTGAAGATTTGGAAGAGGAGTTTGACACAGAGGAAATCGAAGAGTTGGTTTCCGAGTTGGGTGTGTTGTGGAGTATGTTTGAATTTGGGAACTACATCCCTGCTACTTCCAGGTATGAGGTATTGGCTCCTCGTTTGTACGAAGTCTCTGTTACCCCAAATCATCGACTCAAAGATGAGGCAAAGTACTTGTTGGAAACGTTGACCACGGACCAGTTGAGGTCCGGCAAGCTTCTCCACTCTCTTACTGATTACAACTTTCACACCTCAAAGTACAAATTTACTGGAAATTTGGAAGAGGATTGGACTTTGAATCACTTGCTTAAGTGGGGCTTTGCTTTGGAAAATGCCGCCTTTGCGGAAAACGGATATGATTGGATCGACTTTGACCACGAGGACTGGACTACTTGTGAAGCATTCTATTGTATGGACAAGTACCTTATCCAAAGATTGGCTGAAACTCCGGAGATTTTGATAAAGTATTTGAAATTGAAAGGTGACAGCTTGACAAGGTGTCTTCCAAAGGATTCTCCCATATTTCAACAACGAAAAGCACTTTCAAAGACAAAGGAGCAATTGGGTGTTGATTTCTCTTTCTATGCAGATGCCAATCACCTCGCCAATGATATGAAAGAGAGATTATCATTACCAAGAGGGTCCATTGACAATTTGAGCCAAGCAATCGAGGCTTCCACGAAGTACATTGGTAACCACTTGGAGGTTTTGGACGAGCTCGTGAGAGAATTTAAAGAGGACGCACCAACCGACAAGCATGCTGCTAATTTACAATATAAGCAAATTCCAGACTGGTTACGTCTCGAAAATCACGTACCAGAAATTGAATTTCTCAAGAACTTGACGGGAGGTTTTGGTGACAAGACAAGGGTCATATCGGTAATTGATAGCGTTACTAAAGTGATCTTGGAAGATAACAACACATTTCCTGAGATAAATCATGGTAGTTTACTTACTTTGCGGGCCAAGTTAAAGGAGTTTTCATATAACAACACTACGGACTGTTTGGAGATCTTGAATACTGTTGCACTTAATAATGATGTTTTTGCACATTTTGAAAAACAAGTCAAGGAGAAGTCACAAGTTTTGGAGACGCCTTATGTGCAAATACCCGACGAGTTGGAGTTGTCCAATTTCGTTACCGAGTTACGTAAACTAAGAGACGCACTTGGTGGTACTCCATTCAAAGAACATACCAGTGATGAGGTGTTGAAGGCCTTGGATTACCAAATAGAGCGTTTTTTTGATGGTGAAGAGAACAACTCGCTCATCTCAAGTAACTCTGACTCCTTTAGATACATCAGATTAAAGAGAAGATTGGGCAGATTGTTTGATATGAATGGGAGAAATACAGAAGCGTTGGACGTATTGCTTAATAGCCAAGCCGTTTTTGAGTCCTTTGAGAAGGAGAAGAAGGAAAAGGAAGCAGTGGAAGAAACTAAAGAGTACAGGCAAATGCCAAACGACTTTTTCTTAGAAGAGTACGTTCTTGAATTGAAGCAATTGAAGGACTCGTTACATATTGAAAAGTTTGCAGATGTTTACGCTGATGATATTTTGGCCAAGATAACAGAATTGTCGAAAGCAAACTACTCAACACAGGACAAGAAATTGATTTGGCACAAATTGTACAGAAACTTGGCGTTGCTTTTCAAGCACAATCATGGAGCAACATTTGTTTTGGACAATGTTTTAACTAGCGCTGTTGAATTGGAGAGATTGAATAAGTCTGTATTGTCAAAAGCAAATAATCCAATCGGAGATCAAATGAGATTTTTGCAGAAGGATGAGTATGACGTGTTGGGTGCCTTTTTAACTGCATCGAGATTGTTGTACAAGTCTGATGTCACTAATGTATCCAAGAATGAGTTTAACAGGTTGGTTGATGAATACGTTGCAACCTTGGATGCCACGTCGTTAGGCTATTTGTTCAAGAAGGATATTCTTGAATCATTGAAGAGCTACAATGATGTGGTTGAGCACTATCCTGCCTTCATTGTATGTGTTTACGGAATGGCCAAGAACTTGGCTGAAGAGGTTATTACCAAACAAAGATTACTGGAGTTTTACACTGACTTGGCTCGAAGCGTATCTGAGGAAGCCAAAGCAGCCGAAAAGGACAGATTAGATCCAATGCGTGCTGTTGCACCTTTGGTGACAGAGGCTGGAAATGTTGAAGAGGTGACAAGCGAAACAACGCCAGATGTCGAATTCGAATACGACATTAGAGAGTATGAACCAGTGAAGACTAGTACAGAAACGACGGCAGATTTGAGGCCCCGCCCTTTGAGCTCTTTGGACAAGAAGAAGTATCAAGACTCCGAGCAGTATATTGCTGATTTGGACAATCAGAGAGAGATCGAATCCAAAGATGAGGCTTTTGAGGACGCCGTTAGAGCCGCATTTGCATCTGCTTTACAAGAGGAGGGGGTGAAGGAGATTAAAGCTGAGAAAGGTGACGAACTCAAACCACATACAAGATGGTCAAGAGCACCGAAGGCAGCGGTTAGGGCCACATCTTCCATAGACACTGCAAAGCTAGAGGAATACCTTTCGAAATTGAAGCAGGATGAATTGTCAAAGCAAAGGCAAGAAGATGCTTACAAATGGAGCAAAGAGAGATACAACCAGTCGTTGGCCACATCTTCCAAGAAGTATTTACTTTTGAGTTTGGTAGGTGATGAAATATCTGTATCTCCAAACTTGCTCCAAAACGAACTTTCTCAGGAGAGGGACATTTTTGAGATTTTGAACCAGTTTAGTGATCAAGAGCTCGCACTCGTGAATGACCGATTGCAGAGCTTACAGAGTGACAACTACAAAGTGGTTGGATACAAGATCGATGGTGGGCGCAAGTACTTGATTTTGGAGAATGAAGGTAGCAGAGATGATGGATACAGGAGAAATTCTGGCAAGTCTTCTTGGAGCAAGCGCGTAACTACTGGTGCAGTTGCTGGTATGCTTGCGTATCTTGCTCTAAACTTTGTCCCAGATGAGCCAAAGGGGGCATCAGAGAGACAAGCAGTGGGATCTGCTGATCGTACTTCAACTCTCGAGAGGTCGGAGCCGATCGAAACAACAGTAAATGCACCCGCATCTTCAACACACGTACCTGATTTGTCAGGGCTGGAAGAGCGTGTAGAGGACCAGAAGAGGTTTGATTTCAGGAATATCTTGTGGAGCAAAAAGAGAGATTGAGATTACAATACAAACCGAATACATGAACTTAGTATAGTTTTTACAAAAACCGAAACCTACTCTTTCATCTCCACCTCCGCGGTTGGGAACTGCTTCATATCTTTGGAAATATTGATAAACTTGAACCCCGTAGTGGCCCCTGTAGTTCCATTCCAATTTCTCAATCTAGTCACCGTTTCCTCATGACTTAGATCGGGGACTTTATACCCAGTTGCAAATAGGTGTTCCTCATGCTTGACTTTTTCGGTGAGCAACTTCTGCTTATTAGAAATAGGTCTTCCCTTTCGATGCTCCAGTTTTGCTTCATCCAACTGTTGACGATCCTGATCTATAAATTGTTGAATCAAAGCTTGTATTTCAGACAAGGTATAACTTGATTTATCAACTTGGTCGTCATTGACGATCTGTTCTTGGAAAAAGGATACAATGAGTAACTCATTCAGTTTACGCTCGATGCTTTCGACTTTTTGTAGTTTGAGTTTCTTATCTCGGACTGTTGCTCGATTCAATTGTTTGAATTTACGGCCCTTTATGTGCATTGATCCGGTGGATTTGGATAAGTTTTTACTCACCTTGTTGAGGTTATGGGCTAACGGCATGGCAGATATGTGTTACCTGGGAAATGTGGATGTAGGGTTTGGCTAGATGTATGCTGTTAATGTTTGGTGGAGGGGATATCACGTTTTGGAGATGTGTTTGAGATGCGCTGCTTCTGCTTTTGCAACAGATAAAAAAAAAAAAAAAATTGCAAACTGAGCCACAAAAGAGTTAACTGAGAGACACCGTTGAACCTGTTTTACCTGTTGATTGAATCAATACCAAATGGTGTAATCAGATTGAGCATTCTTGGGGCTCTCGAGCAATCGAGCAATTTACTCTACAGTTGTCTCGATTTTACAGCGTTCTCTATCGCACCAATCTCCAATATTTCATATGCTGAGCCTCCTTTCGAACTCTAAAATGTTCAGACTATGCCCAAAATATCTAACATGACTGACGAACTCCTCTCAATATCAACCTTTGATACCAAACTTGATCGAACCCTCTCTCCGTATTACTACTTTATCCACAATATTTTGAGGTCGTGTGCAAAACAAATTTACGACAAATTTTTCTTTTTCTCCTGTTTTTTCACGAACTATCAAAGGCCGGCTACAGAGTTCAAAGAATAGAAGAGTTATTCAATCTCCTAGTGCTACATACACACATCCCCCGCCCTTCTATCGTCTCTCCGCAATGGCCAAGTACTCCGAAGAACAATTGTTCCAAATCAAAGAGGAAACGTCTTATATTCCGCAACCAACAATTTTATCAGCCTTTAACGAATTAATCGAACAAGTCAAAGAACAACAACTGCAAGCAGAACATGCCAAGAGATGGAACAACAAGGACACCTATATTGACGAGCACGGAAATGAGAAATCTTACCACCATTTAAACAGACGCAGGGGCTCCAGATCGGGTACCAACCAAAAACCATACTTGAAGAAGAAGAATGAGGTGATCAAGACTGAAGATGGATGGGAGATGTCGGTTCCTGCCGGACACCACAAGAGTGGAAGTTTTGGTACTAATGACAATAACGAAGGTAGTGACGAGAGAAGCAAGTTTAGGGAGTCAGTTGGAATTAAAGCTAGGCCAAATAATAAGAATTTGGGCTCTTCAAAAGCTGTGGACCCTAGAGAAATCGCTAGTGATAAACAAACAAAGACATTTAATGCTTTTGAAGCATTGGAGGGGGATGATGATGATGATGATGATGATGATGATGACGAATGAAAAACTGTATAAGATGTATAGAGTGTTTATAAGAAACGATGACTTGTATCAAGACTTTTATTTTTATTATTCTCTCTAAACTACAAATGCAGCGTCGTCATCACTATCCAAACCAGCCAAAATGGAATCAACATCGGTAGATAGCAAATTTTTGCTTAATATAGAATTATTCGACGCGGTGTGATCCATGTTTCGAGCAGCAATGCCATTCCCCAATGGTGGTCCATTCATACTCAAGACTTCCTTCAAGTCCGCAATTCTGGGGCAGCTCACGTGCAAGTTGAATGTGTAAATCGAGCCATTGGTCTGATCACAGGAATGTAAATCACCATTCAATCGACCTACTGTCGTCGTATTTGCATTGCTAGTCAACGTGTAATCTGCAGCATAAGGTATCCCCTTCTCTTGGAAATGTTGGCTGTATTGTAAGATTTCGGCGCGTATAGTACGAATGTCTTTTGCAGTTCCCAATCCGAGCCCTGTATACAAACCTTGCTCTGAATCTGTTGTGGCAGCATCTGAGGAAAGGCCAGTGTGGGGATTGAATTGAGGAACAAAGTGATCAGGGCGACCGGGACCACCGGAACCACCGCGAGTCGAAGCATCATCACCATCCTCATCATCAAAGTCCATAAAAGCAGTGCTGTTGTTGTTCGTATTTCGCGAATCGTTGTTGAATTGAGTCATATGGGTCGACACTTGAGGTTTTTCAATCTCGGTCAACAATTGCTTCTGAGGATGCAACCACACAATAAGGAAATTGTTACCACATGCAAACTCTTCAATTTGTTCACTCTTTATCCGAAGTTTCAAATCGTTGCCATTACCATCCTTGGGCAAAACTCGTCTACCTTTTGGATGTTCCAAATCGGACGGTTGCGAATCGATTCCATGAATCCATAATCCATGTTGTCTTCTATACTCAACACTGTCCAACACCAATTTGAACAATTTGGAAGATTTGCAATACCCTTCCAATTCTTCTTCGTATTGCTCATCAAGATTCTTCAAAATGTAATACAACAATATATGGACAATTGTGTCTTTATACATTTGTCTTTGAGAAAATTCAGACGCTTTATCCAATTTCAAGACTCCATAATGGAAAAACGGAATGAAATTACTAACAAAGTTTAACCCAAGAATCTCAATCATATCTTTCAATACCTTCACCAACAACAAAACCAACTCTGTGCTTGGAGCCTCGGGCCCATCAAAGAACCTGTCAGCATACATCAAAAAGTGAGAGATAAAATTTTGCTGCTGGGTGATGTACTGATTAACATCTGGTTCCATCAAATTTTTTCCGCTGAGTTTGTTATCCTTTGAGCTATCGGACCTGTCCATAAACTGTGAATTTGCATTTCCAGGATCAAGTCTATTTTGTTGTTTTTTAATCACCTCGTACGCCGAGCGCGACGATGCTGCCAATTCGACATTTAAAAACTCATCAAAAACTTTCAAGTACTTGGCCTGTATGCTTCGAATTTGGTGAAGCGACAAGATGGTGTTTCTGTTATCCTCAAATTCGGATTCGGGCGCCAATAAACCCAAGCTGATGTCCCAATGTTCAAGATTGACGTGGTTTCTATTGATAGTACTTGTCTTGCTCTTTAAAATGAGGAAAATTTTGGAAATATTGTCCAAAAACTGCACAATAAGATCATGGATCCTTTCACTTGAAGTTGTTTGGTCAGAACTGTCCACAAATGAACTGTCCAAAACATAATCGACCTTGACCAAGATTTCCTGAATTGAGTCGGGAACTTGATCAAAGTAGTAGATATGCGTGGTGATGTTGCATATACATTCAGAGTATATGTTTGTCAAGGAATCTATCTCAGATTTGCTCAAATCACTGGGCTTCAAAATCAAGTCTGTTTGCAAGTTCAACAATTGCTGAATGATATCGGAAATCGATAACCCAATCATATTTATCCCCGAGGACAACAAACCCAACAAATGCTTGGCATACAGTAAATGAAGTGGATAATTGGACTTTGATGCCCCTTCAATATTAATACGATTCAAAGTAGCCAACAAAGTGGAGCAACTGACGAATCTCAACTGAATTGGAATCCAAGTAACGCACAACTCCAACAATACAATACCCCAATCCAAGTTTATGTTTGTCGTGAAAATGTGTTGAACTACAGCTCTTGTTACTTCTGAGATCTGAGCTGTGGCGGTATTGTTGAAAAAAGCTCTCAATGCGTTCATTGCTTCTTGATTCACATCTGTCAAAGTTAAAGTATCATTATCAAAATCAACTTCAATCTGGTTGTGGAGTTGGGTTTGGGATTTGTGCAGCTGCACGCGTGATAATCTCTTTCCATCAGATTCAACATTGAGACTCGATTTTAGACGTTGCACCAAGCTACTGATGTTGTTATTGTGCATTATAACTTGGATCAAAAAAGGAATCGAAATTGCAACAAATTTTTTGGAAGTGCTGCTGGAGAAAGTTAAACAGTTGGAAATGGCGTAAATAGCCTTCAACGAAACCATTTGCCAGTCATACTGATTTTGCGAGATGTTCTTGTCTTTTCCAAGTGATATCAACTGCTGAGTGAGATCAGTAAAGTCGTGCACAAACTCTTTATCACCACCAAATAATGCAGCATCCATTTTCGCACACAATACTTCATAGGTTTTGACCACACTCTTGCAAACAGCTATATCCTCAGTGTCGAGACATATCTTGAGGATGTTGCAAGCTTGTGGAGCAAAAACATTCAAGTTTTCATTACATTTTTCAATCAACTCTTTGATAATGGCCAAAGTGACTTGTAAATTTCCGGTACGATTTCTTGCAGCATCGTGTTGAGTCTTGTCTTTGAGAAAATGAATCACTTTCTCCAATTTGACTCTACGTGTTGAAGCGTAGTATAATAAATAGCTGAGTTCGGATGGATTTGGTTTCTTGTCGGTTGCTTTTCCAGGAGGGTAGCACTGAAGAATGAGCTTTTGATGTTTGTGGTGGAAAATATTCATATTAATGGGCGGGCGTGGTAAGTTAGTGGAGTGGGGTTTTGATGAATGATAAGTCACACGTAGTTTCAGTCGTTGACGTTGTTGTTGTGCTGGTTGTAGGAGTCAAGCAAAAGGTGAAAGGCAGAAGTGTTGATATTGCAAGCCTTGAAGAAAAATCAGTCAAAAGTGACGGGATACCTTAATGGGAAACTTTCTTTTGCGGTGCTATATATACCAATGTTTAGTTGTTGTAAAAAAAACAAAGTGGAGGTCTTCAATGTATATATATATATATATAAATGTTGTTGAGGGTGTTTCTGACTAAAGTGGGGAGAGATTTTGTTGATTTTTGTCTCTCTCCTCTGCATCTGATTTTTTTTTTCCACAAAATTACCAAATACGGTTATACATCACTTATGTCTTGAAATGTATCAGTTACGTATATAAGACTGTTGTATCTCAGACAGACTGTGCTCTACGTATAGACCAATAGTCCATTGGACCCACGCCGGACTAATTCCAGTTGTAATGCTTCTGCTGAATGCAAATTTTACAAACCACGCTGCTTATATGCTCCAGAGTCCCTCACCAGCTGGCTCCATAAAGACATCACGTACGATTAGATTCCGTACAATACCTCGTCTGTCTCTTTCTTCCCCCCTTTCCCCCCTTGTACTCACTAGCTCAAAACAAAGTCTGTATATTGCACTCTGAGCACTTTGTTATACATAGTTTGCGCCGCACACCAAAAAAAGAAAACAACATCATCCCATAATCTGGCGTTGTCAGCTCCAAATAACACACACACACACACACACACAGACACACACATCCACCACTGTTTCCCCATCATGTCATCATACGTAAAAGGAGGCGCATGGACAAGTATCGAAGATGAGATCCTCAAAGCTGCCGTGCAAAAGTACGGTGCTAATCAGTGGGCTAGAGTGTCTTCATTGTTACCGAAAAAGACCGCGACGCAAGCTAAATCGCGATGGGTCGAATGGTTGAATCCGTTGATAGATAAGACTGGATGGACGAATGAACAGGATAAACGATTGATTGAGTTGACACAGCTACTACCTAACCAGTGGAGGTCTATTGCGTCGACGCTTGGCAAAACTGCCACCCAATGCATTGAACGATATCAACAACTTCTTGATCAGGCGTCGGGAAATGACAGTAGTAATGATTTGAAATTATCGGGTCTTGGTATTGAGACCCTCCCCGCAGTTGGACAACCAGTCGCTCAAATTGTAGACAATGATGAGGCAAGTAATCCCAATTTTGCTCATGAAACACAACCAGCGAAAGTGCGATCAGACGACAGAAACGTTCTAGATGCAGATGCAGATGATGATGACGATGACGATGACGATGACGATGACGATGACGACATGGATGACGATGATAGGGAAATGCTTGCTGAAGCCAAGGCCAGATTGTCCAATACTCAAGGTAAGAAGGCTAAAAGGAAAGCCCGGGAAAGAATGTTGGAAGAAAGTAGACGTTTAGCATTGTTACAAAAGAGAAGGGATATGAAAGCGGCTGGCATCAATGTGGGGTTGCATTCCAAGAACAAGCGAAGCAAGAAAGATTTTGATTACGTTTCTGATATTCCACATGAGATTGTGCCACCATCTGGCCCATATGATGTCGATGAGGAGAATAGGGAAAATGAATTGGAGTTGGAACGGTTTCATGAAAAAGTCGCTCGACTGGGTATCAGTTTGAAGGAAGTTGATGATAGGATCGCAGCAGCCAAGGAGAAAGCAGAGACTGAAAGGAAAAGGCGGCGAGCAAGCGATGCTGATGAAGTATCGCAAGACACCAGCATGAGCAAGGGCATAGAGTTCAAGAAGCAAAAGTCGGCTGTTGGTCAAAATGGAACTTTACAGGGGGAACCTAAATCTCCACCGAGAGTGACGTTTCCACTAAAGACTAATAAAGCACTCGCGTCGTTGGTAAAGACGCTTTTTGAAAAGTTACCGGAACCTAAGCAGCATCGTGGTAAACCTGTGTATATCCCTGAAGCTAACCTGATTGGGACATGTCACTATCCATATTCTAAGTCAGGTGAATACAAAGAAGAGCCCGTGATCAATAGTTCACGAAACTGGAAACAAGACAGTAACAAACCTAGAGCGTCACAAGCTGTTCAAAGGGATCTTCCCATTCCAAATCCCTCGTTTATCGATACACTGGCAAAACTCTCCGACGTGGGAAAAGTCCAACAAGAGTTAGCCAAAGAATATGTCAAATTGATTGCAACTGATTATAGACAGAAAAGCGATCCCAGCTTTTATACGATCTTTCAGACAAGACTAGATGCGAACATATACGAAAATATCGTGACACAACTTGATAAGGAGTCTGAGAAGTACCAACAAGTTAAGAGGGGGCAAAAACACGAGTCGCAGCACCGGAAATTACTGCCAAGAATAGATAAAAGTGTGGAGGATAGTGCCGGAAATGATGACCCAAAGACTCAACATGAATCGCGTTTGGCTGATGAGGCAGATATCTTTAATGCAGAGTTGAACGAGTTTAGACTTATTGGAGAGGAGATTTTTGAGCGCATTGAACAGGCTAGACAAATGCTAGCGTCAGAATAGTTTCAAGCTGTGTAGTATCATAATAAACACAAGAGGATGCATGAAACCTTTGTAGGATTTTGTTGCGCGTTATGATTTCTATTGCAGCAGCGAAAATCAAAAATATTATTGCGATCACACACACTTTCTCTCTTTCTGTGTCTCTTTCTCTCCATTAGATGCCATGACCACCAATTTGTTGGATATACCACTAAAGCAATCAAGGCCCCTAGATTTGGGCGAAGAGCTAAGCAAGACGATAACCGCGCGCTTTTTCCAACCTGCCGCATCATTCAAATCCGATCTCAGTTACATCACTTCGATTCGCAATGAAGTCACAAAGATCAGCAACGATATAACGTCAGTGAGCACCACCAACAAGGCGGAGATTTTGCTGCATTTGGACAAATACTACGAGTACTTAAGCTCATTACGTTCAATTGAGGAGAAATTCCCCCATGACTGTGTTGAATTTGCGTGGTTTATTACAATTTACAACTCTCCAATTGGTCCCATAAAGTTGCGATCATTCAAGTATGAGCAATTGTGCATAATTTTCCAAATTGGAGTCACGTACTCTCAACTCGCGCTAAGGGAGTCGAGAAGCACGGATGAGGGGTTAAGGAACTCGTGTCAGTATTTCCAAAATGCAGCTGGATGTTTTAGTTATCTATTTGGAATAATTTCAAACGAGGGTGCTGTTGTTGTTGCAGTTGAAGTATCTGGAGATCTTTTAACACAAACTATATTGTGTCTCACGCAACTCATGCTTGCTGAAGCACAGGAGACTATTTGGCAAAAGGCGAAAATGAGCGGGACTAGTAAAGACTCGGTGATTGCTCGACTCTCGTATCAAACGTCGCAATACTATGCTGAAGCATTGTCGTTTGCCAAGCAGTCTGATTTCATTAAATTGGAATGGGTCAATCATATTACTGTCAAACGGTTTCATTTTTTAGCAGCGGCGCATTATAGAAGCAGTTTGGTAGCTTTGAATTCGTTCCAGTATGGAGAGCAAGTTGCTCATTTGCGTGTAGCGTCAAATGCAATTGCTCAAGCTCTCAAACATAAGAAATATGTCAATGAATGTGTTGTTGAGGATGCTACGGGACTCGCTGAGACTATTCGTTCAGCTTACAAAGTAGCCGAGAAGGACAATGACTTGATTTATTTGAACATTGTCCCTGCTGATAGTGAGCTCAAACCTCTAAATGGCGTTTCAATGGTGAAGGCGAATGAGTCCGTCATTAATGAGAATGTGCAGGTGAAGCCCTTGTTTAAAGACTTGTTGCCTTACGTTGTTGTTCACTCTGCACAAGCATTCAAGGAGCGGACTGAAGAGCACGTTAGGGTCAGTGTATATGAGCCCATCCAGAATTTGAATCATTCGATTGGCAAATTTCTCAATGACAGGAATCTTCCTGCAAGTATTGATGCACTTGAACAACCGGAGAACTTGCCTGAGGTCGTTGTTCGACATTCACGAGAGATTATAAATTCTGGTGGGGTGCAAGTGATTGAAACTTCACTTGGCGACATTCGCAATTTAAGCATGCAGTGTAGTAAACTTGTTGCCGAGTGTCAGAATCGAATAGATCTCGATAAACGTGAAGATGAAATGTTGAGAGAAAAGCAAGGATATCGTGTGGTTCACAGAAGTGGGTTGGGCAAGTTGGAACAAGTTTTGATTGGAAAAATCCAACGCATGAGGGACTACCTCGAAGAAGCCAGAAAGGGAGATGAGGTTGTTGTGAGAAGATATATGGAGATCAAGAATGTTCTTGAAGTTTATACTGGTGGGTTTCAATCATTGAACAGATTTGTTCCCAATTCCAATTACGTGAAGTTGGACCAAAAGTTGTCGAATTTAGTTTCTGAATTGAGGAGACGCATTGATGATTTACAGCTGTTGCAATCAAGTAGACAAAAATTCCTGAGGCAATTGGACATCAAAGTCAAGAATGATAGCATCTTGCCCAAATTGGTACAAGAGTATAAACGAAATGAAAAGAACATCTATGACAAGGATGGTCATTTCAATTCAGCAAAGTTTGAACTCGTTTATGAAGACCATTTGAAATTGCTTTCTTCTGACTTGTCATTTCTTGATGAAACAAGAGTACGACAAACCCACTTTGAGCAAGAAATTGACAATCTAAATAACGAATTCATCCACGAGTTCAACACCACTGTGACTTCAACTCAACGTGCGAGACAAGAGGCATTACAGACTCTCGATACTGCATTTGTAAAGTATAACGAGATTTTGAACAATATTTCCGAGGGGGTGAACTTCTACACTGATTTCATTACCAAGGGAAATGTAGTGTTGGTGGAATGTGAAGACTACTTGAGTAAACGACGATTGGAGGGCCGTGAAATTGAGTTGCAGATAGTGAGGAGCCAGGAACAAGGGGAAAACGCGGCTGGTGATGGACCGTCTATTATTTCTCTGGTTCCTAAGTCGTCAAATGTATGGAATCCAAACTCTGATATCAAGTTTGGTTAATGGAGGTTGATCGAGTCAATGCTCTTTTTTTTTTTTCTTTGTTAATGAAGAAGTTTTTTTGTATAAATTGATATAATCATAGTTATTGTCACGCGACCACAACGTGAGTGACAAGAGAAGTGTAAAAAGTGATATAAAGAAAAAAAAAAAAGTAACCAAGGTATGTGCCTGTATGCAGCCAATCTAGACCTTCAAAAAGTTCTATAGTAGCATAGTGAATACAAGACCAAAGGTAACGAAAAAAAATGTGCCGCATTGTGAAGAATTGTGGCTATTGTGAAATTGTTCTCAGGGTGCATGATTTACCTAAAATTTAAAAAGTGAGGGGTAATTCAGATCTAGTTGTGTACTAAACGTTTGATATTCTTACAACAATAAATTTCTTTTTCCTCTTTTATTTTTTTTTTTTTCATTTTTTGTTATCTCGCAGTTTCAACTTTGTGACATTGCGTATATGGTCAGGCTTTCCCTTTACACAGTCTAGAATCATTTTCAACACTTGATCGTTTACCTTTATTGAATGCTAACTTATGTGTGTGGGAATGAGAGCACGCTGCCGTACTGTAACTATGCAAATCTGGAACGACCCTTGTGCTCCTTTTGCAAATCGTTTTTTGTTGTCTTTTGATTTGTTTTTTTTTTTCTTTATTTTTTATTTTTGTTGTCAACCACACCAATAATACGAGACTACAAATGGTTGAGAAAAATTGAAGAAAAAAGAAATTGTTGCAAACGTTTTCAAGGCACACACATACACTACGAACATGATTTCATAAATTGGAGTGACCTTTTATGAAAAAGTCAACTGGACTTAAGAGAACTGAGCGAGTTAGAGGATGCTTGAAAGGAGAAGTGAACTTCAGAATCTCTGTGTTTGCGTGTGTAAAGTAAAATGTTTGCAAACGATATAGGAACCAAAGACCCAAGCGATGCGTTTCAGCCAGTGGTGACGAACAGGTGCTCAAAAAAAAAAAAGAAAAAAAAAACCAACCGATGCACTCGAATAAGGGATATGTCATCTTAGCGAAGACTGACTCAAGGCGAACTCCTCCACCGCCCCTCGCAGGACAAAGAAAATAAATTTTGTAAACGTTTACTCATTTAGGTACTCTTGCACATGATCGTAGATTACAATCGGTCACCTGTTCCGTTTCGGTGACGCCTTTATATCAAGAGCACTCTCTTGGTATAAGTTGTGTTCTCGTATTCTTAATGCAATTTGTTTAACTCTGTCTTTTTTGTTAAACACTGTACATATCCTTTGTAAAATAGAAGAATGTGGTCTGATGCATGTTGAAGAAAGTACTCTTTCTCTCCTATAAGATCAGGGGACGCAAAGTTATTATTATTTGTTTTTGACTCTTGCATGTAACTTACTTAATCAATCACCTCCGTCATCGGATGTTTTTCTTTTTTTTTTTTTTCTTTTCTTTTCGCTTATAATAACACGTGGAGCATAACATACATTGAAAAGCAGTGTGGCATAAATGTTGAAATGCTATTAGGAAGAGCAGAGTAAAATGAAAATTTTTTTCTATGAATGAAGTAAAGGGAAGAGCAGATACCAAGTAGCAAAGCTATGTCAGCACATATTGCTGCAGCCGTATCATGACTGAGGGGGTCTTTTAAAGCTGTGGGAAATAATAGATGCGATAATCATATGCCGACCATTTAGTTTTCTTTTTTTTAAAGAAAAAAAAGAACCAATATAGACGCAAGAAAGTATGTTTGAGTATAGGAATAAGGTGATTATAGCCCAGAATCAATAGAAGAACGTTTTTTTGCTTGTTTGTGTATCTTGATGGTACAAAATGTTTTGTTCTTTCCTACATCAAGCAATCAACCAACCAACCACATAAGGGCGTTCAGCAAAGAGTACAAATTGAGTGCCTCCCTCCCCCCCCCAAAAAAAAAAATAAAAATAAAAAAAAAAAAATAAAAAAAAGGGCAAAAAGAAGTGGCAATTAAGGGCTCGTGCTCTTGTCCCCCATCTCATTACTAGATTTACAGAGTATGGACTGTTTTCCCGTGGTTGAGACAATTCACTTTGGTGCTCCTTTCTTTCCGTAATAACAGTTTTGGATGGATGGTACGGTTGTTGTTTGTTCTTCTTAGTAGTGTTTATGTAATACGTCACCATTCTCACGAGAGGTGTATGACTGCAGCAGGCATATCTACAAAATAGAACAATACTAATATGCAGGAAACTTTAACCGTTGTGACAAGTGAAGTCAAAGAACAATAGCGAGTGGCAAAGTAACACAAAAACACGAGTTGAAAAGATTTATCGTAGTCAGGTGAAGTTGTAGTAGTTATAGTAGTTGTAGTGTACTGGAAGTCAAATAAGCAATCTACTCAACTAACTAGACACAAAACACAAATGCGCTGTTAAATTTCTTTTTTTCTTTCATCTTTTTGTGTTCTTTTTGTTTTTAAGCAAGAGTACAACAAAGAAAGAAAAATAAAAAGAAATTTTCTTATGTTTAGATAAACCAACAGACATACATAACATACATAACATACATAACATACATAAAACGCAAATCTCCTAAGTTTCATCTTGTAGGCTGTAGGAATAATATTCACTAAACATCTCTACTACTTTTACATTCCATTCAAAGAGGGGATAGAACCACTTGGTGAAGATATAAAACTTGCGAAAGAAGACAACCCCCCTTTTTTTTGTCATTGTTCTTATATACTTGGATTCCACCCGTTTCTTTTTCTTTTTTTTTTTCCGTTCTATTGTTTTTACTTTAAACGAATTATAACCAACCACTGCTGTGGATTTCTACTTATCTTTTGGGTTGACTTCACTCAACAGTTTTCTCCTTTTATCATTACACAACAACCACTCACTCAACGGGGGTTTTCGCCACATATTTGGCACATAGGATAGGAGCACACACTTGCATCACTATAGAGAAGGAGCTACATCATAATCATCACCACGACCTTCACCACCACCCTTCACTCCTCGCTCATCTCGTGGCCACTCATTTGCTATCCAACTACCTACTATAAGAGAGTGGCTCAAAATCCAACGAACCGACGAGACCAAGGTACTGAAAATAACGAGGATAAGCCACGCACACAAGCAGTCCATAAAGACTCGAAGAAGCAACCTCAGACCGCATAGCCCAGCAGGGATACGCTTTTGAGAATGCCACAACTAGAACAGTCACAAGATGTTTCTAGTGCAAATAGGGTTACAACACCAGCAACTGTTGAATCGAGCAGCTCAGCAAGAGAGCAGTCTCTACCGAAGTCATATTCATCCAATCAGCCAGTTTCAGCTTCTTTGAACCCCAACCAACTACCAACATCACCCATTTCCATCACTTCATCTTCAACTTCACTGTCACCTGCAACTAGAAGCATATCAAGCTCAATCACCAACTCACCAACACCTTTCAACCCACTACCGACCCGATCTATCAACATTGCTGCATTGAACTCCAAATTACGACAACAACAGACTTCCCCAGTTTCCCACTCCCACTCCCACTCCCAATCACTACCTCATCCCCATCCTCATCCTCGTGTAAATACTCAATTTCCACCGAATAGCGACCTACCGACAAGTCTGGGGCCGTCTCAAGCTTCCACTCCAGCAACTATTTCACCGGTACAATCCAATTTACCTTCAAGACTGCAGTCACCAGTTGTTCCGCCATTGCATGATTTAGTCAATGATTGTTTTCTTTTGACTATTGACAAATTACACGATGAAACACGTACTTTTGTTGCCAATTCATTCCACCAGTGTGTTTTGAAGCAACATTGTGAAGAGAATTTGGAGTTTTTAATCGACATCTACCGTTATGAATATGAATACAACTTGAAGGTTTTAGCTGCGTCGAATACTTCTGCCTCAACAAAGAACATTGCTAGCCCGCCACCATCTTTGTCAACCTCGCTCAATTCAAAGGCAATCTTCAGTGGGAATAGTCAAGATGAATTTACATCCATGGCGAAAATGAAGTTAAATGCACCTAGTCCTAGTATAGTGCCAGTCTCACTCGGTGCAAGTACCACATCGTTAGCCAAGCGCAATCAAAAGGTGGCATCAGTGGCGTCGTTTGAATCACTCAAGAAGAAGCATTCAATAAGAACAGAGGAGTTGGATCCACAAGAAGCGTTTGTATCAACTATTGATGATTTGGACTTGAATGCGCCATGGGGAACATTTGGAGATCTGCATGTTGGTGAGGATGAGGAATATGGTGGCGATACCGATGAAGAAAAGGATGAAGATGAAGATGAAGCTGAAGAAGGGGACGCCGCAGAGCATCTCCCCAAGGAAGATTTGCAACAATTGAATGAACAATGGGCTGACATTATGAACAACTATATCAAACATGATTCACCATCACAAATCAACATTTCGCAAAAATTGTTTAAGGAGATTGTTCAAGAGTCGTCTGTTTGTAAGTTGCATGATCCAGCGATTTTCCTCAAGGCTAGGAATGAAGTGTTGCAAATCTTGAAAGAAAACTGTTATGGTTCGTTCGCTTCCAAGTTCAAGAAGCAGTTTTCTCAGTGTTGCGATCAAGGCGATTGCTGTTCTTGTTCAATAGAGGAGACAAAGACTGCTTTTGCTAAACTGAATAACAATAGCATTTTGACATTGGAAGGTACAGAGTCCAATACTACTGGGTGCAATGAATATCGTGAAATTCCATCGGCAAGTACAGTTTCGACTACAACAGCCCCTTCACTGACGGTATCAGAGCCAGACAAGCAAGTGGAGCAGAAGCAAAAGCAAAAGCACCATCACCATTTCCACCACTCCCACCACCATCATCATCATCACCATAGCGTAAAATACCCAGATTCACCAAGCTTATCATCTTCGTCATCACTCGCGGCTTCTTTATTGGGAAAGTTGTCATTTTCCAAACGAAATAGGACAAACAAGTTGCAGCATCCGCAATCAAATGGTAATGTTGCCAACTCTCCAATGTATGGCGAAACGAGTCCACCATCTTCAGGCTCATCATCAACACTGAATTTCTTTGGACAGGCCGTATTTGCAAGCAATGGCGATGCGTCACCATCGCCCAGTTCGGTGAGTAGTTCTGTTAGAGGTATTCCAATCTCGGCGTCACTGAGAAAACCACAATTACAATCGACATTGCAGCAGTCTCAACAAGGTAGTTCAGCCGATACGCCTTTGTTAGCACCAGCAGTGGCATCGGCATCGGCATCGGCATCGGCGTCAACATCTGCATCGGCATCAACATCGGCAGCGACACCGGCATCCAACTCATTGCCTATTCCTCGGTCTTTTAATGCAAGCCCCATTTCTGTGAGTTCCGTCGCTAGTTCAGCACAGCAAGATCGCGATCGTGATGCAACCGTGAATACAAGTGGATCGCTGATGAGCAACGGTGGATCTTTGGGATCATCGTTGAAGTTTTGGAAGAGAAAATGAAGAAGGAGAGCACTGAATTGCATTCGTTTTATTGTCACGATTCATCATGCCATGATTGATATTGAGGGACCAATTTTATTATAGATTTTTGTACATGCATTTAGGTTTAGATTATAGAGGATATTTTTATCAAGAAGATTGAAGGAGATGTGGTTGTAGAAGATGTAGGAGAAACTCGTTGAGTTATTTGAAGAGATTGAGTGGACGAGGGACTACATTTGCATAATGCCTTTGAATTACACGATAATTTAACAAACATTTAACATTGCAGTTGTCCTCAAGACTTACAAAAGAGGAGGGCCGGCTGACCAAATCATAGCCATAATAGAAATGTACACGAATATTATGCTCAATAAGGACCATCATTAACAGAAGGTATATAAAATTGATATACATCCTCGCATCCAATGCTTCAACCTTTGAGCCAACTTCAAGCGAATATTCCAAGTGTACGCTGAAAATTTTTGTCCTGTTTGCTGTCATTTATACTCTGTGTGGAAGATGATTAAAATTCCAACAACTTCATCAATCATTATGAAGATGCCGTCGTCCCCACTTGTCAACTCAAGATTGGAAATGGGTGAAAAAAAAAAGGACAAAAAAAAAAAACAAACGAGAATCAAGACTGCTGGACGATTTCCTCTTCATCCATTTCCCTGATTCAAGTGCCGACTTTCAGACGAGTATATTCAGCATTGCAAACATCAACACTGCTGATATACGCTGGAGATCTCCTTGAAAGCATTAAAAGAAGCTTAACCACTACTAGTTAATAGAATCCTTCAACAAGTTCTGTTTTTTGTTTCAATTTTTTTTTTTTAGTCTCCTCGTCGTCTCCCTTTTATACACAACGAAGGCGAGCGGTAGCGTGTCATAAAATTTTGTGATTTATCTCTTGCGACATTGGTACTGGGAATTTGAGTATTTGCGACAATTCATATCATTTCCTAATTTGTAATACAGCCAGCCAACCCCCCATTTCCAAAAAATCAATTAACTCTCTGAACGACTCTATTTTTTTTTTTTTTTTTTNTTGGACTCAGTGGATGTGTATCTGTATACTTTGAGTGATAAAAGTCATACTTTACAAATTCGCCTACTAACAAGAAGTATCAAAGTCACAATTCCTATTCAATGACATGGCATATACTACTTCCTTTTCTTTTCTTTTCTTTTTTTTTTTTTATTTGACTTTCTTTTTCTGACTTTCCTTGTTATCGGGGTATGTCGACACAAACTCTAATCTGACGTCAGGACTCGTCAGACTTTGTGGGGTTGAAAATTGATTTAATCCACAAGCACTAGCTCTGTTAAATCAGGGACTGTATAAGCCATTTCTACACTCTAGCAAACGAATCAATAAAATATAATCTCAAGTGACATCATGCACTTCTGTAATCTAATCTTTCCCCGTTTTCTGTTGTTTTCACAACCGAGAATTACAAAACAGTAGTTCCCGAATAGCAACTAATTTGTCTTTTTTTTTTTTTTTATCAGTACTTTGAAGTACCCGCTTTCAATTCAGCTTTATTGATTCTTTAAACAACAATTACTGTGAAAATAGGTATATCTTATAAGTTGGCGTGATAAGTTGGTGAGGCAGCAGAAGGATAAACACTTCCAACTTTGAGAAGCAGACATGGACACCACGGAATCAAACAACGAGGCGGACAGAAGGTCCGTCACTCCGCAACCACAAACTAGCCAATCGCAGCAGTTACGGGAAGCCCAGTTAGCGACGGTGCAGCCCCACAATTCAATGAGTGGAATACCCGGTCATATTCACAGTCAAAAACCTTCGATCATTGAGCCACAGTTTCATCGAAGTAGAAACCAAAAACGACAGGAACCACTCCATAATTCAGAACCTCCTCGTACACCCTCCCCACAAACAGCCTCTTTCTCAGATTCCAACAAGAATGGCACATTTTCAAACTTTCAATTGCCAAATGATATTTTGAAAAACTTGACTCCAGTAATCAAATCCCCACCAAAGGATAGAACCAGGCACCTTGCGCATGCTCATGCTCGCAAACAAGCTTATATGCGTAATGCCCAGCTCAAGGTCAGTACGAGAAACAGTAAAGTGGCTAAGCAGTTGAAGAATTGGAAGCGACATCAAGAGGAATTTATTCGGTATCAAAGCGCCAAATTGACGGAGCTGCTACAGCGAGCCAAGATACGAAGAGATGAGTATTTACAATTGGTCCGTGAGAAAGCTGTTAAATTTGTAAACACAGAAGACGGGAAACAAACCAGTACTACACACGAGCAAAGGCTAGAACCTGCATTGTCTATTCCACACACGTCAGATCCGCAATTTTGGTTGCAAGAGCATGAGGTGAGTGTGAGCACCAATATTGTTCAAATTCAAAGGATGATTAAGAAAGCGATCTTTGCTAAGCATGTTGCGTTTCTCCAGAGTTCCTCGTTTCTCGACAAATATGAGTCGATGCCATTCAATCAAATAATCACATGCTTCAATACCGACTCAAGTATCAAGGTGAGTATATCATACATCTTAAAGTATTTGGGACTTGTCACAAACGTATTTGAGCTAAAGATGTTTCTTTACTGTTTCATCTTGATTGCCGACTTCAACGAGTGTATGCTGAATGGGCCGCATCCGGGTTTCAACTACAACTCGGAAATAAGAACCAAGGAGGAGGAGAAAGTGACTACTGCAAAAAACTGTATTTGGGTAATGATGTACAAACTTTCTGTTTGCTTGATGGAGGAACTTAAGACTATTGTTGATACACCCCCAAAGATCCTGCTCAAGTTTCGAAGGTATTGGGATGACTACAAGTTTATTTTCAAAGTTTTCAAATGGAATCATTTTGTTGGCATCAAGCACCTACTAAGCAGTTCAATTTCCATTGTGGAGAAACAAATATCTCGCCTCTCGGGGGACAAGGATTTACTTCGCCAACGAACAAAGTTGAATATGGAATTGTCGTTGTTGAATAAATACAACTTGGCCACTTTGAAGGAGTTTAATGAGTCGCCACAAGCTGTTGAATTTTTAACACTTGTATCCGAGACAGTACAGGAATTGTATGCTAACTTTGATGCCAAATCACCTAGTTTTATTCAAAACCGTTCAAGTTTTATATGTTTTGACTTGACAAAGTTTTACATGCCTGATTTTATTCCTATTGAGAAATGGAGACAATATTGGATGCTCTACTATTTCAAGGAGTTTGAAACGGAGCGGTTACATCCAAGTGTTCTCAAAACTGGATACTTGGGTCTGGTGCGTCCCAAAACTCGCAATTTCGACTACATTAGCTTGATTGATTCTTTGATTGATATGAAGCTGTTTCCACTCAGTCAAACCTATGATGTGTTGTATGATTACTACTTGGAATTCTCGAATGTGTGTTCGTTACCGAGAGCAGTTGAGGAAGCAGATGAGTTGCAAAAGGTCCAGAACTTGATAAGACATTACGATAGGAGGAACGATTTGGTACAGTTTACGCGATCGAACTTGGATAATGATGAGGTGTTGCAGTTAAAGTATTCCGTGGTTATAATGTGGATACAGAAGTGTCAGTTCAACAAACTCGACGACTTTATCAACTTTGAAAACCTATACACCGTTGTCAATTTGAAAAATTTCAAAAACTTGCGGTATTCCATCTATACTCAAAATCCGAGCTTGTTGTTTCCCAAGTTTTACAAACAGGTGATGAAGTCTCGTGTTCTTGATATCGGCACACAAATTCGTGATATTGTTTATGCATCGTTTAAGAATAATCTAAACAATTTGTTTCATGGGAAGGCTCGTGCAAATCGAGGAGCATTTTTGCTTTTTAGCCAAGTTTTCAACAGAATGATTATTGATAAAGACTTTGACAATGAGCTTATGCAAATTTTCAAGACAAACTTTAGTCAGTTCCATAAACAACTAGATGCGCTTGTGCGCGCAAACTCCATATCAATCATGTTTTACTCATTGACAGGTACTCAATTGCCCAACAAGTATGTGAAGCAGGCAGCTCATGATTTGCATACAGTTTCGAACAAGCAATTTGTCCAATTCTATAATAACCACGGCGAAAAAATATGCAAAATATTGTATGATAAATGGGGAGTTACAATGAAACAGCTTTCCCGGGGCGAGATCAGTGTCTCTAATTTGGAACTTCATTTGCAAGCAGTGTTTACTGAGGATGTTCAAGGTTTGGCTATTTTATCGTTGGAGATTCACAAATACAATCAGTATTTGTATAAGGTGTACTGCCCTATTTTGAATTGGATTTATTCTGAATTGGGCTCAGATGGAGATATTTAGGACTTTTTATTTGAATTGATTATTAATTTTAATGTTTATCTAGACTGTTTGAATCTTTTACATATCAACACTGAAGTACTTTGATTATTTACCATGACATTGTTGCTTTGATTCAGTATAATACAGTATAAACTGACATAAGTGCTACCTTCTTGTGGTTCACCTCAAGAGGGTTTACTCCTTAGAAGAGTTACTTTGGTTCAGCAAGCTTTACCAACAGATTTCGTTAATCCTGTTCTTGCCAAACTTTGATTACCACAAGAGCATAGAGAAGGATGAGAATTGGGGCAATGCATTTAGAGATCATTAGTGCGTCAATGAAAGGGGATATGGATATCACTATGAACTGTGTAGCGCACACAGTCATGATTCGTGTTGTATTGGATTTGTAGCAATTCATAGCTTAGGCGGCATGCTGCTCCTTCTTTGTACAAAGGGTTGGATTTTCCATCTGATTTTGGGTGATGCATTCTACCCTCCTGTTTTGGTTGATCACTTGACATTATCGACCTCCTGTCTCATTTGTCTCCCCGACTTTAAAAACCGTGGGATAATGGTATCGGTGTAGCGACAAATACATCATGCCAAGATTATATCTATACAATCCTTAACTCACAAACACTGACTAGCAATCCTTTACTGTGGCCCGCCTTTAAGTCAAAACTTACATCGTGTCACGTGAATTAAGTGAGACAAAAACCTTGTAGTTACTGATTTAACAAGGCGGTTAATTTTTTAATCAATTACTCATTTGAGAAAATCAAATTGGTACACACACTACCTCTTACTTATCTTCTTCTTCTTCTTCTTCTTCACTCAACAAATTAATTTTTTTTTTACCAATAACTAACTCAAGGAGCATATTTTTTTTTTTTTTTGAAAAATTTTTTATACTCTTCTTCTTCATATAAACTCATTGGCTTATCTTTGACCTCAAACCTGCCTTTACCGTTGCCTTTGGTTAAGTCTGTGATGTTGAGACTAGCCACTTTTAATAAACCCTCGGTTTCAAAGCCGATAGCGAGATCACTCACGAAAGCATCCATTGCATTCACCAACAACAATAACAACAGGAACACTTATAGTTCATTAAAAGCCAGTTACTTCATTGCAAAACCTAGTACATGTCGCTGCTACTCTACCAAATCAACAGTGATCCAGTTGTTAAACAACATTGGCTCCAAGAGAGAAGTTGAACAATACTTGAAGTACTTTACTTCTGTCAGTTCACAACAATTTGCAGTGATCAAAGTCGGGGGCGCGATCATCACTCAACAATTAGACGAGCTAGCTTCCTGTCTTGCATTCTTATATCATGTTGGATTGTATCCAATTGTCTTGCATGGTACAGGACCACAGATTAATGAATTGTTGGAAAACGAAGGTGTTGAGCCTGAGTATATTGACGGGATCAGAATCACAAACCCAAAGACTATGGAAGTTGTGCGCAAATGTTTTCTCGAGCAAAATTTGCGTTTGGTAACTGCATTGGAAAGAATTGGTGTGCATGCTCGTCCAATTACTGCTGGTGTTTTCCAAGCTGAATATTTAAATAAAGAGAAATACGATTTAGTAGGTAAGATCACTGGTGTTAACAAGGCTCCAGTTGAAGCTTCAATCAGTGCTGGGTACTTGCCAATATTGACCAGTTTAGCTGAGACGCCAAGCGGTCAATTGTTGAATGTCAATGCTGACGTCGCTGCCGGTGAGTTGGCTAGAGAGTTTGAACCCTTGAAGATTGTCTACTTGAACGAAAAGGGCGGTATCATTAATGGAAACACTGGTGAAAAAATCTCAATCATCAACTTGGATGAAGAATATGACGATTTGATGAAGGAAAGCTGGGTTAAATATGGGACCAAGTTGAAGATTAAAGAGATTCACGATTTGTTGCAACACTTGCCCAGATCCTCGTCAGTTGCTATTATTGATGTTGATGACTTGCAAAAGGAGTTGTTCACCGACTCTGGGGCTGGTACCTTGATTAGAAGAGGCTACAAATTAATCAACAGAAATTCTTTGAAAGAGTTTGGTAATCCCGATTTGTTGAGAACTGCTTTATTGAGAGACCCTGAAATCAAGGCTGGTAAATTGTCGGTTGCTTCGTATTTGAAGCATTTGGAATCCGTCCAGTTTAAGAGCTATGGGGATGAACCACTAGAAGTGTTGGCAATTGTTGTCAACAAGGACGGCAGTGTTCCCAAATTGGACAAGTTTTTGTCATCAAAAACCGGTTGGTTGAACAATGTCACTGATAACATTTTCAACTCTATCAAGAAGGATTTCAAGTCTTTGTGTTGGATCGTTGACGAGAATGACGCTAATTTGTCATGGTATTTTTCCAAATCAGACGGCTCATTTGCCAAAAATGGTCAAATATTGTTCTGGTATGGGTTAAACACCGAACAAGCCAGCGAGTTGATCAAGGACTTTGACAATTCAGCCATTGGTTCATCGTTATCGTCCAGTAAAGAGTCAGGCGTCTTCTCGACAAACCAGCAAAAGAGAGCCCTTCACACTAGAAGATTTGCTACAGCATCGTCCAACCCTAACCCACCTTTAAGAGAAGGTAAGAATCAAGAAAAGAAGAAAGTTGCATTAATTGGCGCAAGAGGTTACACTGGACAAAACTTGATCAAACTCATTGACAATCACCCATACCTTGAGATCTCGCATGTTTCTTCTCGTGAATTAGAAGGTCAGCAATTGAAAGGTTACAACAAGGACACTATTATCTACTCCAACTTGCAGCCAGAAGATATCAAGGAATTGGAAGAAAAGGGAGAAGTTGATATATGGATCATGGCTTTGCCAAATGGTGTTTGCAAACCATTTGTTGATGTTATTGACTCTATTGGGAACCCAAACTCAAGAATTGTTGATTTGTCTGCTGATTACAGATTTGATACCTCGGGAGATTGGGTTTATGGTTTGCCGGAATTGAATGATCGTCATACTATTGCAAGTGCAAAAAGAATTTCTAACCCTGGATGTTATGCAACTGCAGCTCAAGTTGCCATTGCTCCAATGAAAGAGTACATCAGTGGAACCCCAACCATATTTGGTGTATCTGGATACTCGGGCGCCGGAACCAAACCATCACCTAAAAATGACGTTGAAAACTTGACAAACAATCTCATCCCTTACTCATTGACTGATCACGTACACGAAAGAGAAATCTCCAGCCAATTGGGATTGACCGTGCACTTTACGCCACACGTTGCACAATGGTTTCAAGGAATATCACACACCATCAATATTCCCATAAAGAAAGGATCCTTAACTTCCAGAGAAGTGAGAAATATTTTTCAGGACAGATACAAAGGTGAGGATTTGATCACCATCACCGGTGAAGCACCTTTGGTCAAGGAAATCAGTGGGAAACACGGGGTTGTAGTTGGCGGATTTGCCGTCAATTCAAACGAAGATAGGGTGGTTGTTGTGGCTACCATTGATAATTTATTGAAAGGAGCTGCTACGCAATGTTTGCAAAATGTTAATTTGGTGCTGGGATATGGTGAGTATGAAGGTATTCCTATTGACAATTAAAGTATAGCAACTATATACCTATAGACTTATACACAGTTCAGAATTGTGAGTGGTTTCGTTATCGTACAATTTTCTATCTGTCCCAGACATTTTGTGTTGAAAGACAGTATGTTTCCATTTTATTTTTTTATTTTTTTTTTTTTTGCCAGACTCTTGACTCCTCCTCTGACTCTCAAGCTTGAAGTACAGCGAACCCACAATTTGATCACATCCGACACCATGTTGGTATCGCCAGAGAACTTTGGGACTGTCGAGCCGAATGTATTCCGGTGCTCTAAACTAGAAGTTGAAAACTTTCAATTCTTAGAGACACTAAATCTTAAGTCTATTATTCTTTTGGATGCAGAGAATCCGCCTCGTTCGTTGTCCAAATTCCTTGAGGAGAATAGGATCGATCTTTACAGTTTGGGTGATTTGAAGATCTCCAACCACCAGCATACGGGTATGTCTTCAAAGACTGATCTTGAAGATTTCAATTTGGAGAATAATGATTTGACCTCGAACACGTCAACTGGATCAACTACATCTACTTTGACTCAACGACAACAGCAGCAACAACAACAGCAGCATCAACAGCAGCATCAACAGCAACAATCACGGCAGCAGAAGCCACTGTCTCGTCTACAACAGCCCTTTGTTGATCCACTTGCTCCAATGCCTATACTATCCCGAAACAGTAGAGATCAATGGATGTTGATCGAGAAAAATATCATCATCAAGTCGTTTGAAATTATCTTGAATAATAAACGGCATCCAATTCTTATTGTTGACTCCACATCCACGCTCGTAGGTATACTAAGAAAAGTCCAGAAATGGAACTTTAATTCGATCTTGAACGAGTACCGTATCTTCAATGGCACAAGTACCAAGAACAACTATTTTGCAGAAACATTTTTGGAGTTGATTGGTATTGAGTTGATACCTTATGAAAATCGAAAGAAAAGTCCCTTTGGAAGTAGACGTAATTCCATGAGGCGAAAGTCGCTGAGTCAAGGTCAAGCGCAACAATTTTTGAGGTCTCAAGGTGCTGAGGAGGCTACTACTGCTTTACACGAGCAAAACAGCGTGCCTCCTGCTGAACAGAGTGGTGACGATGACTCCGGTGTATTTGAAAACGACGACAATGACTATAATCAAGGTGATGGCAACGATGAAGATCGTGACTACGACGAGGGGTATAGTACAGATGATATGGATGACATGGATGACGATCTCCTATCTGCGTCGCCGCAAATCCCGGAAAACTTGTTGAAGTTTGTTGAGCAAAGAAAGCACGATAAGCATCAATATCCAACCAGTGGTCGGAACTCCATCGATAACCGATCCGATACTGAGTCCGTCTCCAATTCCCCAAAATTAATGCGAATACCCGTTCAGCATACCAGAAGCAATAGTGGCTCTAATAGTCGAAGTAACAGTTTCACTAATGCGGATTCCTATTTGAGTTCGGTGAGAGGCATGGATCGTCGCAAGTCATCCGGAGATATCATCAAAAATATAAAGTTTCGCAATCCGCAACAACAGTTTTCCCACAGAGCGTCTTTGGAGAGTACATCTCCAGGAATGAAGCGACGTGAGTATAGGGCAACGTCGGGTTCGTATTACATGAACGAGGAAAACAATACCAAGCCGGTTGAATTCATGTATTACAAGAATTTGAACAAACATGATGTTAAATTTGAGAATGTGAGAACAATCAAGTTCAAATTACCAGCAGAACATAGACTTCCTGAGTGGTTTATTAAACAACGTGATATGTGGGAAAGAAACTTCAAATTACTAAATAGTGAACCTGTATAGTTTGTGTATAAAGAAACAATACATGCTTGGGTATTCCCCTATGTTGCGTTTCCTTTTCTTTTTTTTTTTTACTTTCTCTCTAACGACTGTACCTGCTAACATTATACCCCGATCCCGGTGTTGATTGTTGCCTTGACTTGTTATACATATCCTGCAACCTACTTGAGCTTCTCTGGAATGGGGGCGGAGTTGACTCGTGTCCAGCATCATTTTCGTCCTGCATTCGTTGTTGATTGTATGACCTTTGTGCATAGCTTTTATTGAACAAGTTGTCTTGCCGTACCGGCTGAAACTGTGACGACGACGAATGGCTCCGATATGCGTGTCCACTAGAGTGACTTTGCGAACGACCATATGTCGATTGTTGTTGTTGGTGTTGGTGTTGTTGGTCAAAAGTCTTGACACCAAGCCACTCTGGATAAGGAAGTCCCTTTGTGTCATAGTGTTTGATAAATGCTCGATGTATCAATGTATCATCTTCTGTTGAACCGTCCTTTTCTGTAGGCGATGTCAATGAAAGATTAGCAAATCTTGAGCTGTAGTTTTCTTTAATCTTGGAGAAAAAGCCTCCTCCAGTGTTGGAATGCTGCATTTTGTAGGGAACAGCAAAGATAGAAAAAAAATTGTTCAAGTGGGTATGTCAACAACGCTTCACTTTGCTTTGGTAAAACACTGTTCTGACTGAGGTATATTTCCCAATTTAGAAATTTGAAGTAAGCGAGAAGACAGTTTTTAATGTCGTGATTTGATACTTTGCGACACTTACATTATTTTGACATTTTTTTTTTTTTTTCCCCTTCTTCTCATCACTCATCATCATATCTTTTATACCTGTACATTTGAAGAGCCAAAGAACATTCTTACTTCTTATACAATCCAATACCGTTAAATGTTGCTACTCAAACACTTGGAGAAGCAAGTGCTAAGAAACGCAGTGGCTATAAATCATTCGAAAACTCACTGTCGTTTTCGTGCGTTTCATTCCACGTCCACTTTCAAGAATGAAAATTCGATCCAAGTTGATACCAAGCCGATCAAACCTATAAGTACTGATCAAGCCGATGGCAAAGATACAAAATCCAAACCGAAGGATACGACAGATAGTGCAGAGTTTTTACCCGTCAAATTCTCTGACTTAAAGGGAAAGGGATTCATCAATAATGCCATTTTAAATGCATTGCATAAAGCCAAATTTGATACTTTGACCCCCATTCAGCAAAAAGCGTTGATTCCTATTATTAAATCTGAAAAGGGTGTTGTTTGTAGGGCAAAGACAGGGACCGGAAAAACCTTGACGTTTATCATTCCAACTGTTGAGAGTGCAATCAAAAGGATGACTCAGGAGCCTGATGTTCAGGGAGTGGACTCCGTCATTGTTGCACCTACTCGTGACTTGGCTTTGCAGATTCGCGACGAGTACGGGAAAGTATGTGCCAAGTTGCCAAGGTCAATTCAACCTAGAGTTTCAATGATTATCGGAGGACAAAGAACCACCTTCAATTATAGGTCCCCTAGTGAAATTGTGATTACAACCCCTGGTAGATTGGAAGCAGATTTGAAAGATCCGAGGTTCTCCAAATGGTTCAGAAATGTCAATTACAGAGTATATGACGAAGCTGACAGATTACTCGATGTTGGGTTTGAACCTCAATTGAATAGCATCAATCGGGTTTTACGTGACATTAGAGAGGAGGATGCACCACCAATGAAGTCATTGTTGTTTAGTGCAACTGTGGACGACTCGATAACACGTTTTGCCCAGCAGCACATCAATAGACGCTACGATTACATCAACACTGTACCCAAGGATGAGCCGGAAGTTCATGAAAATGTTCACCAGATATTGTATAAATGTGAGGATGGTGTTGACAAGTTTCAGTCCTTTTTCGACTATGTTGTTGATGTGGTTAAAAATGAAGAGAAGGCCAAGATGATTTTGTTTTTGCCAACCCAAACTGCGGTGGACTGGTTTTATGACTATATGCAACAAGCCACCCGCTCGCCAGAAGTTGCTGATTCATACTTGGATTTTGGGATCTATCTTATCCATGGTAACAGAACTGCTTATCAGCGTAAGATTGCATTGGCTGATTTCAAACACTGCGACAGAGGTTTGTTGATTTCCACAGATGTGGCGGCAAGAGGTATCGACGTCAAGGGCGTCACACACGTGATTCAATTGTTCCCTTCTTCAGAAGTTGCCGATTACGTGCACAAAGTAGGAAGGACTGGAAGAGCAGGTGCCAAGGGTAAGGCTATTTTGTTCACGTCACAAAGTGAATTGCCGTATGTTCGTAAATTAAAGAGAGAGAGAGGTGTCGATTTCCAAGAAATTATTGAAAGTACTCCTGAAAAAATTCACGCAAAAGTGTTTGATTCAATAAAGCCATCGCCACATCAAACTAACGAGTTCTTTTTCACGTTTATGAACTACGTGATCCAAGTGAAAAGCATGTATCGTTTAGATGCCAATCATATGATTGAAGATACTGTGAACTTGTATCGCTCCTTGCTTAAAGATGACACTGCGAAATTGAGCATTTCCTCATTGAAACACGCCGCTCGTCAATTAGACAGAACTCTTTTGAGAGAGTATTTCGAACACAAGGGAGGAAGAGAAATCGACTCGTTTAGAGAAAATGGCCGCGGACCACGTCACTCCAATAACCGTGCCAGTCGTTTCTCAGGCAGCGGTGGTGGTGGTGGTGGATACCGAGACTTGGACAACTACAGACGCCGTGGCTCCGGTGGAAATCGGCAACAGAAGAGATCGTCGTTCAGTGATGATGATAGAGGTAATTTTAGAGGCCAAAGAAGATCAAGTTATAACACCAGAAGCTATGACTAGAATATGTCCATCAAAAGGGAGGGTTTTTAGAATATGGACTTTTATTTTTTTTCAATTCAACCGAGCATGTATATAGAAAATATTTTGATTGTAAACAATTTTACTTTTATAGGATATATGTAGATTTTAATCACTTGTATATATGAATTTTCTTGATTCATGTGGATTTACGGTGTTTCAATTGATTTTCTAAATTCATTGATCTCAAGGGGGCCAAGACGGGATCAGAAACATGTACTATCTCATCCTTCCCATGCCGATCTTGTGCGGTGTTCAATTTGTCCTTGTCCTGTATGGCGACTGGTCTTGGTCTTTTTTCAGATGCGTCGCCTGTTGGTACCTGGACACTGATCTCTCTCGTCAAGATTACATAAACCAAAAGGCAAATGATAATTAAGCTGTTGATAAATGACAACCGCTTCTGGAATGTCAAATCGCGGTTCATGACCTCCATGCTTTCGTTCATGTCGTTAAAAGATTCTTTGAATAATGCCAACAGGTGAATCAATGTGGAATTGACAGATTTGAGTAAATTGTTGAAATTGGTTGATTGTCGTTTTTCTAGAGTCAGAAACGCTGTACTCAATAGCTTCAGCTGCTCTTCAATGTATAGTAGTGACAAAGTAGCATTAGATTCTAGCAATGTTAATCTCTTGATGATGTTTTTATAAATCGATTCCTGCGTGGTTGCGAGTGTGGCTGTTGTTGTAGTCACAGGACCCGAACTGGTGTTTATTCCTTCACCTGGCAAGCACTGACTATTTTGTATGGAGCTATGGTTTTTGAGAAATTCATTCAATAGTAAGTGTGGCAAAACCACATTGCACTCATTGAAGGAGTTGTCACTAAGGAAAGTCTCTAGTTCACTGTCTCTCTCTTCTAGTTCACTCACTTTCGTTGGTTCTGAATTTGGCAACTGGGAAATCTCCTCATCTTCTTTGAACTCATCAATCATTGTCTTTCCATGCACTCGAACAACCGATATCGGACAGTAAAACTCGTTCCCGTAATGACTCAATATATCCAACTTCAAATACCGTGCCCAGATCAACGGATTTGCAATATCGAAAGTTTGAACATCCCGAATATTGTCAGCAGTGAAATCTCCCAATTCTCTCCAGTTCTGAGTCGGGAATCTATCACTCACACTCACTCTTATGTCCTTGAACGTTGATGAGAAGAATTCGTAATTACCCAAGACAACCTGGCTGACAAGAATGTCCTGACATAACTCAATAATGATAAACTTGTTTGGGACAGAACATTGATTTAGTAAGTAAGAGTCCTTGTTCTCTTTCAATATAGCTGAGGCGCCTTTCGCTTGGGAGTTTGTTTTTACTATGGTGGCCGCACAGTCAGCCGAGGCAAAATTGAACTTGTTCTTGTAGGTTGTCGCTTCGTGTTCTGTGTTGATCTCTACAACTGCAACTGCCGTTGAGTTATTTCTCGCAGTAGTTCGTGACGAGTTGGACACCGACAAATTCGTATCGATTTTTTGTTTCTTCCATTCTTCAAAAGACATGAAACGGCAGTCATCTAGCACGGAGTCGGGTTGAGAATCATTGTTGGAGCGTTGGTGATGCGCTGGTGATTGAAGGTATAGCTTTTGTGGCCCACGCGGTAGAGTGTAGTTTATGGGACTATAATCCATAGTCGAGGGTTTCGTGAGCAGTCCATTGTTGCTATTCTTGAGTGCGTTACATGAACAAATATATACATAGGCGATCAACGATACGACTATCCACCTTTTCCACATGGTTCGGGTATGGTATACAAGAGAAGATGTGATGTGTAAACAGATTGAGCTCTCTCTCGGTCACAAAAAATTGCAACTGCTCTCACCCTACAATGTTTTCCATCCAAATAACTCAACCAGAGCTAAAAGTGTGCTGAGTGCACCATACTGGGGCAGAGGTGGGGAGGGGGTAGGGGGTAGGGCAACAACTGCCTCTACTTGTCTTTACGCATATATGCCGGCCACAATGACTACAGAGTCTCAATAAAGTTACATTCACATACTCTCTTTGCTCACATATACAATTTCACCTCCATTCATCGTCATCTCCTCTTCTTCTCCTGCCAACATTTCTTCTCTTGTTGTCATCGTAATCGCGTCTCATGCTCTCCCTTTTAAGTCTTCTCAAGTTTCTGATCCTCTCGTTTTCTCTTCTCTCAATTTCACTCGAGCTCAAAATTTCAACCGATGGTTCCCAGTGGTCGTTTCCATTATTGACACTGTTTTCAGTAAAAATTCGCAATCCTTGTTCAAAAAAGATACCTTTCACCAAATGCAAATTGTGAATCTCATTGTTGAAGGAGCCCTCAATAATCTCCTTCTTGACACGGATTATAACCTCATGCAACGCGTGCGAAATAGCCAAATTGAATTCCAAAGACAACCCGAGATCAGCAACGACAATCTCAGCAAACTTTTCTGGAGTGATATCATTCTGATTCAAGTCCCACTCTATTCTATCTTGATACAATTGTTTATTTAAATTGACCGACAAATCAATAATCACATTACAAGGGTTTTTGTTGGGAATAGTCAAATTTGACGCATACGAATATTCTTCAATTTGTTGTGTTATTGAGTCTGAAACCTGTGCAATCATTGGGTTGGGCAATTCAAGGTCGTTGCACAAGATAGCTGCAAAGTCTGTAGGTGTAATCAACGATTCATTCAAATTCCACATAAAAATATCATTCACTTTATGGTTACTCACTGTGCTTTCCAAATTCAATTTTATGGGAATCAATATTTCCGGCTTGTTTGTTTGACCATTCAAGTTGGATTCATCCTCGAGGGTGTTAATTCTTGGTGTGTTTCTAGCAGGACCATATTTCTGTGCGTCAACTTGAGTTTTAGATTCATTCAAGTTACGGCCACTATCTTGTCCACTCAAAGGTAGGTCAGCAGGACTATTTTCAATCTCAAAATCATCTATGAAATCTTCAGAATAGTTGATTTGCTGGGCATGTCTCTTGGCTTGTCTTCCAGTTGGAATTGCATTTAGTAGCAACGAGTTTGTTTCACTTGATAATCTCTTGGATATACTTGATACCAATCCCTGTACTTGAAAGGAAGACGTTTCGTAGCTGACCATATTGGTTGATGAAGTGATTATACTTGTGAAGTGGAATACTTTCTTCGATGTTTAGATGTTTTTTCGTTTAACCTTTGGTTTTTTTTGGTTTTTTTTTTTGTTTTTGTTTTTCTTTTTAGTTTATTTTATTGCTTGGTTGGTGGATTCTCAACAACGAACCATTTCACGGATGAGCAATGCCTAGTGATGACAACGATTCAGAGACTGCTCTGGGTCGGTACGTTAAGGACGAATTGGCTCTTTCTGTTGTGATGCCCTTTGGCTCCTTTGCCCGTATGTTTCCAGAAAACACTTCCACCGACCTCCTCCATTCTATCTACAATCAATTAGTCCGGCAACATCAAAGGAAGCTTACCGACGTTCGAGGTCGAATGGAGAATCACTTGTCCAACAGAGTCAATGGTAATGAAGAAAGTCATGGCCACTCTACTGATATTGAGCCGTCGAAGATTGAGATGTTGAACGATGCTCTCTCCGGACTTCACCAGCTGATGGAACATGAATTTGCCAAACAAAAAGTGGAAGTAGAGAAGGAACTTTCGAACCTTGATGCAAATATTAAGCATTTGGAGGGGGTTTTTATTCCAGAGTACCTGGACCAAGATCTACTGGATGCCAAAAGCAAGTGTGACAAAATAGCAAACCTCGTCAATCATATCTAGTACTCTGCACGTGCATTATCTATAAGATTATCTAATTTTGACAACTCGGATTCACCAAGCCACCTCCAAATCTGAAATTTCCAGTTGAGTCCATCCAAATCGCCAAGAAAATAGCTCGACTCCATCCCACCACCTGGTGAGACAGGCTTGAGATACGTGCATCGTAATATTCGTGAATGCACCAATGCCATACTACACATAACACAAGGTTCGTGAGTTGTATACACGATCATATCGGTGCATAAATAACCTCTCTCAGTTATACCTTGTTTCCTTTGTTTGGACTCTCTTTGAGCTATGGAGTCAATTGCTCGCATTACACTGTGATTCAGGGGGTAACATTCACCTGTATTTACGGCGACACACTGTATCGTTATTGTCCCATTGACTTCTTTCGCCATCATCGTCACCAGAGCTTGTCGATTGTTTACTTTTTCAAGACGATTCAACAACTCATTCACCATTTGTCTCTCTTGTTCGATATCGAAAATTACTGAATTCAAAAATTGATGGTTGGGGTTCCCCTTCCACGTTAGGGGCCAAATCGTAGACCACTTTAAAGTTGTTTCTTTTGTGTTTGCTTGATTTCGAGGTACATTGATAACCTCAAGATTTTCGTATTGAAGATTACCAAGTGTATTAGAAATCTCGGTTCTTTCATGTTCGCTCTCAAATGGACAGATAATAGCTTTAATGTAATCGCCAATTTTGGTTAGCCTCTTCAAGTGCTTGATACTGGCGTCATCTTCGCAGTTTTGTTTCAAGAGTGAAATTAGTAACTTTGAATCTTTTGGTCGTATACTGCAAACCCACACAGGTAGTAGTTTGGGCACTTCTGGATCGGTATCATCACCTATTCTAATTTGTTTTAAAGTGCCATACAAGATACCATTGCGCAAATCCACGTGCGATTGATCTTCCTCACTTTTCATTTGAGTGAGTGTGCAAAAGGATGCTATGATATTTATGGATTATGAAATTGAGATGCGATGGGGTTTGAGTATGGTAGCACCAGAAATCCGGCACGTCTATCCAGATTCGAATCACAAACTGTGTGGTTAAGGCTTCCTTCAGCATACCTCTGGGTAGTATGGTACAATGGAGCAAGCACAAACCTTATCCCAATTTGTATCTGGTGAAGATGCATCCGATAAGGAAACCTCATCATCCTTTCACAAATTTTTATCGTCGGTCAGAATAGTTCCTCTGGATAATCCGTACAAGCACGGCATGTCTTCTAAAATGAAATTCCGCAAGGACTATAACAAATATATAAAACTGTTGGTGGTCGAGTTGTTGAAAACCGGCTCAGATAATGTTTTAGTCTCAGGTTTGCCAAAACTTCACACAAGCAGCTTCAAATCAGTTGGTGCAAATTCGATTTATACCTCATTTATGGTGAACGAATTACACATGTATAATTGGAAACGAGTATTTGATATTTTGGGATCGGAACGCATGACCGACTTGTTAATTAACTGGAAGGGGTTCATTGAAAGAGATGGCAGGTTGTTACAAATCTTTGGCGATAGGATAACGTACACCAAGACAGCAACTACTGATTTGTCCAAGGTCATCAGAAAATCGTCATTATTCCATCACAGTCAATCTAGACCTCGATACTGGGAATTCACTTTACTAAAGCAGGACCTTGATGAGCTAATGCGGGAGATTTTTGGAGAAAATACAAAAGCCAAGCGGTTTAAGAGGATAAGGTACCTTGTGAGGACAATAATCGAGAACGACAAAGCTTGCAAATACCACTTGATATATCGGCAATTACTCTTACTGGGAAAATCCATTAATCCCCATAAGATTTGCAGTAATGCGAGCTCTTTTGGTGAGGTTATTCAATTCATTTTCGTCATATTAGGTAAACTCCTATCATTGGAAGCTTGGGGAGGTCAAGCGAACAAAGCAATCATTCGAAATAGGGTAGAAGAATTTTTGAAGCTTGAGCTGTTGGGAATCATGCATGTCCATGATATACAGAAGGGGCTCCATTTGAATCACTACCAGTGGCTTGGGACCTCGCCAAAAGTGACATCGAAACAAGATTTTGAAATTAGAAAAAAGTTGCTCGAAAAGTACATCTATTGGTTGTTTTCGAAGGTAGTCATAGGAGTTGTACGTTCTTTTTGGTATGTTACTCAATCTACAGATGGGGAGATGTACTATTTTCCTCGTCATGTCTGGCACAAAACGTCACATTTGTGGTTAGAAAGGTACTCGAGAGATAATTTCGTCCAGACAGTATTAACTGGACAAGAAAGTTACAATTATGGCATGCTCAAACTAATCCCGAAAAGGAACACATTCCGAGTGATTTGTGCTCCCTCAAAGAGGTCTCCCTATCTATTGAACACAAAGCTAACACCGGAAGCACAAAGAGAACAGGATATAAAATTCAATACCTATCGAGCCAATGTATTGCGACCAGTGAGACTTATTTTGCAAACAAAGTTCAATAAAAGAAGTCAAATCGATTCCTGTTATTCAGCAACGGCTTCGTCTACACAGCAAATTGCAAATAGAATTCTCAACTTTAAATCGGAGTTATTGCAGAAGCACTCATGTATACCAAAGCTATATTTCATCAAGTTTGACATGAAAGAGTGTTATGACCGAATGAATCAAAAGAGATTAATTGAAAAGGTTATAAGTTTGTTTCGCGATGACAAGTCCGATACAAAGTATTATTGCCGAACGATAGGAAAAATGAGGCTAAACTTGAGGCAGCAAGCTCAAAAACATGTCGCAAGCTCAGATCTAGCTGACTTTGATTTACTTTCGAATAACCAAATCGGGAACAACAAATCAATAATGGTGGACACGGGTAAAACTGTCTACTTGACGAGAAAGGAAATTGTTGATGAATGTATCCAACAGATTTTTGGCGCCAAATGCTATATCCCAGACCGTAAAACACAGTCCTTAAAGTTTTATCGACGAACACAAGGTGTTTTCCAGGGTTTTACATTGCTGAGTATATTCTGCGATATATTGTACAGCGCAATGGTTGCTGAAAACTTTAGATTTTTATGGGAATCGGACTCCCCCTTTTTCTTCACTAGGTTAGTCGATGACTTTTTGTTTATTTCACCTGATGTTGAGCAATATAACAAAGTTTTGGAAGTCATTTCTGGTGATAGATTGCAAAAATACGGGGCTTTTGTCAACTATGAGAAAACACACCTCATTGACTATGCAAGTGAGACCACAACTTTGGATTTTGTTGGGTTGCAAATTGAGGTTGATACTTTGAGTTTAACTACAAACTACCTGCAGTTTGGAAATTTGTCAACTGGTAATTACCGGACATTTAGTGATTTGTTGAGATACTTGAAAATCGCATACACAACCAGGTTACAAGAATACATGTTGGATTGTGCAAGAAATTCCTTTGCTCAAGTGGTGAGGAATGTACTGAATTTGATTGAGTTCATATTGGGCCTGTTTAACCGTGCGTTTCAAAAAACTTCAGGGACAGACACATTCAATGCAAATAACTTTATAAAGTACTTGTGGACCCTTATTACATTGACATTGAACAAGTTTGAGAATTGCAATCCGAACAGTGATCACTTGGATGACATGTTGGACAACATTTTGTCAACAATCGCTGAAACATTAGCTCATGGTCTGCAATATAAGGAAGTCATTCGTAAGTTGAGAGAGTCGATTTCTGAAGATGTTGCGGAATTCGCTACACTCGGAGCTTAAGGAAGCTTGTACATGAATGGCAGTTTTTCTTTTCGTTAATAACATCTATACGAAATCAACGCAATACCGTATATAAGAGTGTAAAACAAAACAATTTTAGCTGCTATATAATATATGTAAGCGGAGTTAGTGTTTACTTCTACTAATTAAAACCCAAATGGATTGTCTGGAGTAGCTGCTGCGAGATTTGCTTTTTTCCCTGTGGCTTGAGACTGTAAAGGCGCATTGCCAAAGCCCATACCAGTTGGTTGCGTTTGCAATGGCTGAGAGTTGAATCCTTCAAATTGAGAGTTGCTAAACGCATTTTGTTGACCAAATGGTTGCGAGATTGAAGTGTTTTGGAACATGTTAGTCATTTGATTCATGTTAGGTTGCTGTTGTTGACCGAATTGGTTGAACTGAGTAGGCTGTTGTGAGAACTGGTTGAACTGAGTAGGCTGTTGCTGGAACTGGTTGAACTGAGTAGGCTGTTGCTGGAACTGGTTGAACTGAGTAGGCTGTTGTTGGAAGGTATTTTGTTGAGGTTGGGCAAAGTTTGCTTGGCCAAATGAGTTTTGGAAATTTCCACCATTTCCTTGGTTGAAAGTCGATTGTGGAATTGGGTTGCCAAATGAAGTCTGTGGCATCATGCCACCAGTTGCTTGTTGTTGACCAAATGAAGTCTGTGGCACCATGCCACCAGTTGTTTGTTGTTGACCAAACGGAGCTGTGTTAGTATTCATAAAGCCACCTGTTATCTGCTTACCAAAATTTGATTGCGGAACAAACCCACCTGTAATTTGACCACCTGTTCTTTGCACTGGTACCAATGGATTTTGATTAAAGCTCGTCGCAGGCAAACCTCCTGTATTTTGAGCACCAAATGTTGTGCTTGGTACGCCACCAGTGTTTTGGGCACCAAAAGAAGTTTGCGGCACCGTTGCAGTACCAGTTTGAAGAGGTACAAAGTTTGGTTGGAATGTCTGCGGTTGGCCAAAAGTTGTTTGTGGGGGCATACCACCGCCACCAGTTTTCTGCCCGGTTGGTATAGCTACAAGGCCAAAAGTCAATTGCGGCTGAAGGATTCCGGTGGCTTGTATAGGAATGAATCCGGTCGGTTGTGCAGTTATAGGAATAAACCCAGTAGGCTGTGCTGGAAGCAACCCCCCAGTAGGCATGGCACTCAATCCTGCTCCCGTTCTTTGAACAGGAATCAAACCACCAGTACGTTGTGTAGGCACTAAAACACCGCCATTGTTTGTTGTTGGAGCAGCTCCTGCAGTCTTTGTAGGTTGAAGTGGAGGGGCTGAAGAAGTTTTTGTTGGCTGAAGCGGGGGTGCTGAAGGAGTTTGCTGTGGGTGCGGAGGTTCTGCTTTGTTTTCTACTGGTTTGATATTCACCAAGTCGGACAAAGTGCCAGTATATTGTGGTGTTTGTGGTTGGGGAGATGGTTTGAGTAAGTTCTCATTTGATCTTGCAGCTGGTTTCATTGCCCATGCATCGTCATCAATCTTGCCGCCTTGTTCTGGTTGTGATGACGGTACGTTGAGGTGTGAAGATTCATTTTTGACAGGGGATGGCAAAGCTTCTTTGGTAACCTTTGACAACTCGGTAGATGAGTTGTTCTTCAAAGCGCCATTACTGTCAATAAACAAGCTGCCAGTAGTTTGCTGTTGCTCTGGCTCAACTGACCTTTTTCTATTGTATTTGTTATCCAAATGCTTCATTACTCTAATTATGTCACCTTCTCTCAATCCTAATGTCCTCAACAAAGATGGGGAGATGTCTTCTAAAATATTTTCATCCATTTGCTCGCGCTCAAAATTAAGTGTGTAACGTTGACAATTACCAACATCAACTCCACACTCCAAAAAGAAGTCAAACCAGTCATAAGCTGGAACCCCATTGGAACTGTGGCCAGAAGGTCTAGGTCTTGAGGGTTGAGGTGGAGGTGCCGTATCATTAATTGCGGCAGTAGCTGATTGAGATCTCTTGGTTTCAGGTTGTGCTGCAACTGCACCAGACTTGCTCTTTGACCTAGCTCTTTTTTCCATTTGTTTGAAAACAATTTGCTTGTACTTGTCCAAAGATGACCCAGTAATCTTTTCAACGTACTCCAAGTCTTCAATGGATAATTTCTCAGCAGCAACAGCAATCTTGACACCATTTGTCTTGTGCAAGTGCACCTTGCCTTCGACACAACCCAAAAACTCGGCTTCGACTTTAAATGTACCAGAACTATCAATCCATGTTCTAACACGGTGGAAGTTGGGCATAGATTTGTCATTCTCGTCATGAGGGCCGGCACTCTGTTTTTCCCTATGCGCTCTATCCCTCTCCCTAACCCTCTCACGTTCATCTCTCGATCTATGATGATGTTGACGACTGTCCCTTCCACTCACAACCTTACCTTTCGAGCTAGACATTGATTTTCTTCTTGCAGGTCCGTCCGTTAATTCATCCAACTTCGATGTACTAATCACTTCGATATATGAAGATGGAACAACACCTTGCCTTCCGGTATTGACATTCTCAACCATCCACCAATCATTTGATTTCGATTGATTGATGATGTATACTTCATCTCCCTCTCTGCAATTGAGTTCGTCATCGCCCTGTGCTTTGAAATCATAAGTCAAGCGACCAATCTTTCTATTGGCATCTCCCGTGCTAGGTTGAGAAGCTTTCTGAACTTCCCTCAACCCTATAGCCCTTTCGGCACCTTTCATTTCTCCCAAGATAGAGGTAATTGCGTCTGCAACATCTTTAGATCCTGCGTGCAATTCCAATTCCGCTGGCGGATTTCTGAGTTCCAAGAACACGTGCTTCTTTTCAGAATTAACGCTAATCAAATCCTTTATTTGCCATTGATTGTTTATCTGGGAGGCCGACCTTAATCTCAACTTCTTGGGATTGAACGTGTTAGGCTTGATAATTATCAATCCTTGTCCTACTGATACTTTTATCGGTCTCTTTTTCCTACCGTCGAGTTCATCGATATACCAAGTGAAGAACTCCCCATCAAATTTATGCTCCTTTTCCGTTGGAGCATCTACTTCTTGCTCTTCTTCATAGTTGTTGCTAGGTCCGGCCACTGGCTCTGAGGCAGGACCTGTAGGTCTTGATGGCATTGGAGGCGGAGCCTCTTCTTCCTCCTCTTCTGGTTCCCCTCGACCACCAATATTATACTCTTGTGATCTTCCATGTGGATTTTCAATAGATGGGAATGGTTTGGGAAGGTCCTTTTCCGGTGTTGGAGGTGGATAATCTGGTGTGACCGACTTTTGTGGATGCGTAGGTGGGGGTGGAAAATTTGCAATGGGGATTTGGTGACCAACTGGAGCTTGTGGTTGTGGAGGTTGGTGCTGCGTAGAGTCTGGTTGTTGCAGCTGCTGAGGTGGTTGACTCGGTGTAACCCCGTCACCAGTGCCAATTTGAATGTAATTAGAAGGGACGAAACCAAACTCCTGTTTACTAGCATTGCCGACAAGTATCCAGTCCGGATCACTCAAATCATAAACATTGAACACGTCATTCTCATTAAATGTAAGCTCTTCTTCTGTTTGTTTATCGTAATCGTACAAGGCAGTAGCTTGTTTGAGAATTGGTGCCTATTGATGATAAGTTAGTAATTCGTCATCAAAAAAGGTTATTTAAAGCATGCGCCACACATACCTCTTCAATATATGTTGAAGGGACCAATCCTGATGGTTCATCAACAACTTCATCGCCTGTTGCAATGACCCGTTTCTTAACTTTCCACCAATCGTCGATATCGGATCTTTCCAACAAGTATAATAAATCGTCTGTGCGTATAGACAACTCTTCCTCTGCCTGTGCATCGTAGTCATAAATGGCCTTATATACACCAATATATACGGACAGCATTTTTCTGATGACGTCTGGTTGAAACTTTGCGGAGATTGGAGTTATCTGATCTGACAATGAACAGTTGCTTTACTACGCACTTTTTGATCGTCGGAATTTTTTTTTTGATGAAACAGTGGAACAATATTCACGCACTACTAAAAGAATAGAATAAGAATCGCAAAGTCACAAAACGATTTCTCCACGACATTGGTGAAACTACGAGGTATGATTTTGTTGATTGAAATCAAATTCTTCTTTTTTTTAAAAAAAAAAAAAGTGTCTGTAAACGTAACTCCTCTATATATTGATTTAGATGACTCTGGTGAGGGGCCTATCAAAGTTGAGCAAGACAGCTTCAATATTCTCAAGACAATTAATGGCAGTAAAATTGTAATTCTCGGTGGAAGCAGAGCCAATATGAGGCGTTAATACAACATCCTGTCTATCAAGTAGCTCTGGGTGCACGTGAGGCTCTTCTTCAAACACATCCAACCCAGCAAATAGCACTTTGCCGCTCTTTAATCCATCCACTAAAGCAACTTCATCAATGACTGACCCTCTTCCTACATTAATAATGCGGAATTGTTTAGCCATCTTGTCAATTAGCTTCTTGTCTACCATGTGTCGAGTCATTGGAGTTCCCGGGCAGGCAATTACTACCAAATCGGCAAACTCTGTGGTGTCAGAGAGTGTTTTGTGGTACGTGATAGGAACCCCCAATTTTTGCTCTTCTTCGTCACTCAACCTTTTCCGTTTCACATAGTGGATAATCATACCCACCGAATGTAATCTAGTAGCAATTGACTGGCCAATGTTACCAAATCCAACAATTACAGCATGATGATTCCTTGGTGACAGGTTAGCTCTCTGACAGCAAGATTTCCCATACGATGAACCCAATAGAGGTGTCGACACAGCAACACCCTTTTCTTGATCAAATTTGGCCGCCACTAAAGACTTTGTCAACATTCCGGTCTGGGTATATCGGTCTTTGGAAAAATTTTGCTCATAAATCTTGAAATTTCTAAAACTGGCAATGGTGTTGTAAAGCACCAACTCGGCAACCGCGTCGTAAGCCATAGTGGACGGGCTATTGGTCAAAACTATCCCCTTGGCAGCCATGGCCTCCACATCGAAATGGTCGTATCCAATACTGCACGTGGTGACAATTTTCAAATTCTTGGGTGCAAAGTCAATCAATTTACCTTTGAATCCACCAAGAGGCGCAAACCCGGGCCATCCACAATATATTGCTTCAATGTCATGGAATCTATGTTGGAAGTCGTGTATGCATTGCTCAACGGTTGAAAGTTCGTAGTAAATGCATTCGAATAATTGCTCGAAATGTTGAAGCACCTCTTTGTTGGGTGCTTCCAAGAACAAAACCTTTTGTTTGATAGTCATTTGCTATTAGTGGGTGAGCAGTGGTATTGAAAAGGGCCATTCAGAGACATATTTGACAACATTTTCCACCATTTGGTTCTGTTTATATATCGCTGTTGGTGGTATCGTATAAATTTTTCATCACCCCCTGTATCTGAAATTCTCCTTGAATAACCGCACCTGCAATAGAAAACTTCGATTTCTCGTGCGGCTCAATTTGTTCTCCGAGTATCAACTATCCCGAACTTTACCTTAATCTTGAAAACTGTGCAATCAATCTACGTCATTGCCACTTATTGCAACGTAGCATAATATTCACTATCGCAAGTTACATCAGGCCATTTACTTTCAATAAAAATAATTCAGAATTTTTTCACTTGAAAATATACGTATATATATATCTCGAATATATAAACACATAGGATGATGTAAGTGATTCAGTATACAAAAAAAAAAATTATGGTCTCTTAAATATACACACACACTTAGCACCATGCTTCCCTCTACTCTCGTATGCATTGTTGTTGCGTTGCTTCTCTTCACGTACAGCTTTTCCTTACCCTCTACTTTTAATGAGCCATTCCTGGTTCACCCAAGTACTTGGCTTTCAAAACAGTTCCGCATTGCCAGCATCTTGCTACTTTTCCTTCCTCAACCTTCATCCAGTATGGCTTGTGTGCTTCATCGGCAGTACCTTTACATCCAACATATCTGTATCCGATATAAGTTGGAACCAAGAATGGATCAGCCATGGTTCCTTTACCTTCAGTGATTGGCATTTCCATGTCGAAAACATCAACACCTTCTCTCTTACCCAAAAGTTCCAATCTTTGTAAACCAGTGGACTGGTCCCAATCGGTGGGGATGGTACCTGGCTTGGCACCAGGACCAATCAATGATGCTGGGCCAGTAACTTCAGCCAAATCTTGAGCAGTCTTGACATCAGTGGTGGTGTTGGGGGTAGCCTTGTTGGCCAAGATTCTGCTAGTGGATAAAAATCTTCTTTGGCTAGCAATTCTCAATGAGCGTGAAAGCATTGTGCTAGAATAGGAGTAGTTAGTAATACTGATAGGCTATGATTGAGGTTCAGACCCAGGCTAAGTGCATTTGAAATCATATCTCACTAAAGTCCATGCTTGTTCCATTTGGAATAGCGGGTGTTGTGAGTTGGCTATGCCTAAATACGCCAATTGGCGATGACTATTATCACTCCTATGTCGTTGAACTCGTCAATTGAGTTAGCCCCATAAGTGGTAGATCGAAATATTCCACATACATTTTGATATAGTACTATATTATGATTGGTAATTGGTAAATATCAAAGAAATGGCCCGGAAGATTTCCTGATACGTGGGTGGTAATAGGTGAATATTTGGGTTTGTTTGTTAATATATACAAGCCTATCAACGTTAGGCTCTTGCGAGAATCACCTCATTATTTTTTTTTTTTTGGTGCTTTTGTCTGTCGCATCTGCCAAATTGATTAACTTTTAATTGGTTGTAATAAAGTTGTGACACTGAGGGAATGCGACATTGAATTGACGATTTTACTACACCACTTTGTTTTTTGAATTTTGGTTAGTGTTCAACATGGGTTAAGGAGAATCAAGAGATATGAAAACGTTGATTACGATGTCTATTTCTGTTACCACACTCAGTTGGGAGACGGTACTGAGAGTATGTTACTAATAAAGACCTTTGTAAGAACCTTCACTTTGACAATGGCATCTGCAAGTAGAAGAAGTTGATAGTAAATCGTCTCATTCCCTCCTCCCCCTCCTCTCTCCCTACTCGAGACTTTTTAGATTAACTTTTGCTTGTGTCCAGCTTCACCGATTGAGCAGTATTATGACAAAGGTTACATCGTAGGCTAGCTTCATCGACATCAATAGGAAAAAGAACCGAAGCACAAACACAAGCAAAAGTAAGTTAGGGTTACAGCCCCACAAGAATGAGTCTGGTGCTACCAAACTACTTATGACCATAGTAAATAATTAGTTTTTCTTCCTGTACCAAAAGTAGTACTGAGCCGCACTGATGGTTTTGATGGTAGTGCACTCTCTACAATTCTCGCACTCTCACTCTCTCACTCTTTCACTCTCATAAAATTTTTCATAATACAACTTTCAAATTTCAATCTTGAAATCCTTTTCTCTTGTTTTACAACCAACCAAAGAAGTATGTTTCAAGACATATTAGGAAGGATGTTGATGCAATGGCAAAGAGCTATTTTTTGCATGTGAAGGAAAGGGATCTAATTCAAAAAGTGAATGACCGTCAGGACAAGAGGATTTGAATCAAGAGTGGCGAGACATCCTCACTGTAACTTCATGGATTTATGGAGACCTCGGGACGTATTCAAGCTCAAATACCACAAGCTCAAATACCAGCACTACAACAGGGAGCGGAATTTCTGTACTTTCCTGTGTACTGGGTCCAAAAGCTGACAACAATCTATGCAAGGTCCTTCCAGGAAGTATTCACATCGCATTCCCCACCAATTCCACCAGTGAAAATAATAGTTCATGTCATTGCATTCAACTTCCAAATTTAAGAGTTTCGATGATACTAACTTTATCTCCTTTATTTTAGACAACATGCCAAAAAAGAGAGCTTCCAACGGTAGAAACAAGAAGGGTAGAGGTCACGTTAAGCCAGTCAGATGTTTGAACTGTGCTAGATGTGTACCAAAGGACAAAGCCATCAAGAGAGTAACAATCAGAAACATGGTTGAAGCTGCTGCTGTTAGAGATTTGTCTGAAGCTTCAGTCTATCAAGAATATGCTCTTCCAAAGTTGTACAACAAGTTGCACTACTGTGTCTCATGTGCTATTCATGCTAGAATTGTCAGAGTCAGATCAAGATCCGACAGAAGAATCAGAACTCCACCACAAAGAAAGAGATTCACCTCTGACAGAAAAGTTTCACCACAAGATGCTGCTAAGAAGGCTAACTAAATCTGTTAGGTAGTTTTTTTCTCTTTGCAATGTTTATCAATACTCATGTATAAATGTGTACACAATCAAGCTTTATTAGTTTAACTTAATAAGAGTAATGTAGATTGAGAAGTTTTGGTGTGGCAATGTATGCTGTTTGAAAAGTTTGTTTCCCGTAATATTTTGCAACAAAATTGGTGCAAAATTAGAAACTTCAAGACAGCAGTGGAGGTTTAAGCAGAATTGAAAGGTTTACATACCAATATTGGAAGAAAACAAGGTCTATGTAGCTAAGTGTTTTCCGGTGGCTCACCCCCGCCAGGGACTGTCTCTCAGTTATGTAAATTCCCAATACATTTGCAATATTGAAAAATGGAGTTTTACTTCGGAGTTGCATAAAGCCGACAAGTTAATCAGAGTAATTCTGCAATAGAGAGAATCAAGGCTGTCTGTTGCTAAAAGTGTCTTCGTTACTACAGCATAATCAATACCAGGTGACGACATGTAAATTTTGATACTGGTAATCAGAGAAGAGAGGGGGTAGTATGTATATGCGTGTGTCTATAGTGCGACTGCGACAGAAACAGATACAGAGAGATAGTAGAGAGACAGACAGACAGATTGGGAGAGCAAAACGCAATGTAAGAAAAAGAAAAAAAAAAATTGTTGAACGAAGACAGCCTCTTGATCATCCATTATTAACTCCACACAACCAATAACCAACAACCAACTAACTACTACTACAAAACAAGCCAATTAGCAACTTTTCTACATCAACGGACATACTCTCCACGTACTTGCATTCTCTCATACTGTTCAATTGTCACTAATACGCCTCACATAGCGCACTATCTGTGTGAATCCATAATCAGCATATCGATCTTTCATTGACGCTCAGAAAAAAAAACAAAAAAAAAGAGAAAAGAAACCAACCATTCTGGCAACACAACCAGTAATATCTACAACGATGACTCAAGACGAGACATGGAAATTCTCTCAATGTTTTGGTGACAAGGGAGATATCGAAAACATAACTGAAGCGGACATTATATCTACTGTTGAGTTTGATAGCACAGGAGATTTTCTAGCAACTGGTGATAAGGGCGGGAGAGTAGTACTATTTGAACGGAGTCACAACAAAAAGAAACAAGGCTGTGAATACAAGTTTTTCACCGAGTTTCAGAGTCACGATGCTGAATTTGATTATTTGAAATCGTTGGAAATTGAAGAAACGATAAATAAAGTCAAGTGGTTGAAAAGTGGCACTGATGCATTGTATCTTTTATCTACAAATGACAAGACTATCAAGTTGTGGAAGATCCAAGAACGGCAAATCAAATTAGTATCTGCGAACAATCTCAATGGACTGGACCATTTCCCTGTGGAAGGTAGTGGTGGTGGACTTGGTGGCGGTCTTGGTGGCGGTCTTGGCATATCATCATTGAAATTGCCACAATTGGAATTGCACGATAAATTGATCTCGGTTCAGCCAAAGAAGATTTACTCGAACGCTCATGCCTATCACATAAACTCCATCTCAGTCAATTCTGATCAAGAAACTTTTATAAGCGCTGATGATTTGAGAATAAATTTGTGGAATTTGGGTATAGCTGATCAGTCGTTCAACATTGTTGATATCAAACCAACAAATATGGAAGAGTTGACTGAAGTCATCACCAGTGCCAAGTTTCACCCCACACAATGTAATCTATTTATGTACAGTTCATCAAAGGGGACGATTAAATTGTCAGATATGAGATCTAGCTCATTATGTGACACACACGCCAAGATTTTTGAGGAGTATTCTGATCCATCGTCACATAATTTCTTCACTGAGATTACCAGTTCCATTTCCGATGTTGAATTTAGTGCCAATGGGCGGTACATTGCATCGAGAGATTACATGACGGTGAAAATCTGGGATTTGGCAATGGAGAATAAACCAGTCAAGACAATTAATGTTCATGAACATTTGCGAGAACGGTTGTGTGACACATATGAGAACGATTCCGTGTTTGATAAGTTTGAAGTACAATTCAGTGGTGACAGTAGATCAGTTATGACAGGCTCATACAATAACAAATTTATGATTTACCCCAACGTTACTTCGGGCGAAGATGCCAAAACCTTCAAGAGCACGTCGTCGTCGTCAAAGTCGTTAAAGTCGAAGAAGAGGAGCAAGAACAGAAAAGGATGGCGAGGTGGTGATGGCACAAATGGCGGTGATAATGTTGACGAAGATAATGACAATAACAATGACGACGACGACGAAGAAGAAGAAGATGATGACGATGATGACGATGTTGACGAAGATGACGAAGATGACGAATTTGACCAGATGGACTCTCCGCCGAATAATAAGAACTCGCCAGTTTCGCAATTGGAGGATGAAGAGGACCAAGATGAGATTATATTACAAGCTGATAAGTCTGCCTTCAAGTCAAAGAAGACAGGTAATCATTCCTCCAGAAGGAGGATGATGAGCGGAGGAGTCTCCAATCTTGGACGCGATTACGATGACATTGATTTCAAAAAGAATATTTTGCATTTATCGTGGCATCCAAGGGAGAATTCAGTGGCTATTGCAGCAACCAACAATTTATACATTTTTTCAACTCTATAGAGAATATAACTTGAGCAAACTGTACTCGGAAAGGAGAAGCAAATTGACGGCCACACAATTGATGACTCTACATTGAACCCTTGACGCAAATACTTTATATCCAATTTCAAACGAATATATATAAAAAACGTTAAATAATGACAATATCAAATAGGAAATCCAAGCCAATCTCTCTTCATAATCCATTTTTAACAAACATCACTTGTCAATCAACTAGGTCTTTTATTTATTTCTCTCTCTCTCCCTCTCTCTTGCTCGCCGTCCTTTCTCAAAGTGTTTAATTCTGAACATGTCTGTTCACATCACTGTTCCAGAAAAGGGTCTTGTCTCCATCACCCCAAAAGAAGGGCTTCGATCTAATATTCTGATAATCATACTGTTGAGGCCACTCCTCATCGCTCAAATGTCTAGTGTGTTCACGATGATGAGCATGGTCCAATTCGACTTTACCCACAGGGATAGCCGTCAACAAAATAGCGGGCAATGCCACCAAGTAAGTCAACCTTTTCCAAGTGTCGGTGATTTTGGCCGAGTGGTGGACCTTGGTTTCGTATTGTTGGATGAATTGGTCGCCCAATTGCTTGTTAGGTTTGTAGGCCAAGTCTTTCAAGTACTTGGATGGGGCGTAGTGTGAGGCGAACCTGCGGAAGGTGAGCTGTCTGGACATCATTTGTTGGTAAGGAAGTTGTTGGTGTGGTAACAATTAGTTGAAATGGCTGATGTTCACAGGTTTATTTTTATTTTTATTTTTATTTTTTTCTTTTCTTTTGCTTTGGGTTGACTGTTTTTGTATTTGATTTTATTGGGTGTAGAGAAGTCGTGCACAGTGAACAAGAACGAAAAAAAATAAAAATAATCACCTTATTATTTTCCTTTCGACTGATAATCTATGTGGCTGCGAAAAGTAAAGCACCATAATACGAAAGAGATCTACAAGTTCGAGTGACTCGAGGATACTGATGGATTCCACGTATATGCAAGACTTTATACATCTGTGGACTACCCCTCTGATACATACTTGCTATGTCATCTTTTATAGCATGCTATATTGGACTCTAAATTTGAACTTCCCGAGTTTCTATATGTAATTTCTATGCTGTTACTTAGATTCCTGCTTTAATCTCTTCCTCTTCTCCCCTTTTCGCTCTTTCTTTGCCTTATTCTTCTGCTTGTCTTCCACTATCTTGTCCTGTTTCTTCTCCTTTCCCAATACTGCATTTTTCAACACATTGAAATAACCAGGAATATCTTCTCGTCTACTATTCTTAATGCTTGCAGCATACTCCACAACCTTATCATTCAATGTCTTCAACTCGTCGTTGTAATTGTACCCCTTACCACCATGAGCATCTCTAACTTGATTGACAAAGTAATCCAATTGCAAACTAGCACGTGTCTTCAATAGAGATTCCCCCCATCCATCATTATCGAGACTATCACCACCAGTATTGCCGTTGCCAAACCCATATATATCAGCATTCTCCTTCAAAAATTTCTTGATTGACGACCTGTTCTTTACAAGCTTGCGTAATTGCTCATTGTGGAGCATGGTCACTTTATGCGTAGCAATAAACTCGCGCAACACCGGCTCATTTTCATACAAGAACTCAATATACTCATCATCAGATAAATTGATAGTGATGATATTAGTATCTCCTTCACTCACTTTGCGCAATCGACCTTGGCCATCACTTTGCCCACCATTAGTGACAAATTTCAATACGGTGTCTTTCAGAACCCAAATCCGCAATTTGGGTAAAAACACATAACCAGCAAACAATGTACTTGAAGTCCCCTTTGATTTGTATTCGACATGCAACATAGTTTCGAAATCCTCCGGAATGTAACCCAATTCACCTTGGACTGAATTGAGACGCAAGGGACTGATTTCCTGTAATTTGGCGAAATGGGCATTACGACAATTGTAAACTTGCAAAAAGCTATTCTTTTCCACGGGACTAATGCTGTTCCAGTCAACTCCATTCGCGTCATGTTTAGGCAAGAGCATATTGTATCTTGCTGCATTAGGCATATCAGAAACGGCCAACCCGGTGATATCGATATACAAACCAGTATCCAAGTCAATAAACCTTGCATCGATATTGTTTCTGCCATTTCCTCTGGCTCTATGTGAGATGAATGTCGAGGAGTCCAAGAAAAACCGACTATACTTCAGCTCCTTATTCAAGTCATTCCCCAAATCAACAACGATTGTTTGGTTAAACAATTGCGAAAGACGGTGCAAGTCAGTAATGGGCATTTGAACATCAACGTCAGAATCCCATGGGAATTGCAATCCATTCCAAAACCAAGAAAGTAACGATCCATGAGCAACCCAAGCGGTTAAATTATATTGATTGGTGAGTTTGAGAAAAGCTTGAAGAAGTGCATTTATGGAGATGCTTTGTATGGGGGTGCGATTTACTATTCCATTGAAAAATCTCCAATCGTAATGACCTCCCAATGCGTAATTTACTTCTCTTCTCACAATGTATGCCTCGTGGAAATACTTCAGTGGGTCGTGCTCCTGTAACGATGTCTTGAGGGCATGGAGATAATTTTTGTCGGTTTGATTGAGTGAAGAAGACGTAGCTTGTGATTCCAAGGTTGTGACAATTTGAGCACTGTTGTCAATAAACTGCTCATGCTGGAGATGTTTTTCCAATTCAAGTTGTGCGCTTCGAGCGGGCAATTTACTAGCCAATAGGCCAATTTCCTCATTTATATTGATATTTCCCTCGTGGAACAAATCCGAGTCCTTTAATTTGATACGCTGTTGTTGTTGTTGCTCTTGATTGACATTAATTTGTATAGATTTATCGCCAGGTAACAACAATGTCATGCTCAAAGGTAGTTGCATAAAATCGTGTAGGTAAGACCGCGAAATAATTGGACGCAATGATTTCTTATTTCTTCCAGCTGGAGCAAAGATATGGAATCCGGTTGTATATTCAACAGGCGATGCTGTTTTCCGTTCATGCTGTATCCTTTTGAATGCGTCAATAGTGTCCTGGGTATATTTAGCTTGTGCTTCAGGGTCTTTTAAAATACGATCTATATCGTCATCACTGACACAGTATTGCTCCCATTTCAACAATCCTTCCCGGTCATTCTTTTTCGGATTCTTGGAAGAGGTGTCAAAATATGAACATGGTTTCTTTTCGTGAGAGAAGAGGTAATTTTCCATTGCTGACATATCGACAAAGTCACTCCAGTGGAAGACGGGTATGGTCAACTGTTGCGGTTGCTGTTGTTGGGGATCCTGTGAGCTTAATTTCCCATTCATGTACTTCAATAACAATCCAAGGGTGTAGCGAGGATCATAGGGCTGTAGTGGCGGTATTTGTTCCCTTGGAGGGATACTTATCGTGTAAAACAGTTCATCTTGAGTGTAAGTGGTTCCTTGCAAGACTTGTCTCGTGACTTTTAGTCTTTCTTTAGCTTTTTCATCGACAGGCTCTACACCTGTGCCCAGTGATTGCTGCTCCTGCTGTAGTTGCTGCTTGTGCATGTAGTCAACCACCATCGTATCAAAGTCATTCTCTTCTCGGTCTTGCTCACTCGCCAATAGTAGATGTTTTAGTTGTGGGATCGGCACATTTTGAGCTATGTATTGTTTGAGTGAAGTGTTTTGAATATGTGAAGCAACAAGCATGTGGGTTATGAGAAGGATAAATAGTAGCAACACAGCGCGTGATCGCCGCATGGCAACTCGCCGGAATATAGGACCGAATTTGGACATGGGGAGGGAGCTATGAATATGTATGTATAGATTGTGTACTTTATAGCTAAACGTGGATACGCTGTGCCAAGTGATGTAGTTAAACCAAGTTGACCTGCTTGTATGCCTTTCTCTTTTGCTTGAAATGGATTCTGATTTGCTGTAGGTTGTAAAAATTTTTTAAAGTTGTTGTTGTTGTTGTTGTTGTTGTTGTTGTTGTCTGACTGTCTGTCTGTTTGAAAGGGTCGTGTGACTGGAGTATAGATTTGAAATTTTGGTTGTTCAATTTTGTGATACAAAAAGAATATGTGGAAAAAGAAGCCAAGCAAAAAAAAAATAAAAGTGAAGTATTGTTGTTGTTGTACCTTATCCGTAACAAGATAAATGATGATGATGTAATGGAAGAGAAGCTAGATGTCAGGTTTTGTAGATTTTGTTGTTTTTAAGAACGAGCATAGTTTGGTGAGTACATATATATACACACAGCATCGTATACGATGCTGTGAGTGGGGATCAACTTATTTACATACGATTATTTGTATGTCACTCTCTTACGTATTGTATATACTCTTTTAAGCCTTGTTGTAACAACTACATCTAAACACCCAATCACAACAAAAATAATAAAGGGAAAAATAAAAAAAAATTGATACATGAAGTAGATTTTGTGTACTCGGTTATAATGCCCTCACGCGACCAAAAGGCATCAAAATAATCGGGATCTACCAACCCACTTTGAAACATCAACACTGTTGAAGGCGAGACTCCACACATTAACAGAATACTTACATCTGTATAGCTCCTTTGAAGGTCTTGCTTTCTTATAACCCATACGCAATAAAAGTGTTCACGTGCAGACAAAAACTAATTTGAGATCTGATCTTCAAACAGATAACCAAATAAACTGCATCAAGTCAGTCACTACTTTCGGCTACACGCTCTCTGCAATACATCTCTCATAGTGTAAAAATCTCAAATTAAACACACGTGGTTGATTGAAAGTTTTATTTATTTTAATTTTTTTTTTTTAACCAATCAACATAAATTTCAAAGCCTTGTTTCACTTCTCATACAAAACTCATGCCTCTTTGCTTACAAGTTCAACTCTAAAATTTTAGCGTTGTCTCATTCCGAACCAGCACCACGTAGATGCCAACTTTTGCTTTCTTTTTTTGCTGTTTTATGAGCATTGATGAAAAAGCCTTGCCACATCCATATTTTCCTCCGTAAGAAAAATTTCAGCTTCCAGCCCTGTTGATGAAATTGTATGGCTCAGACCGCATACACCCTTCCTTGGTATGACCATCAAAAAGTAAATACAGTATTTCAAACAATAGTTGCATTGTCTCCAAATCCAAGTTCATTCAATTGAAAACAAGAGTTTGTGTAATATATGACACGTAGCAAAAGATAAGAACTATAGAAATTACAGCACTTGATAGATTCGGTCGTCGAAACGGTGCTTTTGTGAATCGCCATAGTTGTGACAAGATGATTGTACCATTTAGAGTTCTAGATATCTAGGAATACATCAGCATTGTCTTTTGATTTATCTTCAGAATTGAGTGATTTTTTTTTTGGCTTATTAACTATTAATTGTTTGTGGCTTCAGGTATTAACCCTCTCCACCATCATAAACGAATGACTCTGTATTACACTTTTGTATGCAATGGTTACTAACTTTTCTCCTCAGCTGAATAGGCAATATCAATTACCTGATTCCAGTTTCATATCCTCTTCTTTTTCGTCTCCGTTTCCCTCTGCAGAAGCAGAAGCAGGAGCAGAAGCAGAAGCAGAAGCAGGAGCAGCAGTAGCTCCTCATCCTCCACCGTCGTTCGAAATGGTTTATCCAGATTGATTGCCTTGCACCCCCTTCCATGCAGCTTCAGCTTCTGTAATCTTGTTTCTCAATCTTTGCATCTCATTTTCAAAATCGTATCCACCTTCAGCATGTCTCGTTTGGTAGATGAAATGATCCAATTGTAAATTGGCTCGTATCGCATCCTCACTCAACACGTTATCATCACCATCACCATCACCATCACCATCACCATCACCACTAGTGAAAAGATACTTTGTTGATTGATTCTCCAATAAAGTTTGTATCTCGATATTGTGTAGTGCGGTGACTTTATAAGAAGCCATAAATTCGCGCAAGACTGAATCATTTTGATACATGTAATCAATATACTCTTCATTTGTCAAATTAAAAGTCTTGACTTCAATTTTCCCCTCCTTCACTGTCTTCATTTTGGGGTTTGTATCATCTTCCTTATCATTATCGTCATACGTGGCCAAATTCGCTTGAACGAAATCGGTAATGGGTTTGTCATAAACCCATTGACGTAGTTTGGGCAAGTAGACACGATCGCGATACACCGTGCTAGCAATACCCTTTTCTTGATACTCCACAAGAAGCATACTCTCAAACCCAGGTGGGATATACCCGTACCCACCCTGGATCGAACTTAATCGAAGTGGACTTAGTTCGTGAAGCTGTGAAAAGTGCTTGTTACGACAATTGTAAACTTGTAAAAATGCATTACGATCAATTTGACTTATAGATGCATCGTTTTTGTTGCGATCAAATTCAGTGTTTACCAATAAATCATTATACCTGGCAGGTGCTGGTTCGTCACTTAGTGCCAATGCAGTTATATCCACGTACAACCCAGTGTCCAAATCAACAAATCGGGCATCGATGTTATTCAAGCCTTGTCCTCTTGCTCTATGTGAAATAAATGTCGATGAGTCCAAGTAGTATCGACCAAATCTCAATTCACTTGAGAGGTCGTTGCCAAAATCAACTATAACTGATTGGTTAAACAATTGCGATAGCTTGTGTAAATCTTGAATTGGCATTTGAACATCGATATCAGCATCCCATGGAAATTGTAGCCCGTTCCAATACCATGACAATAATGACCCATGAGCTATCCAAGTATTGATATTGTATTGATTTGTGAGTCTGAGGAACGCCTTGAGTAATCCATTGATAGAGACTTCTTGTTGTGGGGTGTCATTGATAATTCCATTGATGAATCTCCAATCGTAATGACCACCTAGTACAAATTTAGGCTCACTTTTCAAAATGTTTGCTTCATAGAAATATTTTGGTGCATCTTTAGTATGCAATGATGTACGGAGTGAGTTTAAATAACTTTGATCAGTTTGGTTGAGTGGCGATGTTTGTGATTCCAATGTCAAGATATTACGACTAGTCTTGTCAACAAAGTGGTCCTCCGCGAGATGCTTCTGGTATGGTAATCCTCCCTCCATGGGGGACAATTTGTTAGCAAGTGATGCAATTTCATCCTTGATGTTGAGCTCACCTTCTTTCAACAACTCTGAGTCGCGCAATTTCCGACGATCATTGGTATTGACGTTGTATTGCACTGATTTATCTCCTGGCAATAAAAGGGTCAATGTCAATGGCAAGGGCATGAAATCGTAAAGATACGAACGAGCGAGAATGGAGCGGAGTTCACGTTTGTTTCGTCCAGCATTATCATAAATGTGGAATCCAGTAGTCAAGAACGGCGACAATTCACGTTCTTGTTTGATTCTTTGAAATGAAGCAATAACTTCAGGACTATACGGTTTTTGTGCTTCTTCATCTTGCAAAATTCGATCAATCTCGGCATCGTCAACACAATAGTTCTTGGTTTCATATATCCTTTGGGCTTTGTTTGTGTCTGGATCGATTGTGGCATCAAAGTGTTTGCAACTCTGTTTCTCTGGATTGAACAAGTATTGCTCCATTATTGACATGTCAGTGTAGTCTGCCCAGTGGAAAAAAGGAATGGTTATATTGTTATTGTTGTTGTTGTTGTTCTTGTTGTTGTTGTTCTTGTTGTTGTTGTTCTTGTTGTTGTTGTTGTTATTGGCCATGTCATTGATGTGTTTCAACAATAACCCAAACGTGAAACGAGGGTCATAGTTCTGAAATTGAGGTATCTGGTCTCTTGGTGGGATATTGATAACTTCAAATGACTTGTCATTGGTAAACGTGATCTCCTTCAAGACTTGTTCAGCAATGTCAATCTGCATCTGTGTCTTATCATCAAACGTTCCATCAACAGTTTGTAATTTAAGAAGCTTTTCTTGGTTTGTTATTAGCTCCACCACTTGCATGTCAAATTCAGCAAGGTCTTTAAAGCTATCTTGCCCTTGTAGTACTTTTCGAAGTTTTGATAGATTGACGGCGGATGATATGAACTGCTTGATAGGTGTTAGTTGTATATATGATATGATGAGGACATGGATTAGTATTAACCCAAAGATTATGAAAACACCTCTGGATTTTCTTAATGTTAGCTTTTGAAGTATATGGTGGATTGGAAACATATTGAAAAAGGGGATAGGTAGTAGGGCTTGTTTTTGAAAGAAAGAATGGGATCTGATAACTTAACAAACCAGATCTCACCAAAATGAAATAATAGATGTATTGAATGAAAAGGTTATCTTTTCATCAAGCTTTTAATGAATAGGATTCTATTCTTGTTTTTTTTAAAAAAAAAAAAAAATTAAGCCAACAAAACTGCTGCTAAACAAGAAAGTATATATATATACTGACAATATCACCCTCCAAAATCTGCAAAACCCTTGTGTTTTTTTTTTTTTTCGGCATTTAGATGTGGCTTTATGAAAAGAACAATGTATAACAAAAGGGGGTGGGGGGGGTGGTAATTTATTAAAAAAAAAAAATTCTGTGTATTTCTTTAATTCAACAAAACAGAAACAGTGTGTGGGTTTATGGTAAGATCTGATTGATTTAGTTTTGTTTCTTTAAATAAAGATACTAGAAATCGTCAATACTTGAGATGGCGGGTAGCGGGGTTGGGTATTTGTTTAAAGAGCAGAATGTAATCTTGTTTCGGAAGAAGATAAATGCAAATACAATAGTGGTTGTGGGTTTTGTGTTATTTGCATTTGGGTTCTGTTGCATTGAGAAAAGAAATACAGTTACACAAACATATTAATCCTTATATGCAGGAAGTGTAACTTTAACATAGGCAACTACTGCAACAACAACAACAACAACAACAAAGAAGATTAAAAAAAAAAAAAAAAAATTTTTTCAGTGTAGGAACAACAAGAAAATAATCTGTTGATGAAAAAAAGACTCATTAGACTTTTGATGTAACAGGCGCCTTTGGATGTAGTAGTGTTGTGTAGTACTAGCTCGAAAAAGTGTGAGCTGATGATGTATAAGATGCAAGAATAGCCTAATGTGAAAAAGTCGACGACAAACAGAAGTTGTCTTGATTCTAGAAGGGTGACAACTCTCAAATACAGTAATAACACAAAGCCAAATCATCAGTTGCTAACTAAAAAGCTAGTTTTTTTTCCATGTTTTATTTAGTCGTGTGACTGGTAAGAATTAGAGTTAAGGAACAAGAGAAAGCGAGCGTTGATTGTTTTTGTTTACACAATTAATAAGAAACACAAACAGTGCGAAACCTATTTTTATGAAACGATACTTACTTCAAGGTAAACATATAAACAAAGGTAAACACAACTTAAAGCGCATCCACACCCAAATTGTGGATACAGATCACAAGATCGTGAATCACTCCTGAAGGGTGGTCATAATAACAACACTTCTTACCAAATCAACTCTGTGAAAAAAAAGAAAAGGCAAGACACCATTTCTGTATTAAATTAATTCGTAAGCCCCGAAAATTTGATGTGAAGCTCTAGCTCCTCTATCTGTAAGTCTACGCCTTGTTCAAAGTTAGAGACCACTGTACTATAGCACAGCTACAGACGCAGAATTCCAAATGCACACTCCCTGCCATGGCTAATAGATCCTCAATACAAAAATTTCTTGTAATGTCAGCCTGCTTGCTCAAAAAAAAAAGGTAAAAATATACAAGACGTGTACAGATTTGGATACATTTACGAGCTCGCATTAGGGAACTTACCAAGTCCGTCCTTGGTTTTTAGAAGGCAGCAAGGTTTTTCTCTTCTACGCAAATGGGGTTATAGCTCTACAGTTACAGACTTTCAAAAGGCATACTGTTGAATCAAGATTCTCCGGTAAGTTTGAAACGCCAAATTTATCGGCATTAGAATACTGTATATAGCGTATACAAACAAAAACCATTTAAAGGTCACACGACAAGAAAAAAGGAAAAAAAGAACAAAAAGAAAAGAAAAAAGACAAAATTTCATCAATACACGCCCAACGAGCTTATCAAACGGGATTGAATGATGTAGGATTAACAAATGTATATTCCGTGTGACTGTGTGTGAGCATAAATGTATTTGAGGGTGTTGCCATCCTTGCACCTGATTGTGTACTCGATGAACCCCTTATTTTAGATGCCACTATACCGGCATATGCAGTAACTGGTTATGAGTTATTTTGACCAAAGAAAATTTCTTTTTTTTTCTTCAATTGTTCCTTGTCAGATCCCTTTTTTTTTTGAGGTACAATCGGAGTTACCCAGTTTTTGTTACTATACACGAAGGTTATGAGTCGTGTGAGTTCTGTACTGACAAGCCCACAATCGTGAATCAATACAGTACAGCCAAAGCAAAAACGTCACCTATGGATTACAAAGGGTTCCGGTAATCTTGAGAGACAGAGACTGCGTTGTAAAAACAAGCGAGAATGTAGCAGCAGTTCAGTATGTATGCAAAGGAGGGGGGCAGCTTGGTTGTCTCTACGACTTGTAATGCCCTTTCGATGGGACTCCTTTTGGGAATTCCAAAGTACGATGCCATTTGTTTCTGAAAGTTGCACAGTTTACACAAGCTCCTTGCGATTTCGCTTAGCCGTCATACAGTGTTTGGCATGATCGTCTTGTCAGTAGTTGTTTATCAATCAACAAGGGCTCAATTGAGTTGGCGCAAGATGGTTTAACACCTATGGTGCTATCCGTAAAGGTTACCTAGGAAACAAATATAACAAACAACTCTATTGAACCGTTCCATGCGAAGCTCAAAAACATCAAGTTTTGATTTTGAGAAGAGATGTGAAACGGGCCTTTTATGTTTATTTTTTTGTTAAAATTCCTGATTTGCTTCAATGTTGTCGTCGAACGAAAAAGGAGAACGTGTCGAGGAAGAGATCAATGTCGTGAAAAAAAAAGTTTTTCCGGAGATTTTGCGACAAGGTAACGAAGGTGAATCACTCCACTTCTTTCAAGTGATCCGTGGATCGTAAAGATTTCAAGTTGATGAGTTACAGCACCACTGATAAGCAAGATTACCCCCAAGATTGAGAAAGATGCCTCTCGCATTTATTACCTCGAGAATTTTGCCATTAAGTAAAGACAAAAATTAAGATTGCGCAATTTGTAGAACTATTTCCAGTTTTTGGTATTTGAGAAAGACAATATCTGACACGTTGAGCATCAAAACCGGCACAGAACATCTTTTCAATTTCCAGACCTCTAATAAATATGTCAGCTGCTCTGTACAGTTAACGGAACAGCAGCGACGGCTCTTGTCCTTCCGACTGAAAATAAGTTTCTAAACTTAGTAATACAGCCTGTCAAAAATATTTAGTTCTATTGACACAAAAAGGTATCATCAGTGTGCACGCCCAACAGATATTGATTCCAGTAACGGAGAGTTTGATGCAACTGTGTACAAATGTGATATGGCTTTGCTCAGCCATGGCCCAGATTAGAATGGGTGGGTGAAAGTGATACTAATAACAATTAGGCGAAAAGTTCCAAGCCGAAAGTGTTGTAAGTCATTCTTTCCCGAGTACAAAGTGAGCAGTAACGTCTATAAGCAATGCACGAAACCACCCATGCAGCTTAGTAATATCAGCGATGGACCTGGACCGCCAAATGAGCGTGAATTCGATGGAAGAGAACAGCTGCTACTGACATAATCATCACACGTAGTGACTAGTATCAGGAGATGGCAACCCCCTCCGAGACTACACGTGCATGTGTTCATATCACTTCTCACCAACTAAACCACCCTTGTAGTTAATTTTGCACCTGGTAGTGCCTAAACTAGCCAGCGCCTGGAGTTATCGGTAATTTTAAAACTAAAATTACACAAAACTTTCAATCACCTTACTCGAAACGGAAATAAAAAGTTAGCTTTTTCGAACCACAGTTTGTACGTCACATGAAAAATCCCGCTGCGGGACGGGAAATAAGGATACAAGAGCTCAAAAGGAGGGGGGAAGGGTGGTTATAGTTGGCAATGCACTATCATGGGGTTGACTTTGCCAACTTCTGCTGTTCTTTGGCTTGTGAAGCTACGCATCGCATCGCAGACTTGTAAAATGTCTTACCTCGAATGTACGGCTCCTTAATGTGAAGACGAAAACTACCCGAGGTTGAACTAATTTTGTGTTGTTCCAAAATTTCGTCCAACAGAAGGAAAAATAATTGTAAACTCTGGGGTAAAAAAAAATTAACAAAACAAAACAAAACAAAACAGAATATAACACGCTCTTGGCCAATAAGAATTGAGGAAATAATAATACAATAGTGTAAATAGCCAGCAGCCACAATCTTTTGTATGTAATTTCGTTAGTATAGTAGTTACACGTGCGCAGCAGAACGAACAGGTCTTTTCGCAGTTACGGATTGATCTTTTGGTGGCCACTAGTGCATAGGTTATTTGTGTGTTATAGAGTATCTAAAACCACAATCGCCATCGGCCCACATGTCTTACAAACTCATACACGTCTTGGACATCTCGAATTGTGGTATGATTACGATTTTGTTTATTTTTATTTGTATGCATATACGTGATGTGTTGGTGCTTTGGTTACTAATAAATCCAACGGGTCTGGATTTTCATTATTGATTGATAATCAAAAAAATTGAATTTGTTAGTAAAGATTGATGTACAATGGGTTAAAATAAAGACACACACACACACTTTTGTAACAATAGTACACGACTTCTTCTATAATCCCCACTAAACAATAAAAAAGAAAAGAGACTCTCTCCCCTTTGTCAATCACATACAAATCATCCATTTCGAAAAATTCCCCTCTTCCGGCCTTGTCTTTCATTGATATAAATACAACTCGAAAATCGCACCAGTCTAATTCAGTTTTACTCTGCTTACACTTCTTTTTTTTTTTTTCTATCATCATCATTAGATAATCAATTCATATTACATTATCCACAATGGCTCCAGTATTCACTAACTCACAAGGTAACCCAGTCCCAGAACCATTTGCCACTCAAAGAATTGGTAAGCACGGTCCTTTGTTGTTGCAAGATGTCAACTTGATTGACAACTTGGCCCACTTTGACAGAGAAAGAATCCCAGAAAGAGTTGTCCACGCTAAGGGTTCCGGTGCTTATGGTGTTTTCGAAGTCACTGACGACATCACTGATATTGTTGCAGCCAAGTTTTTGGACACTGTTGGTAAGAAGACCAAGATCTTCACTAGATTCTCCACTGTTGGTGGTGAAGCTGGTTCAGCTGATTCCGCTAGAGATCCAAGAGGTTTTGCTACCAAGTTTTACACTGAAGAAGGTATCTTGGATTTAGTCTACAACAACACTCCAATTTTCTTTATTAGAGACCCATCCAAGTTCCCACACTTTATCCACACCCAAAAGAGAAACCCAGAAACCCACTTGAAGGATGCTAACATGTTCTGGGACTACTTGACTTCCAACCCAGAATCAGTTCACCAAGTTTGTTTCTTGTTCAGTGACAGAGGTACCCCAGCTTCATACAGACACATGCACGGTTTCTCTGGTCACACTTACAAGTGGGCCAACGCTAAAGGTGAATGGCACTATGTCCAAGTCCACTTTTTGACTGACCAAGGTGTCAAGAACTTGACCAACGAGGAAGCTGGTGCATTGGCCGGTTCAAACCCAGATTTTGCTCAAGAAGATTTGTTCAAGAACATTGCTGCTGGTAACTACCCATCATGGACTGCTTATATTCAAACCATGACTGAAGAACAAGCCAAGAAGGCTCCATTCTCAGTCTTTGACTTGACCAAGGTTTGGCCACACAAGGACTACCCATTGAGAAGATTTGGTAAATTCACCTTGAACGAAAACCCAAAGAACTACTTTGCTGAAGTTGAACAAGCCGCCTTCTCACCAGCCAACACTGTTCCATCAATGCAACCATCTGCTGACCCAGTCTTGCAATCAAGATTGTTCTCATACACTGATACTCAAAGATACAGATTGGGTACCAACTACGTTCAAATCCCAGTCAACTCACCATTGCATGGTACTGTTTACGCTCCAAATGTTAGAGATGGTGCTATGAATGTCAATGGTAACCTCGGTGCTACTCCAAACTACTTGGCTTCCGACATTCCAGTTGAATTCAAGCAAGCTTCATTGCAAGAAGACCAAGAGGTTTGGGAAGGTGCTGCTACTCCATTCCACTGGAAAGCTACCCCATACGAATGGGAACAACCAGCTCAATTCTGGAAGGTTTTGGGTAGAACTCCAGGCCAACAAGAACACTTGGCTCACAACATTGCTGTCCACGTTGCTAACGCTAAGCACGAAATCCAAGACAGAGTTTTCAAATACTTTGGTGGTGTTAGCCCTGAATTGGAAGCTTTGATCAAGAAGGAAGTTTTCGAATTGAGTCCAAGAAAGTAAAGTAGTATCTAGTTTACATGAAGTATGTAGATTACGTATATATTATTTATGTTTTTAAGAGAAGTTACAAGTAATGTTTTCTTGAATGATTCTGTTTATTAGTGTACATCTATTTCCCCCCTAGCGGTGGCTTTCTTAAAGCTTGGTTGTGTTACAAGATGGACATCCGCAACCTGATCCACATTTGCACAAATTCCCACAGCACTTTCCCTTCTCTGAAGATGAAGATGAAGATAAACTGGTTGAATTGGCTGAGCTGGGTGAGCTGGTAGGTTGTTTACTCGACCCACAGCATGAGCTAGATTGGCTACGACACATAATGACACTTTCGTACAAATGTAATTTTATAAATACTTCATGTTCTTCGTCGCTTGTGAGGAGAGTTGCCTTAGTTTATATATTATCGATGTTGAGATTAATCTGGTCTGATTTTTCAATTGGCTTCTTTTTTTATGCAGTACTTAGGCGCATAGCATTACTTAATTAGGAAGGAATAAGTTCCGCGTTCTTTTTGTACGCGCTAATCGATAACTAAAAGAAATGGTTTGTGGGGGGGGAGGGGGGGGATAAGCAGAGTTTGTCAAGAAAAGTAGAAAAGAGTTTGAATTCAAAGGGTCCGGTTGGAGAAATTGAGCAAGTTATTTGCTATTCCAACTTTCTATAGTACCTTCTATAATTTCAAGTTCCTAATTTGTTTCTGTTCTTTCCTGCAGCGCCGATGTCAATTGCCCGAAATACTTCCAGTATGTGAACCAGGCAAACACAATTCCCAACAAACTTCCAAACGCAACATCAAAGAAATGGTGACGATAGTCTTGGGTTCGACTGAGAGCAATGTAAGCAGCAAAAACTACCGGCAAAGTAGCCACTAGTATTAACCCCATCCTATGCTTTTCTCTCTTGAAGATACGTAGTTGGCCAATGAACCATAACGACAAGTACAATAATCCACCAAATGCCATAGACGAATGACCCAGTGGCGTCGATTTGAGTCCGTCCGACAAGTACATAGCGCCCAACGGTGAAGTACAAACACTGATGTCAACCAATGTATTTACTGGCGTTTGAGGATCGGGTCCACAACGCTGAATAAAATCGGGACGTGGGTTTCCTATCCAACATTTGAGAATGTCAGTTAACACTGAGACTGAAGACACACTAAACAATAATCCAAGTAGTGATAGCTGTATAAGATGCAACTTGTCGACATTTGTAGGGGCAATAAACAACGAGGTGATGATGATGCTGACACCTGGAATCAATGTCGAGTAGACATATAGTTCATTATCTGTAACACGTTGAACGGTGGCAAAGGGGTGTAATAGTCTAGGGTCGTTTATGTAGAATTGCCGGTGGAACGGTTCCCAATGCTCAACAACTTGGAAAAAGACGAATATTAGGCAAATTACAACGATCCAATCAGGGATGTATGATCTGAATCTGGATGAGGTGAGGTAAAGCTGCAGCATTGATGATGTTGGTGTACTAAACCGTGGGTGTTATGTTGCGATACGTCAAAAACAGTCAATACATACCGTGGATCTTTTGAAAGACCCGGCTGGCTTTTTTTTTTTTTGAGATGGACGAGAAGATTTGTGAGTCTTTTTCTTTTCGCGCCTTTGCGCTGCACGTTTGGGTTTGACAAATTTGAGATTCCCCTTGTGTGCTTCTAGAATCAGCACATATATTCACCAGAAAGTGTAGCTTGAAAGAGAAGTTGTCGCAGCAGTAGATATTCTATAAAAGAGGACTCAAAGTTGATAGCAGGGAGGTAGATTTCAACCAAGGGATGAAATTTGTTTATTCGATACAGGCACGGTCACTGCTGAGGATGAACAGAGGCAACACCTGCTCAAGCACAGCCTACAATAATTATGTAGGGCAATTTGGGGACAACTGTTGTAGATGATGCTTTTTCGATGCACTGTTTTGTTGCTTCTCTTCATCTGTCAACAAAACGTCTTATACCCGATTGCGGTAGATGTTAAGAGTTGAATTGGCTCGGAAGAAGCAAAAAATTTGGAGAGAATTATGTATGCTCCGTCAAAGTGTGTACTTTCAAAGCCTTGCAAATCATACCAGCATTTAACCAGTCGTCACCCACGTTACGTTTGGTACAGGCTTAGCTGAATGTTTGTCACGCAGAAAATTTCTAAATGTGCGCAGTATTCGGTTTGTCTCGTAAAACAAACAATAGGGGATTGTTAAAATTTACCGTGACGTCGGAAATAAAATCGGAACCATTCCAACCACACAATTTTTTAATTTTTTGCTTCCAAAAATAGCAACGTCAAATTGAGACTGCAACGTTTGCGCACAAGTATAAAAGGCTGTGAAATTGCCCTTCTCAATGCAAATTGTGTTGATCAAGCAGACATCTACAAGTCAATCAATTACACTATGGCAGACATTCTTTCAGCAGTTGGCGGTATTGTATCCGCCGGTTTAGGTATTGCAAACACAGTCACTTCGAAAGCAGAAGGGATTTTCGTTACCGTCACTTCGGGTGCCGATGGTGCATGGAGAACAGCAACAAGTGGTGTTGTTGTTGAGTTCAATTCGGTGACTTCGCAAGGAGGTCAAGGATATCAAATCCTTACTTCCAACGCCGATGGTGTTGTTAGTACTATAACACAAGGTGCGGTATCTCAATTTTCACTTGTTACTAGTGGCGGTGCTGCTGGTGTTAACTCATTGACTGGGGGGAGTGGCTCTTCTGTTGAGACAAGCACTGCATCTACTAGCGGCGGCAGTGATGAGTCACACACTACAAACGCTTCTTCCTCTAGTGCAACTGGCGGAGCTGGATCATCCAAATCGGATGCATCTTCATCTGAGTCAGGCTCGTCCAAGGCCTCATCATCTGGTGGAGCAGATGCTGCTTCAAAGACATCGGATTCGTCGTCAAAATCAAGCGGTTCAAGCTCGACTAAATCTTCGTCGTCATCCTCAAGCGCCGCATCTTCAAGTAACAACATTGACGCAGTAAAACACTGGAAAAAGACATTGGTCATGGGAGCTATAGTTGGAGTTACATTCGTAGCTACTGTATTGTAAGGGTATACTGCTTAATAAAAAAGTGCTCATTTGGTGAAGTAGATAATGTAGTCACGTGATTCTTTTAGCATTGATAGCACACGAGTGTCACCAATCTTGTCACAGTTATCGGTGCTATGACTGATATAGTCGTATCATAGTCTCGCCGACATACTACCTACTGAGCTCGCAATTATGCTTCTAGAGTGTTATAGAACCTCCTTTGTGTGTGTGTGTGTGGGGGCGAGGGGGTGTATCTCGTACCTTGTACGGTGTAAGAACGGAACTCCGCCTCAATATTTGAGGGTACACAAAACAAACACCGACAAAGTCAACTCCAACCGAATAATATAAATGTACCAAATTCAATGTTTGATTCTAGTTACAATTGAACGGCTTCGAAAGCAACGTTCTAAGCATAGATGGAGTACTCGTGGCAAAGCAACAATTCTGTTGACAAAAAGTAGATAGCAAAAGTAGTAAATTGAATTATTTAGAGCAATACTTCGCTTGACAAAAATCGTGTCGATACCAAAGAAATATTGACATAAGTGGGCGTACATCTTTCTTTTTTTTTTTCCAGTTTTGTGTAGCTTGGTCCATATTCTTTGTTATGGGAGCTCCAGTTGTTTTTTTTTTATTTTTTTTTTGTTTTTTAACACCTTGTGCTTTGAGAGGATTTCTTAACTCTGGTGTACTAGGAGTCGTACGTTACGTGGTTTGTTCATCGCACTAGCTCGCTCGTATTCGGCCACCGAGTTTTCGATATCATTAGTGTGCGGCTTCCAGTTGAGATATATACTAGCGCAAACTTGACCGAAGTAGGTGAATGTTGTTTCGGTAGCCAGATATCTACACCCAAAAGAGTTATAGTAGGTACAAGTGTTTGCTCGCGTGGTAGTAGCTGCAATGCATCTCACTTTACGTAACTAAGGTTCCTTATTGAGTGTGTAATATGATATCAATGACGTGTCGCATATAATTGGTCCAGAGTTCAAAATAAAATTGTCAAATTCAGTTTTAAAGTTGTCAAAGTGTACGCACAACAGTCACATTAGGTTGCCTTCAATCAACTGAAGTTTCTATACAGCATAATATTCTGCAAATGTTTTCGTATCTTGTGGCACTTGGTTTGTTCAATACAAGTGATTGAAACGTCTTTACAGCTCGACTTTACAGCCCGACTTTAAACATCTTCAGAAACTACGCAAGAGTGTTGTCTCCTCCTTCTTCACCTCCGCCACCACCAAATTCTCTCCACCGCAATTGTCCCATTATTGACTTCTACCATACTCAGCTTATTGTTACGTTACAAGTTTGATGGTCTGGAGACAACGAGAAACGCTTCCTTAGGGGGTGTAAAAAAACAGTCGCTCGTTTTGTGTGACATCAAATTTTCATTTTATTACACAAGGCAAATATTCTCAAAATAAGGGCTAAATCGTAAAAGATTGCACCAAACAGCAATCGAGATATTTCAACATTTCTACCTTAAGTATACTTTTCATTCCTCTTGAACAGGGAAAGAAGATTTGGCTGTTGAAATCTGTTGACGACTTCTTTCAACAGTCTCCCGCTCTCGTATTGGCTCTATCGGTGAAGCCAGATAGATTTAGTTTTTGATAACTACGTTACACCTAGGAAAATTAGCAGGCAGGGCACATACTATTACTGACCGTGAGAACAACATATTAGGGCATCCTTTTCCTTAAAGGGTACCATTGTCCTATAAACGGAGGCAGTGGCAAAAAGAAATACCTATTCTAAGCAAGCTGGTCCTCTTTACCAATTTCCCGAAGAATTACTCGCCTCTGAGCAAGTTGGAAATAGCACACTCGTTACAATTTCCCGTCATTCGTCGACCAAAGCTAGTAGCACCAAGCAAGAAAGGCCATCTACCTTGATACAAAGCGGCCCTTTAGTGAATCATTAACCGTCAAGAAGGATAGACCTTGGGTGGATAGATTGCACTGCTTAAGAAATAAGAGGTCAAAATACTGGTCCCTTAGTCAACGTCCACCAACACAACAGAATTTTCCCCATCCATCTGAGCCTGATAGACGGCTCCCTGGCCTTTACAAGTAAGGAAAGAACGCATACAGTGCCCACACGTACTAAAGCAACACTCGTTGGGCCTGCACATAGAGACAACACAAGACAAACTCAAAAGAAAAGAAGAGAGAGAAAAAAAAAAAAGAAGCGGTCGAGATTCATTTTGCAATGTCATCAATAAGTTCCATCACTTCATCAGACCCTATGTCGCTGCCAGCAAGAATTCAAGTAGATATAAACACACTACAAGACGAAGAGAAACCCCAGCAGGTTGGTGGTGCCACCTTCAACATGTGGTACCTCAACTGGTCAGGTGGCGGAGGAATAAACCCATCGGCCAGTGATTCATTTACGCGATCAAAGTTTAGAGTCAACATCGAGCGGGACCAAGGGTATACAAGAGCAGGAGACGCATCACCAGTATGCTTATTCTTCAGCAGGGGGTGCTGTTACATGGGATCAAACTGCAAATACCTGCATAGTCTACCGAGTAAATCGAAATTTCAAAGTCAAGCAAAGGATTGTTTTGGCAGAGACAAAACTGCTGAATACAACGATGACATGGATGGAGTGGGCTCATTTAATCACACAAACAAGACCTTGTATATAGGAGGCATTCAAATGAGACCAAATATCGAAGACTTGGTGACTAAAAACTTTGAAGAGTTTGGAGATATTGCTAAAGTTAAAGTGATTTACAATAAAAATTGCGCATTTGTCACTATGAAGACCGAATTTGATGCTCAGTTTGCCAAGGAAGCCATGAATAGACAGTGTTTGATAAACCCAGAGACTAATAGCAGCAAAAGCAAAGAAGTACTACATGTACGGTGGGCGCACCAAGACCGAAATCCTGAAGCGCAAAAACAAAATAAGCGCAAAACGGAACAAATGGCGATGGACACAGTTAAAGAGTTGTTGAGTAATGAGACGTGCAAACGGGTTAAAATGGGAGAGGGTCGGGAGATTGATAATTTACCACTGGAGGTTGTTGATGTGGAACTCGATAACGGAAATGATGATGATAACGACGACGAGGATGACGATGACGATGACGATGACGTCGACATCGACGAACTGGACGATGAAGATGAGGAAGACGATGCCGTGCCTGACATCAAGCCAAAAAAGAATGGGAAACTACATAGGGGTAAAATGTTGATCAAAAATAAAAACACTACGAACCAGAATGGAGCATTGAGCCGATATCTGGAGTCACCAAATTACGGTCATGCCAATGGACAAACTCAGAATGGTCATGGCCAGCAGTACAGGGGTGGAGGATATGCAAGTACAAGTGGAGGTGCCACGAGTGACGAGATTAGACGAGACTTTTTCGAAAGACATGGGTTGGCCAATCAATCCACTTTGAAAGATTTGGCAGAATTACGAAAAAGAATGAAAACCACTCGGCACGAACCGAATTTGGTCACTGTCTTGGGTAATTATTCAAGTGACGAAGATGATGATTAGGGGTACACTGTGGGTACCGTTCGATGCTTTATTATTGAAGTAGTATTAGACATCTCGATGGTGTATAACCGATCAAACGTACATCTCATGATCTTGATTCATAAAGATTCAGCATAGACGCCATTAATCTCATCGCCGTATTTCACTCCACTTTTCTTTACTCTACTCCACTCTTCACTGCTGCATGCATTGCACGCATTGCACGCATATCAATATTTTTTTATTTTTCTTTTTTCTTAATCTCGCATGATCTTACACACCACTTTTTCTCAATTTAGAGTCCTTCAATATGCAAGATGCACTACTCCACGTTACATACGTTTGAATGATCCCCGCCTGATCCACCCGTGTGCTGTGCCCGAATTTGCCATGTGCACCTTTACCCCTGGAAACAAATGCACACTATTTTCATACAGCTTGGTATTTAAACCTCTTTAGATCCCATTCTAACTGTACTTTGTAATCTAATTTAGCCACATTTGAAACAGACTACCCCCCTCCCCCCTTCCTTGATATATTTACTTAGAGTACTTCCCATACCAATGACCAGTCTTAGTTCAGCCACTTACAACTCAATTGATTCCAAGCTCGATCCAGCCTCATCCAAACAATCACCTCCGGCGTTGTTCTACCCGCTTGATATCAATAATTTGCATTTACGCAATAGATTAGCCGTATCGTCAATGTGCAGCTATGCCGCTGGACCAGGAAATCAGATTGCCAATTTACATTTGTCTCGGTACAAGTCGTTTTCTGCGCAACATCCGGGATTGATTATGATTGAGGGTATGTGTGTTGACCCAAAGGGGAAATTGGATGATAAAGAATTGGGCATTTGGAATGACAAGCAGGCAGAGAAATTGAAAGATGTTGTTGATGAGATTCACAAGGATGGATGTGTTTGTTGCGTGCAGTTGTCTCATGGTGGAAGGAAAGCAATTGGTGACGGTGGCGGCCTTAACGACAATGGCAATGCTTCTGTTGCTATTAACGATGTTGTTGATGATGGTGTTGAGATTATTGCTCCTTCGGCAATTGCATATGACAACCGACTGAAGGTCCCCAAGGAAATGAGTCTTGCAGATATAAAGCACGTTATTGCGAGCTTTGCACAGGCTGCAAAACGAGCAGTCAAGATTAGTGAAGTTGATGCCGTTGAGATTTCATGCTGTAATGGGAATTTGCTACACCAGTTCATGAGCAAGGCAACAAACTTGCGTCAGGATGAATATGGATGTCAATCAGTTCAAACCAGGTGTAAGCTTTTATTGGACATCCTTGATCAAGTTCGCCATCAAATCGGTGCGCAGACGCCCATTTTTGTCAAGTTGTCAGCCTGCGATAACTTGTTTAAAGATGAATCGCTTGATGATTTTTTGGCCATTGCCGATTTGATTGTTGCCACTGGTCAAGTATCTTTGATTCATGTGACTTCCGGCAAAATCACTCCAAATTCGAAGCCGCGTTATGCTTTAAATCTGGATCCAAATGTCCCAGGCCATATTCCATTGGCATCTGTTTTGAAAAAGCACATTGATGATGAGTGTCTTGTTGGGTGTAGCGGTGCCTTGGATATGGATGTGTTAAGGTTGAACAAGTATGTTGAAGATGGATTGATTGATGTTGCATTCATTGGTCAAGGATTTTTGGAAATGCCGGATCTTGTCAATCAATTTGCTGCTAAATTGCACTACAAGCTTACATAAGAGTATACAGAAAACTGCATTCCTAATTAAACCTAGCTCTACTCTTTGATTGTAGTGGAATTGTATCGATACAACCATTCAGGTACTTTTTTACCTCCCCTGGATAAAAACTTTTTCAACTCTAAGAAAACACCTGCATCATCATCATCAATGAATGTGATACTAGTTCCAAAATGACCAGCACGACCAGTTCGTCCAATTCTATGAATATACTCTTCAAACTTGTGGGGCATTTGGAAATTGACAACGAGACTCACTTGAGGTATGTCTATACCTCGAGCAGCAACATCTGTAGCCACTAGTATCGATGGATCATGCAGTTTGAATTGCTCAAGTGCCGACTCACGTTGATCTTGTGACTTTGATCCATGTACGACCACGTTGGGGAATTGTTTAGAGTCTAATTCCTCAGACAATGTATCAACAACGTTTTTGAAATTGGCAAATACGATGATAAGACCATTCGGATCCATGCGCTTGTGACTTTGAAGAATGCGAAGTAAGTTGCTCAACTTGGTTTGCTCAATTGAGGAAGACCCGTTTGTCAACTTCGCTGTTGGCAAGTATTCAAATTTCTGATCAATGTTCTCCAAAGCTTCACCAGCTCCACCAATTGTGACAAAGATCGGATCCTTCAAGTAAGATTTGGTCAATTTTTCAATTGGAGGTGATATAGTAGCCGTAAACATCGAGTTTATCCGTTGTTTCAAGTGGAAAATTCTCGCATCAATCGTCCGTTGCAAAGTGTCTTGGTTGGGCAAGTACGTTATCAACTTGTGCAAATCGCGCTCAAATCCTAAATCAATCATTCTATCAGCTTCATCCAAGACCAAGTAGTAACATTTCTGCAAATTGATCAATTTCCGATCTATCGAGTCCAATAACCGACCAGGTGTGCCCACGATAATATCCACTCCTCGTGGTTTACCTTCCTCAATCTCTTTAACCGTATCTTGATACTGATGTCCACCAATTATAGAAACAACACTGTACCCCAACCGCAAGCACAATTTTTCCGTTTGTGCTGTGATTTGTAGTGCTAATTCACGAGTAGGCGCCAAGACCAACGCCAATGGCTCATCCTTCATTTTTTCATATTGCATAAAGTTTTCATCAATTTGCGACAAGTACTGGAATATGGGCAATAAATAAGCAAGTGTTTTCCCACTACCAGTTTCAGCAACTCCAACCACGTCTCGTTGTTGTAAACTGATGGGGATACTGGCCCTTTGAATGGGGGTGGGGGTGGTATATCCCAATTCTTGTATACTTTGCACTATTGGCTTTTCCAAATCACACTCCTGCCAGTACCGAATTGCATGGGGAACATGCCTGCCACCTCGATAATTGATGGAGAATTCTTCATTGAATATTCGCCAATCTCGTTCAGTCATTTGCGATATCTGTTTCAGTGACCAATGACCACTAAGCTCATCTTTGAGTAACGGATCGTTGGCAGCGACAAAACGCTCTAGCTCATCCTCCTCTTGGTCATCTAGGGAGGATAACATTCGCCGCGATCGCAGTGCTGGTGTCAATGTGGTGTCTTCTGACTCGTCCCAGTCGAACTGAAACTTGCGCCGAGTCGCCTTCTTTTGCAGCAAATTTTCATACTCTATCCTCGGTGGCTCTCGAACTCTCGGCGATGGTGTCACCGATTGTCTCCAAGATGATGCTAACCGCTTTTCCTTCACATGTGTTTGCTCTACTGGTGGTGGCTCCTCTAGCTTAGACCGCTTCAGTTTGGGTATATATGTGGGTTTCGCAAAATCATCTTTCAACAATTCATCAATTGGAATGGGCCGCTTAGACATTGGACGGTGTGTGTAGGGTGGTGGTGGTGGTGGTGGTGAAATCTCTAGAGTAAGTGCAATAATCGGTACTACTTTTTCTACTGCGCAAAAAATTGAAAATGCGCAATCATCTACAAAACATTCCACAGTACAATTTTTTAACGTCTATAACTGTACATTGAACCGTACATAATATCTTTAATATCTACTGTATATGATATCCCCCTATTTTTTTATTTGCTCTCACTTTTGTCATTGTTGAATCCATAAAATGGACTCTTTAACTCGTTGGTTAAATGTCTAATTAAATTTAGTAAATTCACCAGGTGGAAATAGTTAGGGGGTGGTAATGAATCAAACTCAGTAATGGCAAAATTCAAAATCTGTTCATTCGTTAACTCATACTCCTTTGGGAAAAGAGCTAGACGATGGTCAGTAAAATCTCCACTGCCATTTGTGTTTGTCTTTGATTTCCCATTCAAAGTTCGTTTCTCCCCTTCCTCTTCCTCCATGGTGATATACAATTCTGGTTGATTGAATGGTAAAACAGCACACAACCAAATTCTTGTTTTGTAAATTTTGAACAATTCTTTTATGAGTCCTCTAAAATCAATTCGCTTAAACCCTGCAAAGTAATAAAATATTAGTTTTTTGAAATCACATTGATACTCTACATTAATCAATGTTAAATCCGAATCCAACCCCAACTCTTTAATCTTGTTGAAGCATGTAATAAATGCCTTTTTCTCTTCAAGAAACTTGCCACTGATTTTATGAACCTCCTTTGGCGTGGCAAACCGCAACACTTGCTTCGTTGGCAAAGTGATAATGAACTCATTGTCTTCATTCGAATGCGAGTTGATTATGGTCGATGCATTCATTGTCGTGGGATGTGTACCTCCATGCGCTTTACCTCCGTGTCCTTCATGGATAGTCAAACTTTTCAAATGTTCCAATTTCTTGAAAAAATTGAACAACACAGCAAAATTTAAATTCACCAAGGGCTCGACAATCATTACCAAATCTTTGCCTCTGTCCCCATCAACTATAACCAAATCTTCCTTCTGTAAGAATATATTGGAATTGTTTGGATAGGACAATAAGTCAAATTTCCCATTCTTGTTTATTACCAAACACAATATTTTGTGATTGAAGGTCAAATTGTTCAAATTCTTAATAAAGGTAATTAGTTTGGTGATTACAGGATTTCCCAATAACCCATTTATTTTGGTTAAGACCTCGCTCGTGAATTTCTCATCCTGGTAATATCTCTTTGTTTTGGAATACAATTGTTTCAAATCCGGTGACGCAACAATGTACTGATCCTTCAAAAGTAAACCGTTTTCCAATTTAACCGACTGTCCAGGAGCAGCACTAGTACTCAGTGACGTTTGATGCGATACAAATCCTTGATCTGGTTGAAGTTGAGCGTTCCGAAATTGAAGTTGAGGTTGCTGCAGGGAGGGATAAAATTCCCGTGTTTGCAGAGATTGCTGTTTTCCACCATGTGCCATACCTCTAGGCATAACTTGAGGAGGAATAGTGGCACGAGATTGTTGCCTTGCCTGGCCTGATGTCGGAGCAGTATTCATGTCTGCAAATGGAGCAAAAGTATTAGTGCCTGTTACATCGATAGAAACACTGCGTCCAGCTCCTGCTACAGCTGCACCTGGTTGTTCAAAGGATCGACTTTGAAGCTGCTGTGGTGAAAAAAATTGCTGTGATTGTAGCTGTGGCTGTGATTGTGGTTGTGCTGCTGGTGCTGCTGCTGGTGCTGGTGCTGGTGCTACTGCTGCCGGCGAGTTCCAAGGAAAATCAACCAACTGACTTGGTCTCCTTGATTGGAATTCACTAAATCTCGACCCAGAGTTTAGATTAAGCTCTCCAAATGCATCCGCAAAGTTGAATCCATTGCCATTAAACTGGTTATTCTTGGCTTGAAAGTTGTTTATCATTGCAAATGAAGATAAGCCTCTGTTACCATGGCTGCTATTAATGTTGCTATTGCCAAAGAAATTGGAAGATTGTGAGCCAAACTGCGATGTCTGCGAAGGTGTTACCCCTGCTGCAGGTGCTGCTGGTGCTGCTGCACTGGGTGACGCAGCTGAAGGTTGCTGCTGGAAAAAATTGTTTCTGGTGAATGACTCTGCGGCGTAACTTGGTCTTCTGGATGAGATATTGGTTACTCCACCTTGCAATTCAGCAGGCAAGTTGAAAGTATCTCTGAAATTGGAGTTGTTTGCTGTTGGCTGGTTGTAATAGTATCTAGAATAATCCACCTCCGTATAATCATTCAAGTTTGATAGTTTGCCATACAAAATGTCATTGAAATCGGATTGATGTAGAGGGTCGTCGTTATTGGATGGTGCAGTCGGGGGTATACTATTGTTGCTTGTGCCATTGTCAAATATCAGGTTGTGCCTGCTACCACCATTTGAACGGCTGTTATAATCCCTTCCATTGATTGAATCGCCATTATTTAGGAAGTCTGGCAAGTTCATCATCCTTTAGGGTGTTTCTTGTTTGCTGTATTTGGCAAGATATCTGTCCTTGCTCTCGATGATGATTACTTTGAATAGTTTGATTGTTTGTTTTTTGTTTTTTTTTTTTGCTTCTTGGGGGTCTCTTTGTCACTATCAATCGTGTTGTGGGTGGCTTGATGGAGTGCTTTTTAGTTGTTGTTATCAGTTGTAGTTAATGGGCATATATATATATATATATATGAAAGATGTGAGCTCTTGGTGAAAGGAAGAAATGGAGTGACCCAAAATGTACTTGAAGGGATATAATGTATTAAGGTGTAGAGATATTTCAGAATATCAGGGTTTGAGTGGCGTGTACCCACTCAATAAAAAAAAAAAAAAGAGCAGAAGTTTGTGTCCCTTGGAATTTTGCGTGACTTTTTGTCTCTTGCAAAGAAGTAGAAAGGGAGAGTTGTGATGTGTGTGTGTGTGTGTGTGTGTGTGTGTAGAATCATACTTTATCAAGGGATAGGGAGTATCCGTCTTCTGTGTGTGTGTGTGTGGAGGATATGATGACTTAACAAGGCTCAAGAGATTTGATGAGACTTGTGCACTAATTATTTGCTGAGGTGTCGAAACATGCAGCTATGACTGCCCTCTTCTCACCTAACATTTGGGTAAGCTGGAGAATTTTAAAGCTCTTAAAGAGCCCAAGAAGAGACTTAGTGAGGATAGATATTGGCCCTCCCTATTCTTCGCACTACAACAATGAAGAGTACAACTACCAAGAAGTCGCCATACAAAGAAGGAACCCGCCCTACAAGTAAGAGTAGTTAATGTGTACTCGTTTATCCTTAATATAGAGAAGGTCTTATAAAAAGACAATGTTTTACTTTTTGTTTATGTAAAAAGAGAAATCTTCCCCGCCACTTGTGAAAGTATTTTTGTGTAATTTCTTCTGCTCTTCCTTCACCCCACACACTAACACATACACATACACACACACTAACACACACACTAACACACACACATCAAAACAGATATCCCTTTTACATTATCTTTTATTTTTTATTTTTATTTTTTTTTCTTTCAATTTAATCGTTATTCCGTCAGCCTTTGTTTCCCGTTCCGCGTATCTGTTTAGTTTCTTATCATCCATTTTTGCTTCCATCACTCGGGTTAACTTTCGTAGATTTGTGTTTGGTTCTGTTAGATGTTGATAGAGCATACTGGTCCCATCCACTAGCCAGATATTTGATCGTGTGTCCTTCCAAGAATTGTCTGCAGGATGCGGAAGGCCCGTACTATTTCGAATTGCATACAGTGCTACCAAAAACAATCACGTGCATCAAGTAGAGTCTGATGCAAGACATGTCCTTGAAATGTATAGAGTCAATAGAATTCCTTCAGAGACGATCTAGAGCAAATGGAGATTTAGTCAATTGCTCATCTACTCTTATTCATTTTCATTAACTTCGTAAATTCAAACAGAAACTTTATTTAATAAATAGCCCATTTACCTCAGCTCATTTGGTTGAGCTGGAGTGAGACGATTCCGAATCTGTGCTGCTGCGTCTGAAACCTTGGCCAGCTCTTGGTGGATAACTTCCGTGTCCTTCAACAATTACAGCTTCATCCTCGTATATTGGTTCACAAGTGCACCACTCGTCTTTGGAAGTGACGTCCATCACTTGTGAAACGTGTTTTCCACATCCTGTCCACGATTTATGTTGGCAAATTCCGCAAATTTCCGTCTGGCACATGTTTTGTTAATATGGTTGTAGTTTTGTATGTAGTTTGACTGTGGTAGCAATTGAATATATAACTTTGATTATCAAATGCTTATGCTTTGTTGGTTATTTGGTATTTATAGTGGAAAGAAAATATATATATATATATATATATATATATCTAAATCTCTTGGTGTGAATTATTTTTAGAAATCCAGTCGGGCATTTATAGTCTCGAGTTTGAGGTTTATCTTTTTTTTCTCATCATTCCATATCGGCAAGTTTATCCCAATGATTTTTTGTGTTGCAAAATAAATTTGACATTGACTATCACTGAGTCTTCGGCCCAAAACAAAAAAACAAAAGAAAAGAAAAGAAAAGAAAAAAAAAGAAAAGAAACAAGATGATACTTAAAAGGAGGAGTATGGGAACCCTCTTGTTGTATTCTGTCAACATACTTAACTGAAGCGTCAAGTTGTCACCACCAACCAATTTTTCCCAAACTTTGCAGCGCAAGACCAAGCTAACGCTACGAACGGGCATTAAAGTCCGAACATTCTGCATCTCCATTTTTTAAACTTAACCCGAGCTATCGCACGACAAAATAAAAACTCCAATTACACAAACATAGAACTAAAGTTCCCTTCATCCATCTCCCGAGCTCAACGCGATTTTTTCCGATGTTTCACTCTGACAACTAACAACAAAACAACAACAACAAAAACAACGGCCAACACTTCCGATAAATTCTCGTGACATCATACCCAGCTGGATTGGCGTTGTGGGACATGAGACTTTGATGTTATTTGCAAATAGATAGTTGTAGTCTCAAAGCAATGGAAGCAAAGGGTGAAATTTGCTTGCTCTTATCTCCACAGTTGCTGTAGTGTGTGTCTGTCTCCACATATAAAACTGGCAACTAAAACATATGATAGAGTCTGGGGTGACGACTAGATTGGGTATGTATTGTATAATGTATGGAACGATAAGTAGATACAGTAAGCGACAACAAAAAAAAAAAAATCATACCATTAATAAAACAGTGCATTCCTTAACTACTACTTCAGAATAAACTCCTTTCATTCTGCAGTTTGTTTATGAGAGTATTGGATCATGTGCAGTGAGTAGACAAGCATGACTCGCAACGATTACTTTTTCAAGTGCTTTGTTGTTTGTGCCTCGGCTAAACAACAACTTTTAATCTCTGTCTTGATGCAAAATTCATCTAAAATGTAGTGCGTTGCAGAATAACAGCTGTTTACGTTTTCAATACTTCTGCCGAAATGACGGAGAAAAAGATACCCCGATCTCTACGGATCACAGATTGTAATTATATGCACTTTACATTCAGAGGCCAGTCCCCGTGATGAATAACCCAAAACCTTCAGAGAGTGGAAGAAATTAGCTGCGTTATGTCGTGTCATGTCTCTAACACAATTTTGCGACATCGAATCGACAAAATTATAGCTGATATTAGAAATAACTCCTCAAACCGACTCTTGTTGTAAGGAAATAAGGTCTTTTGTTGTAAACAGAAACAACCACACCTTTAGAGCACCCAATGAATGGAAATCAAAACAATAAAATTATACACGTTCATACATACACGCTTAGATAATAGAGATGGATGGCTTTCCAATGAAATGCAACAGCACCATCAAAGTATTCGTCTACGTCCAAGACCCATGGAATCTAAAACGAGCATCAAGCATGCGAAGCATCAAAAGCACCAAAAGCACCAAAAGCACCAAAAGCACCAAAAGCACCAAAAGCACTTGCACATTCATTCAAACCACTTCAACTTTTTCGCTCCACCTCCCCTTTTTCCTGCGCCACACTTCAAACACAGAAACCACCTAGTTGGGCATGGTGGACTTCAACAACATCATTGTCCTCCATATCCAAGTCATCGGGCGTTTGTGTGGCATTAACCCTGTTACCATCAAAAAAGAATCGTACGGAATCCTCAGCCCTGCCCTGTTTCACACAATAAGCACTCATGATTTTCTTCATTGGCGTTGTTCGTTTGACTTTGAAGAATATTTCACCACCATTGCCATCAACCACTTTCAAGTTGATACGGTTCTTGTCTTCTGTTTTCTCTTCCTTGGGCTGTCCTGAATCTCCTTGTTCATTGGCGGCGCCTCCATTTTCATTGCTTTCAGTTGGAGGTGAGATGATAGCTGGAGTAGCGGAATCACGGGTGTCCTGGTTATCGTTTGGAAGGTTTGGTTGTTCGAGATCTGACATTATTCTATTTCTGCTGTGTGTGTGTGTGTGTGTGTGTGTGATGGAAGCAATCACGTAGGGGGTGATGATGGTTCTTGCTTTATTTGTTTGCTTGTTTTGTTTGTTGTTGTTTCTGAGTTTGGTGCAAAGAAATTTTTCTTTTTTTTTTTTTTCTCTGGTTTGTCGCATTTGCCATCGAAAAAACACACGCGACATTTGAAGAAATTACGACATAGGAGGTCAACATGGAAAGTTCACGCATTTCAGCTGGACTAGAAAAGCGATATCGCTCTTAAAGAAATGGAGTGTAAACTTTTGATAGCTTTTGGTGCTACCAAACCCTTGAGTTAGTTCCCAAGACATATCTACGCTAATAGATGAGAAAATCCTTATCCTTCTAACGCCAGAGCCAGCCAGCGTGCCGGTAGCATCCACCTGAAACACTTCTTCTGCTCGGGTGCAAAAATAAATCCTCCTCTTCAATGGGATCTTTCAAAGTCCCATTTATCTACTCAGAAGAGCAGTGTTATATTTGTTTCGAAATGAGTGCCTACACGTGTGTTTCCCTCTTGTTTCAGATTTTGCAACCGAAAAAAAAAAAAAAAGAAAACAAAAACAAAAAAAAAAAACAGCCTCATTTTGCTTGCAATAAATACAAAGCATAACTCCATCAGGTCTTTGGCCCAATTTCACTCCGGCAAAAAAGTGAACGAAATCCACTCACACCCAAATGAGGCAACGAAACTATTTGGACTTTTTTGAAGAGTCAACTCAGGTATATCTCAATCAATACACCATCTTGTTAGTGCTAATCTTTGTTAAGCTACTACTACTACGCAATTCCTTGGTCAACATCGTATCAAAACAGCTAATAGACGAGTCAACATGTGATAACGATTCAGTCCAGCCTGCTTTGAATGCAATTCACAATATGATTTTTGAGAATGTGGCCAAACTACAATACTCAGGAATAGTGTTTATCGTGCTAATAATCAAGACGATACGTGAGTTGACTATTTTCTATATTGATTTGTTTTTGGGGACTTATGTATGCCTATTAAATGCGTTAGTCAAGGGAACGACAGAGTTTGCATTTGATGCTAGCGAGTCTGTGATACAAGCTGTCAATGTAACTATTGTGGAAGCCACAAATGGAATAGAAGAAGGATTACAAGGATTATCGACATTGCTCAATGATGTAGCAACTGGATTTGATGCCATAGGGAGTCTATTTTCAGGTGGTGGCTCGTCCTCAAATGCTAATGCATACGAGCAAAAGATTAACATATCACTTGGGGCATTGAAGGATAAAATTGCCATCCCAAGCTCGGTATTGGGAAAAATAGACAATGCCAAGAATGTGAGCATGAATGAATTGGAAGATATGAATAATCATACTCAAAATTTGATCAAAACTCCATTCAATTTGATTATAAGCAAATTACGGAATATCCAACTAAGCAACGAAACCAATACAAATTCAACAATCAATCCAATCAATGTCAAGGATGCATGCTTGAAAACTGTTGATCAGGTCAAGGATACGCAAGATCATTTGGTCAAGTTTGTTGCAACTACAAGCACGTACTTGTTCATCGTAATGGCAATAGTAACATTAGGCAGCATTGCTTATGCATGGTATATTGAGCGGGGCAAATGGAAACGCAAGACAAGCTTTATCAATGAACCCGGGATAGACAACGAGGTTGAATTTCGTAACCAAGAGAATGTGTATCTGAACTTCATCACGTATACCCTAGTCAAGCGAATGGGGGTGAATGTGGATCACAAAATCATCTGGTTGATCAGCTACATGTCTAATAAACTAGCTCGCAACATACTCGTATTTGGAATGTTAGGTCTACTTGCAGCCATCTTGCAGTTGGTTTTGGTAAGTTATGTCCGCGGTGAAATACAGAAACACATCACTGACATATCTTCCAATGACAACCCCATTGCAGCTTCTGCATACATCAGATCAGTTAATGACTATATCAACACCACCCAAGCAGACTTGAATCAAGAGTTGTTTGGAGAAGTGAGGTCAACAGCCATCAAAGTCAATTCAACAATCAGTGAATTTGTTGACGATTTAAATTCAGCAATAACTGACATTTTCGGCACAACCTCCGTTCTAGCATCAGCTGTAACCACAATAGTTTATTGTACAATTGGCCGCAAGTTGGAAATAATTGAACAAGGCTGTACTTGGTTGTATGAGAATTTACAAGTCAAAGTTCCCCCAATTTCAGATTCTATGCAACGTGATTTACAACAAGTCAAAGTTTTGCAACCAGGCAATGTTTTGGCAAAGTTGGACAAATTGATTGGTGTTTATGTCAAGTCAATAATGTTGGAAGTGTATGTCGCAGTAGCCTTTATGGGTGTGTGGGTGTTGCAATTGATTGTCGGGTTGATTTTACTATTGGCAAGACACCGCAATGCCAAACAGGAGGAGTTTGGTGAGGATAATCATGCCTTGGATGAGAAGAATCGCATATTTTACCAAGAAACGAGGAACTTGACGATTAGCAGTCCTCGCCCATTGAGTCAAGAGCAGTTGGAAAATTACCCATACCCACTAACGGATCCACGTGTCTACTTACCTCGTACTACATCAAGTTACTACCCAACACCGCCACCCATAGACGATAAGAAACAGTGAACAATTGGAAAACAATACATTTCTAATGTACATACATATATAAAACATCACGTCCCTTTCCGTCACTTACTCTATTTCTTTATAGGCGCTGGTTTCTTCCAGTAGTACTGCTTATGTGTCCGTCTGCATGACCGCAATCCACCATGGCCCTTGACGTTATTGACTAAACTTTGTCTGCCTTGATCATCATCTTGCTCCGGCATGTAGTAGTACTCTTCTTCCAACGGTTTTCCAGCAGCATCCGTACCCTGGCGGTAAATAATTCCAATACATTTCAAATTGTGCAAGATTGACCTGATTTGTAGAAGGGAAAGCTTGGACGTTGATGCGGAGATTGTGTTTAAGAACGAGGCTGGCGTTGAACTTAATCGAGAAAATGCTAAATGATTAACCAAAATATTCTCAATTTCAGACAAGTTTGGTAACGATAATGCCGAATTATCAACTTCTGGAGTCTGTTGACGAGTAATGGCCTTCTTTCTTTTTTTTAACATTGGAGGGTTGGATTCATTTTCCTGTCTCTCGGAATGTTCATCGTCGTTTGGCTTGGATTGTTTCGCAGACAGCTTTTCGCCACGGGGCTCCGCTGATGATGCTCGTCTAGGTGTGTTGGTAACATCAGTCAACACCATCTTCAGAGGATTCGATAAGCTGCGCTTATGTGGTGAGGGCTCGTTACTGTTTGCATAAATGTTGAATTTTACTGATTTGTTTGGCTGTGGTTGTCTAATTGTCACCAGGTTGAGTTTGCTTGGAGTTTGGTAGTCATCATCTTCTTCTTCATCATCATTATCCAACATACTACGGTCCATTGCTTCTTCTGTCTCATCTGCGCGTTTAGGCGATGAGTTCACCATTGGCACCGTGTCGCTTTTTGGTTTTGATGGCGTTTGAGGTACTGAACTACTAAAAATCTTGTTCAATGGGGTTAAATCTTGATGAGGTTTTTGATTGTTGGACTCACCTTGCTTGTTCTTTATCAATACCAACTCTTCGTCATCCGTCAACTCTTCGTCATCATCAGTCAATGGTTCGTCGACATCCATTGGATTCAACAATACCATCAGTTTCGAAATTTCCAACAAAACATTCTCGAATTGACGTGGCAATGAAATCAGCTCTCCCTTGTGAATATAGAATTGAGAATATTCAGCAGTTAGTTTAATTGATGTGGAGCTAGTCTTTGTTGTCGATAATGGCTCACCATGAGTGTTTTCAACAACAACGTATTCATTCCCGTTTTGTGATTTAGCATAAACGTAACAGCTCTTGGGAATAACCACCGACATACCATTTGACCCAATACAGTTGATGGTCAACTCATGTGGAGTATAGTTGACTTTGACATGAGTACGTGAGATATATGAGTCTTTTGCATCTAAATTGTACTGACAAGTTTGTGATGATCTACCAATGGTGAATTCATTTTGGTTCAGTAAGAATGGAATACGCAATACGGATTTATCTGATTTCAATATATTGAAGTTTTTATTGATGGAAACGGATGTTGTTGCTTTTTTGGTTACTCCAGCATATTCGTTTTGCTTGAAGGAAGCTGTTTCGCTGACATCCCCTCTTTCTGCTCTATCTCCTCTTGCTGGCGATGATGATCTAAACACAGATGATGAAGGATCAGGAGTAGGCAAGTCCACGATACGTGATTGTCTAGCGTGTTTGCTTTCTTCCAATGGTTGTAATTTCTTGCTCAATGCAAATGGATCTTTGTTATGATGCTGTTGCAGATGAACATCTTCTGCATCATGTAAAGGAGAAGATGGTGGGAATTGATAGTTAGCGTGTGACATTGTATGTGCTACTGTGTTGTGTGCTGTCAGTGCTGCAAGTTGTCACTGGTGGGTGGAGTCAGCCTGCTGTGATCTGTTGACCTGGTTGTACTTTGTAAAAGTGTTTGTTTATACTTTCACAAAAGGGCATATCTCGTGTCTGTCTCGCTCTCTGTCTCTCTCTCTCAAACTGTCGTGTTTATGTTTTCTTTTGCAACCAACCGCGTATTTTGTGTTACTACGCGGTTACTAGGGTAATAGCCCTAATACACTCAAGCACGTGCAAGGTGATCTTTCTGCTGACACACTACAACGCTACCTTTTATTTTGTTACATAATATACAGCGCTACCATTAGGTAATTGCTTATCTAATTACTCAGAAAAAAAAAATTGCAGAGAGAAAGAGTGAGAGTGAGTGAGTGAGTTAGTTAGTGAGTGAGTGAGTGAGTGCGTGGGAGAACGAAGAAAAAAGAATAAGAAACTTTTTTGGTAAAAGAATTTTTCACCTAGTTTCATATCATCGATACTAAACAGCATAATCAAACATGGGTAGTATGTAATAAACCAAGTAGGATTATTGAAACAGGGTTATTGCACTGAAACAGATTACACGTTTTGAAGGGGAAGAAGAGTGAGGGCAATAGTTATGGGAGAGAAGTATCTGAATTTCAACAAGAGGTTGGCGATAATTCCAGACATCACAATCATCATCTAAAACAATCGTTCAATCCATTCACTGTCTACAAATAAGGACAATAATGAATATCCAGATGATTAGTCTACTACGATTCCACTTCAAATTTAACAAAACACAGACAAGTTCCACCCCCCCTCATCGTGACCTAGATGCAATGGGCCCCTTTTTTCCATTACTCTTCATGAGTCAATATATACTAACACCCGTTCTATAGAAGGTACACCATCATTGGGTAAAAGACACAACAAGTCACACACTTTATGTAACAGATGTGGTCGTCGTTCATTCCACGTCCAAAAGAAGACTTGTTCATCATGCGGTTACCCAGCTGCCAAGATGAGATCTCACAACTGGGCTTTGAAAGCTAAGAGAAGAAGAACTACCGGTACCGGTAGAATGGCCTACTTGAAGCACGTTTCTAGAAGATTCAAGAACGGTTTCCAAACCGGTGTTGCTAAGCCACAAACTGCTGAAAACTAAATTACTTTTATTTACGACTAGGCAATGATTTGAGATGAGGCGTTTTGATGATTTGATAAATGAGAGAAGAAGAAAGAGGGAGCGAGGATTTATTTGAAGTGGTGTATGATCTATAGCACAACTGAAAAGAGGTTCTCCCTGGTTTTTCATTCTTCTGTGAAAAAGGCAACGAAGTATGTTTTGAGATTTTAGAAACAAATTTGTTTTAAGTATAATACAACAACACTGTATATTAATGTGAACGTCAGTACTCACGATAGTAGGGGTAAACATCTCACTCTATATTTCTACGGCTCTGTCAACATCCATGCCAGCGTCCATGTTCGCATCCAATTCTTCTTGCATTTTATCATGGAGCATATCTTCTTCTTCTTTTTCTTCTTCTTCTTCTTCTTGTTGTGATTCGTAATTCATATTGTAGTACAAGTTATCCGCCTCTTCGTGATTAACAAAACGGTTCAAGATATCTCGACTCAATTCAACTGTTTCTGACTCGTATGGAAACTCTAATCCATTAGCGAAATCGCTTTCGGCACTGGCTAGTTGTTTACCGCCACCCTTTTTTGAGTAATCTCCTACCGTCAAATGGTGCAATTGCCGAGCTCTCAATTCACATGCTCTGTTGAATACCGTGATATTGTAATGACCTTGAGATCGTATTTTTACTAGTAATTTTTGCGCATCCATGGCCAAGGAATCGGCACCAAATGCAATTCTCAGGATAGCAACAAACATTTCATACATAGTGTCCGTGTATATCAAATCACTCGGCTCATGGAGATCCTGAGTCAAATAATCCATAATCTTCACAATTTGTCCGATCAAATGCACGCGTGAATGAATCATTGTTGATCGCGGGTCGTTTGCCATATATGTTTGCTCGAGGCGGATGACTCGAACAAAGGATTTGAAATGATCTTTATCCATTAAGAAATCAATGCTTTGCTTTGTGATAATTATTGATTGCAACAACTCACACACTTTGATTTTGAGATTCAAAAGATGTGCTTCATGATTTATTTGCAATTTTTTGAAGTTTAGTTCCGATTCCAAGTCCTTGTACACTGGTTGTGGAATGGAAACTAAGTAATTGTTCAAATTATCGTGCTGGAGTGGTACGGTCAAATCAATCGTATTCAAATCACAATTGTTGCCAATGAACCGGTTCAATCCGTAAAATCTAAACCCATCTTTGATTGGAATGTCTAGTAGGAAAATCTTCATCAAGGATTGAATAAGATTGAAATCGGATGTGGCTTCATTAAACCCAAATGTCCCTTCAGTAATCGTAGCAATAAGCATCTCCACCACATTAAAGACTAAATTGATCTGTGCTACGGATTTGAACCGTTCTGTATTTTGAGGTAAACATGAAGAAACAAGACTTTGAGGGAATACAGTTTGATCACACCAAATCAGACGAATCAATCGAGTGTCATGCATTGAGCCAATTGCTGTCAACTTCTCAATCACATCTAGACAACAAATTAAAATGAATCGTTCAATTGCAATCACTTGGTCAGGCACGTCATGATAATTATCGAAATCAACTTCTTCTTCCAAACTAGGGCTGAGCAAAAACATATAATTCAATGAAATCTGAGAACACCCTTGTATTAAAGTTGTGATTACAGTTTTCGTAACAGCGACTGGCCGAAAACTAATAGTACAATGAATCAACGACAATAAGAACGGGACTGGGAGCGGTTGCTTTTGACCAATTGCATTTTGGATGATGTCCAACATCAAAAGCGAAAACTTTTCGATCAATTCATCTAATCTTGCAATTTTCAACGTCATTAAAACATTACTAATCAATGATGCGATTGCTGTCTTCTTGGTCAATTTGTACCGATACAATGTCTCAAGATCAAAATCAAAACATATTTTGAATAAGTACTCAATTGATGACCGTTTACTGCCAGGAATAAAATACCCCCAAATTTGATCAATGAGTGCTGAAGTATCATGTTGAACTCGAATCACTCTTTGTACAGTCTGACTAGGAATTGACGTAACATTTGTGCCGGCGCTTTCTTCGACTACCAGATAATCGACGTCGGTACTTGTGTTTGGTCCCTTTGGTTGCAAGTTTGTTTGAGTGCCGTTGTTGTTGTTGTTGTTATTGTTGTTGCTAATCTTTCTTTTTTTCAATGCAGTTGTGGTGACCAACTCATTCTTCAAAAATTTGCGGTCGTCTTCCAATTTCAAAACCGCTTCTCTCAAAGCAGTTGCCTCTTCTTCTTTACTCCGTTTCAACGCATCATATGACTGTCGTAGCGAGTTCAACTCATCGCGTTTGGAGTTTTGCAACAGAATCAATTGTGCTTTTAAAGTGGCAATTTCTCCATCTGCTTGGAACAACTTAGCTTGTATTTCATTATCTATTGGCTCTTGTAAAAGCTGTGATGCTATGGGTTGGTTAATTTGGAAAACCGATGTGGGCTTTTCACTTGTTGTGTCGTTGTCGTCTTCACGCGTCGTTGATAAATGTATCGGAGCTTGAGTGGTACCTAGATACTGCTGTAGGAGTTCGTCATCTTCGTCGTCGTTGGCAAAGTCACTATCTGATTCGGACGTCCAATGGGTCATATCATGTCCTCAAAGTAAAAGAAAACAATTGTGATAGAGGTAGTGGTGATACTCAGCGATTTGGAGCAGCGCACGCAATTTTTTCAATTTACACGCGATTGCAAATTGAAAATACTATAGAGACAAGTACAATGTTGTATTTAGCAGGACAAACGTAAGTTGACTCAAAAAAGATGGACACTTTGACACTGGATCCAGTTAGATATGCTACAAAGCTTAAGTCTGAATTTGAGTCAATTAGAGTAAATCAAGCTGCATATAAGATGTTCAAACCAACAGATAAATCACGTGACTAATTGCTAGTTCAAGGAGTATAGAAGATGATCTTGGGTGTAGTTTAGATTCCAAGTATAACGCCTTCAGTACACTATATGAGATCTTAAGGAAACAGGACAAGGTGTAGCTGACGTTGTAAGCTTTCATTCACATTACTTACTTTAAGGAGTGAACTGAAAAACAACATTGAGAGAGAGACAGAGACAGAGAGAGAGTGAAAAATCTTTTGAGCAGAGCTTTTTTCCAAACCCCCCCCCATACACTATTCATTTGAATACTCAGAATACCATTAGGTTCGCTCTTTTTGACTTGCACTTATCCCTCACCTTTCACAATAATTGACAATGGCTACCACCACAACAGCAACCAAGAAATCCAACTCTCAGGCAGAGGAATCTATCAAAACGCAAGAAAACAAGTCCACAGCATCAGCATCAGAGCCAACATCAGCACCAGCACCAGCACCAGCACAGGCACCGGCACCGACGCCGGTATCAAACTCGAACCCCACCCAATCATCTTCTACTAACAACGCCAAACCAGCATCTGTCCCACGAGCCTCATTCTTGCCAACTCAACCAGCACCTCTCACCTCACGTGACAAAACCACCAAGAGATTAATCGTCGTGTTATCACAAGCATGCTTAGAAACGTACAAGATGAACAGCAGTAGCAATTCAGGTGGCGGCGACAGATTCGCATTACTAAACTGTGATGACCACCAAGGGTTATTACGAAGAATGGGACGTGACATTGCTGAGGCCAGACCCGACATCACTCACCAGTGTTTGTTAACCTTGTTGGATTCACCCATCAACAAAGCTGGTAAGTTGCAAGTTTACATTCAAACAGCACGTGGAGTTTTGATTGAAGTCAACCCCAGTGTGCGTATCCCGCGTACATTCAAGCGGTTCTCTGGGTTAATGGTTCAGTTGTTGCACAAGATGAGCATAAGGTCGGAGAATTCCAAGGAGGTTTTGTTGAAAGTAATCAAGAACCCAATAACTGATCATCTACCTACAAAGTGCCGTAAGATTACTTTGTCCTTTGATGCCAAGGTTGTTAAGGTGCAGGATTATGTGGCTAAATTGGATGATGATGAGAGCATATGTGTCTTTGTTGGGGCCATGGCTAGAGGTAAGGACAATTTTGCTGATGAGTTTGTTGATGAAAAGATTGGATTGTCAGATTATCCATTGTCGGCATCCGTTGCATGTTCTAAATTCTGCCATGGTTGTGAAGATGTTTGGGAGATATACTAAAGGAGCTGTAGTGAGCAGAGTGTATAGTATAACAAGGACAAAGCGGGTGACGTATATACGTAACATTGATGTATTAAATAATTGTTTTATATTACACATAATCTCTATAAATTTGCAATTGCTTCATCTATCCATAACACCTTCCTTTTCCAATACTTTTTCAATTTCGTTAAATAAAGTATCAGTAGTAACTCTCGACCCTTTAATTCTAGCACATATGATCTCCGATTTATGATTCATTTCTCTAGGAGCCACTCTGATTCTAAATTTACAGCTCTTCAAGTCAAATGAGTTGTACTTCGAAATTGATCCGGTGATTGTATAACTCAAGTTGTCATTTTTCAAATCTTTCAAACCAAAATTCGACCATGATTTGAGTAGTGTGAATAATGCCGAAACCATTTCTTCCCTTGGTAAAAGAGTGGAGAACCTTCTAATTTCAGAATCTAGCACCGGGGAATGAGCAGATGAAGACGAAAACCATCGAAGGAATGATGATTTTGGTTTTTCTTCTTGTAGCGACTCAGTTGGACTTGGAAGCTGATTATTGTTGTGTTGATGGCTACTGGCTGATCTAGACCCTTCGTCGGCGCTCTTTTTGGATCCCCTCGAAAACATTCTCAAAAACGATCCTTTCCTCGACTTGTTATTTTGCTCAGAATGGATGTTGGTGCGATCATCCAATGGTTTCTTGTGATGTGGTGGTGGTGGCGGCGGTGGTGGTGCAGAAATAGTATCTGATCCATTAGTTTTAGAACCTCTAGGCCTACCATCACGGACTTTCAGCATTGGCTGCGAAGTTCCATGCTGCAGTCTGGCTTCCGAAGGAGGTGCTTTTGTCGAGCCCTGTTGAGCAGCTGACTTGCTTTGTTTGTCCGAGCCACCATTAGCAAGTAGATCAATCGAAGACTTGCTTGATTTCCCCTCAGGCAATTTTATTTTATCAAAAATGTCATCGGATTGAGTAGACCCGTTGGAGTCAGTCTTGTGGTGGTGTTTCCCGGTTGGCTCTCCTTTGCTGTTGAATGTGTTTTCGGAATCTTCGGTCGGCAATGCTGGAACTTTTGACATTGGTCTCGCAGATTTGCTGTATCTTCTTGTAGTTGAAGCTCGCGAGACACGCTTGTTAGATGAGTCATAGTATGAGTTTCTCTTGTTTGCCAAATGTTGGTCAAAATCAATTACCGAATTGCCATCACCGTCTAGTGCGCCATCTTCATCTTCCTCTGGTAATCCAGCCTTATCTAGTCTATCAGCAATACTTGTTCTCAATGGCGGAATTGGTGCTTCGTCGTTGTCATCATCATTGTGACCATGTTCGTCATGGCCAGGAGTATGTGATTCAATAATAGAGTTCAAGTCACGATAAGACTCCTTGGTTGAGTACATCGACAACACGGATAGTCTCTTGTTCGAGTTGGAAAAGTGCCTAGACTTTCTTGTCACATTTGGTATTTTGACACCACTAATTAAAGTCTTTTGCTCGTTGCTCTTGTTGCCGCTATTATTGCCGACTTTCTTGTGAAGACTTCTTTGACTGTAGAGTAATCTTGATTTTCTAATCTCGGACATGTACTCTTCACTCAAGTTTGAGTCAACAACATCAGGCTCGGGTAGTTCAAAGTCCTCATGCTCATCATAATAGCTATCCTTGGAAGGTCTTCTCTTGCTTGCATTACCATCAAGATCATCGTTGTCCTCTGCAATATCATCCATGACAGAAACCATTGACTCTCTATTGATCTTCTTCTTGGCTTTCTTATCTTCCTTATCATCTTTCTTCTTGTTTTCCTTCCACTCATTCTCCAATGCATCTTGAGCTCTTTCAATTTGTTCGTTGTGGTGCGCTTGCCAAAGGGGATCAAGTCGAGAAACTGGGCGTCTTGTCAAAATTGGAGTAAGTGTTCTCTTTTTCACTGGCTGACTAGCTGACCTTCTTTTCAATTGTTCAACATCATCCATTGTTAGTTCATCGGATTTGGCTTGTCCCTCAGATAATGCCCTCAATGCACCCAAATGTTTTGATTGGCGCTTTGGCTGAGTAATTTCTTGCTCATTGATGGTTTCCATTTGTGCATCCTGAGAAGGTTCATCCTCTTTGATGATGAAACTGAGCTTTTTAGAACTGAGCAAGGACCTTCTCTTCAGTCTTTGCTTTTTCTTTTCCAATTCCCTTCTTGCTTTCAATTCAGCCTCGTGCTTCTTGCGCTCGATTTCCATCAATCTTTCATACTCTTTAGCTTCCAACTCCTCAGGGTCAACCAATTCCTCATCTTCTGGATTATACTCCTCCTGATTGAAAATTTTATCACACAACGCAGCAAAAGTGGCCGAGGTTCGCTTCGTCAGCTTGTCCATATACTCCCACTCATCATCACCTGATAATTTGGTGTAGAGAGATAACATTTTCATGGTGATAGAATTCCTCTTTAACCCAGCGGTCATTGAAGCACGGACCGATCTTCTCCTTGACACTCTTTTATTGTTGGTACTACTTTTGTTGATGATGGATGCCCTCTTCGAAGTGGCGTTGGGTGCCTTGTTGTTGACTACTTGTGACAAATTTGGTGATTCATCAACAACAGGATTCTCAGCTAATTTTGGTAAAGCAGCAGGTGCTGTAGCAGCGTTGTCGTTGTAATAGGAATCCTTGGATGGCAACGTAGGAGCCACTGACTGATTACTCTGTGATTCAACAATATCATTGTAGATGTTCCGAGGTGTAGCCTTGATTTGAGACGATTGTGGTTGTTTTGATCTGGGTTTCAGTGGTGAGCCAGATGGTGAACGAGCAAATGACAGTCTCTTTTTAACCGGTTTTCTAGGCGAATTGTTGACTGATGATGCTGCAGATAACCTTGTATGAGCAAGTCTCCCACTGCTTCCACTAGATACCGCGAATCCATTCTTGTATTGGAACGATGATGGTCGTGAGACACTAATCTGACTTGCACGCTTTTTCCCAGCTGGCGATCTACCAATTGACGAGCTTCTACCGACTTTGTTATTGAAGCTGGTGGATTTTGAAAGTGGTGCTGGTGGAATATGTTGTTGCTGCAGAAGCTGCGGTTGTTGGTCTTCACCTGAGTGCCTGTACCTCAATAGTAATGCATAAAATGTCTTTTCAGGGTTTGGCCCGTGCAGTAAAAGACATCTAATAATGTCTTGTTCCGACCTATTGTTCCATAATATCGATAAATTGGATAGAATCTGTTTATCAATGTTCTTCACTGAACCAAGTGACTTGTACGCTGTCTGCGGATGTGGTAATGATTTTTCACTAATCAAATCCTCATTTGAAATTGGGTATTTAGTCAACAATTGATGTTTCAAGATGTTTTCAGTGGTGATTCTCTTCATGGGATCAACTTCCAACATCTTTCTAATTAGATCCTGGGCTTCTCTACTAATTTCGTCGGTGGAGGGCATTTCATAACTACCAGCTTGTACCTTAAGCAACAAATTGCGAATATTTTCATCATCAAACGGTAATCTTCCAGTTAGCAAGGCAAACAAAATAACTCCACAGGACCACACGTCTGAAGCCGCACCGTGGTACTTCAACCCGCTTACTATTTCCGGAGCAGCGTAATGAGGTGAGCCACAAGAAGTTTCAAGGAGTTTGCCATTACTTTCTATAGCAGCCATACCGAAATCGGCCAATTTCACATTCAATTGAGCGTCCAATAGCAAATTTTCAGGTTTTAAATCTCGATGACAAATTCCCAATGCGTGACAATAGGCAGTACCGAGCACAATTTGACGGAAATATTTGATAGCTTCTGGCTCTTGTAATGGCCCCATTTCAACCAATAAATCGAAAAGTTCACCACCTTCAACGTATTCCAATACCAAGTAGAGTGCTTTAGAAGTTTCCCACACGTCATACAAGCGAAGAACATTGGGATGCGTGAGTAGTTTCATAATGATAATCTCACGCTCAATCCCATAGGGTAAACCTTCTCCATTCTTGGCAGTGGCAGCATCAGTGCCGCCATTGTTTGCTGTTCCTCCCGCCCCTTCTTCTTCTTCTTCTTCTCTAAGTTCCGACTTGGAAACAACTTTGACAGCTGCCTTTTGTCCTGTGTGCTGATGAGTTGCTAGTAATACTCTCCCAGTGGCACCTCTTCCCAAAGTTTTACCCAATTTCCATGGTCCAATTGACTGTGGATGATTATTGGTGCCATTGCCGTGTGTGTCATTGTTGGCTACTGTAGCGGAAGCAATTGACGAAGTGATGGATGCCAGCCTTGAATGTGACATAATAATGTACTATATGGCTTATGGCAGAAAAAAAGAAAAAAAAAAAGAGTGGATAATAGTTGGCTGTGTGATATAGCAGTTGGGCAGTACTTGCAGTTTGTTGTTAACAGTGTGCCTATCCACTTGAGTATGAGTAAGTCAAAAACAGGGAAGAATGTAAGGTGTAATGTTGTAAGTGAATGTGGTGATTAGAAAGGTGTTTCTGGCTGTCAAAAATTTCAACTTTCAAATTAAACAAAATAAAAAGAAAAAAAAAAATATATTAAAAAGGAAAACAGAAGAAGAGAAAACAGTGAAAGTGGGAATTAATTAATTGATTATTTTTGTTTTTATTTTTATTTTTCCTTTGTTGGTTTCAAATTCTTTTTCTTTTTTTTTTGGGGAGGTTTGTTTCACGATACGTTAGCCTTGGAATGAGCTGCGTTTGTGTGTATATATTCTCAAGGGTGTCCTAATGTGTTTCCATCTCTGTATCGCAGTGTGTGTTGTTGTTGTTGTTGTTGTTGTTGTTGTGTGTTTATAGTATGCATATGTGTGGTGGGTAATGTGAGTGTTTTTGAAAACAAAAAAAGATAAGAATAAGACGTGTTATCCTGTGTATAAGCACAGTTTTAGTGAAATAATTTGATTCAATTCTTTACGCGTTAAAATTAAGTTCTTGAGATCTGTTTTAACCCCTTTCAGAAGAAACCACATAATATAATAAACATAATACACACATAATACACACATAATGTATATAATATACAATACTGACAATAATTTAACCACTTTGGGAATGCATCCTTATATTATATATACTGCATGTACTCTATTTAGACGATTTCCAACCTAAATAGAGGCTATATCGATCCACAGTATATTTATATCCATGGTTACACGAGTATAATCACGTGTAATCCTTGCAATGCGTGTTTGTATAATTTGAATTTTACGATTCATTTTATATACAAGTGTATTCAGAGAGGGAAATCTCTGTTTTCTCTGATACTACTGTTCGTATCATGAACCCGATCAGCTGATATCGTTTTCTCGCTTACTTTCAATGCTACAATTAAAGTATCTGCGGGTTCAATGTACTCTGTTCATTTTCTGTAAATTACTTGGCTGCAAAAATATACTGTAGAGAATATACACTACGACTCCTTCTCACCCGATTTCGAGCTAAACCCATTGGAAACGACAACGGCAACGACAATGCCAAAAACAGCACATCCTCTTTCTTACGTCTTGATTTTTTCACTTTGCATTCTGAAAAAGTCTGAATACTTACACCTCTACCCCCACTTCTAATACTTGGCTCTTGCCTTGTCATTAGACAGTGTATATCACAAACCGTTTATTCAAAACAGACACTGACGGGTACAAACTTCATTGTTGGCAACCACAACTCCAGAGCAGTAGTAGGTTTCACCTACCAACATTTATTGTCCTCGTTACTTCTTCATTCCAACTGCTTCTCTTCACAACCCAATATCATTCAACAATTGCATCTGTTTCCTCATTTCTTTATTAGCTAGTTGATTCTGCTTTCTCTGTTCTTCATCCTTAATGTGGTCCTGTTTAATCAGCTTCAAGGACTTCAATTTATCCTTGTTTCCCTTGTCACTTGCTTGGGAAGTCTCCTTTAGTAGTTGACTTACTTCGCTGAAGCCAGCTATGTCGGCATTAAGTTTATCTAGCTTTATTCTAGTAGATTTTGATTTTGATTTAGATACTGTTGTGTTGGCAGTGGATGTTGAGGTTGATGCTTTTTGACTAGACTTAGACCTGTGCTTGTTGTTGTTGTTGTTGTTGTTGTTGCTGGATTTATTAGCTTTTGTCTTTTGAATCCTGTTATTTGATTTGGATTTAGCTGGCATGTTGTTCCTGATGTTTTCGTTGTATATAGTTTACTCCGTCGGCTGCTTCTTTTGATGATCTCTTTTTCCTTCTGTAGCAACGAACCTCAGAGAAAAAAAAAAAAAATTGTAAACCCATCTCATCTCGCGGAATCGAAAAGTACATATACTACACGCCTCTTTTGTCTTTACAGTATGCCATCATCACATAACAAAGATAAGCCATGGGATACTCCCGATATAGATAAGTGGGCTATTGAAGAATTCAAACCGGAAGATAATGCAAGTGGACTACATTTTGCCGAGGAATCGTCATTCATGACGTTATTCCCCAAGTATCGTGAACAGTATCTTCGAAGCATATGGAGCGATGTCACCAAATCGCTCGACAAACACCACATACGATGTGAATTAGATCTCGTTGAAGGGTCAATGACAGTAAAAACAACCACAAAGACGTTTGATCCTGCCATGATTCTTAAAGCTCGTGACTTGATAAAATTGTTGGCTAGATCAGTTCCTTTCCCACAAGCGGTCAAGATTTTGCAGGATGATGTTGCTTGTGATGTGATCAAGATTGGAAATTTTGTCACTAACAAAGACCGGTTCATCAAGAGAAGACAACGGTTAGTGGGTCCTAATGGAAACACATTGAAGGCGTTGGAATTGTTGACTAAATGTTATATATTAGTACAGGGAAACACTGTTAGTGCAATGGGCCCATACAAGGGTTTGAAAGAAGTCAGAAGAGTAGTTGAGGATTGCATGAAGAATATCCATCCAATTTATTATATTAAGGAGTTGATGATTAAACAAGAGTTGCAAAAGAATCCAGAATTGGCTCATGAAGATTGGTCAAGGTTTTTGCCTAGTTTCAAAAAGAGAAACGTTGCCAGAAAGAAGAAGATTAGTGGTAAAAAGGGTGATTCCGAAAAGAAGGTTTACACACCATTCCCACCTGCTCAACAACCACGTAAGGTTGATTTGCAAATTGAGAGTGGTGAGTATTTCCTTGGTAAGCGTGAACGGGAATTGAAGAAGTTGCAGGAAAAGAGAAGCAAACAGGAGGAGAATAGTGAATTGAAGAGACAAGAAAGAGCAAAGGAGTATGTTGCACCAGAAGAAGAGAGTTATGTGAATAAATTGGTGACAAAAGAGAAGAAGGAGAAGAAGGAGAAGAAGGAGAAGGAAAAGAAGGAAAAGAAGGAAAAGAAGGAAAAGAAGGAAAAGAAGGAAAAGAGGAAATCTAGTGAAGAATCAAATGATGAAGAAGTAAATCATAAGAAGCATAAGAAAGATTGACCATTGAGCTGAACAACTAGAAGAGAGTATAGCGTATACTTTGTATAATATCGAATCTGTTATCATGTGAACAAGTTGATTTGTGCTCTTTCGTATATTTCTTTCTTTGTTGTCATGTAACGACTCAGCTAATCTGCACACAAAATAATATTTTTGTTTTGGAATGTCTAAACTTTATTTCTTGCGACACACAAAGAAGTTTGTAAAAGAAAGAGAAATTATTTTTTTTTCATTAAGTAAATTGGTAGTAACGTTTGTTGTCTCGATTGAGTATGCCTGTTTCCCAATTTGGATTGGATCTGTTGTACACATCACAAAAAAGGTAAACACATACAAACACAGAAAAGGCTTTTCCATAGATCAATCTTTCGGTAACTACAATTATTAGACCAGAAAGTCTTTCAAACATACCAAGCTACATCTATTAGATCCAAAACTAGAATAGGCTTCCACGCTGCTTTACCTTCTTTGCATCATTCTCTCAAGTGCCCTTCACCAAACACTTTATCAGCATCTTGCATTTTCATTTCTTCTGCATATATGCATCTCGATCTCATCGTCATCGCCTAGATCATGTCCAAACTAGATCAAATACTCGCATTTGCCCAAGAGATCGAATCCCGATCCAATAAACTAGCAGATGCAACTTCCGCTTCAATAGATCTCATCAATCACATCTCCTATATCAATCAACAACTACTAAATCATGATCATGACATTGGTGAAATTCGACATTTGATGGATAATAACCAATCGTGCTTAGTACATTTGAATGCATTAAATGAGCGTACTTTCTACTTGCAATCAAACTTGCCCATTAATGACTACATCACGAACCAAACTAGTTTCGAGAATTTGAATACGGAGTACAATTATATTTTGCTGAAGTTGGCGCTGAACAACCAGATCCAAGAAGACGACAAAGAAGAAGCGGAACATGAGAATGGAGGTGAAATAGAACCCGACTCTCTGCAATTGAACATTGATGACAGTTATATTGATGGTGATAGCTACGAGGAAGAAGAAGATACAGAAGAGGACCACGACTTTGAGACTGAAGATTACATACACCACAATGAGACCCACTCAGTATCCCCCACGCTCGAGCCTCCAAACTTGAAGAAGATGATTTCCATCTCAAACTTGCAATTGAAGCCTATGAGATGTGCTTCATCATCAACAGCTGCACCTACGTTCCCCAATACAATCACAACACTTCTGCAGCCAAGATCCATACAAAACAAAAAGTCTAGATATAGACTATCAAGCATATACAATATCAATCCAGTGGCGCTTGATGACAACGACTGCATAAACTACTCGAATACAACGTCGTCCCTCGCGTCGGCTTCTTCATCGTCCCCTCCTTCTGAAGATAGTGATCGGATGATGAAGAATAGCTTATCCGAATCTGTCGAAACTATCGAATCACAATTCTCCACTCACATGTCGTTGAATAAACATAATGAGCTACAAAATGATATGACAACAACGGGAGATGATGATAATGATACAAAAGAGTCCGACTTGACAATTTTGCCGGATCAAATCAATGCAGCAGCGTCAGTCCCAGGCCTACACAAACACGCTAGATCCAACTCATTACCCACGACTTCATCCATCAAATCTATTGACCAAATTGACTTGTTTAAAGAGCTCGACTACCTGGAGGATTATTTACGTTTCAACAGATTGAAGCATTTCATTAGTATCAGCAATTTGTCCAAGCGTTCCACTAAATATGGAACTGCTGAGACAGAAGAAGATGACATTTTGTTTTATCAAGAGTTTGAAAAATCGCTCACTCCACAACAATACTTTGATAATTGTGATGTGAGTTCTGTTATATCTGATATTTCTTACTATTCACCCGAAAAACAACAGGATGAAACTCATGATGAGGTGCAAGAGAGGAAAGATGATACAACAGGTGGTGATACCACTAATTTGGACTTTGATACTTATAGTTCGTTTTTGCGAAAATCCAAATTGAACTTGAATGAAGCTTATCATGATGCGTTCCCCCATTTATTTAAACAACATCTGGGTCATAATAAACCTACGGAGGCAAGAGAGGAACAACAAGATCAGACTCAGGATGATCACACTCCGTATCGTCATTCTAGTCACAATTTCAAAAATCCCATTGCCACTGTCGGAAGCACTATACCCCACACCGTGGGCCCCACATTAGACACCACCTTCGAGCAACAATATCCAGTGTCGGCCTCTCATTCAAACGATAAATTGTCATCACGCAAGTTGTTAACTCAAGTGATTGCAAAGAATCCAGCACTTGTCAATAGAGACTCATTTACCATGACAACTACCCCGCCAACCCTGCCAAAACAGAACTCGTCTTTCTTAACACCAGCCTCATCACCTCCATTATCAATACCAATACGTGGAAACAAACTGTTTTCTGCGTCCTCGTTATCATCATCATCGCTGAAGTTAGGCTCAGTTGTGTCAAAATCGTCTCCATCTATCGCCACGTCGCCGTCATTGTCCACGTCCTCATCTGCATCGTCGCCTTCATTCACGCACAATCTCATCAATTTCATGACAATCTCCAAATTGCATCGTGAAAAACAAAAACATCAAGTACAGCGACAACGTCAACATCATCATCAACATCAACATGAACAACAGCAAAGGCACTTTCACCCACAATACCTCCTCGACAACCCATTCTCTCCACATCTGCTCATTATACCGACAAAACCACCAACCCCAGAGAAGATCCGGCAATTGAAGAAACAAAAACGGTTGCAACGTCACATACCCATCCTGATTCCCAATGAGGCTCAATTAAAACGGGTGCCCGTACATCCGTGCGCAAAAGCCGGAGGACGGCGTCATTCCAACAGTAACATTTTCAGAAACGATGGCGCCAAATCAAATTCAGGCTCCTCGTTTGCCAAGTTGACAATTTTGCGAAATGAGAAACACTTCAATAACCCACACGCTCGTACTAATCATCCGGACTCTGTCCTGATTGAAAAGAGCCCTATTATGCGTGATTGTAATCGGGATGCTATACGAGAAGCATTGAGTGCCAGTTTACTTGAATGAGCCTAGAGCCGCCAACTCATTGAGTTTTATTACATTACTTATGCAAAACATTTAATTATACATCATTTAGCTATACAACTTCTATAGGAAATCATAACTTGAGAAAATCTTCAGAGAAGTAGATGAACCCCCATCAGCACCAGATCCAACACCAGATCCAACACCAGATCCACTTCCATTTGCATATGTTTTCGACCTGTGCAACTTGTGTAAACTTTGTTCAATCTGTCGCTCTTTCAAACTTTTCACCGATTGCGATCGGCTCTGCACCAGTTGCTTCTGTTGCAACCTCGAAGACATGTAGGTGATTGAAGCTTTGGAGCCAGAAACTACCTTGTATTGCTTACTGATTGTGACACCGGAGAATTGCTGCTTGCCGCGCTTGTTGAATGTGATTCCCTTTTGCTCTTGGAAGGATTTGAATGATTTGGTGATGGATGGTTTTTTGAAAATAGGCATAAACTCGTCGTCGTCGATGTCGATGTCGACTGCATCGAGATTGACAATGTTACTGTTTTCATCGTTATCGTCATCCTTGTCGGTGTCTCCACCATCTTGGTTATTTTCATCTACGTCAGTAGGCGGGGCATCCTGATCCAATTTTCTCTTTCTAGAGTTAGTTTGTTGATCATGATGGGCGATATTTGAAACCTGTCGATTTGGTTGAAGGATACTCTTTGATTTCAAAGCATTGATATCGTCAATCTCCTCGTCATCATCAGATATGCCGTGTTGCAACTTGGATAATCTTTGTATTCGACTATACCCGCCATCCTCATCATCATAAACAGACTGATACAAAAATGACAATTTGTTTTGCACAAATGACTCCTCAATCTTGATTGTATGCTTCATTGGCGCTTCCTTCTCTAGTGAATCTGCTTCATCATCATGGTCGGCAACGTCAGCTGCATCAGATCCCTTGTCAAGTGAAGTTGCGTCTCGTTTAGTCAGTTCTGTATCATTCCCTCCAAAAAGCGGGTTGCCACCACCAACAACCTCAACATCACCATCGCTGTCGCTATCAATGACAATAACTTCATATTTATCCTTAATAGTATCGAAAAACGCCCTAGATTTCTCATCTTTGCTCAATGCTTGCAACTTCTTATTCAGCAACAATCGTTGTTGTTGTTCAAGCAACTTTTGCCTTCCATAAGCAGCTAACAACTGATCCTCTTCATCACTCAATTCAATATCGAATCCACTATTATTGGCACCAGCACGTTTAATCAATTTGTGATTCTTGATATCATCCAACAACTTTTCCAACTCTTGTTGATCCTTGATTTGATAATCCTTCATAAACTTGTTTCGGATCTCTTCATCTTGTAAATCAATATTAAAATTGTTATCAATCATTTGCTCATCTTCTGAATTGGCCACATCGGAAAACTCGCCATCAACCCCACCCAACCCTTTCCATTCATCTTCAGATTCCTCTGCCTCTCTGTCAAACATTGCCTTGGCGCCACTTTTCTCCATGGCTTTACGACGTTTACGAGCTTGCAACTCCTTTTTGCGAATCTTTTGCTCGTACTCTTTGATTCTTTGTTGGATCTCTTGCGGATCTTCGTTGTCAGATTCATCTCTGTCGTCGCCTGCATCGGAGTCTATAGTTGCTACCGCTTGCTCCTCCGGCTCCTCCTTGATTTGCATCATCTTATGACGCAAAGCTTTGCGACCTCTGCTGACCCGTGCTGGAGTTACTAAATCGTCATCGTCGTTATCAACTTCGTATTCACCGACTGCATCAGTACCTTTCCCGTCTCTTTGAGTGACATTTCGAGTTGCAATGACTTGCGTTTTCGAATCCGTCAAGAGTGAATTGTCAACTTGAGTAGGTTGATCAACTTGGGTAGGTTGATCGGCTTGAGTTTGAAGTTGCGACTGTGATTGCGATTGAGTGAGGTCTTTGAACATTGGCAAGATCGGTTCGCGTTTGACATGCACTTCTCCTTGTGTTGATATAAATGATTCTTCTTGTTCTCTAGGTGCCAAATTTTTGAACAACTCATGGCTATCGTCGTCGTGAGTCACGAGATCTTCCTTTTCTTCGTCATCTTGCTCGTCAAATGAATGGTCTGAATCGTTGTGATCACCCTCGTCATCCTCTCCTATCTCAACGTTCACGTTCTCCAAATCAATATCCTCACCTTCTTGTTCGTCTGAATTGTAATCACTATCCGGTACTGCTGAGCCACCATTGTCACTTTCCGGAACATCATCCTCGCCATCATCCTCACTTTCAACCATCTTCATTCCCAATTTTTTACCCAACAAGGCCAACTTGGCCCGCTCCTGTAATTTCTCCTTCTTTCTAATCTTTCTTGCCCTCTCCATCTCTCGTTCCAATAATGATGTCATCGACTCTTCATCTTTCTCAAGCTCTTCCATCAATGCATGCTCTGGATCATTCAACTTGTGAATTTTCAATTGATCGATATTCCTTCTTTGTAACTGCTTGAAAAAATTGGTTTGCTTCTTATTCTTCTGCAGGTCCTTTGTCAAATGCTTGGAATTCTGAAACTTCTTCTTTGCAAATCGTTGCCTAATTAAAAACTTCTGTTCCTTGGTGAGGTCAGGAATCACGTCCAATTCTTTGGCATGGTTAGAAAATCGAGGCTTATGTTGTGTCTTCAATGGGGAAGAAGAGTGTGCGATATCCATATCTGAATCTGAATCCAAATTAATCACGGGGCCCGTGCTAGGTTCTTCGTTTGATGGGGAGCTAGGCAAGGTTTTCTTTAACTTCTGGGCATACAATTCTAGTGGATTCGTTGGTTGTGTTGGCTTAGAAGGTATTTGAAACAAGTCAAATACATTATCCTTGACAGGCGAGGTCGTTGGGCTCGATTTTAATATTACGTCCATAGTAGGCGAAGATGGTTTCTCAGTATGCGATGTCTTTTTGACCGCACCAAAGACATCTTCATCCTCATCTTCTTCTTCATCAGAAAACAAATCCAAAAATTTCTCCTTAGTAAACACTTGTTTCCTTTCAAAGTGGGGTCTTATATCAACTTGACGTTTCTGTATATTGATGAATTCCTGAGCTTTTTCCAACTCTTTTGTAGACAACCCATCGCTTTTCATATGCGAAGACACGATGGTGTCATTTGCTTCATTATTAAGCTCATCTTCTTCATCTGTCAAAGTCCCCTTGGTGATATCCTGTTCCAATTCATCGCGTTCTTTCTGAAGACGAGCTTGTCGCTTTTCTTCTGCTAGTTGGGCTATTTTGCGTTGTCTTTCTTCAGCTGTCATTGGTTGATTTTCTTGCTCGTCCTCTGACTCGACAAATAAGTTTTGCAAATTGCTCTTGGGAATCACTTGAGTGGCCTCTGCAGCGGCGGAGTCATCTGCCACGGGGATCTTATCTCCACCTCTGTCTGTATTTTCAATTACTTGCGTGGGCTTAAGTGCTGAGGCGTTCTTGATAACTTGCGTGGGCTGCAACGCCTTGGGAAGGACTTGTGTAGGACTTAAATGGTTATTTCTGGGCTCATTCGCATTTGTGAGTTGTGTTGGCTGGTTGTACTCACTCTCATCCACTTCCAATTGAGGGAGGTGCTGGAATTGGTTGTGCAAAGGCTCTGCTTCATCTTGGAGATCAGTGTGTTCTATTTTTTGAGTGTCATCCTCCAGTTGCTGCTCGTTATTACCACCAAACAACCTACTTCTAACTTTATCCAAAATGCTCAAGTTGGGTTCCTCACTCTTGTTGTTCACTACTTTGTTCATAAAATCATCACTAAGGGCAAAACCAAGCATTGAAGATGTGTTTGTTGACTGCTGTAAATTCTGCGTGTCGTCATAATCAACATCCCTGATGGGGTTTTTACCGATGTCTGACTCGCTCAGTTGTGTCAGTTCACTCATGGTGTTCACAGTCTGGTTTATTCCTTTTCAGTTAGTTCAATTGCTACTGCTAGTGAAGAAATTTGCAATGGCTTGTTGGTGTACCATTTTTTTTTTTGCAACGCGATCAATTCGCGATCCTTTGGATATGCTTTTTTCATTTTTTTTTTTCGCGTTTGTTGATGTGTCGCAGAATTCTGAATGTCGTGAAAAAATTTACGACATTATACATGAGAAGCATGAGAAGGAGCATACTGTTACATTATAAATTAACTGCACCGGTCTGTTAATAGAAGTTGAGCGGATCTCAGAAGGCTCCTTCTTAGGTAGTCTACCTCTTGCCATTGTGTTTATGCATCCACGTGGCGGTGGTGGAGATAGGGAAGTTCCTTGTATTACTTCTCGTATAGCAGAGAGAAATCTTTTGTCCTAGTTCTTTTTTTTTTTTGCTGACTGCACTATTGTGACTCTGTTTGTGCGTACATGTGAAAGTCACGAGCTCTTAGATCATCATAATACAAAAAAAAAACAAAAGAAGAATCAATTGGGGGGATGGTCCTCGTGTTCAAAATAATTCAGTCCACGAGCAACACCATCAATTGGATTGGTAAGGACATTTTGCAAGACACTTTAAGGTGTTGCTCTTTACTCCATTACAACGCTGCCAATAATCACATCTGTTACACCTATACTCTACTAAATGGTATCGATTCAACGGAAAGCCCACGAGTGTGGCTCAAGATGGAAAAAAATAAAAAATAAAAAAAAAGAAAAAAAAATTGTCTAGTAGTGTGCGTGTCTAGTTGTATAAACGAGACAACAACACATAAAAAAAAAAAATATAAAGAAAAATTCTCTTTGTTTGTTTCTTGATGGATTTTATTTATTTATTTATTTAATTTTTTTTTTTTTCTTTTTTTTTTTCAAACCTGTTTCCATTTCCATCTCCATTTCCATTTGAAAATTTAAATTGAACAACATTTTCCAATTCACTTTTTTTTTTTTTTTTCTTTTCTTTTCCCTTCTTCCTTTTCCCATTGGAAGTAACTTCTAATTTCAATTACGTATATCCAGTCTGTATATAAATACAATGTCTACCCAAGGAGAAAGATTTCTTTTCACTTCAGAGTCTGTTGGTGAAGGACACCCAGATAAGATCTGTGATCAAGTCTCAGATGCTATTTTGGATGCTTGTTTGGCTGCAGACCCATTGTCCAAGGTTGCTTGTGAAACTGCTGCCAAGACTGGTATGATTATGGTCTTTGGTGAAATCACCACCAAGGCTACTTTGGATTACCAAAAAATCATTAGAGACACAATCAAGCACATTGGTTACGATCACTCAGAAAAGGGTTTTGACTACAGCACTTGTAATGTCTTGGTCGCTATTGAACAACAATCTCCAGATATTGCTCAAGGTTTGCACTATGAGAAAGCTTTGGAGGAATTGGGTGCTGGTGATCAAGGTATTATGTTTGGTTACGCCACTGACGAGACCGATGAAAAATTACCATTGACCATCTTGTTGGCTCACAAGTTGAACGCTGAATTGGCCTCTGCCAGAAGATCAGGTGCTTTGCCATGGTTGAGACCAGACACCAAGACCCAAGTCACCGTCGAATATGAAAAAGATGGTGGAGCTGTTATCCCAAAGAGGGTTGACACTGTTGTCATCTCCACTCAACATTCAGATGACATCTCAACCGAAGACTTGAGAAGCGAGATTCAAGAACACGTCATCAAAAAGGTTATTCCAAGCAACTTGTTGGACGACAAGACTATCTACCATATTCAACCATCAGGTAGATTCGTCATTGGTGGTCCACAAGGTGACGCTGGTTTGACCGGTAGAAAGATCATTGTTGATACTTATGGTGGATGGGGTGCTCACGGTGGTGGTGCGTTTTCCGGTAAGGATTTCTCCAAGGTTGACAGATCAGCCGCTTACGCTGCCAGATGGGTTGCCAAGTCATTGGTCAACGCCAAATTGGCCAGAAGAGCATTGGTCCAATTCTCATACGCAATTGGTGTTGCCGAACCATTGTCTATCTACGTTGACACTTATGGAACCTCTAAATACTCATCTGACGAATTGGTCGAAATCATCAAGAAAAACTTTGATTTGAGACCAGGTGTCATTGTCAAAGAGTTGGATTTGGCCAGACCAATCTACTTCAAAACTGCATCATATGGACATTTCACTAACCAAGAAAATCCATGGGAACAACCAAAAAAATTGAAATTCTAATTGTATAAATGCAAACCATTTTGATTTTCAACACGATCATTTTAATTCACTTCAACAGTATTTTATAGACTTTTTATACATTTTTGGATATAAACATTTTTAAAAAAAGAAAAGAGTTTCCTTTTCTGTAGCTAGATTTGTAGAATATGGTCATTTGTGTTTTGGATAATTTGCAACGAAATTGTTGCAAAATGTGCAAAATGGTCACACACACACACACACACACACACACACACACCTTATAATTTATACAGAATGCAATATCATGCATCTAGCTACACAACTACTATTTAATTGGCTTTTTTGGTCACGAGATAGCGAGGCTTTATTCCAAATACCGCCTCGTACTGACACAATAAACAGCAATCATCCTTGGGTATCAATCCATAGAAGTTTCGTGAACTCGAAGATTGCCGGTTACATAGCAATCGCCTTTTTTCCAATTTTTTTTGTGTTTCCTCCTTGACAAATTCTTTCAAATCATCGAGTGGGTCGGTGATCTCCCGTTTTAGTCTTCTCTTCACTCGGTTCTTGTTTTGTTGTGTTGACTTGGAGGAGATAGACCGAGGTCGATGTGTTTTATCCAGCTGTTCTTTTACAGCTGACTTTGGCCGAGACCCATTCTCCTCCGCTATGATTGCTTCAAATTCTTCCTGCAATTCTTTCAACTTGCCTGCTTCGCTATCCATCAAGCTGAGCTTATCTTCGATATTATTTCCCATGGGAAGAAGTCTTCCTTTGCTGTCGTATTCAAATGTAAACTCACACGAAGGGCCATCGTCGTTGGAATCTCTACCCTCTGAATCTCGCGAACTATTCAACCCTCTTGATGATGGATGTGAAGATACGTACTCCTCATCAAAAATAGGGCAGTCGCAGTCCTCCACGCCATGGACTTTGCATTCGGGTATCGGACTGAACTCAATCTCAATGGAAGTTTGATTGTGATTACCCCTGTTGTTGAAACCATTTGATGTTTTATTTGAGTCTTCAGAGTGAAGTGCAAATCCATCTCCAGCATCAAAAAAGTTTAAGCTTCTAGGTAAATTTCCTCCCTCATTTTGCTTGATAACTTGGGCAATCTTGTTTCGTATAAAGTCAATCTCGGAATCGTTTAGCAAAGATTGAGGCGGGCATATTATCTTTCTTTTTGCATGCGTGGTTGGTTTTGTTGATGCACCGTTCTGCAGCGGAGCCGTAGAAAAGGAACGCTGTCCATTTCCATTAGTCACCTCCTTGACTTTCTCTCCAGTCTGGATTGATGCAGATTCGAGAGCCTCTAACAAGTTATAGTTGAAAATGGGATTCAGCTGAGTATTGGTATCATCTTCAGAGGGAAACGGGGAGAAATTTTCTTCATCTTCAAATTGCTTCGCCATAGCTTGCAGCAAACTCTCATAATTCTTGGAAAATAAATTAAACAACTGAGCTGGATCCAGATTCATCGGAAGGGGCTTGATAACGTTCTTGCGAACATTTTTGGTAGATGGTTTGGTGCCGGTCTCCAGTGGCTGCCTACTTTTGTTTGTTGATGATTCCGCATCCTTTTTGCCCGTTTTCGAATTCAGAGTAGACATTGTAGTATCCGGTACAGGCTGCTATATCTTGCTCATGAATATATGATGTGTAATGACGATTTTAATGTGATATAGGGGCGAAGTGTGGAATGTGAGTGCAGTATGTTATGCATCAAGTCTTCACAGAGTTATAAATTTTTTTTTTTTTTTCTTCTCTCTTCCTCTCCTATACAGTATAGTACGTACCTTTCTAATCCTTCTTCAAAGTCCTCTGCTTCTCAGCATTCTTAACAACTTTTTCATCAATAAACAAACCTTTCCTCCTCCTGATATTATTCATGTATCTCCTTGCAATGTTCTCTCTTTCTGCAAATTCACCCAATTCCTCTAATTCCTCTTCCGTGTGAGGCACCCAAAATGGATCAATGTCAAGAACATCAAACCCATCAAAAACAAGTTGAGGACTTGCAGCACCCGAGGTCTTCTTCCTGATATCCTCACTGAAACCAAATGCCTGGATCACGGGGATTCGTGCTACGACTGTGAAAAATGGAGTTCCCTCTTTCATTTCCTCGGAGATGATGGAACCTTCTCGTTTCTGCACCACTGCATAGACTTTACCCAAAACTTCAGCAGCTGCTTGAATTTCACACGTGTACATTGCAAGAAGCAATCGTGGAGACTTGAGGAGAAATTGCTCATGGACCAAAGCTTTTGTTTGATTGATAATCTTTCCACGATTGATCAAAACTTTGTTCTCATCAATATCGTTGATATCCGCTTTCTTTAAAATGACAACTACACCTTGCATTGGCTCAGCAGCCAACGGACCTTCGTTGAGTGCCAATTGGGCACCATTCAAGATGTTGTTTTCGAATTGAAAAGGTTCTTGGGGATTATTTTCCGCAAAAAGATGTTTGAGTTTGTCCGATTTATCCAAAAAGATATTTGGACCCACTCTCTTGGGACCAAAAGCTACTATATGGTCAACAAAGGCTTTGGCATTTCCAAATCCGAAAAATGACTTTTCTTGCTCCACAATGGCTGTCAATTTCTCAGCAAACAAGGTCTTCACCTCTGAACCACTTGTCCTGTTTCTGGCGATTTCATTCAACAATCCTTCATTGTCGATTAAAAATCTTGTCAATTCAGTTGGCAAAGGATTCACTTCAAACTCGAGAGACACAAGATCAGTCTCATCGACATCCCCATCTTCTGCTTGCTCTTCCACTCCTTCTCTGTTAATCTCATCATCAGCAAGTGATTCCCTGAATGGAATGACTGGCTCCTTCACGGAAACTTCACACCCTTTGGCAAACCTCTCTTCTAAATCCTTCAAACACCTCTCCAAATGAAGCTCCCCTGAAACACAAACAATCAATTCACCAGACTCGTCATCAATATACCATTCCAAAACAGGATCAGCTTTGGCAAGTAAATCCAACCCATGCTCCAATTTAGCCAACTTGGTTGGGTTCGTTGGCTCGACTGCTATTTTCATGATAGGCTTATTGTGAATTAAAGTTGAAGTAGATGCGAAATTGATGTAGGGCCTGTCTTCAGGAATATAAGAACAAATGGTTGCATTCTTAAGAACAACATTGTCCAATCCAACAACACCAACTATATTTCCGGCAGGTACGTGATCCATTCTCACCAACTCTCTACCCATAATCAAAAACAAGTCCTGGATCTCTATGTCATTAACAATTTGATCAACATTCTTTTCATGATCTCTTGGCAATGACGGATCATACTTTGGTCCAATGACGGTCAACGTCTGCCCTTTGGACAACGTACCAGAGTAAACACGAGTGAAACCGACAAGTGTCTCCTCATTTACCTGCTCTACTTCCTCCTCCTCTTGTTCGAAATCTTCCTCTTCAAATTCCCATTCGAAGGGGTCCTTTTTGGGATTTATAGTGTACTCATCATTTGCTCTATTATCTTGCGCAACAGCTGCCGCTTCTGACGCCTTCTTGGCCAATTCTCTTGCAATTCTAGTCCGTTCTCTCAACTCTTCTGCAGATACATCGACACCAACTTCTACTTCCTTGGGCAATTCTTCATTTGGAATGGAAATTAGTTTTGAAACATACGCCATTGTATGTTTTTCAGGATGTGAACTATCACAATCGTGCATAGCCTGAACAAGACTAGGATCCACGAGTTTATTCTTGTCTTTCTCCGCTTCAACCGCACTGTATACAGTTTCATCCAAAATCTTGTCTATCCTTTCCAGCTGTGCTTCAACCGGACTAGGTAAGTTATCAATAACAGTTCCCAATACGGCATGGCTCAAAGGTATCCATTGCGACATTATTTGGTTTAGCAAGTTTTTCACATCTTTAGATCTCAAATCGCGAGGAGAAATCTTTGCACCTAGCTTGTCAATGATTTTCTCCAACTTCTCCTGATTTCTTTCAATTACACAGTTCTCGTAAACAGCCCAGATTTGATCCAAAATCAATGACACAAATAAAGGCTTCAGATTCCCACCCTTGAGCTTTTTGCCGGATCCAATTTTCTTGTTTTTCATGTCCAAGTAGTAGTCTCCCCAAAGGGTCTTTGCCAATGCAGTTTGCGAAAAGCCCAATTTTTTCAGATAAATTTCGGCAAACGTTTTCACAGTGAATGCCCATCCATCAATCGCTGATGCAAAGACCACATTGTTCTTCTCGGGCACAAAGTACAAATTCTCGTCATCTTTCTCAACAAATTCGCCAATTGCACCGGCCTCTCGCCAATTCAAGTCGTCTTCGAGTCTGTCGCCTGCATAGAAAGATCCGATTACCGAGTTCACCTGTTCAATAACTCTCGATATGTGTTGGTATGCTTCTAGAGGACTAAGCTTCCACTCAGTGATTAACCGATCCAATTTGTTAATAACCAAAATTGGTCTCAACTTATCTATCCAGCACTGACGTAAAACATTGACAGTTTGAGAGCAGACACCTTCAACGGCGTCTACCAACACAACAGCACCGTCACATAGTCTTGACGATGTGCTGACTTCCGAAGAGAAGTCAATATGGCCAGGTGAATCAATCAAATTTATCAAATGTTCCTTGACATCGATTTTTTCCTCTTCCCCCTTTTGCCTTCTCATTATTCTAAAGTAAAGCGAGATCGCAGATGCCTCCATGGTGATGCCTCTTAGTTGTTCATCTTCCCTCGAGTCCAAGTATCGTATCTTTCCAGCCATACGTTGTGAGATGATTCCGTTCGTGGCCAATAAAGAGTCACTAAGGGATGTCTTTCCATGATCGACATGAGCTAGAATGCAGATGTTTCTGATGCAAGACGCATCCAGCTGGAGTTTGCTGATTGTGTCTTGAGATATCTTCATGATGTTTAATGGCGCAAAGACTGTGAGTCAAGAGAGTGAAATATACAGAATGTACGCTCTGTGCTCATCAAACAGAAACAAGAAACTTTTGTAAAAGGTAGCGTTTCTTCTACAAAAGACCCACAGACTCTACACTTAATCCGTTTTGATACGACATAATACATATATATATATATATATTAAATTTGTTTATAAATCGAAATAAAAAAAAGGCCTGCTCTATATTTTTTGCTAATTTAGTGCTTGGATGTGAGGAGGTTTCCGTCATATTGCGGGTGCCTCATAGGATGTACTTTAGCGAATTCTGGGTCTGAATCGACGTATATCTTTCTCAATGAAGAGTTTTGGAAGTAGTATTTAGCCATATAGATTGACCAGGCACCGTAACAGGCACCACCAGCCAATAATGCTCTGAAGGGGGTAATTGCAACTGCAGCCATGATTCTGATATTGAGTGTGTAATGAGTTTTGGTGAGAGAGAGAGACAGAGAGAGAGAGAGGAAGATAACTGTATTCCACTGCTAAAAGGTCAGATTAGAGTAGTATTTATATTGCAATTTCAAGGCTTCTGGCCACTACAATTAGCGCCATGGATGCAAAATGCTCCTGGAACTGAAAAAAATCACCTCATGCCATGACTGCAAAGTTACAAGATTGGAAAAAAAAAATAAAACGAATCTTGGTTTTTGCACACAAAAATGAATCAAAGGAGAAATTAGGATCACCAATACCGACCTCTTGCAATTAATGATTAAGTACATTCACTCCTCCCTTTGTTTTTTTGCTTTGTTTTGTTTTGTTGGCAATCATATCTGGGAGATGCACCAAATCCTGCATCTAGATACATCTCGGCCGTCCAAGCTTCGGAGGAGTACTATTTTCTCTCCTTGCTTATTGAAGCTTTTGCTGGATCTCGTGCAATATCGGAGTAGCAGAACAAAAAAAAAATAAAATGAAGGTAAGGTGATTTTTTCTTTTGTGTGCGTGATTTTAACGCTTCAACGAGATTTGTTCTCACCTGACATTGGTGTCATGCATTTAGTCTCCAGACCATATGATCTAGTGCTGCTTTGATACGGATCTCATTTCAGCAATCACACCACGGTGGTATTCACAGTACGAGAGATAGCCAAATGCCAACTGAAAATATTTTACAACATCCATTTTGATTTTACAAAGTTATCTAATGCAAGTTTTTTTGTGGCTCTATATCTTTTCTCGCTACCTCTCAGTACATTCGCACGCCGTCCCCAGCCGGTAGAATTGGCAAAAACTGACCAATAATTAGCATGGGGATGTCAAACAAATCCCTCTTGACTGTCCAAACTGAACAGAATTCAATATAATTGCTGGTACCAACGTTGTTTTGCATTTGCGAATCAATGTCAACATTAGCGACAAGGGGCTCCTTTTTGGTGAGTTTTATCTTTGTACTAATACTTGAATGCAAGTTCCCCACTGCTACCGATTTGAATAGCTGAAAGTATTTTACAACTGACTCGTCGTCATACATCATCTCCATGATGAATGTACGTTTGGATAGAATATCCAGTAACTTGTAGCCTAACAAGCTTAGTAGATCATCGGTTATGCTCACAATTTCCCCAGTCCGCCGCCATATAATAGTCGGAGAAGAGTTTAGTTGGCTCAATTTCTCATAATCTATCAAACATCTTTGGAAGCTCATCTCTAAAAGAAGTAGGTCTTGTGGTTTCAACAACGACTTGTGAGCACTAATGAACGTGGGTCTGTAGCTTGCAATCAATTTTAAAATTATAAGCAAGTTCTGTCTTTTACGCTGCTTCTCTTCAAGGTCTAGCCCCTTGCCCAGGAACCTCGCCTTAAGAAAATTGGTAAGCGCATGGTAGGAATTAGGATACTCAAAATTGATAACGTCCTTGCTGTAAATATCCGACACCGTCTTGTATATTTTGTGAGTGGCTAGTGGAGACACATAATCGGATCGATGTCTTGTTTTGAAGTTGACAATTGGGTTCAAATTGACATCGTGTGTTTGCTTGCTGGTGTTGCCTCTAGAGCTCACGTTGTTGTCTAGAAGATTATCAGTTTGATGTGCCATATTGTTCAAGTTGTCCAAACTCATTGTTGAATCTGTAGGATATCCTAGAGAAATGAATGGACGCGAATCTCGCAACTTCTGTACCACCCGTTTCTTCGATTCGTGGATGTTATCCATGTCGATGTTTTGTATAAACGCCGGTGTGGGTCCATTGGTATAGTCGGATGCACTCGTATTGGATGGGGAAGGGGATGTTGGTTTTGAATTCAAGAGAATGTCACCAAGCATGAGATATTCCTCATTTAAATAATTTGAACTGAATTGACCATTCTTGTGACTCAAATCCACAGACTGGGAGGTATCAGATATTCCTGTGATTGGCTGCATAGATGCCTGATTTAACACATCGAATTCATAATGATCGGTGAGAAGCTTGTTTATGACGTCGGTGGTAGTATTTAGCATGGTGTTTGTGTGAAATAAAGGGTCCGTATCTAACTGATTTGGTCCATTTAGGTCCTGTGGCTCACTATTGAAATCTGTACCACTTCCATGAACCTCAAATGGAGGCGCATCGAGAATCTCTTTGATTTGAATAGCACTGGAATCCTGTATCGGTACATTTAACAGCTGCTGTTTTACGTTCAGCGACTGAAGTGGTGGTGCCTGTATAACAGGATGGTGGCCCTCACTTATGGTAGGGCGATGTTGTTGCGACTTTGGGCTGCTATCCAATAGTGACACCGGTGAAGCATTGATGGAGCTATTCTGGGTTGACGGCCCCGAGGACGCGAGTGATTTCCTTGTTGATGATTTGGACGATCCTGTCAAGTACTTTACCCTTTTTCGGACTATATCGTGACACTCTGACGCTATATTCCGTTTGATACAATTCTTACAAGGTCGCTCATTTGAGCACTGTAAATGCTTTTGATGACAAAACGTGCATGCCCTTATTGCCGGCTTGCGGTTTTGTTTCTCTTGTGGGGTCAACTTCTTCGTCATTGCTGTTTCGTGTTTAGCAAATGTCCCTTAGGCGTAGATTCGAGGTATGTTTTTAGCACTTCATGCGGTATGCCTTGAATAGCGTTTATTTAAGGGGCCAGTCTCTTTCCTGTCTCCGTACTCGTTGTGTTCACACAAGGCTCTTCAGTGAGGTTCAAATTATTCAATTTTGGAACTCCGGGTTTTTAGTTGCAAGGCAAAAGAAAAAAAAAAACACACCCACATACACAACACACATACACAACACACACACAGAGCAGAATAGTGAACAAAAAAATAAAAACAGAAAAGAAAAGACAACAAAAAAAAGAACAAGTTGAAATCTAATAGAGGGGGGAGATGTGGGGATGCGAGCACTCAGTGCTGGCCCAATTTGCCATTGCGCTATGCTCTCGATTGCGTATAACAGGCTCATGTACAAGCACTGCTTGTAGTAAAAGTTGTCATTGGGTTTGTCAAAATACATGAGATGCCAACTAGCACACTTTGACTCTGGTCGATCCAAATTCGAAGGAGCAAGAGGTATTCCACAGCTATACAATTATTACATCGAATTGGAGCAACTTAATGCTCACTGGCAAAAATTGGAAACTAAGGAACCCACTATTGTGAAGCTGACTCTGTCTCTTACTCTGTCTCTTACTCTCTTCCATATTGTAATTTATACTCTGCATCTAACTCGGGTTGGGCATTGAAAAAATAAAAACAAAAAAAAAGAAAAATTATACTAAAGTGCAGAGCTTCAGATAAGAATTTTTCAATCTATTTTACACGCTCTGTTCGACCTCACCCTCTAACAAGTATGCCTATTGAGATAGAGGAGCCAGACTTTGAAAGTAAGGCTCAAGTTGCCAAGGATTTGTTTGCCGGAACCATGGGAGGAATAGCACAAGTTCTCGTTGGTCAACCTTTTGATTGTGTCAAGGTTAGATTGCAATCAGCGCCAGAAGGAACATACAGTGGAGCATTGGATGTAATCAAACAATTGATTAAAAAAGAAGGGTTTGCGGGGTTTTATAAGGGGACTTTGACTCCTTTAGTTGGTGTGGGTGCTTGTGTTTCGGTTCAATTTTCTGTTAACGAGTTTATGAAGAGGTACTATGATCAAAAACTCAATGGAAGGCCCCTCAGTTTGTTGCAATTCTTCAACTGTGGTGCAGTTGCTGGATTCGCAAATGGGTTCTTGACGTCCCCAATTGAGCATATTCGTATTAGACTCCAAACCCAAGCTACCGGTAACGAAATGTTCCATGGCCCAATTGACTGTTTTAAAAAGATTTACCAAATCGATGGATTGAGGGGTATCTATAAAGGTTTAGGACCAACATTGGCAAGAGAGTCAGTTGGATTGGGTATTTACTTTGCCACTTACGAAGCATTGATAGCGGAGGACTTGAAGAAACATCCGGGCTTGTCCAGAGCAGACATCAAGCCTTGGAAATTGTGCTTATATGGAGGTTTGAGTGGGTACACGCTTTGGATATCTATATACCCCGTTGATGTGATCAAATCAAAGCTACAGACAGATGCATTGAAGGGAGCCAAATACAGTAGCTCTTTCTCCGTTGTCAAAGACATCTTCCGTAAACAGGGAATAAAAGGATTTTACAAAGGTTTTTTGCCAACTATACTAAGAGCAGCTCCCGCTAATGGAGCAACCTTTGCGGTCTTTGAAATCACCATGAGACTCCTTGATGGCTCCACATAGAGGAGGGGAGGGGGGACAATTTTTTTTATAAACTAATAGACATTTATTCATTAATTCTTTCTCTGATTACATTCTCCCTCGTTTTGGTGATATTGGTTGCCAGAATTGTGAACACCCACACTTTCATTATTCAGAAGTAGAATCTCCTCATTCTCAACGTAGTCTTCCGGCCGTATAACTTTGATGAATTCAATGAAATCCATCATATATTCACCGCTGAACTCGTAGTTGTCAGAACCTAGTAGTTCGACCAGCTCCCAATAATCCTGTTCTTGTTTTGAAAGTTTCTCATTTGTGAAAGCTGAAGCCTGCAGCTCCAACTCTGCATTTGGTTGCTCTTTTCTCACCTGCTTCTTTTGTCTTTCCCTTCGATTGAAGTTCTTGTCTATGCGGAGATGAAATCCGGGAATTAGATCAATAATGTACAAGAAAAAGACAGTCAAGACAAAGACATAAGCGCCAGTGACCACCAAACCTAGTAGCTGTATTCCAAACTGCTTCCAATGACCTGAAACCCAGCCTCCTTTAGATGCATACAAGTTATCGGCAAATATTCCAGTCAACAATGAGCCCACAATGCCCGCAACTCCGTGTATCGCAAACACGTCCAATGCATCATCGATCTGGAAATAGTACTTTAACCTGGTAGACAAGTTACTAAAGACAGCCCCTGCTACCCCGAAAATAATCGATTTCCAGAAATCATTGTTGGAAGATATGTAGCCTCCTCCAGGCGTCACCACAACTAGGCCACTGACAATACCGGAAGTCACTGAAATCATAGAGATCTTCCGCTTCGTGAGGGGAATTATTTGAGGCACACTTGAGTCGTCAACCAGCACTCCTCTTCCTTCTTCAACGTTTAATATCTCTTTAGAAAATGCAAAGTCCATGGCGATCCAAACGATTGCGGCTGAACTTGAAGCGAGTATTGTACTGAGCACGATCGGCATTGAGTTGTATGAAAACTTGTATTCACATCCCGCAATAAACGCAAGCCACCCGCACAGAAGTAAAAAAGTACCAACCACAATGTACCCGGTATTTGAGTGACGATAATTGTAAAGCGCTTTGGGGTTTCTAGGACCAAGAATGTAGGAGTAAGCTAAGCACGTGAATCCAGACACTATATGAATGCAATTACCTCCAGCAAAATCCAACACATCCATTTTGTATAGCCAGCCATTGGAGTTCCAGAACCAGTACGTCACCGGATTATATATTATTACCGACCATATAAAGACAAAGAGCATCATTGGCAAAACCCGTCCTCTCTCTGCAATACATCCCGGAAATGTAAAGGCCGCGCATATGATCTTGAAAAGCAAGTTGAACAAAAAGTGGTTCATCAACAATACTGACCCCCTTGTGTTTGTATACGTTTCTTGGATTGAGTGCTTGAGTTGTCGTAGCACAGCGTATTTCAAACTGCCTATGTACCGGTTTGACGCCGTTCCGTAACACAATGAGTACCCCCAGATGTACCAGTCGATAGAAACAAGTGGCAATATCAATACCGGTACTGCCAACATCGTAAATGCGGATCGTCTCTGTGTCAATCCTGAGTAGAACAACGCAACTCCAAGGACGACAAAGGGGAGTAATCCTGTGCAAAATAGCAAGTACAAGGAGTTGATACTAGTAACAAGGTCGGGCGATCGTATCCCAACCGATGTCATGATGAATTTGAGGGAGCTCTTGTCTTTATGATCGTGTAGTATATCTCTTGAAGCAGAGTCACTTGAAAAAAAAAAAAACAAAAAAAAAAAAGAGAGGAAATGCAGACAGAGAAGAGAATTTGTGTAACATAAAATGCATGCTTTATCTATGTTTCCTCATGCTTACTCAATATAAGCTTATCAAACGGATTCATTCCATTCTTGGCAAACATTTGACCACTTGATTGTGGAGGTGCAGTGAGTGGGCCACTTACTGGGGCAAATGAGCCAGTCGCTGTATCTTGCAAGTTAGCAGTAGACAAATTTGGTGGTGGAACAACGGGATTTCGGACTGGAGCCGGACCACTAGAGAGTGCACTCGTTGAAAGCAATGTAGGAGCACGACCAGACACAGGGGTAAACATTGTGGGTGGTTGAACACCTGTGGAAGCACTCTGCACTTGTTGATTCCCCTGCCCTGAATCAGATAACAACGTTTTGTAAGAAGATATCTCCAACATGTACGTGACCTCTTTAGCTGTTTTGGTTAAGCTTGACATTGGCGCTCGAACGTCCTCCAATATGGGTATGTCAACAACAATGCTTTTCACTGCAGCTAAAATCAGAACAATGGACTTCAAAAACTGGTTTGTGTCTTCTGCAAATTGCTTCCTCGTTCCATGAGAAGGTTCATTCCTAATGGCGATGAGCTTGGTATTTAGCCTCTTGGTTATTTCCAAGGAGGACGCACAAATGCTACTGAGGTCCTTGATTTTTGTGGCCACATTTGTCAGCACTGAGCCGGCGTTGGCGCCAGCACCTCTATGCACATCCTTGTTCAACTCGGTAAAAATAGATTGTGCATTGGCTATTGCAGATTCCACCGTAACATACAATTTTTCATCCACTTCAGCAAAAGAAGACCCAACGTTCGTATTGATTGAGAGTTTCAGTTTGAAATCTGAACCTTTATGTTTTGTTAAAAGGACGTGGGCATTTTTTAGCTCGTTAATTGATCCAAACACAGACAAGTACAACATTCGGATAAAGCACACGTCGATCTTGCTGACAAACTTGGTCAAATTTTCCAGTAGTAAATCCATTATGGACCTGAATGAAGTTATGCATGCATGCAATGTCTCCGCGATTTGTTCCGCATTTTCCCCACTCTCTTCCATCACTTCGAGGTTTTCAACTAATGAATCAATGTTGGATTTTGTTGTATACAACAATGATACCATCTTCATAGTAATCTTCTTGTCTGAGCAAAATCCAGTGAACCTCCGGATGGAAGAGTGTAGCTCGCTGAAGGAGAAGAGAACCTTTCGCGAAACTTTAACAATATTGGGATTAATATGCTTCTTTAATTGAGCAGGTCGTATAGGCGATCCACTGTCTGGACTGGAGGCATTGACTGAAGTGTTGGCTCTCGGCACCGACACCAGTGTAGACAGAGTGACACGGTAACCGGGATCCAATGTTTGACGTGGAGCCTTTTGGTTACTTGTTGGGGAATCTTGAATTTCGGACTCGTCCACTGGTAGTTCTTGCAAAGTTGACAACCGTTTGAAGTAGGCATTTGACTTGTGTTCGGTATCGACATTTTCGTTCTTTTCTAGAATTTTGTCAATTTCTTTCATTGAATTTGATCTCGATCTGGGTATTGGTCTTGGATTTTGGCTAGGCTTGTGTGCCAACGCGGCATACTCATTAGAAGGAGATACAGAGGCTGAGCTCGGTGCAGTGGAGCTCGTTACAGCTGACTGGGAAGGTGGTGGCGGGCTTGCTATCACAAACTTAGTTTCAGCAGCAGAAGCTGAGTGAGGAGCACCATCATGAATGATTGGTCTGGGAATTGATGTCTTTGTTATCGGTTTCTCGTCTTCTAAATCATCCTCTGGTGTTGTCTCCTCTAGCTTTTTGACAATGAAGCCCATCCTCTTGGAAGCTTTTGTGGATTTTGATTTGGTGACATCGCTCGCATTTTGAGATGATTGTACATCTAGCAGAGCAACTTGATATTCTGTATTATGTGGATCCATGGTTTGATAATGCAGAGGGGTGGGATCTCTTGATTCTTCAATTTTGGCATTGATTGTATGTCTGTTTGATAATAAGTAAATTTTCAATTGGCTCACCCAATCCTTCTCAGCAGCTCGTCCTTGGAATGATCGTATCAAATCAAATGATGGGATCCTGAGAGGATTATTCGAAACCTCAATAAGATTTAAATGTTCGAGTTCGCCTAGAGCTGGTGTAAGGTATTTGATGTTGTTGTTCTTCAAGGACAATACTTTTAGGCTGCTCAAGTTTGTGATTGACTCCGGCACTAGCGAAATCTGGTTTGATGATAAATCTAGAATTTCCACCAGCTTGAGCATTGGCAAAATGTTGCTAGATATATGCGAGATGTTGTTATGGTGCAAGTCCAAATATTTCAAGTGTTTCAGTATTTTGATGATGTTGGGTGGTATTTCGGTGATGAAATCATCTTGAAGTGTCAACCTTTCTACCACCAAAGGAGGGTGGAAAGACAGTAAATACTCATCAATAAGGTCAATTAAAATACGAGTATTCACTGAGGGTAACGAATTCAACTTGACTGTTTTGGCATTGGAAATCGATTCATGCTGATCATCAAGTAGTGAAAAGACTTGCGACCGACTCATCAGGGTAGAAAATTGTGTTGGTAATCTTTTGTGTGTAGGATGATGCGGGTTGGATGTTGAGCTAAATTTGTATCGAGTTTGTTGTGAATAGCAATGTAACACTCTTGGACGGGTTGGTGGATAGGGACAGGGTTATGCAAACCAGGAGAAAGCGTTTATGTCTATCCAGGAGGCTTTGCTTTGAAGATGGTGGGGATGAAACTGTGCACGATATGCTTGACTGTTGATGTTTAGTTCATTTTTACCTTTGATTCAATTTTCAGACAACACAAAAATCAAAACAATTTCTATACATAGCATACACGTAGTCTAAACAGCGACACCATGAGCTTTGGCATCTGTTCTCTCTTGCCAGATTGTTTTTCCGCTACAGCTACAAACCTGTTTGTCGTTTTCCCATGCACCGGCAGACCTAGCAATAACACCAACAAGCGAGTCCTTTGTAACCTCATTCTGCAACCTTGACAATACGATACTTCTTCCAATAATCTCACTGGGAGTTAGCTTTGCAAATAAGAATGACTGTCCAGCAAACAAGTTCCCTGAGTCTTGACTGGCACCGAGTGAGTTGATAGTGGTACTGGCGGTTGAAGGTTGTGTCACCTCGACTGGGTCCAACTCGTAGAATAATTTACCTGTAGATAATGCTCCCTCCGACAAGTTTCCAGAAGCTCTAATTGAAGGGTAGTATGTTCCCTTGGGCAAGCCATTGACTGTGAGATCAACAAATACATTTTGTGGAGAGACTTTAACTATTCTTGCCAACCCCTTGACTGGCTTAAATCGATCCTTGGGATCAAACGATTCAAGTATGCAGACAGCAGCAGAGTCAGGTTTACCAGTACCACGAATTATTGCATCCCTTCCTGTAGCTTGGATCGCTTTAACAATCTCACTGGGTGGGAGAGTGCCTTCTGTGGTGACTAAGTTGGATTTCAAATTGATATCAAACTTGTCGATACCTTTCAAATGTTTTAAGGCATTTGTGACCAGCTCAACACATGAGCCACATTCCATTGGTACTGCAAGCACTATCTCAAAGGCGCTTGCTGTCATAGTGAGGTGGGTGGTGTTGGGCAAAACTGTGGTGTGATTGAGTGATTTGTGGATTATTAATTGGAAAAGAAAAATATGAATATACGTGCGAGTAAACAGTATTACAAAATTACACTCTATATTGCCTGTATGTATTCTACTAAATCCTCAAGCTACTCATTCTACGACGGCCAGCATCCAACTTTTCAATTTCAACATCGCCAACAACAATTTCATCGTCATTGCCTTCACCATCGAGCTTGGTACATACCCATGTCGATGCATACATGTTGACTCTGTCGATACTTTTCCCAGATTCTCTAATTGTAGCAGCTTTGCACTCAAATCCAAGCGATTCAAATGTCTTGATGTACCAAGGATGAGTAGCTGCTGATCTCAACATGACTCTTCCACCCTTCACGAGGCATTGCTTAATGGCAGTGATTTCATTGATGACATCGACGCCATTTGGATCAAACCAGTCCATATGATCCATGATGATTGCAATCGTAATGGACTTGTTACTCAATCTGGCAAACACATCATTCAACAAGTCTGTGTGTAATCTAATATTGTCAATTGGAATCTCACCGGTGACCGACTTTTGACCTGTCAATCTTTTGTATCCCTTGGTTGTTAAATAATCAGGACAATTGGTTCTAGAATAGCGACCCATCAAACACAAGTAGTAAAAATAGTTGTCTTCTGAAATCAATGATCTTTCGATGATTGGCTCTAAAGTATCAATGACGTATTTAATAACTGATGGTCCCATCAATTTGGCTTGGTTAGCAGGAACACCCAACGCCTTCCAAAGGAAAATAGGGTTTCCGACCAAGAACGAAGCAACAACAGGATTGAACAAAACGGGTTTGATGTGATCGTTCCAGATTTGCTTTTGCTCTTCAATTCTTGACGCTTTACACAATGCTGAAACATGCTTTGAGATTCCACAAACTTTGAAGATAGTTCTGGCCAATCGGATAGCCCATCTACTTGAACCGGTGTCGTAAAGACCTTTTCCAGCGAATGCTTTTGGTCCTTTATCCATCCAGTATTGGAAAGCATTTGAGGACATGTGAGGACCCAATTTGTCAATCAAGAGATCGGTGAAGTTGTCAATGCGTCCATCACCAAACATTTGCCAAATTTGGTCTTGCTTAAGTGTTCTAAAAGAGGCCAACTTCAATTCCAACAAGTGGTTCTGACATGGGTTCAAATCAACTGCGTGGATTCTTTTTGGTGGGCTTGCCAAAGAGGCATAGCTCAAGATGTTGTCACCTGCAGAAGTAATTGCCAACACGGTATCATCACTGGTGAAGTTTAAGATGTTGTGATCCTCTCTAGGATCTTCCCAAGTAAAGGCGTAGATGTACTGGTTTTTGAATTGCTCATACAAGTGGTTCATCTCGTCATAATAGACTCTCCAAACTTCCCTCTGGTAGTAAAGAGAAGGAAATGGAAGGTTCTTTTGCAAGTTGGCGATAGCAGCTTCATGACCTTTGGAAACTGGTGCTGATGAGCCTGGTTGGGGGGTTGGGGAGGTGGAAGGTGCAAGATATGGTGATTCGGTAGCCAAGCAATTCAATCTGGTCAAAATTTGAGTAGATCTTGCCTTGTCACAACCAATCCAAATGTAGTATGGAATTCTGCCCAATGTCTTGTTGTATTGATTGACCGACTTGATTGTACCAAACTTGTATTCCAAATAATTTCTTCTGGAAGAATCCAAAAAGACCTTGTCAGCTTCAAACCAAATTCGCCAGAAATTTCTCAAAATCCAAGGCATGTTTCTGTTGACCAATCCACCCAAGGTGTTGACTCTTCCTATGGAAGTGTCATTGCTTTGAATACCAAAGTCAACTGTAGCAATAATACCTTGTTTGTCCAATTTGGACACAGCGTTGTCAATAGCAGCATTGAAAGTTGGAATCATTGACAATGAGTATGAGAAAGTGATCAAGTCAGCACTTTTGTAGTCAATTGTGAAATCACAAGCATCGGCAACCAATACGTGTACATTTGTCCATTCATGAGCAGCAAACCTGTTTCTGGCAACTTCACACAATGAAGGTGAAAGATCAACCAAATACACCGCTTTAAAGTTTTTAGAAATATTGCTGACCTGATTCATAAACTCAATGTTTGAACCAGTACCTCCCCCGATATCAATCCAAACCAAATCTTTCTTCTTTTGCAAATGTGAAATGGCCAATCTGAGACATTCTTTTCTACCTTTGAGCAAAACGGTTCTTGTAGTGTCGTATATGTGGGCTTGATTTTTGTAAAACAATTCTAAATTTTGCTGTTGGTTTTTCACTCCAGCCTTGACGGTCTTTTTCTGAATCAATGGCTTCACGAAACATGCCCAGCAGAATACCAAGATTGAGTTGATGGTCTTGTTTAATTTTGCAACAAAATATATGATTCCACAAAACAACGAAACTGAGGTGAAGACTTTCACTTTGGAAAAGTCTGAAGTAATAAAGTCAACATCAATCATAACTGTGCTTGTGTTTGCAATGTTGAATTCAAAAGACGAGTGTTGAAACGTGGGTGCAAAAGAAACAAAAAATAAAAAAAAAAGAAAAGAAAAGAAGTAAAGAAAGAACTGATGTCTTAGATTTGAGAATTGGTGAATTTTGCAAGTGTATTTATATTTGAAAGAAAGAAAAAAAGGTTCGATGCAATGGGATCAGACGTGTCTTTTCCTTTGTAATTGGAATTTAAATAACCGACTGCTCATTTGATGCTTATCCGCTTACAGTTATAATTCTTCAGACTTTGTTGGGGACGAGAGGGGGAGGGGGGCCCACGTTTTTTGAAACTTCGCAGTTACACAAAATTGTTGACACCCAAGCCCTCGTGCGTGGAAAATATTTTATACCACCAACAGAAGAAGAAGAAGGGTAAATAATGCAACAGCCTTTTATTTTTATTTTTCATTATTTTTAGCTCTTTTGACCTCGTGCCCCTTTTCATAAAAAGTACGAATACGGAAATAGAGCACGTTTCTGAGATATTAGACGGCACATGCAATTTTTCAAGTTCCAAAGCGGCTGATGAAACACAAATATATTTAGAAACATGGAGGATTTTGTTCAAACGTACATCTATGGAAGTTAAGCTCTATGCAACTTTTATCTATATTTATCAATTACTTCTTTATCCTCATCCTCCAATCTCCTCAACAAATAATCAACCTCCACTTTTTTTGTCAATGGAATGATCCATTTCTTATACAACTGAGCAATGACTTCGGGCTTGACCTTACTTTGCACATTTGTACCAAATCTCAAACTAGGATCAACACCATAACTCTGTGCCTTGACCACCAATCTCTCCAAAATTTTAGCTTCAACAGCACTGTTTGTTATCGAGTCCTCAATTCCCTTGACATCCCTCGCGAGAATCAATTTGATGTATAATGGTTTATCGTTGACATATTTTGCCTCTGCAACAAACTTTCCAAAATGTATTCTTCTGGAGATCGCTTGCAAACACTCGATGTCGCAAGTAGACGCCGATCCCAAGTTCTCCAATTGGTCACCTTCCTTGCAACTCACCTTAGGGACAATGTCTTCCACGTAAAATTTCATGATTTCGTCATTGACATTGATTTCATCTGAGTAACTAGCCAAGATTTTAGGGTAATTGATGGGTGGTAAAATTGGCGCCTTGATCAGATCGGGGAAAAATGGTGTCTCATCGGGAGCCTCGTATCGCCTTATTTGAGAATGAGCTATCTCCATTTGTAACAATGCCCAATCGAGAAATGTGCCGTCAAAATTGGGAATTGAAAACTTATTCTTTTCGTATACCGATGGTGAGCTGAAAAATTGTGAGCGTTCAATCAAGTCAAACACAATCGTGTCTTCCATTCGTACTAGAGACTGGCGTATATTGGCCAAATCTAGCACAGTCTCTGGCTTCATAAAGTCCATGGTAGCTCGGGTTGGGGTGGTGGTGTGATGATGATGATGATGATCTACGGTTAATCAAACAATGTTGAACTTTTTCTCAGAGTCAATTTTTTTTTTTTCGTTATCTCGTACGAGCCCTACTTAAGTTTCACAAATTGTCACTTTGACGTCTTTCGTTCCATTCCTGCTCTTGCCTATCCCATTTGTTCACCCTGTGTTTAGCATATTTGTGTAACAATTCGTTATCACTGGGCTCCTCCTCTCCAAACCCATCGTTCTTCAGTCGCATAGTGGCTCTTCGTCCAATCAAGAACTTGCGCAAATTTTCAGCCTCAGAGTACGACCCATCTCCTTCGTAGCTCACATTCAAGTCTCGCATAGATTGTAGATTCTTCTTGTGTGTGTCAATTAGATACTGGTTCGTCCGATCAATGGCACTCATGATCTGCAATCCAAAAGCTAACGCTCCGAATGCTAAAACTCCGAATAAGATCTTATACTTGTTCTTCTCCAACTCTTCCTTTGTCGGTGGTGCTCGTTGATACTTCATTTGATAATAGTCATTCCAAGTTCCGGCCAGCCAGAAAGCCTCATCTTTGGTGAAGTCGTATCTAGCACGATGTGCATTTGCCCTTCGGTATGCTTCAAAACTCTCCCTTGAAAATGGTTCACTGCTGGGGTTATATGGACCTTGTTGTTCCCAAGAAGTGGTTTTGAATCGGTTATAAGCCACTCTTCGCCTTGCATCTCGTAGAATGTCGTATGATTCCTGAATCAAGTCAAACCGTTTCCTCTTTTGTTCGTCCCCAAGGGGAGTTCCAAAATTATCTGCCAAATCGAGTGATGTATCGGGGTGATAAATCTTGACTAGCTTCACATATCTGGCCTTCAATATCCTATTCAACTCACTACGCGACATTCCTATGTCTTTTGACGATAGCCCAAATACTTCGTAAGGTGTCGGGTTCTTTGATGTTGGCCAATCATGGAGATCAAGACGCTTGTGGTGGTCAGTGAATTCATTTGCAGATGTAGCGTAGCTGCGTATGCATGTGCATGGCAAGAGCTTAACTCTGGATATCATTGCCAATCAAAAGATTTGTATGCATAGAGATAAAGAAACTAGGGGGGGGGAATTCTTTTGTCCCCTTTTGCGATCACCGGTTTTTGTATTCCCACATCAAAGAAAAAAATACTTTGAATGAGACAAGAATCAAAGCACAATAATAATCTTGATAGCTCAGTATAACCATAAAGTAGAGTTACCTTGCCCTCCTCCCCTTCCCCCCTCTTTCTCTCCGCTGTTACTCTCTCTTGTCAGCTGTATATTAGTTGTATTTCAATCCTCGTTCCGCCCCTTATCCGCCGTCCGACAATAGCTGCAAGTTACGTCATAACACACCCACAAAGTGTTATCAAGTGGGGTGAAAGCCTATGGGCAAAACTCAACAAGATGATGCATTAGACAGCATAACGCTAATAACAATCATTTAAACAGTTGGTACTGTGCTTTGCGAACCTGGTGCAATCCACTGACAATGAGGCTATATTTAGCACAAAAATTCTTCTCACTTGAACAAAACTCAGCAATTTTACAAACCACAGTTTCAATTTCACCCACGTTCACATACCCTTTTCCAACACAAACTATGTCCGTCAGTTCGTGGTTATCCTTCGTTAGCAGCGAGATAGGGCTAAGTACCCTATTCAACTCCTCCTGGGACGTGTACATCATTATCGCATTGAGAATGATCAGGCTCATTGGGTTCGGTTCAACCTCATTGATTCTTGCTTTGTATTTGAAAACTTTGGGAATTGATGAATCTTACATTGGATTCTTTATGACGCTAACTTTTGTTGGAGATTTGACTACTTCATTTTTGCTCAGTTTGGTGACTGACCAAATTGGTAGAAAGCGTGTTCTTGTGTTGTGTTCGGTACTCATGTTGGCCACTGGTGTTGTGTTTACAACATTGGATAACTACTACTTGCTTCTTGTTACTGCTGTGATTGGAATTTTAACTCCGTCGGGTGGAGAAGTTGGACCATTCAGGACGATTGAGCAATCGAGTATCGCCTCATTGTGTAACCAAACAGAAAGGTCAGATATATATGCTTGGTACACATTTTTGGGTCTGTTTTGTGCTGCGTTTGGATCGTTTGTCGCTGGACTGATTATTGATCTTACGAGAAGAGAATGGGGGTTCAATGAAATTGAGAGCTACAAAAGTGTGTTTGGTTTGTATTGTGTCCTTTCGTTGATCGGTGTCATTTTGTCTTTGTTCATTAGTAGTGCTATTGAACCAAAGAAGATAGTTGCACGCGATGAAGAAGGTGCTGTGGAGGGTGATGCAGCAGGAACTGAGTCATCTAGTGCTTCGGCAAGCGAGACAACTCAACTCCTTGGACAACCTAAACCTAAGCCTAAACCAAAGGGAACGTTCTTTAATCTTCTTCCACATTTGTCACCAGATGTCTACTTGACTGTGTTGAAGATTTCATTATTATTTGGTCTCGATTCATTTGCATCGTCATTGACGCCACTTTCATGGACATCATACTATATTAAACAGAAATTTGGCATCCCCTCGTCATACCTTGGATCTGTATTTTTCATCACTGGGTTTATCAGCGGTGCAACCTCGTTAGGGTCCACGTCAATGACAAAGAGACTTGGTCCTGTTGTGACTATGGTGGCTACACATTTACCCGCATCTATTTTATTGGCGGTTTTGCCATTCCCCAATTCATTCAAGGTAACTTTGACGATCTTGGTGTTGAGGGCTTCAGTGCAAACAATGGATGTCGCTCCGAAGCACGTTTTCTTAGCCGCTACTGTCCCTGATGATGACAGAACAGCCGTGTTTGGGTTTGTTAATGTTGTAAAGACATTGGCGCAAATCGTGGGTCCTAGTATTGTTGGTGTGTTGACAGAAAAAGGCTTGCAATGGGTTACTTTTACAGTTGGAGGTTCGTTGAAGGTTGTTTATGACTTGGGTGTTTTGTTCACCTTCTTGACATTGAACAAGAACGGAGCATATTAGAGTATTTTATAGAGACTGTTAAAAGTTAGAAAAGAGATAGAAAAGAAAAAAATAAAAATAAAAAAAAAAAAAGAATTTGAACCACGTTGTCTTTAAACCATGTAATGCAACTGGAAAAACTTCAATCGTTCAAGACCTACTTTCCTGATTGGATAGTAGTGGCTGCCCTACGCACAATCCATAACTTGTTCGGGAAACACTGGATTCCATTTCAGCGTCTTTTCCACATCAATGATCTCACCATCTCGCATCCATATACATCGAAACAACGCGTAGGTCGATTTGAGTTGTACTTGTACTCGACATACATACCATGTGTTGTTCTTGTTGTCTTGTCAGTGTTAAGGGGCGACTCATTGCACTCTAAACTCCACCTGGCACAGGTTTCACTACTTGGGTTGTTGTTTAGTGTGTCTGCGGTGTCTGTGTTTACTGATCTTCTCAAGTGCTGGATAGGTAATCATCGACCAGATTTCATTGCTCGTTGTGGACCATCGTTCGAAACTCCTATAGACACCTTGGTTGACTTGAGTGTGTGTACTATGCCGATGGGAAAGAAACATTTGTATGATGGGTTGAGGTCTACACCATCGGGTCATTCATCCATGGCTTTTGCAGGGTTGTTGTTCCTAACCCTATGGATATTCAACCAGTTTGCTTTTTTATCGAGAGTCAGGCACCGTGCTGCATTGGTCATTGTTGGTAGTTTGCCCGTTTTGGCAGCAACGTATATTGCCATCAGCAGAACCCAAGACTACCGTCACCATTTCTTTGATGTGGCGTTTGGAAGTCTGTTGGGGATAGTATTTGCTTGGTTTAGTTATTGGAAGTATCGGGTATAGAGATGTTATTCTGGAAGGGACAGCATTTTCAAAGTTAGATAAAGATTTATAGACAATAGAAAACATAGAGGTGAGCAGATTTCTGGGAATACGGGTACGTCAAATCGTTTTGTACTGTGAGACTGAATCTTGCCGCATGTCTACTCTAAACACTGTCGTGGTCAGACACATAGCATCTCAAACAAGCCCAAGTAGATCAGGGTTGTTTGCTGGTGCCGTGTTGTGATCTTCATCCGTTACGCGGAACCCTCGTAATTTGAAACTCGCACTATTTGTTTTGCGTTTTGTGATGCGAACGAAAATTTAAAAGCCTTAACTCCGAAACAGAAAAAGAAACGGCAAACGGTGTAGCTGGGATGCGCTTGCCGCTAATGCGCTAGAGTGTAAGGAGTGCCAGGCGAAAGCAGGCGGAGGCATAGCGAAGGCATCGCGAAGGAAGATACATACAGGGGTCCAACCTCTCACTTGCCAGGTCTTGTCCCTTTGTTCGGAACTTGACCCACACGGAAGAATTTGGTTCGGAAAGGAAATAAAATTTCCGTGTCGTCTGATGTATTATTCTTTGTGGCATCTGCATGACTGTGCATAAAAATGTACCAAGAAATAATCTTATTGCTAAAGCTAGTCTAAACCCAGGGGGCGTGCTCTTGCTTGTTGCGCCTGGCTATCTTTGTATCTGGCTTACGTGGCAAGGTAAAGCCAACTCAGAATGATCCAGACTAAATTCACTTATTCTACAGTTTGCACATTAGTGTCGCGTGATGTTGGTCTGGATCCAACTGTTAATGTCCTTTAAGCAGTGCCATGGGGACATAGTTCTATCAACGTTTGAAATGTAATCAAGAGGATAGTTCAACACGCCCCTTCCTCTCAATAGCAAGGAGTGAGATAGGACAAAGTGTTGTGAGTACATAATTCCACTGTTGTTTATTCTTGTTTTTTTTTTATTAAAGAAATTTCTTTTTCCTTTTTTGTCCCTAGTTTCTCGTTATAAATTAGAACCATCCCCCTTCAACTAAAAAAGGGAGAAGGGTAATACAACTTTCGTCTCATTTTAGGCATTGAAAAGGGGGGTTATTAGGAGCCATCCACATCCTTCTTTTTTCTTTTTTTGGCAGCGTTCACACCCTCACAAGTCCCGTTGCTCACAACATCTAACCCACCACATCAACACTCCGCCCCTTGAAGCCAAGCTTTCAGAAGTCAACTTTATTTTATTGGTTGTTTTTATTTATTTTTCTGCCTTTTTTTTTTTTTCGTCTTCCCGAGCGTGCCATAGTCAACCTCACGACAACTAAAGAGCCATGGAAGTCCTACTAAACCTCTTGAAGCCATTCCTATTCATTTATCAGTTCTTTGAGCGGATTTTCTGGTCAGGGCTTAATGAACGAAGTATACTTGGCCTCGTCCTAAATTTTTGGCTAAATTTTGGGCCCATATTCATTTGGCTTCTCATATTCAAAAATGCTGGATTGATTCCACACTCGATACGTCCTACTATACACGTGGCATTGCCATTTCACGTTGACACATTCATGTTTTCTACCTGGAAGGGTGCCCTCATTTGCATTCCTAGTTTTTTTGCCATTGGGTGGTTGTTGTATTTTGCAGTATACAGACAAAAAGGAAAACTCGCAAATTCAAAATCCAAGTATGTGCCATTGAAGAGCGAAGATGATGTCGCTGTCTCGGAGGAAGGCTCTTCTTCTTTTGAAATGGAATCATTTGAAAGCGACGATTTGGAGCCGGGAGTCGTTGCAATTGGTAAACCGCCAGAAGCAAACTTTCAAGGTGAGATCAAACAGTTGACTTTTTTCAAACCACTTGATACCAGAGTTGTCAATGACATGGCAACGTCTGTTAACAAATACATTCGGGAAAAGCAAAACCAATATGGATACCACTGGCAAGTTCCTCGCAATTGCTGGTATTGGGCACCACCTTTCTTACTTGCCACTTCTTGGTTTATCCTTAATTTTGATTACTGGTTAAGAACGCCAATTCGTACTTGGAAAGATTTACTTGCATGGACGTCTTATGTGTTGGGCCACATAACTGTGCCCATTATCACTGCTGTCTGGCTTTATGTATTCCATGCACCAGGGGCGTTAAAGTATTATGGATGGGCTCTTGGGTTCCAAAACATATGCGGTGTTCTCACTCATTTATTGTTTCCTTGTGCTCCACCATGGTTTATACACATGTACGGAGAAGATGCTGAGGCTAACTATGATTTACCAGGCTATGCTGCAGGGTTAACCAGAGTCGACGTTGCATTGGGTACACATTTGAATAGTAAAGGTTTCCATGCATCACCAATAGTCTTTGGTGCAGTTCCAAGTCTTCATTCTGCCATGGCAGTAATGACGTTTTTGTTTGTTTCGTATTACGCACGGTGGACGTTCGTTAAGCTAATTTCATTTGCATTTGTAGTTTTGCAGTGGTGGGCGACCATCTATTTGGACCATCATTGGCGATTAGATTTGTTTGTCGGGATGTGCTATGCATTAATTTGGTTTGCGATCATGTATCACCGGTTGAGAAGAGTGAATGAGTTGTTTTTGCAGCTGAGGTTGCAATACAACTTTGCCAAGGGAAGTACCATGGGAATGAGAGTGTTTCGAAATACTAAGCTTCAGTCATTTTTTGACCCACTTAGCTAGTGGGGCGAAGTTGAGAACCGTGTTTCTCTGTACCAGAAGATCGAACAATAGAGCTATAACAATAGAGCTACAACAATAGAGTTTTGAAATTGCACGACAGATTCTATGTATCAGATCAAGCAGGAGGAGAGGAAATAGGAGAAGCAAGAGCAAAAACAATAGAAGTAACAATATGGCACAGCATTCGACAATCTGACTTGAAACAAGCTTCAATTAGTAGGACACTGAGCCGTGCCAATCGAGTTTAACATCCGTATTCTAGCACGTTGTGGGTGTCTCCCAGCACGGATTGTAAAGAGTGATCCAGCCGTCCCTCCTAGAATGAAAAGTGTAACTATATCCTGTATGTAATGGCGATGGCGCTTGTTTGTGTACAATTTTCCCCAGTTGGGGGAGATTAGGTCGTGCGAGTGTTAAAACGTAAAGAAGAAAAAAGAAATAAAAAAAAAATAAAAAATAAAAATTTTCTTGTATGTCGTCATAGATATCGATTCAATAAACTAGGATCTTGAGATCGCATGCAAGGGATGCAGAAAGAATACGAGAGTTGATGAGGTCTAACGATAGAGGAGTTGTACGGGTATTGCTATGTAGTGATGGCAGTGAAGACTAACATTGCGCGTGAGATCTGTTGTAGCAAAGGTACACAAGAAAATGAATTTCCAAAAAAATTTTAAAATTTTTTTTTTTGTCTTTTTCTTTGTTTTTTGTTTTTTTTTTTTTTCTTCTATTGTTTTTTTGGTGTGTTGTTGCCAATCGGCGAGAAGCGATTGTAAGCATCACGCGATCGATGCGTTATAGCAACATAAAAAGTAGGACACAGTCATCACAGGTTAAGTGTTGTCAGAACAAAAAAAAGGAGAAAAACAAAACTATGTGTATAGGGGTAAACTTATGTTAGCTATAGTCAAGAGGAGTGTTGTGTAAGCCACGTTTGGCTTAAAGTGCAACGCGTGAGATGGTGACTCTTCTATGTTTGCATTGTAATTTTTGACATGGCTGTGCCTTGCAAGAGAGAAAGAGAAAGAGAGAGAGAAAAAAATAAAACATGAAATTTTTTTTGTGCAATGTTTGCTCTTTGTCGTCTCTTTATTATCTTGCGACACCAAATACAATAAATATATCCTCTTGTCGATGCTTTTCAACAAATCTCAGTTTCAGTTCTTTATCATATCACTCCAGGGTGTATAATTTTATATATTTAATTAACACACTTATTCCACAACTCCTATACGCTTTTCTTCGTTCTGGGAATAAGTTTTGACCTTCACATTTCTCCACAACAGCCATGGCATATGCACATCATCCTAATCTGCAGCAGTCTTTTACGCTTCTACCCAAGTTAGCAACCATAACTACCTCGCCGTATATCCCTCGCTTCTACAACAAAAGGCTAAGAGCGTTGCTCCCGTTTCTACTTTTACTGCTATGTCTATACAAGAGTATCACAATTTTCATTACTACCAACATCAATCAAGCACAACTCGAGGAGAGTGCGTTGGAACTACACAAGGAGTCCAACTTCAACCCCAAAAATATTGCATTAGACTTGTACAACTATGTCATTGAACGGGAGCACTCACTAGATTCAAAAATCGGTGACTCGAATGGTATATATTTCCACTGGGACGACTGGGTAGATTTGTCAGTTGCGAATCATTTGTTGAATCCAGTCCGGATGGCGTTTCCTCTGGGAGATTGCGACCCCTCATTGGTTGAATATGGTTCAGTAAGCGCTCACCAGTTGGAGGCATTCCACACAAAGGTGCAACGTGGTGCTGCCAATTTATACTGTCTGCATCCGATACCTCGGCGAGTTGTCATCACTACTGACGAATCGTTTATTGAGGTGCCTGTGATTGGGAAAAAAAGATTTGGAAACCATAAAATGAAACCAGTCAAGTCGGACCTTTTGGTAAACAAAATGAAGCAGTTGCCATCACAAAAACCAGTCGTCAATTTACAAAAACGAGTAGAGATTGACCCCACCGATTTCATTTTCAAGCCCGATGTTGTTATATTTGGTTTACAGGAGAAATTAAACAACCGCACCATCACGCAAGAGGATTTGGAATACCTCGAGTTCTTAGAGTACTCAAACAACCACCTAGTCGATTACACTGGCCGTTATTTCAAGTACCCTTGGATCTACACAGATATTATAGAAGGGAAATCTCATCACATTGCTTACCCGTTCTTCAAGAGATATATTAGTGATCGTGAACGCCAAAGTGTCTTGCATCATATTATTCGCGCATGGTTTCAATTTGCTGAGGTGAATGGATTTGCCAGCTGGATTAACCATGGGTCATTATTAGGCTGGGCTTTTAATGGCTTAAACATGCCCTGGGATACTGATATCGACGTTCAAATGCCAATTGCTCAATTGGATAGATTGGGTAGAGAGTTTAACCGCACCTTGGTTGTGGAGAACCCCCGGTATGGTAATGGCAGATACTGGTTGGAAGTGGCTCCAACCTATATTCGCCAGGGTAACGGCAAGAACTTTATAGACGCGAGGTTTATTGACATACAAAGTGGATTGTACATTGATATATCAGCATTGTCCCATACTGAAGTACCCCCACCAACCAGCGATAAAGATGATCTCAGCACAATGTTAGTTCACTGTAAAAACTGGAATTGGGAGTCGTTGGCTGAATTGTTGCCCATCAGACACACATATTTTGAAGGTGCGTCTGTGTACATCCCCCACAAGGTCAAGGAACCAATGAAGCATGAATATGGAGCCAACGCCATGAGAAATCATCATTTCAATAACCACAACTATCAACCCGACCTCAGTCTTTGGGTCAGTGATCAAGTGTGCGCCAATCCTCCTCCAGCTGAAACCCGTTTCAATGATTTTCACCAATTGACGAAGGAAGGTGCATGCGATTCGAAAGTCTTGCTTGATGAATATAACATCGCCAAGGAATGTATACAACGCCATCACGAACTAAATCAGGATTCAGATATGCCAAAATCTTATGACATCACAGATATGGGTGATTTACCAATTTTTAGAAAAGATGCCTGGGACTACTACTACGATATTAACCACAACTTGGTTGAACATGACAACTGGTATGTACGTAAGGAAATAGTAAAACCGGGAGCTGTAATATAAGTTCAGTATTTAAGAATTTTGAAATACTGGTGGTGTTTTTGTGTAACAAAGTCTGAAATCTCTCGTTCGCAGCGTAATTAGCCGTTATCATCTGAAAAGAAAAATAAGTCGACACAGCTTTAATTTCCACTTTAGTCAGACAACTTATGCCGAAGGTCTACATAACCGGTGCCTTTGGGTTTATCGCCCAGCACATTGTCAAGCTCCTTCTACAATCACAATATGACGTGGTAGGGACTGTTCGATCAAAAGAAAAAGGAGAAAAGTTGGCCAAATCAATCAACAACACCAAATTTCAATATGTGGTAGTGGCCAACATTGCCGCACCAAATGCATTTGACGAATCCTTGAAGCAGCATAGCGACGTCTCATATATACTACACACGGCAAGTCCATTCACTTACACCACTACCAACCCCGAGCAAGACTTGATCGTTCCGGCAATTGAAGGCACACGCAACATTTTAAATGCGGCTGATCAATATGCACCGCAATTGGTTCGGTTTGTCCTTACTTCATCTGATGCTGCCATCTACTCCAATGTTGACGAGAGAAATAACAAGCTCGTTTTTGATGAACAGTCTTGGAACAATATCAAATATGAAGATGCGACGGTCGATGCAGTGACGGCGTACTACGGAGCCAAATCATTTGCCGAAAAGTTGGCATGGGAGTTTATGGAGATGAACAAGCCAACTTTCGCTTTGGCTGTGGTTAATCCGTCGTATGTGTTTGGTCCACAAGCATACCATTGCGATCCAAACCATCTTAATGAGTCAAATGCTATGATTGGTGACTTGTTAAAGGGCAATGGCTCATTTGATAATGAAGTTGGTGGGTTTATTGATGTTCGTGACGTTGCCAAAGCTCATGTGTTTGCCATGTCGAATGATCAAGCTGTCGATTGTCGGTTGTTTATGAATAATGGCCAATTTAGCACGCAAATGATTTTGGATATTATCAATGAGAAATGGCCAGAATTGAATTTACCAAAGGGCAACCCTGGTAGTGGGCCGGATGATATCAAGGTTTTGGGGCGTGTTAATAACTCGGCCACAAAGAAGCTCTTGCCGTGGGAGTTTCTTGATTTGAGAACGACCGTGGTTGATACAGTTGAACAGATTTTATCTAGTAAATAGTTGAATTTGGAATACTATCTTATTTACCATGTAACCTCTGAAGCGAGGCAAATATGTTGAAAGTATGGTAATTCAAGGAATCCAACAAAAAGTTGTTGTGGTGGAGAAGTCACGTGTGTGTGTTCAAGTTTTTTTTCTTATGAATGTGGGAATGTGTTGACAAGTCTATATTGCTAATCCTTGCACTGGTGAACTTCAGAGTCCTTACAACATCTTATTTCAAAATATCTCTCAATTAAAAACTAAATAAAAAAGAACTAAAATTAAGCCTTAACATCTGAATCGTAGTGCTCTGGCTCTTCCTTGACAAACTTGTCTCTAGCAATGGTGGTAAGATCAACTTCATCGTGGTATTTCTCACAAATCTCTTCCAAAGTCATTCTCTTGGTTTCTGGAATCAAGAAACTGGTGAAGATACCAAGAAGCATAAACAAAGCAAAGATTTCCAACACGTGGTTCAACCAACAACCCTTTACACCTGCTGGACAGTTGTGGTTTTGAAGAGTACCGATACAGGTTTGGGCAATGATAGCACCAACTTTACCACTGGCAGCTGACAAACCGTGAGCGGTACTTCTGTAACGAGTTGGGAAAGCTTCACCAGGAACAACGAAGGTGGTGGTGTTTGGACCAAAGTTTTGGAAAAATTGAGCCAAAACGAAAAGAGCAAGCAAACCCTTGTCTCCAAGCTTGTGGTATGCAAATCCCATGATACAAAGAATGATGGTCAAAAGAATGAATCCTCCAATTTGAATTGGCTTTCTTCCAACAGTATCAATAGTAGCTGCAGTGAACCAATAACCAGGAAGAGAACCTGCACAAACAAGAATCAAGTTACCGGCAGCACTGTCATAGAAAGTGTGGTAAATAGTCTTTTTACTGGCGTAACCAATAGCTTGAAGGATAGTAGTTGTGTTCAAACCTAAACCATAGTAAGCAACATCCAACATGAACCAAGAGCCTGCAGTTCCCAACAAAATTTTACCATATTTCCATTGTCCGAAATGTCTAATGAAATCTTTAAAACTGGCCTTTGGTACTTCAATTTCAACATTGTTCAAGTCTTCAACCTCTGCGTTCTCTGGTTTCTTCAAGTTTCCTTCTTCATCCAAATCAAGGGCATATCTTGGTGACTCAGCAATGGTCAATCTGTAGTACAAGGCAATACATCCTGGAACACATCCGAAACCAATAACAATTCTCCACATTTGATCACATGCTTTACGACAAGGGCCGGTACATCCGGTTTTGCTTGTGTAATTGATCAAGTCGTCCTTGTAACCAGCAACACAAATCATGGCAACGACACCAGCAAAGATTTGACCCAAACCTTGGTTGGAGAACACTGCAGACATAATTGCACCTCTCCATTTAGTGGTGGAGAACTCAGATGAAATAATAGATGACAATGGGTAATCACCACCAATACCAATACCCATCAAGATTCTCAATGCAGAAAAGATGGCAACAAAATTAATAGCAGGGGACTCTCCAAGAACAACTTGGGCAATAGTAGCAAAGATCATAATAGCCAATTCCAAACCGTAAATCTTTTTACGTCCAACAATATCAGCCATGGTACCAAAACTGACTTGACCAATAACAGTACCAACAGAAGTGGCAACCTTGATCAATGTGGTGGTCGAGTCTGGCATAACACCGTTTTCCCAGTAAACCCATTGCAAGAAGTTGACCGACAAGTTAATGGCAAAGATATCGTAAGAATCAGTCATGAAACCAACACCGGCAATCATAATCATCTTGACTTGAGTCCAACCGAAACCGGACTTGTCAATTTCCTCCAAAGCCAATCTTCTTCTTTCCAATGGATCCTCTACATCAGCAAACTTACCCAAGTAATCTTTGAAAGCGGTCTTACCACCACTTTGACTGACGTGGCGGGGGTGGACTTGGTCGTGACCTTGCTCAATATCTGATGACAGTGACATTCTGCTGGCAGGTTGAGTGGAGTAAAGTGGATGGAAGTTTGTTGTAGAGGAGAGGAGAGGAGAGGAAAGCAAAGGAGATTGAGTATGTCTTGTTCTTCTCAAATGTTGGAAAATCCTTCTGTAATTTATATCAAAAGAAAAGAGGGATTGGAGATGGCACCAAATTGGAATAAAGAGAGAAAGAAGTACTTTGTGGCATTGGTTAATTGTTAAAAAAAAAAATTAAATGAGTTTTGTCTCTTTTCTTTTGTTACAATTAATAATTACACAATGCATTGCATAAGCACATATACAGTATTCCTTTTCTTTTTTAATTTTTTTTATTTTTTAGTTTTAGTATAACCTTTCTTTTAATAGGCTTTAAATGGGCTGTTAACTAAGTACATTGCTTGAAACAGCCGGTGGAAGAAGTGTGGTCAAGAGGGCATATCCGAGAGCTCTCTCTCTCTGCTCTCACAGAAGAGCTATAGCTCCAGTAGTGGTTAAGTTCTCTCCAAAAAAAAAACAGCAATGAAATTAATTGCTCATGAGGTTTAATAATCCATGAAACAAATTGTAAAGAGTTGTAAAATAACCGTCTCTGCAGTCTCACGTTTCTTTTTTAGATGAGAAGTACAAAATTGCAAACCAGTTGACATCGTGGTCTTTTCAAAAAATGTAGGGCGGGGGGAGGGGGGGGGAAGGGAAGTAGAGGCGCAAGAGACAAGCTCGTGGGTGGGTAGTGTGTGCTATTGTCTTGTTCTGATTCTTCAAATTACGGCAAATTTCGCCTACAGCACACAATCGAGTGTACTGTGAAGAAAAGAGATCAAATAAAATATTTTTACTAAGTAATGCCACAAGTCCATGTGGCCTATCTATTTTCTTTTTCTCTATTTCCAACAGGCGTAATTATCCACACCCATGTAAGCTGAAAACCTTATTTCCGCTTTGAATCTTACGAAAGCACTATCCTTTTCTGCAAATGCTGGCTCGCTCGCGTGACAACGATCTTTGATCTTGCAACTGTTTTTCTTGTCCCTGTCAAAAAAAAAGGAAAAAACCTTTCAACAAAGGAACCACCAGCTGTCATCACGACCCCTACCAAGAAAAGCTAGCTCTCTATATTACTACGTGTCCTCCTTGTCCCTGGATCGTAAGAAAAAGCTTGTCGGGTGGTGTTTGTTCACTCGTCTAATAGGAATAATATTATTGCAAGAAAAAAAAGTAAAAATTAAAACAATTTAACAAAAAAAAAAATACACGTCAAAATCTAAAGAAATGAAACTCTGGGTCGTACGGCGATTGGGGATCTCCTTGTTCTGTTTAATGGGTTGCATTGAGAACAAGGCGTAGGCTGAGCAAAAAAGGTGCTATTAAAATGCCCTTTCCGATGGGAAAGATTAGTTAAATTTTTGTTTCATTTTTTTTTAGTTTTGCTTTGTGGACGGCAAAATTATCAATCTTGTGGTTTTCTGGAGTAGCCCACGTGGGTCGTAATCTCTCTCTCTCTCTCTCTCTCTCTCTAGTTAGATAAGCTTCAACTGCGAAAAAAAAAAAAAAAAGAGAAGAAAAGAAAAAGAAAATTAAATTCCTATTGTTCTACCTAGAGAGAAGGTTTTAGACTATGCATGTTATACATGCACAAATACACACTAAATCAGTAGTTACACAAACTTGTAAGAAATTGGGGACCCACGTGTGTCGATTTTTATAGAAACAAAATAACAGCCACCTACAGATATACAGAAAAAAAAACCTTTAGAAATAAATGAAACCTAGACAACAAAGAAGACGATTAAGTTTGCATATAGCCTTTAATGCATATACTACTCTATGCACCACCGTTTGAGTAGCCTGTAAAACTAACGCACCATTACCAAATAGCTAATTGTAGAGAGTTTCTTTCCTTTTGTTTGCTATAGCTCATCTACATACGTTCCCAGCTACTGACAAAAGCTGCCCCGCCTTCCTCCCGGCTTCATCTCCCAAGTGACATCAACCCAGTCTATGTAGCAGAGTCGGCTAAGTTTGTCAATTGCACGAGATGCATTGTCAGAGACAAACCCTTGCATTCCGTATTTAATTTTTAATTCGCACACGTGGCTTTGTCGTCGATCTGTTTTTATCATTTTTCTCCTGCACCGTAAAACTACATGCACCAAGGCATCTTTTTAAATTTACTCTCTGCTATTGTGTAGCGCATTTATTTTTTTTTTTTTGGCTGCAACGATATACAAACTTCACAACAAGTAAGAAGAGACAGAACACGCGATTTGAAAGGGCACTCGTAAATTGTAAAAATAGTCGATTGTTTAATGCAATTGGCCAGTTGGTATCCTTGGTTTCTGTGACGTACGAGATGATTTTCAACAAAAAAAAAAAAAAAAGAAAAAGAAATTTTTCGAAAAGATCGGCTTGGTTTACAGTTACGAAACTGTTTGCAGATCTTATTGGAGTTGAGTTGTTGGTGGCACATAACCTGCTATGTTTAATTGGCATTAAGAGAGGATCTCAGAAAGTTTGCAGATATTTTCGGTTTCTTGTATAGTTTTTTGTTGCAACTTTCTAGCAAAAAAAAAAATTTAAACTTGCAATACAGTATTATAAACCTTGTAGGTAACGATTAGATAACCAGATGAGAGGTGTTTCCACATCTCGACCCAATCCAATATCTTTTGTTCAAAAAAGATCGTATTGTTGTCTTCATTGCAGACCTTCCCAGGGAGACAAAAACAGGTATAGATGCTTTCCCAGAGTGATACCCTCTTGGCTCATAGAAAAAACAAAGAAAATATCGGAACTCGAGAAATAGAGATAGGATTGGCAGCATTGACCTGCTCAAAGCTGCCACAACAGCCATAAAGTCATCGAAATCATGTCACATGATGATCATCAGTCTGCTACTCCAGAGATTACAGAAACTCAATTAGGAAAAGAAGAGCACGATGAGCGTGGAGAAGATTCAGGGGATTATTGGCTTCAGAAAGGAGAGCATGTCAAAGAGCATAGGGGCCATCGCGATGGCCACCACAGTGTCAACGGATGGAAGTGGTGGAGATTGTGAATTTGTTATAAAACCTATAACAATAAGTACACTACACAAGGCGTATTGTAAAAATATAAAGGAAGATCCTAAATCATTGCGATTTTTGTACAAAGGAATGAAGCTCGGCGATAAAGATACTCCTGTAACCTTGGGATGAATAGAGCCTGGCGATGTTATTGAAACACATCAGTCTCAAATGGGAGGCAAATGGGGGTGAGATCTCCCCATTTCTCTCTCCATAGAAGAAGAAAAGAAAAGAAAAAATAAAATAAACAGAGCTCGAATAAATATAAATTTGATTGCTAAACTCCTCCTTTAGATCTGCATCCCCCGCTCCCTCTCGTATTCTCTCTTCTTTCCGTCACTCCTCCTTTCACAGTACTATGTTTTCGCAAAGCGGCACCAACACTCCAGTTCCACAACCAAAGAATGTACCTATTCCCATACACGATACCATAGGGGAGTCTATCACTTGGGTCAATGAATGGATCCCTACTGGAACAAACTCATCGTTGAAAGGGTGGATCAAGACGAATCAGAGCCACAAAACCACATCGCAAAAGTCACACCTCGATTTGAGTGAGAAAAGATGGCATTACTACTCTATTTAATTTTTATAAACATTAGGGACTCCCTTGCTTTGGCTGTTTCAGCAACTAGTTGATCTGATTTGTTGATATCCCACAGTTCTTCCGCCAGCACACCACTTCCCTGTCTTTCCAATCGCTGAAAATTGCCGCGTATCTTGCGCAACTTTTGCATCATCGTGGGATCAGACAGTTGGGAAATAAGAATGAATAGTGTATTTTCTGGTAGTGAATTATAAATTGACTCAAGACGTGAGTTGGTTCTGTTGCATGCTTCAGCAACGTTGTAGTCTAGTACACCATCGTACGTGGGGGATGGTGTATCCCATTTGAGATTGTACTGTAGATCTTTCAACTCTAGAATAGCGAGGCCGGGGCCGGGAGGGTGCAGCTCCGCCTCTAGCACTGTTTCCACCACAGCATCATCATTGGTAACAGAGCTATACGTTGATAGCAATGTCTTGACATCCTTCAACTTTTCGAAAATGGATACTTCACCAACATTGGTCCCGAAACATTTACCCTCTTGTATTTTCAACTTCACCAAGTCCAAGCACGCTTTTGCGTCCTCGATCGATGAATGGCCATTGCCACTGTCTTCACCAGCCTGTATCTCCCTACCGAGAAACGTTTTGGCTAGCCATCTTAACGAAGGTTTCGATGGTGGACCCCTGGCATGCTCATAGGTAATGGCGGTATCGACAATATTTTCATGAGTAATTTTCATCACACGTAAATCAGATTCCAAAGAATGACCAACGAGAATATCTTCTTGGAACACGGTTTCCAAGAATAAATGCTGGATTTGCTCAATGGAGGTGTTGACGTCTTCAAGTAGCTCCTTAGTTATACCAGAGTATCTAGTAACATAATCAGTTATCTCCTCCACCGGTTTCACAAGCTCATCAAAGACCACATTTCCATCAAAATCAATCAAAGAAATACGAGTCAACACATGGATATCACTGGCTTTGCAGAACTCGCAATCTAAAGCAAATATGCGTGACTGCCCTGTTGGCAGTGGCTTGGTTCGCATTCCATTAGGATACTCCAATTCACGCAACTGCTGCTCACTAAGTAGTAAGTCCCTGATGGTGATCTTTTCCTGTTTCAGTTTCTCCATAATGGTCTTCTTTTCATTTTTGGTAAGAGGTAAGGAGCAAATCGTACTCAAAGGGTCGTAAATAAAATCTTTGCTGCCAGGTAGTACCGCCTTAACCACACTGGATTGTATAAATGACAACTCCTTCAACCCATGTGCAAAACAAACACATACATTCTTCACCTTATCTGGATTTTCAATCCTACACCACTTTTGCTGCAGTCCACAATTGAACACTTGTAGGATCAAAGACCTGACGTTTTTCACTGGAAATGTATCGGTGACCTCAAGAACAAGATTTGGTTTGGCATTCTTTTTCTTCAATTTCTTTTTATGCACCGATGATCGTCTTCTCTTGGAGGGTTGAGGTTTATCAGTTGGTACTTGAGCATTCTCTGCTTGACGATCTTCTATCAAAGTTTCCCCTTCTAGCGCATCTTCTGTTTGATCTTCCTTGGGTGGCTCTGATACGAAATCCATCAGGAGGGGGAGGGGAGGGGTAGAGAAACTGCAGTAAAAGAATAAGACAGAGACAGAGAGAGAGAATGTGTGTGTGTGTGTGTATGGGTGTACTAATTTATTTTTTCTTCATACACAGCTCGTACAAACTCATCCATGGTCTGTGGTACTCTAACAGGCTCCTCTACTTCAACCGTCTTCACATATTTCTCTAAATAATCATCCAATCGAGTGTCATCAAGTTGCGCAAGTGTTTCTTCACTACGAATCACACCAGCCCACTCCTGAACTGACCTCCCATGAAGCACAATCTTACCCCAGCTGTCCCAGCTATGTGGTATATACAAAGATTCACCACATGTGGGATCGATGGGAAAGTCAAGTTCAATTATTCGCTTCACTTCTGAAATGTCGAATTCCCTGGCGCAGATCAAGTCACATTCATACTTTTGACATAAATATCGTATCAACTGGAACGTAATTGTGGATTCAGCGGTAAGGGTTAATAATCCAGGCTCGATTGACACAATCACTTTTTGTAGCTGCATATCTAGCAACTGTTGAAGTTCCGTCAATGTGTGGAATTGAAGTATCACAGTTGCTGGTCGTAGATATTTGATAAATGCTTTCTGTTGTAAAGGACACCTCAACGTGTACACCCTCACACCATCATCTTCATCGTATACAACACTTGGATAATCTCCATTCACCAACACCAAGACAAGGTTCTTTGATTCCGCTGGTGTCTTGAGCTCCACTAGTTTCTTTCGTTCCATGTATGTGTCTATGTTTATAATTCCAAATAAAAGAGAACCAAAAGATAAATAAATAAAAAAAATAAAAATAAAAATAAAAAAAAAAATAATAAAATAGTTTACCACCAATATTGCTGTGTTTATGCCATGGACGACGGAAACACAGAAGTACCAGATCAACTCATCGAGGATATTTTCCTGGAAAGGAAGACTATTCATGCCGATGATGCTGTTGATTACGAGGATATCGACGAGTTGGCTGAGGAAGAGAATGTTTCTGACAACGACCAGTTTGCAATGTATGATGATTTCAAAGTCGAATCGCCACAGGATATAGAACTAAGTGGGATCTTTGATGATCAAGAGGAGAAGCAAAACATAGAACAGAAGGTACGAGCAGAGATTGCCAAGATGGAGAGAAGGCGGGTAAAGCGAAATATTAGGTACTACTTTCCCTATTACTCCAAGAATAAGCCATTGGATTTTTTCAAATTGTTTCTACCAAAGCCCATGTTTTACAAGTACAAGAGGCCATATATCACATGCGAGAAGGTGATGAAACATCTAACGCCAAAGACAAGCTTTGGCAAGTCAGTGGAAAATGTGACTGAGATTACGCAACAGGATTTCGATTTCATCAAAGCGATACAACAAAAGACTAATGTCAAGCAGCTTGATTATGTGAAGCGAGATTGGCTAGATGATGACAAGTTTAAAGACTTTTCAAAAGATTTGATATTGTCGACAGCCGATTGGGACGACGATGCAATAATCAATGGTGACTACACAGCCAAACCTATTAAAGAATTGGAGCTGAATGACGAGTTTGAAGACTTTGAAATCGATGAATTGAAGCTAGATATGAACGATCCTAATCTATTACTAGTTCCACAAGAAAATAAACCAAAGCACTCCATTGCAGATAAGTTTAACTTGTCCAACGACAACGAGTATGAACTTTTGCGAAGAAATTACAATACAAAGCAAAGATCACACTTGAGTAACTTAAGCATTGAGCATTCTGTTCCGGCAATGCGATTGCAATCTCCATACTACAAGGTTAGACTTTCCAAAGCAGAAGCAAGGGCCTTCCATCGCCCTGTGTTCCATGTACGTCCTGGTACTTTAATGAGCTTTTCAAAATTGAGATCACGCAAAAAGAAGAAAGACAAAGGAAAATCCTTGCACGAAGTATTTGCCAAAACGACTGATTTGACCGTTGCTGACACTGCAAACATGATCACGTTAGAATACGCCGAGCAGTATCCTTCAATATTATCCAATTTTGGAATGGGATCGAAATTGATCAACTACTACCGGAAAAAGCGTCCAGATGACACGTCACGCCCAAAAGCTCAATTTGGAGAAACGCACGTTTTAGGTGTAGAAGATCGATCACCTTTCTGGAACTTTGGAGAAGTTTTACCTGGTGAGCTTGTGCCTACGTTGTACAATAACATGGTGAGGGCTCCCATATTCAAAAACGAACCAAGAAACACTGATTTTCTTTTAATACGATCACAAGGAGCAGGCTCGCATCAAAAGTATTATCTCCGCCCCATGAATGTTAATTTTGCAGTGGGGAACGTATTCCCAGTTGAGATACCAGCCCCTCATTCTCGGAAAGTGACAAATATATCCAAGAATCGATTGAAGATGATTGTTTACAGAGTCATGAATTCCAAAGGTGCGCCTCGCATTTCAGTTAAAGATGTTTCCAAACATTTTCCCGAGCAAACGGATATGCAAAATAGACAACGTTTGAAGGAGTTTATGGAGTATCAAAGACAAGGTGATGATCAAGGGTTTTGGAAAGTTCGAGGCATGAATGATGTGATCCCGTCAGAGGAGGATATACGGAGCATGATCACACCGGAGGATGCTTCGTTGATGGACGCAATGCAATTTGGTCAACAGGCTTTGGAGGATTTGGCAACTTTGTTTGGCGATGAGCTTGTGAAGAAACCCGAGGAGAGTACCGATGCAGAGTCCAAGGGGGAGAAGGAGAAGGAGAAGGAGAAGGAGAAGGAAAAAAAGAAAAATAAAGAACAGGATGACCTTGAAGTTGAGGAAGAGATGGCGCCTTGGAACTTGTCGAGGAATTTCGTTGTTGCCAACCAGACCAAGGCCATGTTACAGTTGAATGGAGAAGGAGATCCCTCAGGTATTGGATTGGGGTACTCAATGTTGCGCGCTACTCAGAAAACTCCGTTTAAACCCTTGTTCCCACCGCCGCCTGAGATTGTACCCAAAAGTAACGCTGCCGCACACAATCAGAAATTGTACGAGCAGGAAATTAAGAGAATTTGGTATTCGCAAAGAAAATCATTGGTGGAGGGAACCTATGACGAGTACAAGCCTGCAGATCATGATCAGTATTTTGTTAACAAGTTGGAGCAAGATGCCAAGGAAAAAGAACAGCAGAAAGGGTTGCAAGAAGAACAGGTTTTGCGCATTACGAGAAGAGTCCGTGATCGGAATGGGGTCGTGCAGCGGAAAGTGGAGACTATCACGGATCCGAGATTGATCAGAGCTTACATCAAACGCAAGAAACTACTTGAAGATGAATTGTTGAAGAATGCCGATGTTGATGAGATCTTGCCCACAAACGATGCCGAGTTGAATAAGCTTCGTCGAAAGGCATTGGAGGAGAAACTTGCCAATTTGGAGAAAAGGGCAAAACAGAGCAGAGCGAAAAAGCCTGCCAATGATGCGATACATGCGGCAGCAGCAGCAGGTGCAACGATTATTGACGCAAACACCGTCATGTTGCCTGATGGGTCTTATGTTATTGGTGGTAAGGGAATTGGAAAAGGTAATTCAACAACAAGGAGGTGTAAAAGTTGTGGTTCATTCGGTCACATTAGGACAAACAAGACGTGTCCCTTATATGATCAAATGATCGCTGGCACATTGCCAAAAAACAATATGTAGAAATAGTTACACAAAAGAAGAGAGAAAGAAAGAAAGAAAAAAAGAAAAAAAGTACAAAAGATATACATGTACGGCATTAAATAGCGAGCCACAGTTAAAAATTTTCCTTTCATTAGTAACTCGTTGATGTCTCTTTATAGGTTCAATGGGTTTGGAAAAGCAGGCTGATATCGTTACCACGGAGAGTGGCGACAGTTTGGAGCCGTCATCTCGCTTGCAACGTTTCATTGACTCTTTTAAACCGATAAATCTAGAAGAGGAAGAGGAGGTGGAGGAGAATGGTATAGACGTTTCCAACTTGACTCCCATGGAGAGGTCCATCATTGCCTCAGCTAAGCACCCCTTGGCCAGACGATTGAAATCAAGACATTTGCAGATGATTGCCATTGGTGGGAGTATAGGTACTGGATTGTTTGTAGGGAGTGGGTATGCGTTAGCCAATGGTGGTCCTGCTGCAGTTCTTATCGGATACGTCATTGTGGGATATGCTCTCTTGACTGTTGTGAATGCGCTTGGTGAGTTGTCGGTGCAGTTCCCCGTGAGTGGTTCATTTAACTCATTCTTTACTAGATTTGTTGACCCATCATGGGGGTTTTGCCTTGCATTGATGTATTATGTCAGTTGGGCGATTTCATATCCTTCGGAGATTATCGCGGCGGCAATGACGATTCAGTATTGGAACACTTCTATTAACCCTGCAGTTTGGGTGGCAATCATATGGGTGGTGATTTCATCAATCAATTTGTTTGGCGTTAAGGGATATGGGGAAGTGGAGTTTGTCTTGTCAATTATCAAAGTATTGGCAGTGGTTGGGTTTTTGATTTTGGGTATTTGCATAACATGTGGAGTGGGAGATCAGGGGTATATTGGAGGAAGATACTGGCATCATCCAGGTGCTTTCAACCACGGTTTCAAAGGAGTATGTTCAGTGTTTATTAGTGCTGCTTTTTCATTTGGTGGTATAGAATTGGTTGCGTTGGCAGCTGCCGAAACGGAGAACCCACGGAAATCACTTCCAAAGGCAACCAAGCAAGTGTTTTGGAGAGTAACGATTTTCTACTTGTTGACTTCGATTGTGATTGGATGTTTGGTTCCATATACAAATTCCGACTTATTGGATGGTGAAGGTATTGCTGCTTCGCCATTTGTCATTGCTATCAACCAAGGTGGGATCAAGGTTGTGCCACACATTATGAATGCAGTTATCATTGTTGCAGTGGTTTCAGTGGGGAACTCGTCTGTGTATGGAGCCTCACGTACGATGGCTTCTTTAGCAGCACAAGGGTTGATCCCGGAAGTGTTTGGGTATATCGACAGACAAGGTAGACCTCTAGTTGCCATTGGCATAACCTCACTCATTGGATTGCTTGGATTCCTCGTTGTTAATGAAAACGAAGGTGCTGTTTTCACGTGGTTTTTTTCAATTTGTTCATTGGCCTCCTTCTTCATTTGGGGGTTTATCAATTTGACGCATTTGAGATGGAGGTGGGCTTTGCATGCTCAAGGTAGATCCAAAGATGAAATTATATTCAAATCTCCCTTGGGCGTATTTGGATCATGGACAGGATTGGCGTTGTTGGTATTCATCGTTGCCGTACAGATCTGGGCGAGTGTTTATCCCATTGGTGGAACTGGGGCTGATGTAGTTACATTTTGGCAAAATTGCTTGTCATTACCGCTAATCATTGTCATATTTGTTGTTCACAAGACATATCACAAGACATGGAATCACTTGTGGGTGAAGTTGGATCGTATAGACTTGGATACTGGAAGACGAGAGATTGATGTTGAGGTATTGAAGCAAGAAATAGCTGACGAGAAGCGGGATTTAGCCGAATCTCCACTCTGGTATAGATTGTATAGATTCTTTTGTTAAGTAAAAAGTGGTAGTGCATGGACCAAATGTGAAGACAAACAGAGAATTCAACAAACTGTCAGAAACAGAGAAAAAAAAAAAAAACTTTTTCCCTCCTGACCACCTCTGAGAACCAGTAACAGTTTCTTTACCAACAAGTTAACCTTTTTTTTTTTTGTTTTTTTTACTTTACTTTACTTTACTTTACATTACCTATCCCATCTATCATCTATCATAATGACTGAGGTTAACAACGATTGGAAACAGAACCTTAACCTTCCCCAAAAGGACACAAGACCACAAACAGATGATGTCCTCAACACCAAAGGAAAAACATTTGAAGACTTCAACTTGAAGAGAGAGTTGTTGATGGGGATTTTTGAGGCTGGGTTTGAAAAGCCATCGCCAATTCAAGAAGAATCAATCCCCATGGCTTTAGCTGGTAGAGATATTCTCGCTAGAGCCAAGAATGGTACTGGAAAAACCGCCTCCTTCATCATCCCCTGCTTACAGTTGTGTAAGCCCAAATTAAACAAAATACAAGCTTTGATATTAGTACCTACTCGAGAATTGGCGTTGCAAACGTCGCAGGTTGTGAGAACGTTGGGTAAACATTTAGGTGTTCAGTGTATGGTTACCACGGGTGGTACTTCATTACGAGATGATATTGTTAGATTAAATGATCCTGTTCACATATTGGTTGGTACGCCTGGTAGAGTTTTAGATTTGGCGTCGAGGAAACTTGCCGATTTGTCCGAATGTCCACTTTTCGTCATGGATGAGGCCGATAAGATGTTGTCGAGGGAGTTTAAGAATATAATAGAACAAATCTTGGAATTCTTCCCACCCCATAGACAAGCGTTGTTGTTTTCGGCTACTTTCCCCATCGCGGTGAAACACTTTATGGATCAACATTTGAACAGGCCCTATGAAATTAATCTTATGGATGAGTTGACTTTGAAGGGTATATCCCAGTTTTATGCGTTTGTGGAGGAGAAGCAAAAATTGCATTGTTTAAACACGTTGTTTTCCAAGTTGCAAATCAACCAGTCCATCATTTTCTGCAATTCAACTAATCGAGTCGAATTATTGGCAAAGAAAATCACCGAGTTGGGTTATTCGTGTTATTATTCTCATGCGAAAATGCCTCAACAAGCTAGAAACAAAGTTTTCCATGAGTTTAGACAAGGTAAAGTGCGTAATTTAGTTTGTTCGGATTTGTTGACTAGAGGTATTGATATCCAAGCAGTCAATGTTGTTATCAATTTTGATTTTCCCAAAACTGCCGAAACGTATTTACACAGAATTGGTCGTTCGGGAAGATTTGGACATTTGGGTTTGGCCATCAACTTGATGAGTTGGAATGATAGGTACTCCTTGTACAAGATTGAACAAGAGTTGGGAACTGAAATCAAACCAATTCCAGCGACAATTGATAAATCGTTGTATGTTGCAGAGAACGAAGATGCTGTTCCCAAGCCATTCAAGAATGATGATTTGGCAAGGGTGAAGAATTCAAACTAGAGGGTGAGAGCAGCTTGAGAGGTTGTGTTTGGGGTTGTTTTTTTTTGTTTTTTTTTTCGGGTACCATGGATGATGATGCCTACTGGTGGTTGTACATGGGACCTTTTTTTTCTTTTTTTTTTTTTTTTTTTTTTTTTTTTTTTTTATCTTTTTTTTTTTTTTTTTTTTTTTTTTTTTTTTTTTTTTTTTTTTTTTTTTTTTTTTTTTTTTTTTTTTTTTTTTTTTTTTTTTTTTTTTTTTTTTTTTTTTTTTTTTTTTTTTTTTTTTTTTTTTTTTTTTTTTTTTTTTTTTTTTTTTTTTTTTTTTTTTTTTTTTTTTTTTTTTTTTTTTTTTTTTTTTTTTTTTTTTTTTTTTTTTTTTTTTTTTTTTTTTTTTTTTTTTTTTTTTTTTTTTTNTTCACTAAATCGGAAACGGAAATGTGTGGTATACTAGGTATTGTTTTAGCTAATCAGCAGATCAACGTAGCTCCCGAGCTCTTTGAAGGAGCCATGTTTTTACAACATCGTGGGCAAGATGCCGCTGGTATCGCCACTTGTGGACCCAAAGGTAGATTGTACCAGTGCAAGGGAAATGGAATGGCTCGTGATGTTTTCACTCAACTGAGAATGTTGAACTTGATTGGCAATATGGGTATTTGCCATTTACGTTACCCCACTGCTGGGTCGAGTGCCGGATCGGAAGCACAGCCTTTTTACGTCAATAGTCCATATGGTATTTCGTTGAGTCATAATGGTAATTTGGTCAACTCGATAGAGTTGAGGAAACATTTGGATGAGGTTGTTCATCGTCATATAAACACCGATTCCGATTCGGAGTTGTTGTTGAATGTATTTGCATCTGAGTTGGACAAGTTTAACAAGAGTAGAGTCAATAATGCCGATGTGTTTACGGCCTTGACTCAAACGATGGAGAGGATCAGAGGTGCGTATGCGTGTGTCGCCATGTTGGCAGGGTATGGTCTTATTGGGTTCAGAGATCCTAATGGGATCAGACCGTTGTTGATTGGTGAACGAGTTCATGAAGATGGGACAAAGGATTTCATGTTGGCTTCGGAAAGTGTAGTTTTGAAAGCGCACGGGTTCAAGAAGTTTCGTGATTTGCATCCTGGTGAGGCGGTGATTATTCAGAAAAATGGTGATCCTGAATTTAAGCAAGTTGTTAAACCCAAGATTTTTGCTCCTGATATTTTTGAATATGTGTATTTTGCTAGACCCGATTCAGTATTGGATGGGGTTTCGGTTTACCGATCAAGAATTGAGATGGGGATCAAGTTGGCCAACAAGATTAAGCGTGTTATGGATGAAAATGACATTGATGTTGTCATATCTGTTCCTGATACTGCAAGGACCAGTGCGTTCCAATGTGCAGTCAGTTTGGGAAAGCCATATCGTGAAGGGTTTGTAAAGAATAGATATATTGGAAGGACATTTATTATGCCAAATCAGCAAGAAAGAAGGTCATCAGTGCGGAGAAAGTTGAATGCGATGGAGTCAGAGTTTTCCAACAAGAATGTATTGATTGTTGATGATTCGATAGTGAGAGGTACAACTTCAAAGGAGATTGTTTTGATGGCTAGAGAGGCTGGGGCTAAAAATGTTTACTTTGCATCGTGCGCTCCTCCAATCAGATACAACCATATCTACGGTATCGATTTAGCCGATACCAAGGCTCTTGTTGGGTTCAATAGATCAGAAGAAGAGATTTCAGAAGTTATTGGTGCTGACAAGGTGATATATCAAGACTTGCATGATCTAGTTGATTGTTGTAAATCTGACAAGGTTAAGGAGTTTGAAGTGGGTGTATTCACTGGTGCTTATATCACGGGAGTTGAAGATAATTATTTACAAGAGTTGGAAAAGATTAGAGCTCAGAATCAACGATTGACTGCATTGGAGAACGGGAATGCTTTGAAAGGGTTTAGTGTGGATGCGTGTATTGATCAAGGAGATATGATTGATGTTAAAGCTGAAGTTGATATCAGTATTCACAATAGCGGTGATTATCAAGGATGAGTTATAATGAAGTATATAATATATATGTAACGATTTATAGAGAGACATAAAGTTGTTATATGTTATAAAGAAGTAGATGGTTTGTAAAGTAGATCCAATAGACATGCTATGTTCACTTATCTCCTACTTCTTTAAATCCACCATAAATTAGGGAAGAAATTGTAAAGGGGACAAAGACACGTATAAACGCATAATAGCTATAGCTGTATTTTAGAGGCGAAAAAAAGAAAAAATAAAAAATAAAAAAAAAAAGAACAAATGTCCTAGTGTTAGTGTATTGATTGTGTCTGGGTTATTTGTGTGTGTGTGTGTGTGTTTGTGTGTGTGTGTTTGTGTGTGTGTGTGTGTGTGCTGATGAAGATAAGATCTATCTCATTCAACGCGTCTGATTTGAAACCAAAACAACACATCATCATCATCATCATTGTCATAATCAATAAAGTAAAATTATAGACTGCGCGATATTGTGTTGCAGATCCTAGCAATATAAAAGTAGCATTGGTATTGTAACCATTTATGCATACTAAAGAACGCACTGGTGCTATGTGCAAGCCTTGTGTAGTCAAGGCTTATTTGCATTACTGAGACGGCTATAGAATTTACTCGATATGCTTTGCAAGCACATGTGAAATTGGTGTTGAAATACTGATTGAAATGTACTCTCTACGAGAGAGAGAGAGAGAGAGAGAGAGAGAGAGAGAAAGATATATACGGATTGACCTCTCGCTGAAATCTGACTGGGGGCATCGTGGCAGACCTCTGATTTCCTATCCCGTTTTTATTGTTTTATTGTGTTGAAAGAGAGGGGGGAAGGGTGGTTGGTTGTAAAAAGTACACGACCAATTAGGGGAAAACGCATATAACATCCACACCGCAATACATATACAATGTATATAAACAATGTAAACAAAAAGGAAAAAGACACGACACAAACAAACAAACAAAAGAATGTTTTTGTTTTTGTTATTTTTGTTTTTTGTTTTTTGTTTCTTTTTTTTATTTAGTTTCTTTTGTATTTTTTTTGCGACATTGCCAATTCTATTTGTAGTTTCATGTAGCTGCTACTCTTAGTCCTGTACCTTTCTAAAACAAATTAAAGGTTAATAAATACTAAATACTAAAATTAATTGTTGGCGAAATCTTTTTTTTTTTTTCATTCATAATTCCTTCTTTCTTTTCAAAGTAAATACTACATTCCTATTAGGATACCACTTCCTTTTCTTTACAGTCTTATTTATCTATAGACTATAACACACAACTCCAGAGTATAGGGCTATACATATACCACACACCCACACACATCCACACAACTTTCAACTTTAGAAAAGTGTATGGGAATACTTCTGGCGTACTTAATTGGACAATCTGCATATTTAATCAAACGTAAATTTTTCAACAACAACAACAACAACAACAACAACATAGCAACTACATCATCATCATCAGATATGGAAAAGGGAAACACACCAGGCACAGGCCACTCATTGGCTAGCTCAATCACAAACTCCGGCCCAATTTCGATCTTGGCGTACTGTTTATCATCCATTTTAATGACAGTCACAAACAAGTTTGTTGTTTCTGGGTTCAACTTCAACTTAAACTTCCTCTTGTTGGCAGTACAATCGGTTGTTTGTATTGTCACTATTGGTACTTTAAAGACATTTGGCATTATCACCTATAGACAATTCAACAAAGACGAAGCTAAGAAATGGTCCCCCATTGCGTTCTTACTAGTTGGTATGATTTACACTTCTTCAAAAGCGTTGCAATATTTGTCAATCCCAGTCTACACAATCTTCAAAAATTTAACAATCATCTTGATTGCATATGGTGAAGTCATTTGGTTTGGTGGTAAAGTCACCACTATGGCGTTGAGCTCTTTCTTGTTGATGGTTTTCTCCTCAGTTATTGCTTACTATGGTGACAAAGGTGAAGCCAAGACTGTTGATGACCAATTTCAATTATACTTGGGTTACTTTTGGATGTTCACCAACTGTTTTGCCTCGGCGGCATTTGTCTTGATTATGAGAAAGAGAATCAAGTTGACTAATTTCAAAGATTTCGACACAATGTACTACAACAATCTCTTGTCAATCCCAATCTTGTTGGTTTTCACCTTTTTGTTTGAAAATTGGTCACCCGAAAACTTGGAAAAGAATTTCCCTGCTGACAATAGAGTCGCTACTATTGTGGCCATGATTTTGAGTGGTGCTTCATCCGTTGGTATCTCCTATTGTAGTGCTTGGTGTGTTAGAGTTACTTCATCCACCACTTACTCCATGGTTGGTGCTTTGAACAAATTACCAATTGCCTTGAGTGGGTTGATTTTCTTCAATGCTGCCGTCAACTTTTGGTCTGTTTCATCTATCTTTGTTGGATTTGTTGCAGGCTTAGTTTACGCCGTTGCGAAGCAAAAGCAACAAAAGGAAGCTGCTCAAGCTTTGCCAACTACAAAGTAGATAAGGGGTGTATGAGGAAATAGATGATGAGTAAAAGTGATAGAGTCTTTATTTTTTTTTAAATGCGTTGTTAATCCAGAGTCGCAGAGAGAGAGAGAGAGAGAGACTAGAATGTTGGGTACAATATCTGGGGTCATTTGTAAAACCTCCTAATCCCCAATCATGTTCTACGCATACTAGTCCCCAGTGAAGTGGATTTACTCTCATTGTCGTGTAATTTTAACTTGCGACATTTAAGAATTACAAATTTTTTTTTTTTTTCTTCTTTCTCTTCTTCTTCTTCTTCTTCTTCTAAAGTTGTGTTGCCAAAAGCCTCTTCTCGCGGCACTTTCATCAAAGAGAAAGAGATACAGAGCAGGACCATCAATTGCATCTACTGAACCACTGTCTCATACAAATCCATTACATCACATACATCCTAGCTTCATGTCTGGAGAAAATTCCTTAGAGTCGATCCCCAAGATCTTGGAACAATCTTTGGTTCCACAATATTCAAATCAAGCAGAAAAGACCCTCAAATCGATCGAAAATGAGCCTGGGTTCTCCATCAATTTACTACATATCATTGCATCTACAAATCTCTCCAGCTCAGTTCGATTAGCAGCGGCATTATACTTCAAAAACTTGGTCAAGAGGAAATGGATCACTGAGGATGGAACCAACTATCTATTGCCGTTGGAAGATGTAAACAAAATCAAATACGAGATTATTGATGTTATGATCCATTTGCCTAACCAATTGCAAGTTCAAATTGGTGAAGCCATATCTTTGATTGCTGAATGTGATTTCCCTCACAATTGGCCCAATTTGATTGATACTTTAGTTTCGAAATTGTCATTGACTGATTTCGTCAATAACAAAGCCATATTGTTGGTGTCACATTCCATATTCAAGAAATGGCGACCACTTTTCCGATCCGATGAGTTGTTTTTGGAGATCAAGTTGGTTTTGGAGAAATTTGTTGAGCCTTTTTTAAAACTATTTGTTGAATTGGATCATTTGATTGATAAACTGAAGGATAATGAGGCACAATTGACTATTTATTTTGAGAATTTGTTGTTGTTGATGCAAATATACTATGATTTCAATTGTCAAGATATTCCTGAGTTTTTCGAGGACCATATGAATGAGTTTATGAATATTGTTCACAAATACTTGGTGTATGACAATTCTCTACTCTTGAAAAAGGATGAAGATGAAGAAGTGGATGTGCTAATTAAAGTCAAGACGTCAATCATTGAGTTATTGTCATTATATGTCACAAGATATGCTGATGTTTTTGAACCATTGATTCAGACATTTATTACTTCGGTTTGGGATTTGATTAACAACTTTGTTACTAAACAACCCAAATTCGATTTATTGGTGGTTAAAGCTTTGCATTTCTTGTCTTCAATTATCAAAATACCAACCTATCAATCACTTTTTCAAAGTGAACAATCGGTGAATGAGATTATTGAGAGAATTATATTACCTAATATCGTGTTGAGAGAAAATGATGAAGAGACTTTTGAAGACGAACCTATACTATATGTAAGATCCGATTTGGAAGGATCTGATTTCGATTCAAGGAGGAAAAGTGCTACTGACTTCTTGAGAGAGTTGAAGGAATTGAATAGTGAGTTATTAACTACAACGGTTATGAAGTACGTCAATCAGTTTTTGAGTTTTGCTACCACTGATTGGAAGAATAAAGATACTGCAATCTACCTATTCAGTTCACTAGCAACAAAGGGAAGTGTTACAAATGTTGGAGTCACTTCAACTAATGTGCTAGTTGATGTTGTTGAATTTTTCTCAAAAAACATTGCTCATGATTTGGAATCCAACGAAGTGCATCCGATTTTACAAGTGGATGCAATAAAATACATTTTTACATTTAGAAACCAGCTCACAAAGGACCAACTTTTGGTCACTATTCCTAGGTTGATTAATCATCTCGAGAGTAACTCCAATGTGGTTGTATACACCTATTCAGCAATCACAATTGAAAAACTACTTTCAATGACCAATTTCAGTCAAGGACACCAGCCAGTCTTTAACAAGAATGACATTGAACCATTTGTTACTCCTTTATTGACAAAATTGTTCAACTTGATTCTTTTAAATAGTGCCAGCTCACCGGAAAAGTTGGCTGAAAATGAATTTCTCATGAAGTGTATTATGAGAGTATTGAACACATGTGAAGATTTATTCACGGAGAGAGTCCCCATTATTGATCAGTTATTGCAGATTCTCAAAATCACTGCTAAGAATCCATCCAATCCCAAATTCTCTCATTACACTTTTGAATCCTTGGCATTGCTATTCAAATACGGAGCGCAACAGGATCCTAAAAACATCAACCAGTACATAGAGCATGCGATACCAGGTTTGCTCAATATCCTTTCTGAAGATGTGCAGGAGTTTGTTCCTTATACATTTCAAATCTTGGCGTTTTTGTTGGAGAATTACCCCAAAGGTAGTGGATTACCAGATACTTACAAGTCATTGATCCAGCCATTGATGTCGCCTTCGGTATGGCAGTTTAAGGGAAACATTCCCGGAATCACACGATTATTAGTCTCGATATTGGAGCATGATCCTACATTCTTTATTGAATCTAATCACTTGACTCCGTTATTGGGAGTTTTCCAAAATTTGTTGGCTAGCAAAGCCAATGATTCGTATGGATTTGACTTGATACAAAGCATATTATTCAATGTTCCGTTGACTTCATTGCAACCTTATTTGAGCAACATTGCCCGTTTGATACTTACCAGATTGCAAAAATCACGCACTGATAAATTTGTCAAACGATTTGTTGTGTTTTTGAATGTTTTAACCACGGTTAATCTCAGCGATGTCAAGTATACCAATAGCCAAGTGATTTCCGGTGGTGATTTCATTATCCAATTGATTGATTCGGTGCAACTGGGGTTGTTTGGACAAATTTATTCCACGTTTGTGTTGTCTACATCTTCGATATTGGCAAATTTGCAAGACAAGAAGATTGTCAATGTTGGAATCAGCGTCTTGTTGACTAATCCAACCTTTCAATCTCAATATAGCAACTTCGTGGTGAGCACCATTGAAACGTTGGTTAAGAATTTGGATGTATATGAAGCGATAGCCAAGAGCAACACTAGTGCAGCCAGCAATGGAGCAAATGTTGTTAGCGTGGGTGGTGGTGGTGGTGCTATTGGAGGCGGATTGAACGACTTGGATTCTGATTTCTCTACATTTGGATCACATTATTCCAAATTGGCAGCCATTGCAAAACCTCCATTTGACCCATTGTCATCGACAATCAAAAACAATGATTTCGCATTGATCAAAAGCACCATATTGGCAAATGTGAAAAAAGTTGATGCGCTGCTTTTGAACCAGTTGAATGGAGAAACTCAGGCATTGTTACAGAGTATGGCATATTAGAGATTATGAATTTTAAAAGTAGATGGTTTAGTAACGGGAATGAAGTGTGTATTATTGAATAAAAGTACATGTAAAGTTTTATTTTAAAAAGAAGACAATTGAGCAAGGTAAGATACCAAATGTAGAACCGAATGATAGTGAAGTGAAGATTTGAAAATAAAACAACGTTTGAATGAATACAGAGTGGGGTTCCCCAGTTAACGTAAAAAGATGGATATTATTAGTAGTTTCAGCTCAAGTTTGATTCCTCTTGATTTATCTCCGTCGATGCGTTTTCCGATAGTTGATATGCAACATTGTTACCATCATTTTGAACCAGTTGCCCATTCTCCGCGTAATTCAGTGGTATAGAATTCCCATTCTGATGCGGGTGACTTTCACCACCATCAACTTCAGTTTTGATACCACTGTTGTTGTTGTTGTTGTTGTTGTTGTTGTTGTTTGCCACAACTCCATCCAAATTAGAACCAAGTCCAGATCTTCCATTAGCTCCATCGCCAGCAGCTTCGACATTTCCTTCATTTGCGCCAGTAGATCCACCATTAACGTTCTTTCCACCCTGCCCATCTTGACTTTGTCCATTATCTTGCTGTTCTCGCGAATTAGCCTCCGCCATCTCCGCCTGTTTCTTCTTCCTCTCCAACTCGGCAATCTCACTAGCGGTCAAGAACCGTCCTCCTTGTCCCCTCGGTCTTCGCATTGCGTGCTTGTGTCTCGATTCATGCAAGTACGGCTTGCGAATACGGGCAATTTTCAAATTCTCCTCCAATTTGGCGCGTGCTATGCGTCGTTTCAATATACGATGGTATTGTTTGGCATTGACGTAGAAGGGCTGTTCAGATGCTGTGGTGACGTCTGCAGAGTCTGTGGCGGAAACGGAATTGGGATCGTCTACAGTTGGTACTCCTTCGGAGTTGTGTATACTGTTGGCATCTTGCATTATGGTATTATCGGGTATCGAGTTGGCGCCATTTTGCGTTGTGGAGGGAAGGTGTTGGTGGTGGAATTGGGGAGATTGAGTTTGGTGGGGAGGGGGAGCATTTTGGTAATCTACATTGTCAAAGTATGACGACGCTGTACTTGAAGTTGGGGACTCACCGCCGTCTAAGGACGGATAGTATGGAGCTCGTACATGTGGCGGTACATCTCCCGTAGAGTTCACTTGAAGTGGTGGTGGCGGTGGTGCTTGTGACTGCTGTTGATGCTGCTGCTGTTGCTGCAGCTGTTGCTGTGGTTGATTACTGTGCGATTGTTGATGGTCATAAAACGTGGAGGACTGTAACGAAGTCATGATGTAAAAAGCGAGCGAGAGTTTGTGCTTTGTCTGTTTTCTCTTGGGCAAAAAACTTAGTTGTCAAGTGTGGACTGCGCTATTTTATGTGGGTCTGACAGTAAAGGCGACACTCAGGTGTTGCAATTGGAAGTAGTTGAGTTGTTGGTTCAATCTAGAGGATTAGATTTTGAAAAACTTTTTGTGAAGAAATTTGAAGGAACAAGAAAAAAGAGAAAAATTGTTTTCTTCTTTTGTTTTTTTTTTTTTATTGTGTTTAGAATGTCACGTAAATGAGTTGTGCGACATCGGAGACCTCCGGTCTTCATTGTTTAATTAGTTGCTCATACAACCAACTCCACTACGCAGTCTATTGGCATGATATCTGCTATGTTATGCTGAGGTTACGCTAGTCAATATTGAATTTGCTTTGACTTTGCCGCGTTTCGCTGACTTTGACTTCTTATTGAATTTTTTTGCATGGTTTTAACGTCTAAATTGATGCAAAATAAATATTTAATTATGAATATGGAATTTCATATCATAGTCCAGTTTTAGGAAAATGCGACAAAGTGCAGAAGCGTAAAGACAACGCATTTGTTGAGTCAGAGCTTTCAACCCAAGGAGAAGAAGCATGGATGATGAAAGAGAAGTACTTTAAGAAAGTGGAGAATCTAGATACATTGTAAACTAGAACTTATCGCTACCAGTTTTCTTGAAGTTGAGATTTTATTTTTCATGGTGAACAAAATGTAGTACCACCAGAACAGTTTCTGAGCAAAACCAATGACGGATACATCCAATGGGACTGAGCTCAGTGACCAGTTCCAGTCAACTCTGGACAACGTTGACGAAATGTTTGACAAATTGAGTGTTTCAGAGATTCAGCGCTTGTCTTCACAGTACAGTACAATCATTGCAACAACTAAATCTGAGCTACATAACCTAGTGAGTGAGAAATATCGTGATTTGATCAAGATAGCCGAAGATATTGGTGACTTGAAAAGTATATCAAGCACAATTGAAGAGAGCTTGCACGGAATTTCGTACAAACCATCAACATTTGTATCTCCTTATAAAGACAAATATGTCAAGTTTGATTCCATTTTGCGAGATCAAAACGCAGCGAGAGCTCGGGAAAGCTCGAGGTCAGTCATAGTCCGCAGTATTATTCAAAAGAGATTAGCTAAATTGGCCAACAAAACCACACCTGGCGGGTCTAGTCCTTTACTCCATACTTCCAATTTTATACCATTTGTTAAGGAGCTTTATACAATTGAAACAGTTTTCAAAGATGTACTATCTGAAAAGAGAGATTTGCAGCTACAGATGCATTACATAAAACAGCAATTGATTGATTATTTTGAGTACGAGATATCAGTTTACAATTCTCCCATATCCCCCTTTAGTTCAAATGATAAATTCAATCCTCGTCTACGGTTTTTGGAGAGAGATTTTACCACTGAGAAGTTTGTTGATGATATTTCATTTCTTGAAGATGACTTTGACCAATTTCAAGGCGACGATAATGACGACAATGACAAAGTACAGGAGAAACGTGAACAATTTGACAAATTGGACACATTTAAAAACACAAACTATTATAGAAATGTCCTGCCCATGTGCATTTATTTGGTGTGCTACACTGTTATTGCGAAAGACATCACTAGTGCTGAGGATGTAAAGCACAAATTGATTGACCTCAGAACAAGCTACTTGAGTAAACTACTTTCGGCATCTGGTGAAAACAATCACTCCATCAATTACCGTCTGGTTCTTTTGTATTTGGAAAACACATGCAATTATCTCAAGAGTTACCTAGGTGAGACGAGTGGCAGCGATTACTTTCAAATTCTTCAAGACGTTTCCAAGCCATGGAGCCTAGTTGATCTTGTGGGCCACAAAGGTTGGATAGAGGACATCCTAGTTGATTTTGGGACAACAGTCAGTATTAAGGAAGAAGAATTCAAAGTTGAAGAAGGGGATTTCGATAAAGTGATGGAGTTCTTGAAGCTAGTTTCAAGCACACTCCAATCGTCATCGCCCACGTTTGATGATTTGTTTACAACAATCGCCAAATATTACAATTTTATACTAAGTCTAAAAAGGTTGAAGGATGTGACAAGGCTTGCAGGGTCACAATCGCAATTGGTACAACTTGTCTCTAGCTCGACCTTGGTAGACGACTTGTCCAAGGATTTAGAGTCACTCATCAAAGAGATTAACGAAGAGCACATGGCAAAACTTATGAGTGAAAAGGGGCTTTTGGGATTAGTACGAGACATTTTGGACAGTTCAGTCAGTCAACTAGATACTCACACTGTTTTTGATACAAGCATAGTTAATTTGATGGATTACAACGTTGGGGAGTATATGAAGGTGGTCTTGAACAATAGCAATCGAGCTAAACAAAATCTGTTGGACACCACTCACCAATTGAAGCTATGGTTGAACGAGTGTTATCGATTGGAGAAAATCATCGACTTTGACCGTGATGCTTCGGAGTTGATGAGAGGAAAAAGACAAAATTACGATTACCTACCTCAACTATATCACAATTTACACAATGATGACATTAAGTGGGGGGACTTTACTGCAGATTGTTTGAAAGAACGCTTCCAAGCTCTATACACAACCATCAACGAAAGCTTTAAACACGAGGTTTCAAACTTTAGTTCAGTTTTGTTAAATTTGAGTTCAAATGAAGATGAAGTCTCTAAATTGATTTATCTTACTGGACTTCTCACTAGGTTACGAGATGATATTGAGTTGAATACCACTGAAAACGATACAAAGCAATTGATCTCAGCCATTGATTCTAATGTTGACGAAATTGTTCAAAAAGTAGTATCCCAAGTTTTGAATGATCAACTTCAAGCTTTACAAAGCCTAGTGGTTACAAAGGAGGCAACAATGGAAGGATTCGATATACCAACCAGACCTACTCTCCAGTTTGCGCTGAGAATGCATGAAATAGCGCAAGTTTTTCTCACTCAAGCGACAAAGATGGAAGTTGATAATATAAACTTGTTTCTGAACTCATCATCGACACTGCAGGCATTTATCAAGATGAAGAATGCGTGGTTCGAAATGCAGATTGAGTCATTCGTGTCTCGAGTGGGATCTAATGATTCTGGTAAAGTAAACCAAAAAATATCCACGTTCAATCCAGACGGTGAATCGAAAAACAAGGAGGAAAAGAATGAGCCTGAGAACAATACCGATTCAGAGCAACCTAAAACCGAGCCTGATCAAAACCATGAAAATACAATGAATGAAACGGAAAGTGCCAACACAAACGCACGTGCCTCTACACTTCAGATAGCAGCAAACATTGCATTCTTGCAATTATTCCACAAACCCAATGTTGATGCAAAGGGAATCAAGCATATAATCGACTCTGTCAACAAAACTGAACCATACAGTGAAAACACTTTGGAGATAATATCGAGCGGAGTTTCTTCATTTTACAGATCGAGACAGAATGTCTATTTGCCGCTACTGTTGTAGCTTTTTTAAGGTCTATACAATCAATAAAGGTAAATCTTCAGTCCCTGCTTTGTCAAGTCTTTTAATACTTCGAATGTCTCCTTTATGTCCCATATATTCTGTTTCTTTTGATCTAGGTATGAATTATCAACAAGGATAATTTTCACTTCGTCCTTTTGTAATTGTGATTCCAGGCTGTTGAGTACCTTTTGTAATCTTCCTGGTGTACAGCACAACACTCTCGATCTTGTGGATTTGACCAATTTCAAATCAACGTCTAATTTATTCTTGTTGATTAATTTTAATGAGCTTCCGTTTAGATCCTTAGTTGCACGATGCACGTCACATGCACGGATAGCTGACATGGACACTATGGCGATGAACTTACGACTTTCTTCCAGCTTGTGAACCTCACCATCAGTGTCTTTTCTAGCTTCCCCACCTTTCTTGTTCTTGTTCTTGTTCTTGCTCTTGTTCTTGTTCTTGTTCGGTTTGTCTTGTTGTTTTCCAGGTAGCATATTTTTGAACCTTTGGTTGATGTATTCCAGCAAGTTATCCAAAGTTCTTGGTTTAGTAAATTCAGAAGTTGATCGAATATCGCTCTTTGTAAAGTACAATTCGCTCAACTCCAACGCTGATAATTTCGTATGCTTTCTGCTGATTTTAGAATTGATAAACTCAGCAATCACTTCGGGACTTTCCTCAAATGAGATATTCTTCTTTTGTTGAGTATCCAATTCCATCTTCATCTTCTTCTTTTCCTTCAAGTTGGAAGATTGTCTCTTTCGTTTATGTGGGTTGGACTCATCATCCGCTTTGGTTGGCTCATCCTGCGATACATTTTCAGTTGTCGATGGTTGTGATGTAACCAAATCCCCCTCCGCATCGGAATATTGAACATCGTATTCCAAGCCGTCATCGAGGTCATCACCCTCAGCTCTTGTTCCGTCAACCATTGTCAAACGTGCAAGTGCAAGTGTATTGTTGAAATTTAAAGAAATCAGAACTTCGGAGATGAGATACTGGAAGTAGTTACAGAACCAAAGTGATTTTTTTCTTTTCTTTTCTTTTCTTTCACGTACTTTGCAGTATCTCCAACCTACGTCGACAATGATTTCGACATTAACTAAAAGAGTTCTGCTCCTGCCCAAGGTCTTGCATAATCAGAAACGGCATATACTAATAAATCCTGACCTACGAGCAAAATTAACCGAATCTCAAAATCATCCTGTAGTTGTGATTGGAGGTGGACACGCAGGTTGTGAAGCAGCAACAGGATCAGCAAGATCAGGGACACCAACTACCTTGATAACACCAGAAATTAGCAAAATAGGGACGGCTTCGTGCAATCCATCAATGGGAGGTGTTGGAAAGGGCACTTTGCTACGTGAGGTTGATGCACTTGATGGAGTGAGTGCCAAGATCACAGACAAGGCAGGAATACATTTTCGTATATTGAATGCTTCAAAAGGCCCGGCAGTGCATGGACCTAGGGCTCAGATTGACAGAAAGATCTACTTGAATGAAATGCAGAGAGAAATTTGCAATTATCAAAATTTACAACTCATTGAAGCTCAAGTGAAGGATATAATAATAGAGCCGACAAATGCTGAGGATTACGACGGACGTGCATTTGGAACTGTAAAAGGAGTAATATTAGAAGATGGACGAATTTTGAGATGTGATAAAATCGTCGTCACCACAGGAACGTTTTTGGGAGGTGAAATTCATATTGGCCTCAAGGCATTTCCATCGGGTAGAATGGGTGAGAAAGCAACGTTTGGATTATCGAAAACTTTTAGACAAGCCGGATTTAGGTTGGGGAGGTTGAAAACGGGGACACCTGCTAGATTATCTGCCAAGACAATCGACTTCAGCAATTTGATTGAACAGCCATCCGATTTCCCACCCCAGCCCATGTCATATTTGAATGACCGTGTCGATCTTGAGGATAGCTTGGTAAAGTGTTATCAAACACAAACAACTCCCGAGTTCCACAAAGTGATTTCTAACAACTTGGATAAATCTATTCACATTAGAGAAACAGTCAAAGGTCCACGGTACTGCCCAAGCATTGAGTCTAAAGTGATCAAGTTTCCACAAAAGCAGTCACACGTAGTTTGGCTTGAACCTGAAGGTTTGGATACTGATCTTATATACCCGAACGGGATATCGTGCACAATGCCAGAGGACATACAAGAACAAATTGTTAAACTTATGCCAGGCTGTGAAAATGTCAAAATGATGCAGCCAGGATATGGTGTTGAGTATGATTATGTTGACCCTAGAGAACTTAAAATCACCCTTGAGACGAAATTAGTTGAGGGGTTGTACTTGGCTGGTCAAATTAACGGTACAACCGGATATGAGGAAGCTGCCGCTCAAGGATGTGTTGCCGGTATCAATGCAGGACTTTCGTATGCGCAGAAGCCGTTATTGGAGATGAAGAGATCCGATGGATATATTGGTGTATTAATTGATGATTTGATAACAAAGGGAGTTGAGGAACCGTATAGAATGTTCACATCTAGATCAGAGTTTAGAGTTTCAATTCGTTCTGACAATGCAGACAAACGATTAACCGAGTTGGGGTACAGTTTGGGTGTTGTTGGAAATGAAAGATATCAATATTTCAAAAATGAAGTTCAGCAATTCAATGAGATCAAAAATCATTTGAAAAGTCTTCGACTTTCGGGAAGGACTTGGGCACCTGCATTATCAGGAGCAGTCACTGACTTGCGATCGAGCAACAAGGTTGATGGGTGGAAGCTACTTTCATACAAAGGAGTTTCAATCAAGGACGTGCTTCCGCATTTGGATACCTTCACAGGTGGAAATGTCCCCTCATTTTATGAAAACTTGACTAACAGATTGCTCAATCGTATTGATGTTGAAAGTGACTACGAACCATTCATGTCAAAAGAGAAGGCTCACTTGAGTGCCTATGCAGCGGATGAGAATTTACTTTTACCTGCCAATTTTAATTACTCCAATACCGGCAACCTAAAAATCTCCTATGAAGCTTGCTCGATTTTGAATACAATTCAACCAAAGACCATTGGCCAAGCGCGTCGAATACAAGGAATTACACCAACTACCATTTTCGAACTATTGAAACTTGTAAGAGGTAATCAAAAGCAGTATGCTGCTGCCCAATAGAGAGGAAAAAAAAAAAATAATTATAACTGTACATAGTTAAACAACATCGTCATTATCGTCTTTGTTTTTGAAATCAGACTCCTCTTTAGAAATGTTTTCCGATACGTGTCCACTCGGATCCTTCCTTGCCCGATTGGTTTTTGTCATCTCCAGTCAGATTAGCACTCTCACTTTCATCCACCTTGGCTGCAGCACCCTAATTTTAATCAACCATAAACAAACCACCTTCGTCACCCGCCTCAATTTCCGAAAGAGCTTTTTCAATGCTATTTTCAAGCTCAATGACCAACTCAAGAGGTATATTATCTTGAGCTATATCAAAAACTCGTTCAATGTCGCCCAAAGTTTCACCAGTTCCACCAAAATTGATCAGACGAAGATACAAAATCACGTCAGACATATCCACTTGGTTCGAATCTCGCGATTGAGCGTATAGTCTAACACTGTCCATCAACAGCTGTAGGAATTCATTAGAGCTTGATTGAAGCTGCTGAAGGATGCTGTTTGGAAGCTTTTCTACGGATGGAAGGCCCAACGTATCCTGGGCAAGATGTTGGCGACTTAGTAAACTTTTTGTGATAGAATCAAGGTCGCTTGTACTGAATTCATTTTCCTCTGACTCGCTTTTCGAACTTCCTTCACCAGCAGGCGACTTATTTGACGCATCAACTTCTTGAAAAGTGTCAATCTCTACTTCTCTCGTGTCCAAAACTTCGAGAAATTCACTGAAGATGTTACTCCTAACTGGTTGCTTAACATCGGAAATCCGTTGGTCTACCTCGTTCTCTTCTTCAAAAATAATGTTCTCCGCTTGGACTTCTTGTGTAGTAGATTCACGAGCTGCCGGTGGTTTCTGTCCATGGTTCGAAGTCTCTTCCCCCGTTTTACCATCATCATTATTACCATCACCTTCCCCCACAAGAACAACGTCGTCGTCCCCCTCACTAGGTTTTGGCGTAACCTCCTCAAGTGGCTGTGAGGCGTCAGCTTCTGAATGATCTGGACGCGCAACATCAGGCTTGCTTAATTTAACCAGCTCTTTACCTTGAAGTGTTGAGTGTGGTTCCTTTACGGAATCTAAACTTTCCTCCTGTTCTTTATCTTCCGATACAGGAAATTGCTGCTGATCAGTCTCTTTCAGTTCCTCCAAGTTTTCATTATCATTTTCAGCCGCCTCAACCAGGTCTTCATAATGCTCAATCACCTGTGTAGTAGGCTCACCAATCTTAGAATTATGCTCTATTATATCAGACGCGTTAGGTTTATTCTCGCTTTGGTTTTGGTCCAGTAGTTCTAAGCCATGAAGCGACTCCTCATCGAGAGTGGATCCGCGATGCTCTAAGTGCTTAGGCAGTGCTGCTACGTAGCCGCCTTCTGGTTCCAATTGTACGTTGATTGGCCCTGTGGCTTTTTCTTCAGATGTCCTTGAGTCAGTAGTTATAGCATCAGCATCAATATTTTTGGGGTTCGTGTCAAGATGCAACTGCAGCAGTTTGGAAAAAGAACTACCGTTCATGTTAAAGAGATCAGAACTGCTCCCAACAGTGTCTCCTTGAGATACGGCACCCAATGAGGAATTCGCCAAGCGATTTTCAATATCAATTGTAAAGTCTGGTCTTACTCCAATGATTTTCCTCTTCTTTCGTGATGGCTTGTTAAAGTCAGCCAGAACCGGCGTCAGGTCCCTTTCAGTATGCTTTGTGACTGCATCGTTCGAGGAAAAGCTTCTTTTGGATTGCTCATTTTCAGCCTTGGCAGTTTGAGCCTGTAAAATCTTCTGTAAATATGAAACAGGTTTCTTCTTGTGCTTATTTTCCCCGGAAAGTGGCGTCTCCTCTCCAGAGTGGGGACTATGACTTCTATCGACAGTGTCACTGTAATCGACACTTCTGAAAGGTGAAGTTCCAGCAGTGTCAGATCTATTACCTTGTAGCCCAGATGAACCCCCCTCCTCACTTGAGCTTGTCGAAGGAGGCTTACCAATGGAGATTAATTGATCCGTGACTGGTCTTTGAAGATTGAGCATCCTGCAAACGTACCGTAGGTAGTCCAATGTTATTGGACCCTTGTAGTTTACATCATAAGAAGACATGTGATCGACTTTAGTTGATGCAGAGTTTATCGAATAAGCCAAGTCAGGCACCTTTTTGAAAATATCGCTAGACTCTCCATTTTTATGCTGTTGAACCTTTCTTGGAGAGCTGCTCGGAGACGCTAGCCTTGCTGTGGTTTGAGAAAGCTCGTGACCAGGAAGGGGAGCATTGAATTTGGAAGGTGAGTTAAGTGAAGGTATAAAGTCAGGGAATGGTCCTGTCGATGACTCACGGTTGTGCAAAGGATGCAGTAGTCCTAAATCAGATGAATGATGAGCCTGCACTTCAATATCAATTTCATTATGGGACATAGCTCAAAGGTGCAATTTGTCAAGTTAGAGGTCCTTCCTATGTCGTTTGTTTACACTTTTGTGAAAGTCGCTACCTGCCGAAATTTTGCGAATTCAAATTTTCGGAATTTTCTTCACTAAATTGCTATCGCCGAGTTCCTCTCTCTCCGCCCCCTCCTCAGCTCAAGAAACCAGTATCAATGTCAAAAGCAAGCTCAAAGGCCCCTGGAACGCATCTTCCACAATCCAAGAATGACACAGTTTCAAGCGGGGATAATCTACTTACTGCATTGGTGTCAGGGTGTACCGCTGCCGCATTTACCGCTACTGTCACTTATCCTTTTGACTTTATAAAAACTCAACAACAAATCAACAATGCCCCTTACATGAAAAAATGGAACATTCCTGGAAACTATCCTGCTACTTTGGGCCAAATGTATAAAGGTGGTAGTGCATTGGTTTTGGGTGCGGTTGTCAAAAATGGCTCGAGATTGGTTTCGTACAATTGGGCATCTAAGTTTATGTCCATTGATTCCCACGACGGGGAGACAAACAAGACAACTGCACCTCGTATTGTTATTGCTGGGATCATGAGTGCAACGATTGAGACTGCCTTTTTGATACCGTTTGAAAATATCAAGATAACAATGATACAAAATCAATCATTGAAAAATGAGTTGACCAGAACAAAGGATATAGGTTATGATATAACGGGTACGAAAGTTGGTCACCACTCTCACCATCATCCTCATCAGCATGACCATCATGGAGCAACTGGTAAATCACTATTTGCTCGCCAGTACGTGTCACCTAATTCATACTACTCGGCTGAGATTTTGGACACGAAGAAACGCACGGCGCGTTTCCTGGCACCCGCTCCAAAGGGTGTGCGGAACGTCGAGAGTTTGAAGGCATACTACAATAAGCATCCGTCATTGACTTTATTTGGAACTATTAGAGAAATGTATAACCTCAAAGGATTCACAGCATTCACATCTGGTACTTTCATCACTTATACGCGACAAATTGCACTCTCATGGGTTTGGTTCTCATCCTATAATGCTATGCGTCAATTGATCAACCCACATCAAACCGAAAATGCCTGGTTTGGACATAGTCATACTCTTGTTCAACTGCTTGGGTTGCACACTATATCGTCATTGGCTGTTATTGCAGTAACACAACCATTGGATGTTGTCAAGACACACATGCAACTGAAGAATGGGAAAGCGGTGTACAGGGACTCGTTGAGTACAGCATATAAGTTGTTCATGAGACAAGGACCATTGTCTTTATTTAAAGGTGCCCTCCCCCGATTTATCAAGGTCTTGGTCAGCGGTGGACTGACCGGAATAGTTTATGAGTATGTGGAAAATGTGGTTAATGCCGCCGGCGGTCAAACAATGTTCAAATTGGAGTAGTCTACTGAATATAAACTGGTATCAAATATTCGCCACTTTTATGACGAACACCATTGAATGATTTGGCCAAAAGGGTGCCACTATAACTCGGTTGACTAAAGGCAATTTGACTTTTGCGCAAAACTTGTCCATAAACGGAGTGCTTCATGACACAGTTTAACATTTCTTTTGCCAACCCTTGTTGTCTCCAATCGGTTGAAATCCAAATCCGAGAAATGCCTATGCGTACATTCTTCACATTCTGGTTAGGTACAACGCTCTGTGACTTGTAGATCATCCATTTAGCCCCGTTTATAGAATCTGTCGTACATAGACCCACTGCTTTTCCTTCAACTAAAACAACAAATGCTTTACTAGATTCGAATTTGCCCGAGGCCCACTCTTTAGAATCCTCGACTGCATTGAGCTCCTTATTGACCATGGATAGTATTTGCTCTACCTTTTCAATGTGTTTTTTGTTGAGCTTATCGATTGTCTGGATATGAACTTTATAACGTTTGCACGAAACCGAGCCCTTTAATTTCCCCAATTTGTTGGTCCTCTCTCTTCGTACAATAGTAAATGAGCTCAATGGCTTCATATTGAGTGACTGTGGCCATGTCACACCGCTTGTAAATTGTGTGTGGTACTTCTTGTGCAGTTGCACATCAGCACGTACTTGTAAACTGTATGCCATGCCACAGGTGGGGCATGTTGTTCTTTTGTAAGGTATTGCTAGCACGGATTGCACCTTAGTATCGTTTTTACAGTTGTTCATAGCATAACGATAAGCAAAAGTTGATGTCTATTTGTTCGATGTGATCTCGGCGGTAGGAACCATAATATATGCATATGTATTTGTAATTGTGTGCGCGAGTGCGAGTGTGAGTGCGAGTGCGAGTGCAAAGTAATATTTTTCACCTCAACATTCGATTTTTCCCTTTTCCCCAGACCACGATACCATCAATCAATCCAGTTTCCCAAATGTCATCGGAGTACGCAAACCTCTTGCCCAAGAATGGGAAATGGAAGCAACAGATTACCGATTTCTTATCTGAGGATGTGCCTTCATTTGATTTCGGTGGGTTTGTCGTTGGCGCCAAGCCAGAAACTGCCTCATTGTATATGAAACAAGAAGGATTGATATGCGGTGTTCCATTCGCTGCTGAAGTGTTTAAACAATGTGATTTGAAAGTGAAATGGCATCGTGAGGAGAAAACGTACGTCACATCTGAGGAATTAAAACAGAATGGGGGAAAGATCGTTGTTGCGACCGTTTCCGGGGCAGCTAAGAACATCTTGTTGGCGGAACGAACCGCATTGAATTTATTAGCCAGGGCTTCTGGTGTAGCTACACAGTCATATATCACAAAGAAGTTAGCAGACGAAAATGGGTACACTGGGTTGATTGCAGGAACAAGAAAAACCACACCTGGACTAAGATTGGTTGAAAAGTATGCCATGTTAGTTGGCGGTGTTGACACTCACAGATACGACTTGAGTTCCATGGTTATGTTGAAGGACAACCATATTGCATCGACTGGTAGTATTACGGATGCAGTAGCAAAGGCAAGACTGGTTTGTGGATTTGCTGTTAAAGTCGAAGTTGAAGTTAGTTCTGAGAAGGATGCAAAAGAGGCAATAGATGCTGGTGCAGATGTAATAATGTTGGATAATTTCAAAGGCGATGAATTGAGGAAAGTTGCTCAGAGCTTGAAAGAGCATTACAAAGGTAGCAACAAAGCCTTTTTGTTGGAATGTTCTGGAGGATTGACTTTGAACAACTTGAGTAGTTACCTTTCAAATGACATTGATATTTATTCTACATCTTCAATTCACCAAGGCACCGGTATTATTGATTTTTCATTAAAAATTGACGTACAATAGATAGATAGATAGATAGAGAGAGAGAGAGAGAGAGAGATATTTACTACTATCTAATAGATGACACACTTTTTAGCTCAATACTTTGAAAACCGGTGTTGTTCCCCAAAACTGCGTTGACATTTTGCAAAATCTTGGCAGTTTCGGAGCCTGCATCGTCAGAGATCCTCTCATCTAGATGTCCTTCCTCACGTTCTTCATCAAGCCCTTCCTCACGCTCTTGTATATCAGCACCATTTTCCGACACTACTCTAGAGCTCAGCAGGATTCCAGACATACTACTTGACCCACTTGCCAAACTCAAATCTTTCAACAAGTCGGCATGGCCAAGATGTTCTGTCTGCTTAATCTCTTTGAGGACTGGTTGAACACTCTGAGCATTTTTTCTACCGTAGCACCTAATGGCCCTTATATGGCTATCTTTACCTTCTTGGTGGTTGGCTAATATGAAAATTTTTACCATAAAACATTTCAACACGCCATCGTTTCTAATTCCGTTAAATATTATATGAGACCATCCGATTGGCTGATTGAAATTTACTGTACAGACCTCAATCAAATCCCAACCTTCATTGCTCCCAGCCATAATTCTAATTTTACTGGGAGTGTAGCTCTCGTCCAATGAGTAGTTTGTGAAGATTGATATTCGTTCCAACGCTACTTTCTTGATAAACTGAATAGTTATAGAATGAGGATTGGCCAAATGATTATTCATCAATGCTGAACTATTTGGATTTGTATTGTTGCCTCCATTACTACCATCACTTTGCCAGTACGACTCGGGATTGTCTTCTCGTAGTTGCGGTAATCCAAATCCTTGTTTATACGAGGACAACTTCCATGTAGCAAGCGGCGACAAATCAACCAATTGCAAGTCTTCCACCTCTTGTAGTCCCTTAATGTAATAGACCCGTTGAATCTGTTCCAAACTCGGCTGAGTCGACGAGTCATCTATCTGCAGGGTATGTTGTTCATTCTCTGCTGCGTCGTAGGGATGTCGGCTAGAAGCCGTTCCATGACTAATCATATCTTGGTCATCCAATTGATCATCTTCCACATTATTCAATTCTTGTTGTAGACCACTTTGGGCAATCCTGTTGAACGAGCCTTCAAGTTGTTCATCCTCATCCTCATCATCCTCGTCAATCAGTTGCATGAACGCGTGGTGAATTCTGCCGGGTTGATCATTCGCTAGTGAATTGGATCTAATTGAGTCGCGAATCTCCTCGGGCGTGAATGGTGGTTGTATTTGAACCTGATGTTGAGGCTGATCTGGTGTATTAGGGTATGCTTCAGACATTTGTGTCTCCATCACTGCATTATTATCTTGTCGAAGGCGGTGGTGGTGGTTTTGGTTTTGGTTGTGGTGTGGTTGTTGGTGCTGCCGTAAGTCAAGTAAATTATCTTGCCTATTCAGCAAATCAGCTGTACTATCAGTGTTGGTAGAAGAGTCGGTGACGCCAAAGTTGTCCCAATATCCTGATGAATTCATAAAATTTCAAGAAACGCTGTGTTTAAATATTATTAAACTACACCAAAACATGCTGTACTGATAAACAATAACAAAGAAAATTGAGAAATTTAAAAAAAAAGAAAAAAAAAAAAACACACCAAACTAAGTGGAAAATAAATGCAATACTATAAATAACTAGCTTATCAGTCTACTTCTTACCCTTTTTCTTTTGTCTCTTTTTCTGTGACTTGCTCAAAGGTTTGGTCTCTGCTTCCGCATCGGTATTTGTATCATCAGCTCCGTCATCTTCGTCGAGTTGCTCCTCTTGATCTTCTTCGCCGTCCTGTGCTGAGCCAGTCTTTGCCGAAGCTTCTAGATCATCAGCTTTCTCTGATGTATCTTCTGCCTCCCCCTCTACCGGCTCTGCCTTCTCTGTCACTGCAGCTTCTGTAGCATCTGCTTTGGAAGCAGTATCTTCGCTTGGTTTCTCAATACTCAAATCTTGGAACTCATTTTCTAAAGGTTGCTCTTTCTTCTCATCCTTTTTATCTTCAACCTTCGATTGCTCTGTCTTCAGCTTACCATCAATTATAGTTTCCTTGGGTATAGTGAATGAGCTCGAATTATTGTCAAGATTGACCAACGGACTGGATACAGCCGGTTTATTCTTTCCCTGGACTGCATTCAAACTCGTTGCGGAATTGTTTTTCGAAAATGGTGTTTTCAAATTCACATTGGAACCACTTCTGGATTGAGTCAAGTATGGACTGTTCCTACCTGACTCATGAACTTTTTTAATAGGTTTTGGTGGTTGGTATGCAGTTTGGAAATTCTCGGTCAAACCATACTTTTTCAAAGCTCTCTTCTTCAAGATTTCAATGTAATTGGGTCTGCCTCTGGTTCCATCTTTACCAAATTCCTTGCCATCTCTGTCATAAAAGCTCAACTCACCTTGGTTTTCATCCTCGTCACCAATCACGAAATCACCATCTCTATCCGACGACAAGAACCCCAATTCTTCTTGGTACTCACTAGAATCAATCAAGAAATTTCCCGATTCCAAATCAGTCGTGAACTCAAAAATAAACTCTTGTAAACTGCGAGCAACAACCAACTTTGTATCAAAGTCACGTCCAAACAAAATTATTTGACCCCATGTACCATTTGTTCCTGGATTCAAATCCATGGCAACTTGGTTTCCAATGTTGTCCTTGAGCAATATTACCCATCCTCTGTTGTAGTAATTTGGTTGGATTGAATTGGGTGGAATGGACCTCTGATTAGTGATAAAGGTACCGCCACCTTGTCTCTGAAGCTGCTGCAGACTGCCTTCTTTCACATCAGTTTGTTTCTGCTGATGTTGTGACGTGTATTGTTGTCTTTCAATTCTTTCAGCGACTTTGTTCCAAAGAATGTTTTCCTCTACAATACTCTCCAAATCCAATAAAACCAATCCCATAATCAATCCTGTTGGTTTTCCGCCTCTCAATTGACCATCGTGCCTTTTGTAAAACTGTCTAAAGTCCTCAGGTAGACTCCTTGAACCACACTTTAAATCTCGTAAAAATTCATTCAAATCGGCCGAGGTAACACCATCGTTCAAATTGTCATCCAATTCAGGGTATTCTTCATCAATCCAGTGCTCAATACGATCCCACAACGAATCTATTGAAGGTAAGGGAGGTAATCCATCAGCATCGAAATTCTGAAGCTGCACGTCTTGGCCTAATTGACTTTGTGATGACCTCAAACCTGGTCTGTAGAAGCCACCGGCAGCAGAGTCTTGCAATGACAGTCTAGATGCGTTCATGTCAGCATTCAAGTTTATTGCTGAACCATTTGGATGTGCTCCAATTGAAGCACCAGCCAAACTGTCATCGTCGTTATTTTGGGACCTGTAAGGGGAATCATAAGAAGCATAGTGATCGTTGGTGGTTACTGAGTGGACGAACGCTTTAATATCATCAAGGAACCCCATCTTTGTACGGATGTTATGCTTATTGAAATGTAAAACCTGGAAGCAAATACAACCAAATTGAGCAAAACAAATTAAAAAAAAAAATAAATATAAAAAAAATAGAAAAACAAGAAAAAAAAAAGAAAAAAAAATTAAAGACAAAACTGAGAGACGAGGAATTGGAAAAGTTGGTGAAAGAGAAAAAATTGTATTCCATTTGAGGCGTGACTTGTCTATTCTACACAAAGCATAATGCCTCGACAATAGGGGAATACAAACGCATGAACTGCACAAAGATACTTCCCAAGGAAGAGTTTGGCTTAATGGGCTCCATCTACGTAAAGTGTGCTATATTCGTTTATCTGTTTTGTTGCAGAAAAGGAAAAGCAAGTATAGAAAGCCAATTTGGGCAAGCAGTAGGCTGTGTTTACACGTGACTGCCCATATTTTCGTGTCACACTCCGACTTCACGTGACTGAGGCGATATATTTTAGAAATATACACGTCTAATATTGCATCAGTGGGTTACATGATGCGTAGTGGATTTGCATTAAATATATGTACTTGGGGAAGGCTACTCACTAGGACCGTTCCAGTCTATATTGGAGCTTTATTTCTCAACAAGTAATCACTGATAACTTCACCAAAAAATTCAGTCACCAACTCTTTGTCTTTCATTTGGGTTAAATTGTCTACACTCTCCATTAGCTCATAGTTGATTTCCTCCGTCACTTTGGAGTCTTGTTGATAAGCTGGATTGTTCAATACCTTGTGTCTCATCCAATGAGCTGCAGTCGGTATCTCACCACTTGCACGTTTCGAAATCAACATGAGATAATACTTTAATCTAATCAAAGTTCGAGCACAGTTGGAATCAGGGCAATGTTTACAACTTTCAGGCACCAACTCAGTTGCAATGAGTTTGATGATTAAGCTGATCAATCCGGGGAATTTTCCATCCCCATTTATAATCTCATGCAATGTGTAGCGCTGATCGATACCAAAATCATCAACATCATTTACATCCTCAACTGTTTTTCCCTCGCAACCCTTTGCACTAGCGGCTACAGAACCATTTGCCTGTCCACTGTGCGCTTGAGTTGCTGCTCCGTTGGTCTTTCCATTCATTGCAGCAAGACTGGCACTTGAAGCGTACCCCTTTAGGTAAACAGGTCCATCTTCCAATACATCGTTTCCTTCCATCAAGAAACGGTCAAACCAGCTAAAGTCGTAGCCGGTGAAATCATGGTAATCTATATTCCATGAATCCATCGATTTAAACCAAAACTTATCATTCAATACCGAGTCGACTTTATGTGCCAATGTCATATTCAACTCAACCTTCAGAAGCGGGATATAAAAATTTGGCTTGAATTTCAAAATGGCGCGTGACAATAATGTAATGAATGAGGAAAATGCTGCATTTTCAAAATCGGTGATTTGAACCTCCATTGGTCTAAATTCAACTCTCCAACCAGGCTTATTAGTGAAATCGACTTTGCCATCGGCATCACTTTCGTACAATGCTGGCGGCTTGAAACGTAATGTTTGCCAATTTGTACTTTGCAAGTTCTCGAAATGGTCATTGCTCAAATTGTTATCCTGGTCAATTCTCTCACTGAATATGACCAACGGATCTCTGATGAATAAATGAGCAAAATGATTAGCCAAATGCTTGTCAAATTGTCCCAGTTTGTCATTGAGTAAACGTTTGTATACCTTTGAGTTTATTGGGGCATTCAAATCATTGAAACTGTCCTTGAAGTAACTAGTGTCAAACTTGTGGTCTCCGAGATAATTATCCACTGATCCGTACCGCGACTTCGGAATTGTTTGAATTGGTTTGCCATCTTTTGTGTACAAATCTTGCAAATCTCCATATGCATTCACGCTGTGATTATTCACTTGCAAATTTTCCTTCTCGTTTATGTCCAACCCACCAAACAAGTGATAATTTGGATATGGCTCTTGGGCTTTTTCAATAAATGTACGATCATCAACAGCACCACAAATTACGTTCCACCGCACATCCTGATCTACTAAAAACCCTTTAAATATAGGTGCTGCACCAGTCAAGCTCAACAATATTGGTGCTACTGGCACCAAGGTATCATACAAGTACCTCGCCTGGTTAATATTTTCACATTGCATTGTAATTTGCAAACAGCTTGAACCCATACCGAAACCCATCGAATCCATATATACATGACCAGGCTTGGATGCACCAATGTGGGGCTCAACATCGCTCTTGAATAACTGACGATTAACAGGTATCGAGTCGTCAAGCAACTTTGTGCGTTTGTCAGGGTACATGGGTAAATTCATTGCCACCTTGTGACCTTTACGTTTGCGGATATTGGCGGTTAAAGTGGGGAATCGCGCGTGCCGATTGATGATTTCATCGGGCAAAAACAACGACTGAGAAGCTGGCCCAATTGGTTTTGCCGGTGGTGATGTAAAGTTCCCACAACCCATTCTTGGGAATGCCGTTATTGTCAACGGCTTGATATGTGGCGGAAGCTCATCCGTGCTCAAATCTCGACGCTTAATCATATTTTCCTCAACATACACATAATCCTCAAGTTTGCCTCCATCGTAGGGCTTTGCGGGAGTGGCTTCAATCATGTATCTACCATATTCAGGATGAAACAAGACGTTATTCTCTTGTGCTTTAGGGAGTGACTTTGCTTCATCATTCAAGTCATCCAAAACATAATCCTTATCGATAGCCAACTTTGCAGTGTGCAGTTGCTTGTCCAAGTCAATCAACATGTACTCAACCTCATCTCCCCAGAGGAACTTATCATTGTCTCTATTATAGTGCTGACGGAAAATATTAATCAACTGTGTGATACCATTGTCTCTGACATGTTCGTTGTGCTTCTTCGACTCGTGCCAGTCTAGTGGTGTACCCAAAGAAAGCAATCCCATGGAGGTGGAGTTGTGTGATGGTAAGCAAAAATGGAAAAAAAAAAAAGTGTGGTTGCTAAATGCCCGTCGCAGGTAGAAAGGGTATTGAATGAAAAAGATTCACTTAGAAAGTGGGGGGGAGGGAAGGGGGGGATTGCTTAGGTAGGGCGTTGGTGTATTAGTAGAAGATATATTAGCTAGTGAATACAAGCAATAAGTATGATCTCCTTGCTCTGTCTCTGTTTCTGTCTTTGTCTTTGTCTTTGTAGTTTGAAAATTTAATTATTGATAAATAATGTTGTAAAGTTGAATTTCTTTTTGTTTTTTGTTTTTCTTTTGTTTCTTTGTGCACGCAATGTGGTCCTTGGGCTTTTTGAATCGGGTCAGTTGCAATACAAACTCAAGTATGAAATGAGAAGTAGTGAATTGACTACTAGACGTCTACTCTTGTCTAAAATATGAAATATCAAAGAATCAGTATGGCATTGCGTGCTTTCGTTGAGGTATAAAAGAGATGCTGTTTTCTGGGTTATTGATCTCCCCCCCCATCCAAGATTACTAAGCAAACAAATCTTTGTGTGCATTTTCTCTTGTCTAGCTCAGCCGGTGAGCTAAAATTACGTTTGTTCCTGCTGTGTCGGTTCGCGCACAGGCTGACCCGAGATCGGATTCTACTGGGCGGGTAACAAACAAATTGTATCTCGTGAGGACGAAAAATAGAGAAATAGAAAAATCAGCCGCTTAATTAGGGACAAGTCTTATTTTTTTTTTTCAACAACAATAATTTATGCAAAAGAAGATGATGCGAGGTCAGGTGATACGGTGCAGGATTTTTTGTGCTAGGAGTAATTCCAGCAAGCACTGTCATTGATATAGCAGATACACCTGAAAATGAATAACGTATATTGGCTATTCAGAGCTGCCGACTGAGAGAGGGTGTTGAAACAGAGTCTCTTCCGTGTTAGAGTTGTAATTCTGCAAACGTTAAACACCCTCTATCCTTGCAAATTGATGGATGCAGTAATCAATAAATCAACTTATTATTCACTATACTACTCTAGTACAATCCTTCTGCATTGTCAACAACACACCCTTCTTGATCTCCTCTCCTCTCAACCAACTCACCAATAACAAGAGCACCCTTTTCGCCAGCATTTTCCAAACTCTTCAATACTTTATCAGCGTTGGCTTTTTCAACTATTAAAACCATACCAATACCCAAGTTGAATGTCTTTAAGATATCATGGACAGGAACCTGACCTTGCTTACCAAACCATTTGAAGATTTCAGGAACTTCCCATTTGCTAATGTCAACTTTTGCTTGTAAATGTTTGGGCAATGCACGTGGAATGTTTTCCACCAATCCACCCCCTGTAATATGAGCCAACCCCAATAACAATCCTTCATTGATACTAGGCAACAATTGCCTGACGTAAATCTTGGTTGGCACGAGAACCTCTTCACCAATGGTTTTGGACTTGTTCCATGGAGCTGGTGATTGATAATCAAACTCACTTATCTCAATGATTTTACGCACCAAGGAGAACCCATTAGAGTGGATACCATTGGACCTTAATCCGATAAGAACATCGCCCGCTTTCATGTCGGCCACTTTGGGTAATATCTTGTTCTTGTCAACAGCACCAACAGCTGTACCATTGGTATCGTAATGGCCCTCATCATACATACCTGGCATTTCTGAAGTCTCTCCACCAACCAAAGCACAACCAGCTTCAATACACCCGTTGGCCACACCATCAACAAACTTGGCTGCAACTTCAACGTCTAATTTACCAGTTGCAAAGTAATCCAAAAACATTAATGGTTCAGCACCTTGGACAACCAAATCGTTGACATTCATTGCTACCAAATCAATACCCACAGTGTTGTGAATGTTCATTATTTGTGCAATTCTCAATTTAGTTCCCACACCATCGGTTGCTGCAACTAATAAAGTGTTGGCAGTATCATATCCAGCAGCTTTCAAATCAAACAAACCACCAAATCCACCAATGTCAGAATCAGCACCGGGTCTGGCTGTAGATTTGACCTTGTTTTTAATGTTTTGCACTAGCAAGTTACCATTGTCGACCGAAACACCAGACTCGGCGTATGTAACCCCGCTTCCTTGTTTAAATTTATCAGCATCACGGAAAGCTCTGTGTGCGATATCCTTTCTGTTATATTTCTTTTGGAAGTTGACATGGTCAACACCAACATAAGCTCTGTCAACTGATTGTCTCAAAGTCTCACCCAAAGCGGTAGCGGCAATCACCCTTCCACCACTAGTGACAACTTTGCCTTCCGCAGTGCTGGTACCAGCATGGAAGATGAAAGTGTCCTTTGGCAATGGTTCCTTGACTGTGATTTCATCTCCTTTACCGTATGATTCCGGGTATCCACCAGCTGCCATAACCACAGTGGTAGAAAACAATGGCTTCGTGGCAATTTTCACCGAGTCCAATCTATGCTCGGCGGCTGCAAGCATGACTTGAGCCAAGTCCGTATCATCACTCAACAATGGCAAAACTGTTTGAGTCTCTGGGTCACCAAACCTGACATTGTACTCCAACACTTTTGGCTGCTTAGATGGGGTCAACATAATACCAGTGAATAATACACCGCACATTGGGAAGCCATCCTTTCTCATTCCGTCAATAGTAGGCTTGATGATTTCCTCATCGATCTTGGTCAAAATTTCCTTTGTAGCAATGGGTGCCGGAGCATAAGCTCCCATACCACCAGTATTCAAACCTTTATCACCATCACCAATTCTTTTGTGGTCTTGAGCAGCCGGTAAGTTGTAAAAAGAGTACCCATCAGTGATGGTCAATATACTCAATTCATCTCCTTCAAGATACTCCTCAATAACAATTTCATTACCTGCATCTCCAAAGTTTTTGTCAACCATGATTTCATTCAATCCTTCCAATGCCTCTTCCTTGGTTTCAGGAATCAAAACACCTTTACCAGCAGCAATACCATCAGCTTTCAATACCAACCTGTAGTCAATTTCGTCAATGTACTTCTTAGCTTCATTGACATCTGTGAAATTCTTGAATCTGGCAGTTGGTATTTGATGTCTTTCCATAAACTCCTTAGATGCAGCTTTAGAGCCTTCCATGATGGCAGCTTTGGCGCTAGGACCGAAAACTGGGATACCAACAGAGGTGAAAACTTGAGCGATTCCATCAACCAAAGGTTGTTCAGGACCAGGGACAACTAAATTGATCTTTTTCTCAACTGCAAAATCTTGTAATTTTTGGAAATCCTTTGGTGATGAACTTATGGGGACATTGGTGACTTTGGATGATTGAGTAGTTGTGCCTCCGTTACCTGGAGCTACGTAAACGTGGTTCACGCTGGCCGATTGTAAAAGTCTCCAAACGATGGCATGTTCTCTTCCACCGTTACCAATTACGAGGATGTTCAACGACATGATGAGTGATGTATGTACGTGTGTGTGTGTGTCTGTGTGTGTCTGTGGGTATGTGTGTCTGTATTGGTCGATGATCGCTCCAGCAGAGATGCGGTCGCATCTAAAAATAAAAAACAACAAAAATTAATTTCAATTTCTTTTTTGGTTTTTTTGACTCTTTTTTTTTTTTTTTTTTATTTTCTTTTCTGGGAGCGATGAAATGAGTCTCAATTTTGCATCCATTACAATGGAGTTTCCCGTTGTGGATTGGCTTGTCGACTGAGTTGCCTTTTGGTTTGATATGAAAGTGTTGCACTTGAGGCAACAAGGCATGAATAGGCACCTAATTGCTGTAAAGGCTGTGACACCTCTTATCATGTATCGATAGGAGACCAACTCTGACTTCGACATCTTGTTTTACTCTTGCGGCCATGTTGAATAAACTAAAAATGTCAGAAACTTATGATAGTCACTTTTTCTTTGAAGTAGATTTCCAAGTCGATTCCCAGTGCTTCAAAAGTAAGAGCGAGTCATCGTTAAAGTGAGACACAATTTTACACCCAATAGGAAAATCACAATACTGAGTTACGAGTAGAATGATTGTCATGTGTTTTCTCTGGTAATGCCTCTCGCATGAGAAAGAAGCCAAGAGAAGTTATCTGTCTTGCAGTTCTCTCATTTATTTGTGCGAAAATTCAGGAATTTTTTTTGCATTGAAGTATTGAACAGCGGGACCGAAGAGTGATTACCATGTAGCCAAACCAATGACAAAAGTTAACTACACGTAATCATTGTATAACATATATCAAACTAGAGGAACGTGCCAAAAGAATTGAAAGTACCACAAACAAATGCAATAAGGAACAATAAACATCATTTCCAGCCAATCCGCTCCCTTTGAAGGGAAAAGAAGAATAAAAAAAAAAAAAAAAATTAAAACCAAACTTTTCCGATGCGCTTTTTATATCCCTCTCTTTTGCCCAGAAATACATCAAGCTTTTTACTTCTCAACAACCCTTTTTTTTATAAGATTAGGGTACATCTTTATATCATGACATACCTCTTTGCTTGTACAGAGATACCTTAGTACACTAGATTAGGATTAGCTCTCTCTCTCTCTCTCTCTCTCTCCTTTCACTTTTGATAAAAGTATTGTCTCCAGTAGTAGAATTCTAAACTTTATTCATTGTGCATATATATATATATATATATGACTGTATGAAGGCTTAAACAATAAACAATACATGTTTGGTTGGATTCCGCAACGTCCTTCACTCTCCTCCGCTCTTATTGGCTGAAAATAAAAACAGCATTAGATGTCAGGTAGCAAACAATGCAACCCTACCCATTTTGTGTCAAATTGAATATTACTTATTGTAAATTATCTTTTCCATCAAACCTTACACTGAACGCCCTCTTTTCCCATATTAAAATGGGGGAGAAATCCTCCCAAAGACAAAAAAAAATTATAAAAGCTTCACGTAACTGACTTAGCCTTCCTCTTACATCAATCATCCCTTTTTATCCATGATGGTCTCACTCAAATACTTGATCCATTTAGCGCTCGCAACAACCGCAGTCCAGTCATTCTCTCTTTTACACGACGCTGAAGGTTTTGCCATCTTACCACCAACAGATGTCGTTTTGAAGAACTTGAAAAGTGCGGGGAAGAAAGATTCGTTAAGCCACTACGATGTTGTAAACACTGTTAACGAGAATGGTGAGATTGTTCGAGTAAACATGCACTCCTTTGAAATTAAGAGTACTGGTAAATACAAGTACAACTATGACAATTCATGTTATCGTGATGAATCCAAGAGGGATTTATTTACTAGAGAGATTGAAGATGCTAGTTTGACTCAATGTTTCAACAAGGATAATGAGATGGAGACATCTCAATGTGGATTTGATTTCGTTTCTTATGATGATGCTACAAATTGTGATTCTTCTACAACCAAGTACTCCTGTGTATTGGATGTACAAAAACAGCAAGATGCCACTTTGAAGTTGAAGGATATGGATGATATTCCAGCTCAAGTTAGATGCTATCATAACCTCTCAACCGCTCAAAGTGACAAGGTCACTGGTGGCGCTTGTGCAAAATAAGCAAAGACTGATCTTAGTCAAGTCTTTTTTTTTTTTTTTGGTTTATAATATTAATACAATTTCCCGTGGTTCTGAATTAAGGCTCTAATGAAGTAGAGGTACGCAGTGTTCAGTTTGACTAGTCTACAAAACACCCAATCTCTAATTACGCATTAAAGAATTATTCTATATACAACGACTCCGTTCTTCTATTTCATCATATAGCAACCTCTCCTCCATCAACAATGCCCTCAAACTTGTACTCAGTATCGCTTGGCACCTTTACTTGACTACCATCAGTGCTAATTGGGGAATATAAATAGTATCCCAACAAACTATTAACACTGGCCCTGATTTGTGCTTCTTTCAAACTGGATCCAATACCTTCACCCAATTTCTCAGTTCCAACAAAAACACCAGCCAAAAACTGTGGGTGAGCGGATTTCCTACCAGTTTCTGCAATGAGTCTGATCTTTACTGGTTCTTTGAATTCCAACTTGTCACATAATCTAATCAATTCAGCAATTGGTTTATCAAATTCAAACATTTGTTCCAAAGGCAATTTTCTTGACAAGATGTGGTCAGATATGAATTGCCTAGCCGCATCTTCACCACAATGAGTATATATTCCGCCAACTATCGACCTGACCGCTGATGCGTGAGCAAGATCCTCTTGTTTCAACAATCTATGTTTACTTGAAGTGCCACCAATAACTTCTTCAATCCCGTGTACATTCACCTTGTTCTCAATTTCGTCATTTGTCATAAATCTCAATCTACCATACTTGATAAACTCAGACTCTTGACCCAAGAACCTATCCAATTTCGATACTGAGTCAACTTCAATACCAAACGATTTTCCAATTTGAGACAAAGCTTCCACTCCCATCAACGAGTCAACAGCAGCGTTATGTATACTCATTGGTAACCTAGGATAATGCAACAAAAGATGCTCTGTTACATAGTAACTTAATAATGTTTTACCCATTGTGTTTAACCCGAAATTGTTGGCTAATCCTTCACCCTCTGGACTTGATGTTTTCACCATATTGAGACACTGGGAAAGGGTACTTAATTTGAACCGGGGACTCAAATTGAGTCTGCTGTGAAGGGACACAAGTAAAGGTGACTGCTCAGCTGTTGATTCAGGTAATCTATGGACAAATATGTTGGACTTGGAAAAATCATTTACGTTGGATTCTTGGGGGACAGTTTGGAGTTCTGTTGCAGAATCAAATGGACCTGCTGGTGCTGCATGCCTTATGCTTGCAGTATGGTGTAACCCTTGTCTGATTATGATGCTATTGGACTGATTTAGTAGTTGTAAAGATCTGGCTCTTGTCGCTGAACGTGAAACAGCCCTCAACATTATAAGAGTTAACTTCTTAATGCGTGGTTGTATGGATTATGGACGTAAAAGTCAGGTATTAACTAATGTGACTTGACGATGCTGTCCTACTGCCTTTTCTCCTTCCCTTTGTTCCCTTAAGAAAAAAAAAAATTTTAAACTTGAAAAATTCCAACTCAATTGGTAGCTTTTGAATGTAATTTTTTAACCAACCAGAGCAAAAGACAAAGTGAGAGAGAGAGAGAGAGAGACAGAAACAACAAAGAAGAGGTTCTCTTGTCACCAAACTACACCATCCTAAATCTAAACATATAAAATGGCACATGCTCCTTCATTAAGTGTTCCAGCTATACTCACAATGTCGTCTGTGGCCGTACTTTACGGTTTGATCAAATCACCATTGAAGTACAAATGGGCAAGTGAAAGCAGAATTAGCCCCAAAGCTGATTTGGCATTTAGGAATAGCGCAGAGAAATGGTTGGAAGACCACAAGGGAGAACGTTACTAAGTACGCTGGTGGTAAGGTGTTGCTGTTGCTGTTGCTGTTGCTGTTGCTGTTGTGTGATTCTATTTCAAATCTGTTGTTCAGTCTGAATGTCATTGATTAGAAAGACCATGTTTTGTTCTGATAACGGGCTCAACTGGATCGTTCATAGCTATTTATTGAATAAATCTTGCATTTGATTAGAATGTATAACTTTTTCGAATGCTGAATATCTATAAAATGCTAACTCACAACGAGCTGTTAATCCTTCCAATCTCTACAACACCAAATGCATCCATCTACCGCGTCTCAATATTCTCCAATTCAATGTCTCCTGCCGGTTGTTTAGGATGTCCCAGCTCTTGTACTCTCAATTTAACCCAATCACTTTCCAATTTGATAAAACACCAAATCCATCGCCTCAAAATTTCCAATAGCTCAATTACTACATACCCAAACGAGTATGCATCATAGCCAAACAAAAATGTAGAGAATATGTGTATGAGTTTAATCTGTGACTCGTGTAGCTGTTCATTTATGATGAAATATTTGAGCATCCAAATAAACCTCAACAGGAAATCAATGACTATTGCAATGAAATAGACACCGTTTGGGAATGATTTGTGGATACGCAAAATGTGGAATTTGGAACCTGGGTTGAACAATTTATTAAACAATTGCAAATTCCAATCCATTTTGATGTCCCAGATAAAGGAATAAGTTGAATTCAAAGCCAGTAAAGCGTACCACCACGAGTTCAATGTGTTTAACCTATGGAGGAACGCACCTGACTGCTTGACTTCATCACTACTGGTCAACAACGTAGCTTTTATCAACATGTTGACGACGAGTGGACCAAAACCAGTACCATACTTGATCAAATTTAGCAAATGATGCACTTGTTGCGTCAATTTATATTCAAACCAACATTGCTTTATCCGAATCAAAGTAGGGATACACAATACAGCAAATTCCAATTTATAGTTGTACGTGGTATTCTCATCAATGTAGTAATTCCACACAAATAACCCAAAATCATTAATCACTTTAGCAAACGAGACCAAAGAATCGCTGATCAAGATGTCGTTGCTTCTCATCGTTTGTGAGTTGATTCCTCCTCGCAATACCCGCTTCATCGTGGTCCAAATGCGTACTTGACCAGGCGTGCTAATCAGTGGTTTCCCACGGAAAATACGATTCAATACGAAAATAAACACCACAATTAGTAGACCGTAATACAACAATTTCCAATCATTCACAAAGTACTGAATCAACTTAAATGCAACCCAACTAACTGTATTGACTATGGTGACTTCCCTCAAAATAGTCCAAATGCCACTAATTAAACGGGTGTTTTCATGCCTATCAGCAGGAATAGAAGTAGCAAATTCTCCACTGCCCAGCACTGGACCATCCAACTGAGTATACTTGTGAGGACTGTACGACAAATTTAGCAATTGGAGTAAATTTAAAGATGTGAATCGAAACAATATTACATTGAGGAAAAACCATAGAGCTAGACCTAGTTGGATCAAACCTAATATTCGAAACGGGAGTGGTACAAGGTCGTTGAATAAGATAGCTTGAGTTTCATTATTCAGCAGTTCTTCCATGATATCGCATATGTTGGTAGAAGTGACCGCTGGTCCTGGGATATTCTTTGTTGCCAAAAGCGTGAAATTTTTATTTTTATTTTTTTTTAGATCGACGCGGCCAAAGTAAACAATGGTTGGCTGTGTCGATAATCTTACAAGAATCAATGTAGAGAAGGTAGAGAGCGACAATTGAAGGAGATGTGTCAACAAGGAGGTTCTGACAACGATGCAAAATTGTTTAAATGGCTTCAGACGTGCCTTTCCTCTTGGAAAAGTACACGATTTGAATAAAAGTTGATAATCATTGTATTCATGATTAGCATGGAAAAACATCATTAGCCAAACTATTGAACTTTGCAATTGATATTAGAGACGTCCCGTAGCACTATGTTCTCCCTCTGCACTTACATATGCCAACAAAGAGAATATATTTGAGTGGTACTTGTATATTGATTATGTATACCCTTTAATGCAAGTTAGTAAAGACAGTCACATAAAAAGACCCCCACCCATTCCTTGTAACTCCCTTATTCTCAATGGTGCAACGAAATAGTTGTAATCAGAATTTTCAGTGTTTGGCTTGAATCGAATCGGTCAGCGTCCTGAAATAGGATCCTCCGTTTGGGGCGACATCTTTGTCATCATTGTATTCCGTAGACCATTGAGGGCAATTAGACAAGAATCATTGGTTATAATTGTAATATTGACATACTATTGAAAAAACAGCTCACACTGGAAGTAGTGAACTATTGATTTGAAGAAGAAAAAGAAGAGAAAGAGGAGAAGGAGAAGGAGAAGTAGGAAGAGGAAGATGTATTTAAATTTTGGTGAAGAATTTTCTCTCTGTCTTTCTTTTTTTTTTCAGCAGCTCATCTTTGCCAATGAAAAAAATGTTTACAAATTGAGTTTACCCGGCTTCAAAAGTGGTCAGCAAACTTTCCAACACAACTTTATCCAAGTCTACGATTAAGTTAATATGAATTTGTATCCTGCTTTAATTACCCAGGCTATCAAACAGACCACGACCATAACATAAATTACGTATTCACCTTTTTCCTTTAAATTTACTCTTGAGTTTCTCCTTTCTAGTATTCTCCCTACGTTCAGCTTTGCTCAAATACCTAAACTTCTTCTTTTTGGTTTTTGGCTTCTCGACCTTGGAAGGTTTGGCAACACCACACAACACGGCATAATTCTTGGCTCTTTCTACTGAATCTTGCAATACTTCTTGCGACTTGTTCAAATCAACATTGTTTGATTTGGCAACTTCTTCAAGACTTGTACCATTGGAGTCAGCATACCCATTTCCTAGTGGCTTGTCTATCGATTCTATGGTTACTGTAGTTTCGTCACCGAACCCATTGAGATCCGAGTTCGGTTCATATACTTCTTTATGATGTAAAATCCCCTTTAATGACACTGGCTTATCAGTTGCTGACTTCTCATCGGTCCCATCTTCATCAAACCCGGTCCACTCCTCATCGCTATCCTCTTCAGCTAACCCTCCATTGATCATCGCAAGCTCTTTTGCCTTCTCATTGAACTCTCGTAATTGATTCTCTAAATCTCGTTTACGTTCATCTCTTATTTGTTTCCTTTCCTCTATTCTGGCTAGCCTCTCCTGTTCCTTATTGTATTCTTGAGCTTTCTTTTGCCTTTGCAATTTTCGTTTATGGAACCCTGTCAAATATTCTTCACGGCTTTGCTTGTCAAACGTGACTTCATTGACTGCATGTTTCTTTGCTTGTTTCTCAGCATAGTTCTTACCTGACGTAAGTATCTGTCTGTTGTGTCTCACCATCGTCACGTAACCTTCCCTGGTATACCAATCTGCCTGAATTGAATGGAGAGACAAAATATACGAAGAAAAAAAAAAAAAGATCCACCATTTTTGAGGTTCTTGATCAACCTTAGAGATCAACACATCAGCATGGAAAACTTGGACAACATCAAACTATACCTCAAGTCCCTCGACCAATCACTATCTCAATATGAGTCAACTCTCGAGCCACTCCTATCACGCACACTCGATGAGCACTTGGCACAACAATCTTCACCCCAAGAAAAGATCAAATTCCTCAACAACTTCCAATACGTTCTAATATCAACGATATACTCATACTTGAAAACGATTGGGATTGATACCGACACACATCCCATAAAGAAGGAGTTGGCGCGTGTCAAGAGTTACATGACAAGAGCTAAAAATGTTGATCAGAAAAGTAATCAACATGATGAGAGCACCACCAACAAGGCAAAGACGAAGGAGTTTATTACTCGAACTTTGGGTGTCAAGAATGGTGTTGAAAACACAGTTGGCAATGTCGGTCCCGCTATCAGTACGCAGAATTTCCAAGGCACACATACTAAATTTAACGACGACGATGTGGAGGATGATGATGATGATGATGAAAGTGGAGCTGAAGAACTGAGATTGCGTACGCTGAGTGAACCAAAAGAAGAGGCACAGATTGAGAGCATACAGAGTAAAAAGCATGTCAAAAGCAAGATTGATAAATTAGCCATGCAAAAAGGGAAATCAAAACAGCTGAAGAATAAAGTCACCAAACCCAAACACGGTAACTCTCCCAAACCCAAGAAGCAAAAGAAAACTAAAGGATAGTGATATATAGACTCAATATTAGAATGTATGACTGAGAAATTTCTTATACTCCTTCTTAATAAAAAAAAAAAAAATCTATGCAAAGTATTCACTAAATACATACTCATGTTTCAAGTTATCTTGGACACAATAATAAATCTCCATCAACAAATGTGGAAACTTGTTATTAAAATACTGGTAAAACCCATTAGGCAACGGGGCCATCTTCTCTTGTAAGCCAGGAGGCATATCATTATAATGATGATACTTGTTTCTTATAGCCCGCAACAAATCCATCAACTTAGTAGTTTGGTACTTGCGGTACTTGCCCAAATTCTCCAAAAACTCCTCATCGGCAAGCTGACCATGCCAGTCGAGATTATGTACAATTTGAGCGTGTTTCTCCAACTCAAGCAACAAGTCACTCGGTGGATCACGTTTTTCAACTTCGAATCGATCACTAACTTTGAGTAGAAACTCAAGACGTTTAGTTGGTGACCAGAAAAGTGGATGATGGAGGATTTTTGAAGTGTTGGGACGCAAGGCGGGGTTGGCGTGAATTAAACTTGAAATCAAATCAATTGATTCGTACTTGTCATTAGGACACTTGGTGAGCAAGATGGATAAGTCATATTCGCCTCTGATGATGTTACCTTCTCGCATATATCGATCACCAAATGGATGCTGTCCGTTGGTTAAAATGTAGAAAAACACACATCCAAGGGAGAAAATATCGATGGCTTTAGTTAAGCGTTTACCTCCTGATACGGAGGTGGAGGTGGAGGTGGAGCTGGCTGTGGTAGAAGTAGTTATAGCCCCGTTGGAGTGGACGGAAGAAATGGAGTCCGGTGAAATCTCCAATAAATCGTGATTGAGCAACAACTCAGGAGCTCTCCAGCCCGAAGTTCCCGACGCGGCGTGTTGAGTGGTTGCTCTAAACGATGATTGATCATGCTCCAACTTCTTACACAATCCAAAATCAGAAATCAACAACCGAACATTGTTTTCATACTGTATTTTCTCCAGCACAATCGGATCTCTTTTCAAATGTGGCGACTTCTTGACGTTTGCAACCAAGATATTTTGTGGTTTAATATCTCGATGTACAATCTTTAACGAATGCAAATAATGCAACCCACTTGCCAACTGATACAATATATCATTTCTTCTCGGAATTGACAAATCGGCAACCTTTTGTGGTTTTTCAATTATATCCTCCAATGTACATAAACAAAGCTCCAACGCAATGTACAAAAACTTTTCTGATTCAGATGATTGTGAGCAAAAGTATCTAATCACATTTGGGTGGTCATCTGATTCCTGCAATAGCCGAACTTCATGGTTTGCAATGTCGTAGAAATCGAGCAACATCCGCTTCACCGCCACAGGTCGATTTTCAAAAGTACCTTCAAACACAACAGTTCCATGAGATCCATACCCTAGTATTTTGTCAGAAATAATCAAATTGTTTTCAATTTGCAACTTCTTCTTCAGCTTGGGTGGTAATGGCAAGGTTTGTATAAGACTCTTTGTGGCAATGATCTCTTCTTCTGCGTCTTCTTCAGAATTTTTGTCATCATGGCTCAACTCCTTTTCCTCAGAATTCTTGTTCTTGTTGATATGCTTTCCGCCTCTTTTGGCTCCTCCTCTGCTGCCTCTCTTGCGCTTCTTCTTTGTAAGTGGCTCATTCTCGGTCTGCTCTTTCTCTTCAGTGTCGTCAGCATTTACAGTGCTCTCTAGTCCATCTCTAGTTTCCTCTTCCTCATGCAGTAAGGGTTCATTGATAGCACCAATATCTTCAATAATCTCGGACTCAGGTTCGACTATTGTCACCTTTTTCTTCTGTATACGATCAGTAGCATCTTCAGTTGACTGCAAACTTTCCACCTCAATAACCTCCATTACTCCACCGACATCCTTTAAGGTATTAACGCCCAGTTTTGATTCAACCTCTGCACTCTCTTCTCCAGCGTCTGGCCCGTTTGATTGTTGTTCAACAACTATGCTCTTGGGCTCTTCATCCCTGACCAATTCCAAATCATCATTGATTCTAAAGTTTCCAAATAGCTTCCTAACATACTTGTTTGACCTTCCAAAAAAGACAACCAATAAAAGTATAACCATCATGACACTCAAATCCTCAACTATGCGTTTGATGATTGCGACGGATCCAGAAGATCGTATTGTTGGTGTGAAATTTTCAACAGAATCCTTCACTGGCTCAACCATAATGACATCGGAGCCAATTGTTGAGACTTTGGCTGGGAACTTGATACCATCAATGATATTCGGTACTGGCTGTGCTGGGGTATTGTTCTCCTCATTACCGTCACCAATTCTCTTTATATCCTTTGGCGAGGTAAACCTTGAAGCTGGTTGGTAGGAAGAGTCTCTTGACAACTCGACAACTCGATGGATTCCCGTAATCAACTGCTCAATTTGCTCGGGGGTGCTTGTGGAAAGTTGATAATCTTCGATATACCCTACTGCCTCGTTAACGCCTGCGTAATATTGATTCAAGATAGCTTGGTATTTGGAAAGAGGAGCACTCTTAATCAATGTTGGGTAGTTGTGGAAACTCATGGCCACCCATTGATTTGAGTCGGAGGTTTTGTTGATAAAGACTAAATCGTCATTCCTTGCATCACTTGTTTGTAATTGGTTCAAAACTTCTAATGGATGGGGTAGCAACACATAGTCCCTTTGTTTATCATTATGGAATACATCAAAAATATTCACAGCCAATGCTGGTAAGCGACTGATCCAGACTGGAGTACCGATGTCTTTATTAATGGCTAATAAGGACCTATCATGGAAAGGAGTAAAATACAACTTGTCCAACGATTGTTTGTTTTGCATTATCAAGTCATTGTCAATGTTGTTTGGTACCCATTGGTTATAAGTGACATTCCAAACTATATTACTGTTTGTTTTGGAATGAATGGATAGCTGATATGTTGTTTTCCCAATCATTATGGTATCATCTTGTCCTCCGTCTCTGGGAGGGAGTGTAGTTTGCAGCACGGGGCATTCATCTTGATTACCAAATGCCGACTTGACTTCACCGGTGTGGATATTTAGACTGTACAAGGATGTCTTTCTCGTGCCCGTGTAAATTTTATCATCACCACTAAGAGAAAAAGGCGACTCCATAACCAAGTGTTTTATACTCGTGGGTAGTTTATTCAATCCAAACATGGGTGTAAAATAGTACAAAGTACCATCTTCATAAGGCTCAACAAACCATAGGATATTTGACTGCTGACTTTTCGCATTCTCAAAAGTATTATTTGACTGGACCTTGACTAGAGGCTCATCTATAGGTAGGGTCCAAAGCATGGTCCCTGTACCCCTTTCTACCCCATGCAAGTTGCCGTTGATGTCACTAACGAGTAAAATATCTTGTAGTTCGCAGTCATCAATTGATCGAAACTCCAACGGAAGAAGTGAGTTCGTGTGTTTTTGTTGATATCCAAGCAGTGGTGACTCGTGACGATCTTGGACATGGGGTGTTACTTGAGGCTGATGTCGGTTGTATTGCACTTCGCTTTGATGAATGACCTCATTTTCCTGTCTAAAAGCAGGCACCGTTGATTTCTCTAGTCGCCCCGTAGCCCAACTGAACCCTATGAGTATGAGGCAAATTAGTGATGATAGTATGGGTATTATCTGCATTATATGATACAGCACGTTTTACTCTCTATGCATTCAACAGAGACGTGGATGCAACCGAGGACAAGAAAAGTTTTGCTGAAAGGGGAGGTTTGCGGTTTGGGCTTGTGAGAAAGTACCGTTTGTCCCATGAAATTTTTTTCTTTTTTTTTTTTTTTCCTTTTCCTTTCTCCTCTTTTTTGTCTGTCTGTGCTCGTTTTATATTGCTTGGACTGTAAGGGAAAGTATCAAGAAATGGCAGATAAGAGGTTGGATATAAAACTATGATGATATAGGTCCGTTCCATTTGATATGGACCTTGCGAATTTTTATGTGCTCTGTTGTCTGGGCAGCCTACAGTAAGACAATACAACATGTCAGACCAATTGCGGTCAAGCACACATCGCCTCCACATCTCTCTAAATCCATATATCCATTTTCAAAGTTTTTACATACATTACTTATCATTAATATTAACACTATTTTGTCTTCCACTCAATGGGGATTCCTTGTCGCTTGAAAGAGTTACATTTCGTGCGTTGTTTTCCTTCCCCTTTTTCTAAACCTCATTGCCATCTTCACCAACCTCAAGTTTCATTTCATTGAGTATATCAGTTGTCTTTACTTGCCTTTGGTCGGCAATCAATGTTACCAACTGCAATGCAACGTCTTTCAACTCGTTGTATTTTTTCAATTGTTGGATATGTCTCTTGACAATCACCTCAGGTTGGTCATTCCCTTCCAATTCGTGAATTAAACATGAGCATTGCTGCTTGATTTCATCAAGATTCTTTTCTTTTGTGGATATACGTTCCTGGTCTTCTGGACTAAGTGTTGACGTTGAAGATGTGGCGGAGTGTGACTTAAATGATTCACGGGGGGCTGTGTAAGCCGAGGGTGAGGTTGGCGACGTGCTGAGTGACTCTGCAAACAGCTTTGTGGTATTTTCTTTGTCCCCTATGCTTGGTGAAAGAATTGGAACAGTGGTGTCTATTGCTTGCGTATCTAGTGTTTGACGAATGGTGGTTTCGCCTTCGCCTGACAGGTTCTGCAATTTCAACTGGCGTGGTTCAGTATTGATTGATGAGACAACAGTGCTGTTGCCAACACACGTACTTTCTTCTGAAGATGACTGCAGTTGCGGTTGTGGTCTTGCTGATTCAGACGACGATGGCAACGACGTAGAGATACGCGTACTTTGGTGTGGATGAATCTGTGAATGGCTGTTGCCATTGGATCCAGCTTCGTCATTATCTATCACAAGCTTCGTTGTTGACTCGAGTAGTGAGTTCTCGTGATCTACAGTGTCAGACATGTTGTGGAATGTAGCTGTGTTGTGTGATGAGTAGAAAGAGGCAAAAAATGCTTCGTGGATGTTGTTGCAATTGAACTTTTCTAGTGTATAAACACAAGTCTGGAAATAATTTGGAACAGCAAAAAGGGATGGAGGAGGGAATCTGTGTTATGAAATAGATCAAAGTGTAATCTATTACCTTCTAACGTCGTTGAATGTAGGCTGGTATTGTGAATAAAACACAAACTGTCTATGAAGATGAAGTGTGTGGTAAAAAGGATGATAAAAAAAAAAAACTTTTTCTTTGAAGTGTAAATTGAGGTGAAGTGTGAAAAAAAGAGAAAAGTTTGTAGTACAAATAAACTAACAAGCAGATACACAAGTCTCTGTTTTTCTTTTTTTTTTTTTTTTTTTTTTACGTTCACAACTATGAAAAAACAACAACATTTTCACCACCTATTACATCTGGTCAACATTACATATTGTTCCCTATGTGTCTACACTTTGGACGTACCCCATCCGTATACCCGAAGTGAGCTGACCATGTTGCGTCTTGATCCTTCTCTAGTTGAAAAGCTTTCAAGATTTGATGACATAGCCATTTTTTTTCATTTGTTTGTTTGTGTAACCTGAAGGATCTCGCTCCATCGATCCTCAGGAAACACCAACAGCAATAGATAGAGAGACCTCTCTCATTCTCCTAATTGTGATGCTCTAAGATGAAGTAGTGATGAGAGATTGGTGATGTGAACGGATGAACCCGTTTACGCCTTGTCTTGGCGAATGACAAAACTGGCGATGGATTGATTACCCACTATCCGCCATTATTGTGTCGCCAACGTCTGCCGGGCTAAAAAGAAAAAAAAAAAAAGAATGTCAATGACATGACACAAATGCAATTTCTTTTTCTAATCATGACGTCATATGAATTGCCCAGCGGAACCTTGATTATCCAGGGCGTAAAGCGATTAGAATACCACACGAGTTAATGAATATAAATGAGTAGTGATAAAGAGACATGATTATCCATGTCTCTCTCCTATACTCTCTATGAAGTGCACAAAAAAAAAGTATATGGCTCTTTATCTTGGCAAACTCAATTTCTATTATTTTAAGCAAGCCTGTCTGTGCAACTTTGGTCTACAAAAAATGTTTCCATAAATGAGAAGGGGGTATCTGTTACATCTATAAATTTAACCACTGTGCAACTATACGCCATACTGAAAACCATTTAAGCTCAAGCTCAAAATCACTTGACGATTTACGTTTCACACACACAGTTTCACCATCATTTAATCACCATAGATGGAGTAGGCACTGCTGGAAGCTCGTCATATCTGCCTGGTCCACAGCTTTGTCCACCACCATTATGCCTCACCTCATCCTGTACATGTCTCAATCCACGCGAACTAACTCTAAGTCCATCGTCACCTCTAGGAGTCATCTTGCGATAATCTGTAGATGGAATGTAGCCGCCACCATATCCTGCAACTTGGCTTGTATAGCTAGTTTGGTTAGATTCATCCAAACCTTGCCGTTGCGTTTGACCCTGTGGCTGTTGCTGGAAGGACTGTCCAGTCGCAAATTGGCCGCCTCGATTTCGCTGCTTAACGCTTCCATTCTCCCTCTCCTTCGCCTCTTTGAATTGTAAATAGCTTGAGTCCTGCAGCTGTTTATGAAGTTGTTGTTGATTATTCCGTTGATGCTGTAGCATTTGCTCTTGAAATTGTCGCTCGTTCTCCCTCAAGTTCTGCAATTGCCATTGTCTAGGTCCAGTATTAACAAAACCAAAATCATACTCACTTCCAGACTTGGATCTTCTCTTCACTTTACTAAAATGTCCATTTCCACGACCATTTCCGTCATCTACGCAGCCATTGGGTGAGTTATTCACCAAAGTGGAATTAGCAGCAGGTGAGCTTGCGTTTCTGATATTTTGCTGAACTAAAGTCAATTTTGGAGACGGTGGAGAATGGACATTGGGTGCAAAAAACTTGTTGAGGTACCCTAGTGAAGAATGCCCCTCTGGTGTTAATTTCTTCAAATCAGAATGGGGTCCATGTTTTGATGTCAAGGATGTATGAGATTTGACGTTGCGCAACTTGTGAAGTTTCTTTGGTGGCGTAGCTGCATCGGTTGTTGTCCTTAATGTTTTCAAATCCAATGACGTCGCTGCCGCAATGAAAACTGATTGGCAAACCCTCAACAAATTCCAAGAGTGCTCCATCACCGCATCCCCGTCAATTGAAATATCTTCCTCAACGGGTTGTTCATACTTGATGCCCATGTTATGCACTTGCAAATTCAAATCACCCAATTGAGGAACCACTCTTGCTAAAAACGACAGAATCATCATCTCAGCCAGCTTGACTCTTGCACCATATTTGTTCAATAACACACGGTTCACCAACACAACATTGCTATTCTTACGCCCACCATAAAACAACCAACACCGGAGCAAGTTTGCGCCGAGGTGTACCAATGCCCAGTCATTAAACACAACCGACGCAATGATATGAAGCAAGACATAATATAACCAGTAGTTTAGCAAGAATTGGTAGGAGCTCGGTCGAAACTCAATCTGTTTATCAAGCGCTTTAAGAGTGTAAATCCCAGGTATTAGTGCGTTTGTGGTGGTGAATATTAAACCAATTATGTTAAACATACTCAGAACTGCTTTCTTTCCGTAACTAGGCAGGGTATCAAGGAGGTTAAGTGCTCTGAAAATCGAGCCTATCTCTTTGATGGTATGTATGTTTCGTGAAGCTTAAAACTATTTGAGCCAAGTGTAAAGAAATATGAGATGACTCTTATAATAATCCTAAGTTGTGCTTCACACTTTTCGGAGTTAGCTTGCTGCACTATATAAAGTACAATTTTTCTATGCAGTGGCGCATAACAATAAAAAAAACAAAAAAAAAAGTTCCCAGTGTGGTCGCTTAATGGACAAAAGCGGAAGAATTACGAATTTGGCACATACAGCTTTAATACCAGAACAATAGTCAAGCTTGGTAGTCACTGAAGCATGCAGTGGTTCTAGATTCAGTTATTACTGTAACCAAATGGTGGAACCCACAAGTGTTGTACATATTTAAAGTGCGCAATTGCATTAGCTGCACTTTCAAAAAAAACTTGCAATCTATTCCCAAATAGGACACTTTTGTTACACAAAACCAAAAAAATCGATATACATTCCAAACCCGCACGACTAACAAAACTGTGTAGTAAACAGCCAGCAATGGGAGTTTGCCCCATTGTCCTGCTCAAACAGGGATGTATATGAACTGTGACAGGGATACACTAGGATTTCACCCATATACATTACTGTTATTGTACACTACAAAATAGGCAGTCCTTAGTTATCACCCACGGAAAATGGCAAAATGGTGAATATCTAAAAAAGTTATTGTCTACTTAATTACACACAAAATTCTACTCTGTCAACGTTCAATTGTGACTGCAATTCAAGGTACCCATTTCACCCAACTTCAGATCACTTCGCGAAACGATCCATTGCCAAACTTGCCTCTCTGCATCACAATACACTTTGGCTCTCATTGCCTCTTTACTTCCACTGCCGGACGAGAACAACGACACAAACTTATTGGTGATGAGATGAGCCACAATGAAAGCTAAAAACATAATTATGAATCCCATTATAGTGCTGTCCATTATGGAAATCGGAACCAGATCCCCAATGGACTTGGCCAACGCATTAACTTGCTCAAGAACTGTTTTCGGCTGTTCAACTGGCTTCTCCTCCGGCTTCTCTCTCTTTTCCGTATTGCGTCTACTTCTATTCGATTTCTTCTTTGCAGCAGCACCAGCACCAGCACCACCTCCATTCTTACTGCCTCCCTCAGAAAGAATCGTATTCAAGGTCTCAATCATGTCCTTCATACTATCCTTTTGTCCATCAATCGTTCCCTTCTCAATAGCCCCTTTGATCCATGATTTACCACTCCATTCAATAGATGACGCAACCCAAATCTTTGTTTGATTGTTTTGTGCCCAACTAAGGAAAATCTTGGTCTTCACTTTAAATGAGTTTCCACTGGGTACATCAGGAGTTTGTGTAGTTTGGACAACTTCGTAATACTTTTCCGGATTATATTCAATTAAATCGTCATCCAATATGCATTTGGTTTGCTTGGGTCCAATCGGCCCACCCAATTGTTTAGTGTATGTATAATGACGGTTCTTGTCATTATTAGTCAACCCATGAAGACCCGACTCATCAATGTCAAAATTTTTTTGATCCTTGAGAACTCGTACAAAATATGAGGTATCAGATCCAAATAGAAGTAAATAAACCACACCAGGTGGTGCTTTGACAACCTCTTCAGCAATGAATGTCTCGTCTGAAGATTTACTATAACCAGTGTCGGTAGGTGCGTGCGTGGCGGGTCCAACAATTGGAAACCCATTGAACCCGCCACTAGAGTCAGCTGAATCTTCTCCACCACCACCACCACCTCCTCCTCCTCCTCCTCCAGCATTCGCCGCATTGCCGTCGTCAGATTTCGATGGGTCTCCTTTCTTACCTTCAGTGTCTCCCTCACCACCATCTTCATCTAGTGATGTGTCTTCATCGTCATCGTCATCGCCATCAGTATCATCAGTTCCATCCAGATGTTCATCATCGGATGAGTTTCCGTCCTCTACGTCAGATTGGTCATTGCTATTCCTTTGTGCTCTCTTGCTCAACTGTTTTGGATCAATGTTTGACTTTTCCAACAATAAACGATGCCAAACATTCGTGATTAACTTGAATGCCGAATCACGGCCAATTATACTGGCAAAAGTGTACTTTTGATGTAATGTTTTGATAACCATACCATTGGGAAACAAGCCTGCTGTCGTTTTCTTTTCAATTTGAATCACCTCTTGCAAAGGGACGATTATATGCTTAACCCAACCAAGAATATTTGAATTGAAACACACAAAGTGATCACTAAGATACATCTTTCCTTGTACTAGAATATCCTTTGAAAGCGCACAGCTAAAGTCATCAATTAGTTTTTCATTTTTGGGAAGCTTCTTGAAAGCATGATGAAACTCTTTATTTCGCTTTTTTGATGCATGCTCAATTTTGATATCATAATCAATCACATTATCTAGCTCTTCAGTCTCAGACCCTGACTCATAAACTAATCGATCTTGGTCCATTGTTCTTGATGGCCCTTGAGATTCATTTACAGTACCATTGGGACTAGCCAAGTTCGATTGTCCTCCCGAAGTTCTTCCTATTGAATGCAGTCTTTCAGTTGCTGGTACCAGTCCTCCATTGGTTGTTGTTCTTTGTACACGCTTAACATCTGACCCATTTGATGTTGCTTGTAACTGATTTGCAACGGGAAGGGTTCGATTAAGCTGGTCCGGACTAATAGGACGCTTCACTCCTCCATTTGCATTATTTGAAAATTGAGACGTTATCGATTTCAGATTTTGAATTGGATTGTTTTCAAAATCAGCTAGGGAAAGGTCACCGTTGCCCAATGAATTTAAGGGTGAATCACGAACTGATTCAAATTGTACTGATTGTGCTGCATCGTGGTCACCATCAGTTGAAACGCGTTGAGTGCCAGCACTATGAGATGCAGCCATAGACGACGCGCTGTCCAGCTGGTGGTGATGGGGCGATAGTAAATTTTCCTCTTCATGTTTCACCGATTTGACAAAATTGTCCAATCTTATTGCAAACAGATGATCCTTCTTTTTGTCCTTCTCTTCTGAATCCTGCAAGTTCGACATCTTGCTACTAGCAGCTGCAAGAAGAGACGATAAGAATCCTCCCGATTCTCCCTTTGTGCGTGAGTCTGATGTCGACGACTTCGACGGACTTGCATTGTGTAAAGATGAGTCAACTGAGTTCAGAGTATCTCGATGCGATGGTGCTTGTAGATGGTGATCCTTATACCCAGAAGTTCCTGAAACTGACTCTTGTCGAACAACATTGACTGCAATTGCTGGATCTTGGCTAGCTCCTACCACGTTTTCTCCGTAGTCTCTTGGCAAACTGGTACCATTTTCATGGTCAACTGGTGCAATTATCTGGGGTGGAATCGGTGATCTTGGCTGCTGCGGCTGTTGCACTTGCTGAGCTCGCGGGGCTTGCTGAGGTCGGAATGATGGCGATGTTGGTCTTGGTACCACAGGCAGCCCCATTATTTCGTTATATGGTCTAGTAGGAGATGACACCCTTCGAGAAGCTCTGGTTTTCAGTGGCATTTTCAATACGGATGGACTTGAGTTGATAGAATTACTCTCTGATGAAGCAAGCGAAGTGCGATGAGAAGGTATGTCACTGAATCGATGTCGTCTCCTGCTGCTCCCTCTTCTCAATGGGTTGTTGTTGATGTTGTGGTGGCTGCTGTTGCTGTTGTTGTTGCTCTTGCTGTTGCTCTTGCTCTTGTTGGAGTTTGGTGAGCTTCGATTATGGTTGCTGTTTGGGTCGGAGTGCTTTTTTCGTTTAAAGAGACGATCCATACTTTTTTGTCGCACCCCCACTCCTCTCTCTCTCTCTCACTCTTTTCTGTCACAATTTTCGTTTAGTGTGAATACTATTGTTCTCTAGTTTTTGTTTTAGCCATCTGGATGGCCTTCACACCGACTCTATGAATAACGTGGATCTCTGTTGGAGTTTATAGCTGGATGAGACTTGTTGGAACCGTATAATGGAGCAAACTTAAAAGAATGTGTAGTATTTTGTTAGCAAGTCGGAAGAAGGAACAATCATTTGATCGAAGCTAATAGATTGCATTGATTATGGTACAAAAGTGGAATCATCGGATATAAAATCAAGACAATTTCAATTACAACAACAACTCCACAAGCAGCAAACTTTATAGATCTAGACACTGATTAGCAGTAGCTGCACTTTAGGAGCTTTTATTCTGTAGAATAAAAGAGCGGAAATATCAGGCAACCACCGTTGATTTCTGCGTTGTGCCAGCACCTCTGAACACGTATCTCTATATACACAACTAAGACCAGTCAGACTCTCATCCTTTTGTAAAACTCGTCAATCGCAATCTAATCCACACCTCTATCTCACTCTCTCCCCTCAAGAAGTCTCTATCAGATAAAACGTTTTCGGCTATGAGTTCAAAGTCCAACGGAAAAAAAAATAAAAAAATAAAAAAGAAAAAAAAAATTCAAGACCGATGTAGGTTTGAGTCACAATTACAAGGACTGGTCCAAGGAAAAAACTATCCGACGTGTAAAAGATAAGGACTTTTTATTGTATTAAACAACAGTATATATAAAAGAAAATATCAACGAATAGAAGAAATAAAACAGTAGCACTAGTGCTTTTTGAACAATGGATCTAACAATCCTTCAACTTGGTTGGAGATTCCCAAGTTGGCATCGTAGTCAATAGCGAAGACGGAAACAGAAGAAGCGCACTTGGTGTGTTCAACAATCAAGTTTTCTGATGGCAAGGAGCAGTCACCGTTGTTGCAAACGGTAAGTGGCTTCCATGAGGTTTGAGCGTATTGGAACAAGTTAGCAGTAGCATTGTATTTCAAATCAGCTCCACTGGCGTATTGACCGGTCAATCTAGTGTAAACCCATGCTGGATCAGAGCATGATTCATTTTCGTAACCAACTTTAGGAAAGTTCACGTTTATTCCAACACCAATGGGCAAAGCTCTAGTGTTGTTACCTTGGACCTTGAACAATTGGTTGACAAATTCGGTGACTTTGTTAGCGTAAATGGTGGATGGCTCCTTGGTGTCGTTCAAGTCCAAACCGTCCTTGAAGAACGAGTTGTTGGAGTTGGATCCACTGAAAGCAACAGCTGGGTACCCTCTGTAGACTGAGTTGTAAGTAGCACCAATGGTTCCAGACAAGGTAAACATACCTGGTGACAAGTTGGTACCTTCATTTGGACCAGCAACAACCAAGTCAACTGAAACGTTGTTGAACTTCTCTGGGAGGACATATTGCAAACCGAAAGCAATTGATGATGCTGGGGTACCGTTGAAGTACCAAATGTGATCGTCATCTTGTTCGTGACCCCATGATGGAGAGCCGGCAGGTGGGTACTTGAATTCACCATCAGTTTGCAAAGTTGGTGAAGTTGGGATATCGAATTTACCACCGAAACCAGATCTTTGTGAAACAGGAGCAACTAACCACACCTGATGACCAGCTTCTTTCAACTTGTAGTAAGTGGCTCTGATGTTGGTTGCTTGCCATCCATCATCGTTACTCAAAAGAATGTTTTTAGCAAGAACAGCAGTTGCAAGAAACAAAAGGATTGTTTGGGTCAAGAATTGCATTGCGGAAAGCTACTCAGTAGTGTGAGGTGCGTGTGCGTGTGTGTGTGTGTGTGGATGAGAAAGATCAGGATGGGAAATTTCTATGATATGGGTGGAAATTTGATCTGATATTTATAGTCCCATTCCCCCATCGTGGGAAAACATCTTCCTCGTTCAAGCTTTGGGGAATTGCTAAACCCCCGGAGGAAGGAGCCGTGTAAGTGTTTACAGCTCCTCATAGTATTGTCAATTGAGAGATGCCGTCCCAATGGTAGACAATAGTAAATTAACCAGGAAACCATATTGAATCAGCAGAATACAATACACAAAACCGCAATAATATATCTTTGAACAATAGAAATTTAATTTTCAATTAATAATTGTAAACAGCAACGTGGGCCCTTCTCTTCAATAAGTAAATCTTTTGATACCAGTAGCTGTCAAAATGACGTACATGAATGAACCCAAATTTGCTAATTTGGTTGGTAGAAAGCATTTCAATCGTTGAGAGGACCGAGCAAGATCTTGGTTTTTACTTGATCGTTTAACTGAATTGCGAGGGCTGAGAAAAGTTGGGCGAGGAGGGCGCGGCGCCAACCTCTCCACCAAAGAGTCCTCAGCCTAGGCTCTTCGCCAACCCATACTGAAACCCTCTATTGTCTTGTCAAACTACACAGTGACAAGAAAAAAAAAAAAAGGGAAAAAGAAATGTAAAAATAGATACTGAAATTTGTAGTACTAAAATGGCAGTGGACGCAAATTAAACGCCATACTTTTACAAAAGAGAGCAATTTAATACTGATTGATAGTAAATGTGTGGGCTAACAATTCCAGATTTCTGAGTTCTTAGTAAGCCACGAAGAAGGGACTTTCCCGGTATGGTTGTTGAAAGTTGGATAGAGGCCGAGGGGTCGGGTTTGTATGCTAGCACGGTAGCGATGTGTACCAGGTGTTGACTAAGATCTCGAGTTATTATTCGGCTTCGTATGCACGGTTTTCGATTTGGACAATACCCTACAATATAAGCTTTCTTTTGTTTACATTGCATACCCCTATTCTACCAAAATAAGCCAATTAATGATCAGATTCGGTAGTTTGTTTACATTCATTTAACAGATATATTTAGCCACTCGTTATATACTCTGTAACCATGGTTTTTATTGCTTCTATTTAAGTCCGAATTGTCTTTTCTATCTCATAACCAATACTAAAGTATGGGAGCATTGCAAAGGCACGTTTATTTTTTTTTTTGCAGGTGTATCTACAGCTTTGTGGCATAAGAGGAAAAAAAAAAGAAAAAAGAAGACTGGCCCACGAGGCGACCAAAAAGTATAAGGAAAGGGCAGAGAGAAAACCGAACTTCATCCAAAGTGTCAAATTCCGTTGGATAGTCGGACTGGATCGTATTCGAATGCAGCACTTACTGTATAATCTCGTAAATAATTAGCCTTATAATTTATTGAATGATAACAATTATGATTAGCTTGAGGAACAATAGTTATGTCATTTAGTAGTTTCTCAAGGACAATAGTGTTGTGAAGTCCGGGTCAAACAGAGGCTTGGTCATTTCCCTACTGTCACTCACTGACTCTGGTTCAGTTTGAAATTTTGCATCAAAATTGAACAAAATGGTCTGACAAGACAAAGAATTACAGATTACACTCATACTCTTTCACTTATGAGCCAATGTTAGCTTCTATCAGTGATGGTCAGATGCTGTTACAATCGTTCACACTCACATATACATGCACTTTGTTGTGACGGAAATAAACAACGGAGTTTGGTAGCGTTCTCCCCCTTATTTGCCCCCCTCGCCCCCACTTTTCATTGAGCCACGGCACAAGCAAAAACAAAAAAAAAATTTCACAGTTGAAAGTGGTAGCACTGACTCACAACAACGAAAAAAAAAAAACAAAAAAACAATTGCGGGTGCATTCTTATTTACATATACAGTGTTTATCAATATCCACCCAAAAAGGAGTTTTAGTAAAGGGTTCATCCGTGTGCGTGTGTGAGAGAGTTTGTGACATTACTACTCCAGCGGTATTTGCATTTGATCTACATTAACTAGACTCAATACCACTGATAGACTCCGCATATAACCTGTTACTACCCCCCATAGGCAAGATACTACTTTCTTGAAATCACCATGGCCATTTTCTCGTCGTTGGCGGGATTCTTTAACCGAAACAAGAGAAGAATATTTATAACTTCAGCAGTTACATTTTCCATCTACTTACTTGTCAATGAGTTTGTTATCAAGAAATTCAGAAACTACCAAAATGCGTTGCGTCAGGAGTTTATGTTTAAGCAACAGATTAGACAACGGTTTATTCTGACTCAACAAGATTGTTACTACACGATTCTAGCATTGCTTCCAGTATTGGCTCAGCCTATAGTTGATTCGTTACCCGTTGACTTGATTACACAAGCATTGAGATTGAAGAAAGGTCAGCAGAATCAGCCACAGCAAGTTACAAGTGGGAGTAATAGCGAATTGACTACTGACAATCTTAATCTTTTGGATAACAACAACAATCCACAACTGCAATTATCAGTATACATGAACAAAAGCAAAGCCGAGTTGTGGAATTTGTTGAAAATCAAGACAATCACAAGGACATTAACTTTGATGTACTCAATTTCGGGGTTGTTGTTGATTAGCAGATTGCAAATGAACATTTTGGCAAGAAGATCGTATTTGGAATCGGCAATTGTTATGGCCGGAGTCAAGAACCCGAATAACGATATTGATCCACATGAGAATTACATCATTGAACAAAGCTATCTTTCTCTTAGTTGGTGGCTTTTGAACAAAGGTTGGGCCAACTTGAGTGTATTGATTGAAAGCTTGGTCGTTGATAAATTCAAAGACATTAGTCCTAAAACTGAAATTGGCGTTTTTGATTTCGAGCTCATTTTGAATGAAATTATTGAGGATATCAACACCAATAATAAACAATATGTTTTGGACAATTTGTTTCCAATCAAGTACCCCGACTTGTTGGAGACCATATTGAACACCAACTCTGATGTAATACATCAATTGGATACACCAGACTCAAATTTGACAAAATTGATCAATGAAACAAGTTCAATCATGTCGGATAACAACTTGTACTTTTTTGACTTGTTGAATCAGTTAATTGTCACCAATTTGCACACTCTTGCATCCAATCTTTCATCAAACTTATCCACGACATCAAATAGCTTAATGATGAGTGATACGTTGCCAGAGCAACAACAGCAACAGCTTCAATCACCGAAGATCATGGAGTTGGACAACAAGCCATATAAACTCGCTAGTTTCTTAGCACAATTATCGGTTCAGAATGGCGTAATGATCAATAACGATGACTCAAGAGCTAATGAAGAGGATGAGATTGAGAATATAATCAAAAACCTTGAAAGTGGACAGGGTTTTACTGGCGAAGGGTACGGAGCTCATGAGTTAAGCGGAAATGTATACATTAACACGTTGAATAGCTTGGATGAGCTTGAAAACTTTAGTGCTGGTATCTATTCCAATTTTGAATGAAACAGGAAGTGAAATCCAACGTGTGTGTATATAAAGAGATTGTGTACGATTTCTTAATACGATGATTCATGAATAGAAGAAGAACACCTATAGCTTATTCACATTGACTCAAATGCTCTAATAATTGTAGTAATTTTGAGTGTCAGAGTGTTCCCAATTTCATCTTTTAAGGCAAGTTTAAGGGAGTGTGGTGGTCAAAGCTTGACACGGCAGACAAACAAAATCCATAAATGTGTTTAAACAAGCACAGAAAATCCTCCCTCCCTTTTTCCCTTCTTCTTCTTCTTCTTCTTCTTCTTCTCCCTTGTCTACAGCTACAAACTCTTACATACCATACCGTCCCATATACAAACAAGTGAGCTCTCATCCATCCTGCTATGTCATCTACTCCAAAAGTCATTCTTGTTTCATCCGACGATGAGAAATTTCCCGTTGAACAGAAGGTTGCCGAAAAGTCAATCTTGATCAAAAACATGATTAATGACTTGAACCCCGATGGATTAACTGAAGATTTCGAAATACCTACGCCCAACGTACGTGCTAATGTCTTGTCCAAAGTATTGGAATGGTGCGAGCACCACAAGAATACCGTTTTCCAAGATGATGAAGATGAAGATGCCAAGAGATCAGTACCTGTTGAGGAATGGGATAGGAATTACTTGAAGGTTGACCAGGAGATGTTGTATGAGATTATCTTGGCTGCTAACTACTTGAACATTAAGCCGTTGTTGGATAGTGGATGTAAGATGGTTGCGGAAATGATTAAGAATAAAAGTCCTGAAGAGTTGAGAAAGACTTTTAATATTGTCAACGATTTCAGTCCGGAGGAAGAAGCTGCTATTAGGAAAGAGAACGAATGGGCCGAAGATAGATGAAGGAGGGTTACAACGGGCTTATTGTGTTTCAACTTGTGTCCCTTCTTGCCATTGAATGAGTATATGGTTGGTAGGTTTACGTCTTTTTCTTATATATATATATATATATATATCTATATATATATTGTTGTTTTTGAAGGTAGATATAGTGACAGAAATGTCTGTCGCTCTAATGACTATTCTGGGGAAGAGATTTATTGTATTCAATTTGGCTGAGTTGATCACTTGTAATCTCTTCTGTAGTACATAACCACCATTGGCGTGATAAGTTTAGTGCGTGTAAAAAACAAGTAGTGCATATCGTGTCAAAAAAACGACATATCTCGGTAGCGCAACGCTACCTTTTCACTTTTCACACTAAATTTCTTTTTGGACTTCAAATTGCAACTAAATCGATATATATGAGAAACCACACTCATACACCAATACAGAAAAGAAGTTAGGGTGCACGTCAGTCGCAAAGCTTGTAAATCACATTTTCACAAAGCACAGCTTCAAAGATGTCGCTAAGTCAATCGTCGGATAATGAAGATGCTGGCAATACAAGCTTCACTGGAAATGAGGTTATTATTACACCTTCTCAAAGTACAAAAGATTTAGAAAACATGTCACTTGAACAATTGAATGAATATCAAAGCAAAATATCTCGCGAGTTCAAACTGCTCTCCAAGGAGTATCTCAAGAAACGGCTTTCTCGAGTGAATGTCATGTTGGAAAAGCTAAACAGTCTGATCAAATTAGCTAGCGCTAATGACAAGAGTTGGCTAAAGATTTACAACTTTGAGATCGAAACTATCAATAACATAATGACCAACACCGAAGATTTGATAATGGTGAAAAACAAGACCATTCCCAACAAACCAGACTTGTTAAAACTGATGGATGAATACGAGGAGGAGTTGCAGGAAATATTCACCAATTTGCAAAGTCCGTTTGATTTTGACGATACTTTCAAGTACGATAATGGCGAAATAGCAAACCAGTTGAATAATTCGCATTCTCAGTTAAGTAGATTGCCGTTCCCATACTTGTTTAATCAAAGTTTCAAACCACATAGAGACGAGCTACGGAGTATAAGTTTAGAGAAGGACTATCAACTGCAGTTAATCCGGAATAATTGTCAGAACAACTCCACAATTGCATGGAACCAATATTATACCAAATTGAATCAGCACAAGAATAGACTACTCACTGAAACACAGCTGCAGTTGAACCAATTGTACAAGGATTATCACCACTTGAACGACTCAAGAAATGAGGAGTTACAAGATCGATATTATTTCCGAAGCTTGATTTCACCGCAGTATTTACTGGATACGATAAATGACTCCATCAACATCACAAACACCAATGATTTGGACGCTATAATGAAAACAAACCATGATTCAAATTACGTTGAGTTGGATACGCGATTAAAACCCAAAAACAAGATTGAATTGTCAATGGTACGAGAAGAGGATAAAAGGAGAGACAATTTGGTTGCGTCGACGCATACGGCAATCAAGCGAAGGTATTCAGCAATTTGCAAACCCCGCGAGGATACAGCTGTTGCGACTGAGTACACCAAAAGTCAATCACAACTTGAGGATGATGTACAACTAATAAGAAATAAGATACGTCGTCAGAATGAGGACCGGAGACCTGGATCAACAGCCGGTGAAGATGACAGTTTGAATGGTCTTTCGCTACGGGGTACTCCACAGGTTGAAAAGGAGGGAGATAAACAGGATGAAATTGATAAAGCTAGCAAAATTGATTATGGTGACGACAGAGCTGACGATGAATACGAAGAAGTGGTGGAAGAGTATGACGTGGAAGAAGACATGACCCCGGCCCAACTTGAAGAGCGCAAGATTTATAAACATGTCTTGAACCAGAACAATTCAGCCTTGTCCACCTTTAAGATGTTGAAACTACCCCCAATGGAAAACTTTCCAAGGCTATAAAATAAAAAAAAAAAAACAAGAAATACAAACAGTAATTACTGTTGTGGATGTGTATGTGTATGCATTAGCTACTATATCACTAGACTTATTCCTTTTCCAATAATATACTTGCATTTTTCAAGTTGGCCTGTTCAATGGTCTTTTCCAAGTTTTCAATAAATTTAAAAGCTTTATTTGAACTATTGGAAAGAGTAAATCTGTCGTCCGAACTTATACCGTAATCTTGTGCGCTCTGACTTAGCTCGTACTTCAACCACTCAAACAAAACCACCACTTTATCGTCAAGAAGCAATTTCCGAACAAGTCTCTTACCATTGGGGAACCGTATTTGTACTCTTGTAGTAGGACCATCTGACGGTTCTTTATGATCTATAGGTTTGACGGAATCGAATATGTCCTCCTCGCTTTGAGGAACTTCGACTCTGCTACTCTCCTCATCGTCACTGACCAAATTTATAGCATTCTCAGCATCTTTACCACTATTGGCGTTGTCCAATATACTCTGTTTCATAGCCAATTCAATTTGTTGTTCCTCACTTAAACTATCAGGATCAATTTTCGTTTCATGCTGTACAAGAGGATTACTCGATTCAGGATGTAATGAAAACTTGTCCAAAAAGTCATGCACCTCATCTAACCAGTTATCCACATTTGGCACTTGTCCATCAGTCCACTTGCGTACACGTTCACCGGTGAGAGGATCCAATATTGCCAAATGAGGAAATGTATCGACATTGTAGAAATTGACATACGTTTCACCATCGTAAGAATCACGTTGATATTGCAAAAACACAAAGTTTTCTTTAACAATCTGTTTGATTCTCGAGTTTGACCAGAAATCACGATTGAAAACTTGCGATTGAAATTCAGACGAGTCCTGTATATTAATCAAGATCCATTTGTTTTCCTCTTTGGCTCTAGCCCTCGCTTGGTCCAATGTCAATACACTGATAATATCAAATGGAGGTCTAAACAAATTAGCAAGTCTTCTTTGAGTAGAAGTGAGCTCAGAGTCACGTTCCTGTCTAAGTCGCCTCCTGCGACCGGCAACTCCACTACTATGACCTCTCACAATCTCTTCAATATCATCATTATCCTCTTCATCTGAGTCCAAAATCTGAATATCACGGTCCACATCCCGTGCGTCGGTGTAATCTTGGTCCATTTCATCGTCGTCCTCATCGTCATCATAAGCATTGTATGCGTTAACATTCCTTCTAAAGTCAAAACCTTGGTGGAAAATTCCTTGTTGTCTGTGCCCAAACAAATCAGGCGGGCGTGGCACTTGACTGAACATGCCACCACCACCACCACCACCACTACCTCCTCCTCCAAATCCAGGGAATGAATCAACCAACGTATCGTGTCGATGTACATTTGTATCTGCCTCACGGACATCATTGCCTCCATATGCTTGTTCTTGTAATTGCTTGGCGTATTCCTCATCATCAAGACCGTTGTTACTTCTAGCATTGCTGCTGCCATTGTTGTTACTGGTCGATCCGCCATGATGACCAGATTCCATGTACAATGTCACTGCTAGCTCTAAATCACCCCCAGCCACATCTAGAAACTGTGTAGCAACAGATTCATCTTCAACGCCAGTGACTGCTAGAAATGTAGGTACTTGATCGTCCATGACGTAAGTTACTTTATAAATCTATGGGTAGCTACTGATCTATTACTCAACAAGACCCAACACTTCTTTCTTGTGCTGCAAATTCTCTTTCTCTCCCAAATGGCAAATTTCCTTTGGTGTGTCTGCGTGTGTGTGTCTGTGTCTGTGCATAAACATAAATCTTCTCTTTTGCGAAGATTGTTTTTGATTTTCCACACATGCCTTATATGCAGTATGCACGTGAGAAGAAATACAGCAGTTCAAGTTCTTTTCATTTGACACACATTGAACCCCTTTTTTTCCAAGAGTAAGGACCTTTGAGATTTGTCATATAATAATCCGGTGTTAGTTGCTGGTCTTGAGATGATTTTGGGTATTTGGAGTCGCAGTTGATGAAGTTGCCATACAAGGCTAATGTTTCTCTTTTCTTTGATTACAAATAAAACGCGTGGAAAGTTGTGGAATATCCATGGCTAATGGAAGATGAGGTGATTTCACTAATTTTTCATGCAACAGTCTTTGCCGTGTTGAAAAGTGAAATCCCGAGTCATCCATGTACACACACACACGTTTTACGTCAAGTACCCTGTTTGACGTTTGTGGCGTTGCTGACAGATTTGACGAATAAAGTAATGGCAGAAGCCACAAAACGGAGCAAAACTCGGCCGAGCTAGCGATGCCCTCATATGATCAGTTATTGCATCAAGCATGCCGTTCGTGATATAAATACCCACAGACTCTCCCCAAGAAGTCAATGATGGCCTTTAGAAGTATACCCAATTAAACTACCAAACACACACACACACACACACACACAGACACAATTGAAATGACAGATAACTCCAACATTGTTAAGATTGACGCTTTAGGGTCAACCAAATTGTTCCACCCCATCAAGGTTGGTGCAAACAAATTGTCCCAACGTATTGCCCATGCGCCAACCACCAGACTCAGGTCTACTGCTGACAATGTCCCCACTGATTTGCAGTTGCAATACTATAAAGATCGAGCACAAGCACCAGGCACTTTGTTAATCACTGAGGCTACATATGTGAGTGAAGGAGGAATCGGGTTGCCTAATACACCTGGTCTTTGGAATGATACACAAGCTAAAGCTTGGAAACAAATCACAGATGCCATTAGAGAGCAAGGATCATATTCAAGTGTCCAGTTGTGGTATTTGGGACGTACTGCATACCCACCTGAGTTGAAAAAGAGAGGATTACCATTTGTTGCTCCTTCTGCGCTTTATCATAGCGAGGAACTGGAAAAGCAAGCTAAGGAAAGCGGTCATGAGTTGAGAGCATTAACCAAGGACGAAATTGAACATTTGATCAATGAAGAATTCCCCAATGCAGCTAGAAAAGCACTTGCTGCTGGGTTTGATTACATTGAGTTACACTCAGCTCGTGGATATTTGTTGAGCCAGTTCTTGAATCCAGTTAGTAATCAAAGGACTGATGAGTATGGAGGATCAATTGAAAACCGTGCTCGCTTCTTGTTGAGTATTGTTGATAAGTTAATCCCCATTGTTGGAGCTAATAGAATTGGAATTAGATTTTCACCTTGGGCTACATTCCAAGTGAGTGAACCAGAAGGTGAAGAGGTTCATTCATATATCCTCAAGGAATTGCAAAAGCGTGCAGAAGAAGGAAATGAATTGGCATATCTTTCCTATGTTGAGCCTAGAGTTTCTGGAGTTGTCGACGTCAAGAGGGAGGATATAAATGGCTCTAATGCCTTTGTATCGAAGATTTGGAAGGGGACTTTGATTAAAGCTGGTAACTATACATACAGTGCACCCAAGTTTGATGATTTGGTTCGTGATATCGATAACGACAGAACATTGATTGCTTGGTGTAGATTTTTCACGTCAAATCCAGATTTGGTTCAACGTTTACAACATGGATATGCTTTGCAACAGTATGATCGTGAAACCTTTTATCAACAGTACAACTGGGGATATAATACCTGGAACAATTATAATGAGAAGAAGAAATATGATGAAAAGACTGAAAAGGAGAGAATTGGTAAACCGTTGGCTTAATAGAATTGTGATAGAAAGTTGATACAGAGTATAGAATTTGGATTAGAATGGAATAGATTATCGATTTGAAATCACTGGCTTGTAAATTATGAGAGTCTTTAAATCCATTTGGACTGTCTAATAATGGTCGTGTGACTGTATACAATAACATTAACAAAAAAAAAATATACGAGTGTTGAAACTATAAATGTAACGTAAGCAATAGAAATACGTCATTTACAGTGTTCTCTCCCCCTATTTTTAACTTCTTCTTTCTTTTTTTAAGTAAATACGGCTTAGTTTACTCATTGCTACTCCACTTCCTATTCCATGGCTATACAATGATATATGCAATCAGCTCTTAAATGCAAAGTCTAAAACTGAGGAAAGGGAGAAGGAGAACTAATGACAAGAGTTGTTGTAAGAGGGATAGAGGAGAAGTAAACAATATCACTTACGTGTCCACTCTTGTTCTTTAGTAGATTGTTGGGTATCGTGTCTTGGTTTGAGTGTATATGTCTTGACACTTACTTCTAGAATGTTCTGTGATAAACTCTTAAAGTTTGATCCTTCCCCTCCCCCAGGTTTTTGAAAGTGTGTGGATTGTGTGTCACATTAAATTGAGTGTCGTGTACGAATGTGGTGCGACATTGAGTCATACAAATTTTGTATTGTATTGCTTAATTGATACGACAACAGATAGAGAGAGAGAGAGAGAAAGAGAGATAAATACAATTGTTGACCAAATTAACTTTACAACAGACAAATCATCATCTTCATCATCATCTAACTTTTGTTCACATCCACCAAAACAACTTTCCATCTTTACATTGAAACTGAGTCAATTGTCAGTTCAGGACATTCGATTGTTGCATTCACACTTACAGATTTTTAACACGTTCTCATTATACCTATATAACCCCCAAACTAACGCCACAACAAAACTGAAGGTATCGCATCAGATTCAAATCCCACAAGCTTCACTGATTAACCAAATACCTCCAACCATTTTCCTTAGACGCAGACTCAGATCACTTCACACTACAGACTATAGCATAAACTAACGATCCACACCGAGCATTATTGCTACAACATTCATCAGTGAAAGAAAACCGACTTATTTCACAAATTTTTGCATCATTCTTTTTAATAAAACAAGCATCTTGTACAAATTATACACATTTATGTCCAGTTGATCCATTAATCCACAAGCATACATTAATAATCACCTAATTTACAATTTTTATTTTTATTTTTTACGACCACGATTTCCTTTCCTTTTTACGAATTTACTGTTTTTTTTTCTTTGTTTCGATCATTTACGACCACCAGTTCTACTAAATTTTACTCAATTGGATTAAAGTCTGTCTCTTATACTGGTCCTGTTCTTGAATTAACCGTTGAATCATCACACAGCATTTGACTAAAGGTACAACTTTTACTGCAATCTTTCCACTGCATCACTTTTCGAAAGAAGTTTTCGTCTTTTTTTTTTTTTTTTTTTTTTTTTTTTTTTTTTTTTTTTTTTTTTTTTTTT